AACAGCAGCACCACCCACAGCGAAGCCTACGCGCGCCTGAACAGTGGCCGCCCGCCGCCTTCACGAAGCAACCATGCCAGGGGTGGGCGCGGCAGCAAAAGCAGCAGCGTCACAAGCCTCGAGCAGGCACAGGCAAGCAGCGCTAAGTTGCGCCACCCACCCAATCGCTCCGCCAGCTTCGACAACAGCCTCCCGCAGTCCAAATTGCAAGTCTACCCCCAACTCGAGAACGTGCCCCAATCGCCATTTCGCTCCGACTTTATCAACAACTTCCTCGCGGAGGATTTTGACGCCGCGCCGACGCCGACGATACCGGGAGGGCCTCGACGGGAGCCATCCAGTCTCGACGACCGACCGCGCAACCGTAGCACGAGCCGGTCCGTCAAGAGCTCATCGGGACGCGGCAAGGCGCAAACACGGGAACCCGCACCTCCCATGCCCTCCAAGGCAGCAGCCATCATGGATCTCGACACCGCCCCTGCCCCTAACGTTGGCTATGGCAAGTCCAAGTCCAAGGAGACCTCGGTAAACAGCAGCGCGCAGAGCCCATCGGCACCCACTGCGGCGGCAGCGCCCAAGGAGAAGCCTGGATTCTTCAAAAGAGTGTTTGGTGGCGGTTTCGGCGGAGGGTCAAGCAGTTCCGATCCCGTCCAGCAGCCCACGACCGGATCGACACCCCCGTCACGCGACCGCGACATTCCCTCGTCGCACTCAAACCACCCGCCGTTGCAGAAGAAGTCGTCCTCTTTCTTTCGCCGCCGCAAAAAGTCTGTAGCCGACGAGACTGCACCCGCCTCTGACGTGCCGCCCGTTCCTCCCATTGCTGCTGCCAACCTCAATCTGCAAAACGCCGCGCCCAGCCCCGCTGGTAGTCTACGACAGGCTATGGACCCGTACCTCCACGAAGCACCCGGGACACCCGCAGAGAAGAAGACGCACCCAGAGTACCAGCGCGAGTTCTCGCCCGACTACGAGCCGAGTCCGAACGCCCGCATACGAAAGGTGCCTTCGCTGGAGCTCGATACGCCTTCCAAGACACCCACCAGGGACAACTCGTTCCTGGATCTGGATGGCGTCAGCGATAACGAGGTGCTGACACCCAAGTTGAAGAAGTCCAGGGATGACACGATCCGACCTAGGAAGAAGAAGTCTTCGAGGCGACTGCCGATCCAAAACATCCAGACAGAGAACAGCTCCTCGCTGTCGCTACCCAAGGAGGGCACAAAGGGCAGCGCCTCACCGAGGTCGCCCGCCAGCATTGCACCCGATGTGAAGATCGACGGACCCATGGGCGAGCTGGACGAGCCCATCTTTGTGATTGGGGAGCCTACCGAAGACGACAGGCAGAAGGCACAGCAGATCTACGACGGCAACGAAGATTTTATTTCGCAGGAAAAGGCGGCTGCGTGGATGGGCGAGGAGGGGCCGATCCGGCAGCGCACCCTGCAGGCCTACATGGAGTTGTACGACTTCGTCGACAAGAGCATCGTGTGGTCACTGAGGCAGGTCTGCCTACGACTAGTGTTCCGCGCTGAGACGCAGCAGATGGACCGGATTCTAGTGGCCTTCTCTAAGCGGTGGTGTCACTGCAATCCGAACCACGGCTTCAAGGCGACGGACGTGATCCACACAGTCTGCTACTCAATCATGCTTCTCAACACTGATCTGCACATGGCCGACATTGAGCAGAACATGACGCGCAGCCAGTTCGTCAAGAATACCATGGGCACTATCACGCAGGCTGTTCTCGAGGCAGCTCCAGATGCCTTTGACCGCCGTCCAAGTATCTTGGCGGACAAGAATTCCATGTTGAGCCCTGATGAGTCGAGCACGCCTACGCCTACCGAAGAGCGCAAGTCCTTCCGCAACTCGTTCCGACCGCCGCCCCGGATCGATTCACAGAGCGTGATGGAGGGCGTCGAGGACTGTGGACCGTTGGTCAAGTCGCCACACCACGGATCACAGAAGAGCTGGGAGGAGCTCGTGGAGCTCGTTCTGAAAGGCATCTACTCTTCCATCCGCGACGAGAAGCTGCCTCTGTTCGGCGCCGACCCCGTCAAGCCCATGGTGGCGCCTCCTGCGCAACTGTCTGTCATGGGGATGCTCAAGCGGACGCCTAGCGTGCTGAGCAAGGCGCCCTCCGAGGGCAACTTGTCGGGCCGCGGCCGCGTGGCGGAGAGTCGGGGCAACGCCTCGCGCTGGACGTCCAAAAGCCGCTCACGGCCAGGCCTCGGCAGGAATGGGTTCAACTCCAGCCGTACTAGCTTTGAGGATGGGAGCTCCATGTGGAGCCCGAACCTGTCCTCGGCCACCTGGAGTCGGCAGTCCCTGGGACGCACGCAGGCCTCTGCGTCGCAAGACTCGTTCGGATCGGCTATGCCCCGTGGTGATTACCAGCAGTCGATTGGTTTCGCCAACGCTCTGAGCCAGGCCATCATCCGCGATGAGGAAGCGTACGGTGACGGCTCACCGTCGGTCCTCAGTGCTGATCTGTCCGCGACGCACTTGCTGGAGGATGAGTCATTGGAGCTCATGGGACCGCCCTGGATGAAGGAGGGTCTCGTGATCCACAAGCACCACCTCGATGGCGTGGACAAGAAGGCTAGGGAGCGCAACTGGTCCGAGGTCTTCGTCGTCATCCAAAAGGGGCAGATGAGCCTCTTCTCTTTCACGGCGACCAAGTCGCAGCGCCAGAAGAGTCGGTCAAGGGTGGCTGGTCCCGTGGGTGGCGGCAACTGGCAGGACAATGCTACGGCAGTTGGCTCCTTCAGTCTCCGACAAACACTTGCCTCGACGCTGCCGCCGCCTGGATATTCGAGGACGAGGCCTCACGTGTGGGCGCTGAGCCTGCCCACGGGCGCAGTCCACCTGTTCCAAGTGGGTACGCCCGAGCTGATCAAGGAGTTTGTCACGACGGCCAACTACTGGAGCGCACGCCAGAGCACGCACCCTCTCGTGGGCGGCATCAGCAATATAGAGTATGGCTGGAGCGGTGCCATTGTGAACAATGCGTTGGTCAGCGCCATCAACGAACCGCGCCCGCCTCGTCCTGGCAGCAGCGCCGCGCATGGGCGCAAATCGAGTGTCAGCAGCTTCCGATCCGCGAGCATCGACCAGGCGACTGCCGCCTTCACGCACGCCACGGGACGAGGGAAGCTGCCCGGCGACAGGATCCACATCTCGGACTGGACGCCGCCGTCCCAGTCCCTCCGCCCTTCCAACTCAGGCGAGGCCGATCAGCTGGCCACACTGCAGGCATACGTCAAGAGCATCGAGGACGACCTCCAGGCGCATAACCAGCTCCGGAGCCCGATGCTCCTCGCCTTCACCCCCCGGGGCCACAATGCCATCAAGGCCATGGCCAACTGGGAGCGCAAGAGCGCGTATCTGCTGCGCGAGATTGTCAAGTTCAGGACGTATGTGGACTGTCTGCAGCAGGCGGACACGCGCAAGCAGGAGGTCTACGCCGAGAGGGACCTGGCGCACCGTGCGGCGCGGGGTGAGCTGTCGGATGGCGACATGGACGTGAGCGGCGGCGAGGAGGAGGATGAGGCGGCTGATGATACGCTCAGGCCGTGAGGAGGAAGGGCCTGGCTGTCTGTATGACTGATGATTGGCATTGCGGTGGAGTTATTTTTTGCATGTGGCATGACCCTTTCCTTTCTCCTTTTTTCCATAGCGTTCTGAATCGACGAGAACTTGAAGCTTGCTTGCTTGTGCATTGAGTCGGCTCTAAGAAGGTTAATTTCTACCTTGCGCGCGTCGTGTGATTAGGGGTTGGGTGGCTACCCTGTACCGGTTGGAGAAAACACGAATGGATGGTTTTCCGTGCGTCCTTTGAGGTGGGATATAATTAGTACATTGTTTCCAAGTGGAACTGCCATTTTTGGTGTTGATGCTGTTCGGTTTTGTAATAAGCGGGGCAATTGTGGTTGGATGTGTGTTGTCTCTGTAGACCTCACTTCATGATGCTTCAACGACGTTTGTTCCCACAACCACCCAACTCATGCTACAGATCACCAACAATGGCAGTTTCTTCTGTAACCGCAGACGCAGAGTCTTCAACAGGAGTGCCAAGGATTATGATTGATTCAAAGGTTTGTCTCCAGTGGAAGCTTCGCCATTGCGTCTGACATCAGGTCAAACCGCTGGTAATATCATTATCTACCCAAGCAACGGAGACCATGGTAGGGGATGTCCAAGAAAGAATGCTGGGAGACTACAGGATTGCACATCACGGATCACAACGTGTCTTTTGGCTCGGGACAGGCGGGAAGCAAGATCAACGACATTGGGACCCACATCCCTGCCTGGTGCACCTAGACACGTTGCGCCCAGGAGTGAGTGATTGCAATCAGCCCGGACATGAGTTTCAAAATCAATGTGTTTCATGCATTTGCAATGCACAAGCCAACCACAGCTCCTTGCTCTGGAACTGCTGAGTTGCTACATGGCTAGTGAGCTTTGCATCCATAGACACCGAGACAACGTGGTGTCGTTGCAGCAGATCAGTCGCATTCTGCGGCAGCATTGCTGAATTCTCTCACTGCTGAATTATGTGATTGGCCCGTAAATGATTGCCCAAAGGACTGGACCTGCGTGTGCGTCTCCTTAGTCCATATACATTGGGCCCAGCGAGAAGCATGGTATTGACTACTCGAACCTACGATGCATCCGGTCGCCTCACTCTTTATAGAGTAGTCAAGGAGCTCTGCTCATCATACATTTTGGGCCCAGCGAGAAGCATGATACTGACTACTCGAACTTACGCATGCACCCAGTTGACTCACTCACTGCGCAATCGCTCTCAATCACTCGCAGCCAGCCGCAGGCCTCGAAACGTATAAGTACTGAGAGGCCCCCTCTGTAGAGTAGTCAAGGAACTCTGCTCATTCATCACACTGCATACTGCTGGCACTGAGAAAAGAGAACACGTTGCAAAACATCAAGACAGAAACACACATAAAATCACTTGAAAGTACATCGTCAAAGACGCAAAGATGTTCTCTACAGCTGAGATTGCGCGGGACATCCGCAACTGGATCGAAACCAGGCCTGATGTCATGCCCGAGAGGCCACCAAGACGTCAGAGGAGGCAGAGGCCCCCATACCAGCCCATGCAAGTGCTCAGGCGGGAGCCTGGCCAGCGGAACATGGCACCGCGACGCCAGTACGCGCTCCACGCCACGGAGGTATGGGGGGATATGCCCCAGTGGCCAAGCCGCTGCCCACCAACACCTCCACCTCCAATCTATCCTCGCGATTCAATCGCCGAGGAGATGGAGATGAGGCGCAAAAGGTCGGGCCCTCCCATCCCGACCACGTACTATGTGGTTCAGGACGAGCCTGGCAAGCCCACAGGGCTGATAGAAGTCCCCCGGCCGCGCTGGGCCTCACTACCTCAGCCCGCAATACCAGCGGAGCCCGGTGTTCTGGCTGAGCTGAAGACGGACCCGTATGGGAACATCAAGAAGAACCGACGTCGGGCTCACTTTGGCGCGCCCAACAACCCGTATCCTACTGCTCACTTGATGGAACCTGATGGTCATGTTGCGCCACCGGCTGCTGCTGCTGCCACGCGAGCTTCTGCTACGCCGAGCACTGGTGCTATGGATACACCATCTCGTGGCACGACCACTGCCAGAACGGCACGTGGTCGTCCACGCAGCAATGCAATCTCTCTCCCCAGAGAGCCTATACCCCCTCAGCACGTGGATGAAGAATTGACCGCTGCTGAGTGGAGGATGCGCGTCAGACTGGCGGCCATCCGTGAGCGTGCCCGCGCACCGGTCACGCCGCCCGTTGTCATGCCTGTGTCACATGAAGAGGACATTGACTGGGGGGCTTACCCGGAGACTGCTGCTCTCAATGGTACCTCCTCACTCCAAGCGCAAGTGCAAGGATCGTGGAGAGTATTCGATGAGTACATGGCCGGCATTCAACCAGCAGACAACACTGACTGGGGAGGCTCCCCCGAGGCTGATGCTCTCAATAATGAAGAGGACATTGACCTGTCGAGTGAATACCCGGAGACTGCCGCTCTCAATGATACCCCCTCATTCCAAGCGCCAGTGATTGACTGGGGGGGCTACTCGGAGACTGATGCTCTCGATGGTACCCTGCTCCGAGCGCAAGTGGAAGCATATTGGAAAGCGTTCGATGAGTACATGGACAACACATACCAACAAGCACACAACAGCAATAGCTGAGCGTTTCATTCTCATGAACGCGTGTTCTTTCTACTTTCAAGGACATGGCGACTTGAACTTTTCTTTCTACTCTTTTCTTTCTCTCCCCAGCGGCTTGGTTTCATGTTTCTCGAACGGTGCTCCTCTCCTTTTTTTCAGCGATGCTTCTGCGACACTACACTTCAGCGATGAACTACTTTTCTTCTTCAAACACAGCGCACTTTTCTTTCATCAGCGGCATTGAGTGGTGGACACTTCTTCCTTTCAGCGTGCGCCTTTGTGCTCTTGGCGTTTGTTATTTTGGGTCTTGTTGGAGTTCAGCGTTATGGTCTTCATCTACCAATACCCCCAGCGTTCTTCATCATTCACTTCACTTGCAATGGTGACTCGTGAGTCTCCTGCAAGTGTAATGCTGTCCTCTACATCAATGGCGTGGCTTGTCTATCTATGTGGCCCTAAGGGTCTGTAGCAAGCTTTGTGGGAAGCTCTATGCGTCGTGTTTGGGCTCAGACTCAGACGCTAGGCTCTAAGATTCAAGGGTCGTCCACGCACAAGCTTTGACATAACTTCATTAAGCCTCCAACCTAATTCTTGAGTCACATCGACTTTCATGAGACACCTTGATGAAGCTTGCCACGTATCATCCCCTCATGCTGACACTGTTGTTTCCACGTGCTCGGTACTGGCACGTGTGCTCCTCTTCTTCACCTCATCAAAAGCCTTCTGCTGGTTCTCCATGCTCGTCGCCATCATGATACTCCTCATATCATCGTCACAGAACGGCACATGGTCCCTGAAATAATGCTTCGTCCCGTGAATCTCCACGGCAAGACCATAGTCCTCGCCAGCAGTCACCTTTCTCCCCGTCACGTCCTCCATGGCACCACCGTCCGCCAGCATCTTGACAGTCGACGCAATCTTGTCTACGGGCGTAAAGTACTTTGCAGGAAACATGTTCCACTCCGAGTCGACGAGCAAGTTTGTCCTCACGGTGCCGGGGCAGATGGCGTGGATCTTGATGCCGTCGTTGTGGTGCAGCGGGAAAGCTAAGCTGCGCACAAGGTTGACGACACCGGCCTTTGACGCGGCGTATATGGGAGTGTACTGGCTGGGATACTAGGAAAAGTCAATCAAGGTTCGTCCCAGCCACGCAAGGGTCCCAATAAGCTTAAACTTACCAGTCCACCGCAGCTGGATGTCGCGACAATCGTGCCATCCTTTCCCTTGTGGGGGCTTAAGCGCATGTAGTGCATGGCCAGATACGTTGTCGTCACCACAGCGTTCATGTTGACGTCGAGCGTGGCCATGTTGGGCGCAGGAGGCGGCTCGCTGCCCTTAGTCTCTGCCTTTTCGTAGAACGAGTGGCGCTCAACAATGCCAGCGTTGGCAAAGACAAAGTCCAGACAGCCTTCGGTATCGAACACCTTTTGGAAAGCCTTGGACAGGGACTCGTAGTTTGTGACATTGACCTGGTGGAACTCTGCACCAGGGACACTCTGGAGAGCTGCCTCACCGGCCTTGGGGTTGAGGTCGAATAGATGAAGCTTCCAGTTGCCTGTCGCCTGTAGAACCTTGGCGGTCTCGAGGCCCATGCCCGAGGCGCCGCCTGTGATCAAAGCCACTTTCTTTCCCATTGTGTCAGCTTGACTCCAATCGTTTCTTGACAGCTATTTTACTGTATTCCAGGGCCGCTACCAATTATACATATCTGTGGAAAGGAGAATGATAGCCAAGGCCCTGCGAGCTACCCCAGATCTCGGAAACGGGAACGCGAGGATCGAGTGGGGATCGCGGCACGCCACGGAAAAGGGGATCCAGGATTCCAGATCCCAGGGTTCAGGCAATGATGCAACTACATTCCCATTGCAATTACGCAGGCCAACTGCTCTGAGTGACACTACAGTACAGCCACGGCGGCAAGGATCGCCAGTCCCATCGACGCACCCAGCATCAGACTCCCATCATCGGGGTCTTCGTCCTTGGGTGGCGCCTCTGGTTCCTCCGTGTTCTCACCACTAGACGCCGTCGTCGTAGACGACTCATACCATCCATCGCTCCTCGGCGGCATGGTCCCGCTCGGGACAGAGGGTGTCAGCATGTCCGCTGGCTTGCCTTTGCATCCACTGACCTGCACATCCTCCCATCCGCCAAAGTTCTCATCGTAGAAGTACTCGACGCGATCCTCAATCTCGCGACAGCCACCGGCGTAGTCTTCAATCTCCACGCGATGGATTGTCGCCGTGAAAGGCGCCGAGTCCCACGATGGCTGGCCCCCTCCCCAGGTGACCAGACCAGGATCATCCGACGACCTGATCGTCCACAGTCGCAGGGCCACAAGCATGGGCGTCTGCGGCCATTTGCTCCCGGGGATCTGGCCCACGCGCCATGTCTTGACGTCGAGGCCATCGATGCTGAAGATGAGTGTCTCATCCGTCCATTCTATACCGTAGACATGAGTGTCCGTGATGGTCGTGTTCATGGCGTACGTGGTGTTATACGTGTTGGGCACAGCATCGCCGTCGTGGAAGTAGTTTGTCTGCGCCTCCATCTCAGACGCACCCAGCAACTCCTGGAATCATCAGCATGCAAACACCTGAGAGATGACGCGCGCCAACCCACCCAGTCAATCTCGTCGCCAGAGTCAGACTTGAGCACGAGCGCGGTCACAATGCCCTGTCCAGCAGCAGCCTCAACCTCAAACGTCACCTTGCCAAAGAAGAGGTACTGCCTAGAGGACACCCATACCTCCTGGCCTTCTGCTTCGACTTTGAGTTCAAGCGCCTTGTCGTCGTCATGGAATTCGACGAGGTCTTCGTCCTTGATTATCCATGTGTTGTCGGGGCTGCTGTCCCATGACGACGAGGAACTGAAATCGAACGCCTCCGCGTCGGCAAAGCCTGGATCGGGAGGGCAGTCTGCATGCATCAGCGCAAGTTCAACGTTACATGAAAAGAAACTCACGCTCATCTTTGCGGGTAGGATCGCATTGACTGCGATCTTCATCGACAGCCCACGCGTATGAGGCCCAAAGCGCAACGAAGAGATACGGAGAATACATGGTGTTGAAAGAATTTACTATCGTCTGCCAATTTCAAACGTAGGCTCACCGCTGCCCGCTGCCTACATATACCAAGACGCACGGTCACGGAATCACAATCACACGTTTGCGTTTCCTGCACCATCCCGAGGGACACAACACTCATCGCCACCACAACAGGGCGTCAAATCAAGTTTCGCCAAGATGACACAGTATCAGAAATCTCCCGGGTATGTCATTGGTCTCATGAGAAGCGAAGATGGAGGAAAGAGAGCAACGCCATCCGCCAATTTAGACGTCATGTCCCCACCAGCATCGCTCAGCACCGACCGAGCATCTCCTCCAGAGCAGCCTGCTCCGACGAGCTCACCGTCAAGTCATAAGTGCTCTTGACCTGGATCCACGCAGCAGCATACTGGCAGTGGATGCTCGTCAGGGGAGGCTGCCACTCGTCGGGCGCGTCCGACCCCTTTCGCGAGTTTGTCGTGCCAGTGACAGCCCACAGCTGGGGACCGTCCACGTCGTTGGCAAAAGCCTCGCGTTCCGCCGTGGTCCACTCGGAGGCACCAGTCTACTAGGTTAGCCGGGGGAGAACAAATGGATGTTTGCTCGTTCTTTGTGCGACGATGAAACGTACCATCCACGCGTTGTGCAGGGGCACCATGTGATCAATGGAGACGTCGCTGGGTATGCTGTGCGTCTCGCCGTCAAAGGGGCACGTCCAGGTGCCGCCGGTAGGGTAGCAGTTATTGCCCACCGTGACGCCGTCGCCGTCGCGGCGGAGCACAAACTCGCGCGCGTTGCAGTTGCCCTCGACCGCGGACCAGTGAGGGAACAGGTCGCGGTCATAGGTGCCGTCGTTGATGGTCGGGGCTACCGTGAGACTGCTCAGGAGGGAGCGCGCACGCGCCTCGCTGGGGATACCAGGGGGGAGGGCGACGACCGCGAGGGCGGAGGAGAGCACGGCAGCGAGGACAGCCTTCATGGTGACAGACGATGAGGAGGATGAGGAGGTGGAGGAGGAGATGGGAGATAGCCTCGCGCTTGCTGCGAGACGTATGCCCATCTACTTATCTGCCTCGTCCAGCTGACGACCACACCGCACCTTATCATTCGACTACACGTCCTTTCAACCTTCCCTTCTGGAAGCAAGACCACCGAACTGATCGACGCATGCAATAAGTGCCCTGTGTGCCTGTGCGCCATCGTCATTGGTGTACGTGCAAGTCCTGGATCACTTCCCCACAGCGGCAAGTGATTCAGATGGAGCCAGTCACGGCGCCTGACGAGGGCACAATCTCGCAGCTGAAACGATTCGAATGGGAAACCGGTAGTGGGCAATGTCAATAAGCATGCGGAGTACTGCGTACTGCTTCGGCATCCATGGACCATGTGTGTGGCCTGCTGGTGCTGAGTGCCGATCCGGGGTGGGGGAGACAACACTTGCCTTCCTATTCGAGTAGCTGCCAAGCGGTGGCTTCATGCTCCTGGACACTCACTAATTGATGTCTTGCGATAAATATCTCAGATTGCGGTGCCGGCGTTCCATCACGTGGTGCAGGTCCATCCGTGAATGGCATGTGTGACTGGGCGACTAGGGCGGGCGGACGACCCGAAGGAGAGAGACAAAAGTGGTTCATATCGATTCATGTCCAAAGCTGTCCTGTCCTGCCATGTCCTATCTTATCCTGTCCAGGGTATTATGCTCCCAAACAACGCCGCGCAATGCCAACTTAGCCCTCAGTGCGGAATACCCCCCGCGAAATCACTCGGTCAATCGCTTGCTCCTTGTCCTCGCTCTGCGTGTGGTATCCCCAGTACACATCCCCCGCCATCACCCTTGTCCTCTTGCTGTACTCAGCCGTCGTCCTCACTCGCAGTGTCATTCGGGGCGACGTCGAGCGAGGTCGCTCCTAGATCTCTCTCACCATCGTCCGCTTGGGCACCTCCACCCACTTCTCCTTGTCGCTGTCCCGCACGTAGCAAAGGTAGTATGGCTCGCCCTTGGTGTTGAGCTCCGACAGCACCTGCTCCGTCGACTCCTTGACCTCCACCGCCTCGTCATTGTAGTGCCGCCACAGCCCGTCCTCAAAATCGTAGATCCACACCCAGTAGTGACCAGACGCTGCCTGACCTCTATGGCAGATCACCGCTTCAAGCCGGTAGACGTTCTCGCTCGCCCCAGCATATAGGCTGTCGAGCTCCGCCACAAGCTCCTGTCCCTCGGCTTGGATCATGCCATTGAGTTCGTTCTCTGCAGCAGCTAGATCTTCTGGTGGCGCAGGCGGCCCCTTGCCCACCGCGTCCTCGGGGTTGACTATCATAAAGTCTTCATCCACAGGTCCATCAAAAGTCCAGTCCTCTTCCGATTCATCCACCATCTCAGCGTCTTCAGTGGATCCAACGCTCGCGACAGCGGCAGACAGGAGAGCAGCGCTTCCCTCGTTGGACTTGACTGTCTGATTCAGTGTCCTGTTGACGTCCTGCAGTCTTTGCGACAGGGCCCACCCTTTTGAGCGGCGCGTAAACTCCTCCGAGTCGTGCTGTGCGTCCATGAACTTGTCGAGTGATAGCTCTTCTGGAATAACAACAGGGTGCATATTCTTGGTACCATTCGACTGCGTGCGCTGGATCAAAACGTGCAGGACCGGCGGCAGTTGTCGGATGGCAGTGTAGCGCAGCAGGCGGCTGTCCTCAAGAACCTGCAGATCAAAGTTGCGACCCAACGCCTCCTCTAACGAGCACGATCCATCCGCAGCAGGGAAGGCAGTGATCGATCTGTCGTAGCTGATCTCAGTCTGGTAAGCGGTGTCATCAAACTTCTTGGTGTAGTTGACTGTCGTCAGGAAGAATGTCTCGATAATCTTCTCCAGCTGGATGCCTGTCGCTTCGTCTACCCCGGTCGGGCGGATGGCGGCTTGCAGGCGGTTGATGATTCGGCCAATGACCTCCTCTGCATCCTGCTGTTCGGTACCAGAGCTGCGCTTCTGCACCTCCAGCGCCTTTTGAACTTTTTCCTCAATGGACGGTTCGACGTCCTCCATGATGACGTCCTCACTAGCATCCTCCGCGTGTGTAACTTCAGGACTACTCTCGTCGTCCACCGCAGTGGACGCATTGCTCGCAGCTTCTTGACCGTCTGCTGTACCCGTTGGCACATCGCGAGAGGGTGAGGCGGGAGACGGCCGCGCAGGCAACGGAGGCGCCCTGGCTTCAGCTTCGCTGTGCGCGCCCTGGAGCAGGTCATTAGTATCCAACAAGACGGCGTTCGCGAGGCGCTGCGTTGGCTTCTGTGCCTTCTTGTCGGACGTCACCAAGCTCTCGAAAAGGGCCCCGAGCTCCTTGACAAAGACTTGCGACACGACGGCTTCGGCGCGATCCAGCTTCATCTTGTTGGCGCCGAGCCTACGCTCCTCCAGCGTTTTGTCGTCCATCTCAAGCTGGTATGCCTCGTAATTTGTCACAATGTCGCGCACTGGCTTGACAGTGAAGAGATACTGCAGCAGGCTGTTCAGATAGCACGTATTGCCAATGTTGCTCAGGCCAACCGGCAGCGCAACGTCGCCCGGCTGCTCCCAGATGGGCACATTCGAGCTGGTGCCCGAGGCATGTATGCTGTTCATACGCAACCACCTGTCCCTGATCAAAGGGTCGTCGTTGTCAGAGACCAGGGTCTGGATGGCCTGAAGCAGCGCTGGCTTAGCTCTGGGATCCTCGGCCTTCTCCAAGCGATGCTCGGCAGCGCCCAGCCACTGAATCGGAGTGACAGCATCCGGACAGCCCAGTACGGCCATTGCCGTGTCAGCCGTCATGCTCTCGCCTCCTCCTTCCACAACCAGCCTCAGCTGCATATCTTCCTTCTGGCAGTCTGTAGCAAGCGCCATCAAAGCCTCGCGCAGGTCTGAGATGGAAGCCGGGTCTTCGAAAAGCTTTTGCCGATAGGCGGCCATGATCTCGCCATAGTCATATGTATTGGGTGGCGCCAGCCCCAAGAGCGCCAAGGCCTTACCGAGAGGGCTGCCAGGACTGGCCACTGCCCCATAGACAGAGTCCTGCGTGGCAGCATATTCGGCCAGGGTTTCATCAGGGTGGTTTTGGGCGACTAAAGCCAGCGCAACAATCAATTCCTGTCTCCTAGAGGGTATCAGGTTCCACTGCTGAAAATATGCGTTGACAATGGCAATTTTGTGGAGACCGGGAACCACGCCAATGAGCTGGTGGCTGTGGCTCTGGACCAGCTCATTGTCTCCCAAGTTCAGGATCTCTTCCACGCCCAGAAGCTCGTGTATCAAGGCATTGACAAACTGCGGCTTCTGAGCCTCGTCAAAAGTCACGCCTTTTTTGTGTATAAGAGCCTGAACCTCGGATCGCGCGTCTTCAATAAATGCGCGCCTGGAGCCTATCTCAGTAGGACCCCACGCGTCTGCCGGGCGTGGTGGGTATTCGGATATGAAGGATCCCTCATCTACACCATTTTCTGTAAGCGTGATCTCCTCTGCGAACCCCAGGTACCGAAACAAATCAAAACAGCGTGGGCCAAACACCACGGCAAAACGCTTGTTACGCTTCGAAATCGTCTTTTGTTTCTCCGGGGGGTCCTCCAGCATGTTACGCAGGTACGTGTTGAGATTCAGCGGCGCCTGCTTTGCCCATTCGTCCGTGGCGACCTGATACCGATCCGGTTCGTTCTCTCTGGCGGTGTTGAGCGCCTTGAGGATGGTGTCTTCGTCCTGCAGCAGCTCCAGCATCTCTGTGCTCAAGCGAGGTTCGCATACATCGACCGTCACTGTATATGTACACTGCGCAGCGGTGCAGGCAAACATCTCCCGGCTGACCACGTTGCTGCCGTCTTGTCGTTCTGCATCGATGACGTCCCCGGGCTCGGTACCGGCATAGGCGAGGTGGTGAAAGCACGGTCTATCCTCGAAGGGTACCCATTCGGCGTGGGCTTTGCTACAGAGCGTGCTGACATGCGCTTGGTGCCATGAGGTGCGGATGATGAAGTGGAAGTGGCAGTCCAAACATAGCGTCGAAGTAATTGTACGAGTGGCCCAGCGATGGCTTTGTTTGCCGCTATTGACGAGTCGATGCGCGTGAGAAGTATCGAATGGTGCGGGCAATTGGCCGGCTCTGGCTCGGTCGACGAGGTCGCACGACAGGAAATCATTGTTGAGCAGCTCGTAGACCCATCGACTCGGGTGGCAGCCTGTCTCATTAGCGATAATCAGCATGGAGGTCGATGATTCGTACCAATAGCGTCGAGTCGAGTCTGTGCTTGATCCTTTCCAGATGTCGAGATGCGATGGGGGCGACTGCATGCCGTCCATGGAAGCTTGCCGTATCTGGCTTCAAGGTCCTGACCCCGGGATCGCAAGTTGTAGTTGCCGTTCATAGTGATGACGATAATATGCAGAACAACAACATGCGGCGAAGGCAAAGAAATAGAAACACTCTGTGATTATGAAGGTAGATGCAAAGGAGAATGCGCACCAAGCCAGGTCTGGATGTGGCTCGGTGCAAGCTGACGTTGCCTCGCCTGTCGTTCTTGGAACTGGACTTGGGAGGCTGAAGCTTAACAGTGACGTGCAGGCATCAGAGGGCAACAAAGCAAAGGCAGGCGCAGCCTGGCTTGGCGGGGAGGATTACTAAGGGTATTCACCGGTGGTAGGATGTGGCCTACCCTACGTCCAACCTCACGAAGCATCTTCGCGTTCATGGACCAGTCCATCTGCATTGATTGAATTTCTTCACGGTACTTGGATTCTCATCTTCTCATAAGATCTAATTGGGGACGAAATCATGGATTTCTGCTCCGTACGAAAGAAATGATCGTGACAGACAGATTTCTTGGTCCTGCGCAGACACAAAGCCAATACCCCCTTGTTTGAAGACCGTTGTGTTGATGCCATCAGGACTTGGAACATCAGTTCGGGAATTATGAAGTTACATCGAGGGATCCTCGAACTGGACTGGCTTCATACATATACGGTTCGAAGGCAGATGTCGAACTGAGCCCAGACATGTGCGCTGGAAACTGAGCAAGGATGCTTTCCCCTGAGCATCTCAAGTCATGAACAAGTGACGCGATCTCGTTCATCCCATATTGGAAGCAACTCCCATCCAATAGAATCAGCATAAAGAGCAAATCGGACTTGGTTCAGAGCCAAAACCAATCTTTCCTATAAATATCCCTGGGATATCTGCCTTTTCTGCTCCCTCTCCCTTCTCTCATCAACATTCACCCTTCCATCCACCCTTCCTTCCACCATGGCGCTGTACTCCATCATAGTGGACGCATCACGAAAGGACTACTTGGCGCACATGCCAGAAGAGATAAAACGCCTCATCGCTGACCATCTTCCAAATGGCGACCTTCTTCGACTAGCACGCGTCAGCCCGGTCATGAAACACCAAGCGCTGTTCGTGCTTCACTTTCGAGATGCCACCCAGGGCACATCGGAAGCTATCAAATTCGCCGTGGTGCGCAGCTGTTTGGCGCCGGCAGGCAAAGAAAAGAACGCAGTCTCGAAATCCTGCCGAAACATATTTGAGCGCTCCCTTCGACTGGGCGCCAACGTTAATACCATTCATGTCAGGGGCTCCAGTCGTGTCACGGCACTGGCTGTGGCTGCCGCCTTCAAGAATGGTTTGTTCTGGGTCCGAAGATTGCTCGCCGCCGGTGCGGACCGAACGATCATATCCAAGAACCTGCTAGCCATGCCGGAGCTGGGAGGCCTGTGTGGCAAATGGAAGGAACAATGTCGAAAGATCGACAGTCCACGCATAGTGGATAAAGTGCTTCGAGGTCAGACGGAATGGCTGCCCCTTTGTGTACCGGCCGTGATGAGGTACGACGACATCTGCAACGTTCTGTGTGAAAGTGAAAAGTCCTCGCCATACCTTACTGTGCCGTACGATGCCGTCGACACCCACAGACTCACCATCTTGCATACTTATGCGTGGGAGCTGGATACGGATACACCAGGCCAATGCTTACAACTTTTCGAGAAGTACCCTGACAACTGGAACGATCTGATTCCACTTGCGGGATACAATGCTTTACATCTAGCGATAGCATCTGGGAATATGATGCTTTTCGACAAGTTCCTCGACGCAAGTAATGTCATCATCGACAGCCAGGAATGGACCAGCTCGCCGATTACATGGGTCATTGAAGAGTGTGCTGAAACTAGCAAGCATCATGAGCAGAAGGCCATGGCTCAGAGAAGACAATGCCTCAAGTACATGTTACAAAGGCTGCTCGACGCTGGGGCCAGCACCCAAACCGGCAAATATTACGGGAAACCGATGAGTCCACTGATCTTTGCCATTATCAATAAAGACAGCTATTGGACACACCATCGCCAATTTTGGTCACAGATAATGACGTTACTTCTCGATTCTAGGCCTGACCTGAATGCTCTCCATGAATGCGACACGTTGCTGCATACGGCTTTTCCAGCCGCTTGCACGCCGCTCACGGCTTTGCTGATCGCCTTGGCGAACTCAAAGTCTTGCTCAAGTGAAAGTGGGCTGTGGTCAATGTTTCACAAAATGGTCGATGAGCACGGCGCAGACGTCAATGTACACCACCCTTCTCAGAGCTCGCTCACGAGCCAAGTCTTCGACCATATTCTAGGACGTCGGAAGAAAGATCTGCTAAGCGAGGGCGACGCAAAATCGCTGCTGAAGAACATGAGGAAGGTCGGCGCGAGGCTCAGGATCACAGAGGCGCAGGGTTTGTTGATGTATTGGCTTCGCAATCCCACACTTCGCCAAGGTTATGATATGCAACAAGAAGCAGTGTACATGTCAGCAAACACTATAGGGTCTTGCGCTTTCCGGGTTCTGCTGCAGGGGGACGAAGACGAATTTATATTCCTCGTGCGCACTTTCAGGCTACGATCGTGGACTGGTCGCCTTTTGTACCAGGTTCTTGATCCGGAGTTCTTCACGAAAAAGAGTTTTCGAGTCGTTATGGAAGTTGGCGCCAAAGGTTGTCTAAATGACCGGTCGTAGGCCGACAGGTTGTTCGCCAAGTGGGTAAACGTGTATTGCAGCCGCCTTGATATTCACTACGGCGCGACTGAAGCCATCGCGGATATCCAAGAACTCTACTGCCTGGGCGCCAAGGTGGGATCAGAACTGGATGGTGTTTCGGCCATCGATGAGTTCTATCGTTGTGCCGACAAGTTCAATACCGCTGACACACGCGGTGGCGCGGTTATGGACAAGATCAAACTAAAGCTCTTTGAGGTGGAGAGAGAAGAGCGCCGCAGAAGTCGGAATGGCTCTCGGTAGGGATTTATCTACGTGGGGTTGAGTCAGGCTGGCGCATTGGCGATGGGTTCTGAATATAGACACTGCGGTGGTATGAAAAGTTAGAGCTGAGGCGCTAGATTAGGACAATTTGGCCGGCAAGCTCGTGACGTTTTGGTTCAAGACAGCGATGAGTTTCCGATAATGAAAGTGGTATCTTTGCCTCGTGTCTATCGAAGCTCGGTAGACATGATCTCAACAACTATGTGATATCTAGCGTAATATTATCAACTCACATGACCGTGTTATTTATTTACCCTTGAACACTGGCTTCCTCTTCTCCCCAAACGCTTTCAACGCCTCATCCCTGTCTTCAGTGTTGACAACACGCTTGTACATCTCATTCTCCTTCTCCTCTCGTGCCCACGCGACCGCCTCCAGACCCGCACGAATGGCAACAGGACCTCCCTCGCAGATCTCCTGGGCGAATCGGACAGCCTCGCTCAGCGCTGCCCTACGAGCGGACGTGAGAACCTCCGCGCCCTCTTGACCTTCCTCCGGGACGACTTCGACGAGACGATCTGCGATGCCGAGGAAGTACGCCTCTGGCGCGGCTACACGTCGGCCCGTCAGGATGAGATCCCTCGCGCGAGCCAGACCAATAATGCCAGGAAGACGATATGTGCCACCTGCACCGGGAATGATGCCCAACCGCGTCTCTGGCAGACCCACTGTCGCATTCGACGACAAGACACGGAAGGTTGTCGACAGGGCGAGCTCGAGTCCTCCACCAAGTGCCAAGCTCGAGATGGCGGAGATGCTGGGAATGGGCAGAGCAGCCAGGTTCGAAAAGGTGCCCCTCAGATTACCCAAAAACTGCGCCGTCTCCTCCTGCGTGAAACCCTTGCGCTCCTTCAGATCGGCGCCTGCGCAGAAACAGGTGTCGACAGCCGACGCGAGGACGAGCGCCCTGGTTGGGCCGAGCTCGCCTGCGTTGTAGGATGCGTTTTCGACGCCATTGGCTTCATACTGCGCGTGGACGTCGTCGACCTCGGCGCGGAGGGCGGACAGGAGGTCTTTTGAGATGGCGTTGCGAGCCTTGGGGCGGTTGAGCTCGAGCACGCGAATGTGCCCGGAGGATGGTGAGGGGAGGTTCGTCACGGTGATGAGAGGCTGGTTGGTGGCCGTGGTGGCGTAGAGGCGGCGCAGAAAGCCTCGTGTCTTGGGCGCCTGGGTGAGGACAGTTCTTGGGGCCATTTTGGCGATTGTGTGCGGATGTTGGAGAGGTCAGAGAACCAAAAGGTGTTGGCGACTGGAGTCCGGAGTCTGGGGCAAATGGTAGTAGGCTCGGCTTGCGTCGGATCGTCACGAAAGCCGAGGACCGATGCGCTCCAACGTATAGTCCAAAGCGAGCCGTTTCTTATAAGAATTATCCAGGCAGTGAATCCTTCTTGCTTCCCGAGCTCTGATTGTGATAATAGGAGCAGGCCCAGATTTATCATTTAAGGGCTGGAGCTTCAAGGCCCTGGATGACGTAGTTTCCTCGTCACGTGCCGGATGAGATCCAGACAAACGCGAGACTAAATTGTGGACGACCGTTTCACCAACGTCAGTCGTAGTCTAACCAGAAACCTCAATCAACCAACATGTTTTGGCACGTGTCGTCCCAATTCTACTGCTGTGACAATGTCCAGATATCCTCACATCAGGCAATGCTCCGGCTGTCACCGTCAATGCTTGGCGGGCCCGGCAACCCCCACTTCACGCCGCACGGTATTCGCCAACATCAAATTACAAGGCTACAAGGGTGTCTTGTCCTCGAATGAGACGTCTGAAATCTTTCCTTCCTTTCCTCACCGATCCCCATCTTGAACATTACCAAGCCAGACATGCGCCGGCACCGAGTGTGGTACGGAGTCCCAACCATGGCCCCGGACGAGCTGTAGCATCGCAGAAGCCGCCACGCCCTCTACATAAGCGGGGAAGCGCTCAGAGTCAGTTGTAGTCAACATGACCAGCCTCACAGTGACACCCACTGCTGAGCAGACACCACTGACAGTGCTTATGCACCCCGACATTGACGACATTTCCGACTTCTTCCCCTTTGAAGACTTGGCCAGCTTGAGTCCGGGCCAATCCTCGACCGACCCAGCAGCGCAGGATGCATTCTCGTTCCGCGGCCTCATTGAAAGCGGCATTGACGGAGACCAGGAGATACTACTTCTTGCTTCCGGGTGCAGACTGCAGGATGGCACGAAAGACTGCTATGCTGCGTGCAATGACACCAGTCTCTTCTTTGGTAGCCTCGAGACTTTTTACAACTGCGCAGCGCTCGCGTCCATCTCATACTGGACGCAGGATTCTACGGTGTACTATATCAGTGAAGAGGCTGAGAAGAATGCGAGCACGATTTTGGGCAGTGGCACTCTGGCTGGCTTTGACGACAAGCCCGTACTCGACAAGTTCGTCGATTGTGCCCAGGAGTCCTGTCGCAGTGATGGCCTATCTGTGCCGTGTGACGAGTCTCTCCTCGTGTTGACCAACGACTCATCAGCCAAGGAAGTCTTTGACGCAATGGGCACATTCTGTCCATCAATCGAGGCTGAGATCAACCCAGACATCTTCGGACCCGGTGTGCTCATCTCATACGCTCTGCAGGTGTCGTTTGCGACTGTGCTCTACCTTGGCGTGAAGCTGTTCACTCTATACGTGCGCCTCACACAAGCGCCAAAAAGACGAATCCCACAGGCATACACCTTGACACGCATCCGAAGCATGATCTGGCCTGACCAGTCTGCCCTATCCCGTACCAGCGTCGCCATTGCCACGACACTTGTTGAGTTTCAGGAAGCGCAATGCTGGTTTGTCTTTGCCGTGCAGATCGCCTCCATCCTGGCCATTGTGGTGAATTCCCAGGAAGGCAGCTTTTGGGGGGAAATTCTGGTCAATGCTGCCGTGGCCTTTCACGTCAGCCAGAATGGCATCCTTCCCATGTTTCTGATCCAGATTTGCCTACACAACGAGGGCATTAGAAACACGCACACGTTTGTTGGGTTTCTGATCGAGTACATTTTGGCCATTGTGGCAGCGAGTCAGAAGGTACATTTCAAGGATGTTTTTGGCATGTTCAGGGGCCAGGCGCAGATGGAGGCCTGCGGCGGCAATCCAAGTCCCAGGACCTACTGCGCCGCCATCGGAACGGTGGACGGACTGCAGCTGAGTTTCTTCCCTCACCCTTTACTGTACAAGATGGCATTCCTTGTTCTCGACACGATCGCCATCATCGTCCTTGTGGTCGATCAGGTGGCGTGGACATTGCGCACTTACCACCGCACGAAGAATGCCAGCTTTGGACGATTCAGACCCGGGCGATTCCCAGATACCAGCTGGAAGCCGAGATGGATCAACTTCAAGCGCTGGTTCTGGTGGGTGCTGGAGATTGTCTACGTGGTCGTGAACATACTGTACATGGTGTCCCTCATTCGCGTCATCACCATTGACAGCTTCGCCACAAATCGGTGGTCATATGGGCAAATTATCGCCATGACGGTCTGGGGGCCGGTCATTGTAAAACTGTTTGACCTCATCATCTGTGAGCAACCCATTCAAGTACCATTGCTTTACTATGCTAATGTCATCAAGCTGGGCCTCAGAAGAATGGCATGAGTATGAACTCTGGCCCACCTCGCCTACGTGTAGACAACACCATCAACCTACGGCTTGGCGCTAACTCGATGGACGAAGGTTTCTGGTCTCAGAGCACCCCTTTGTGAGTTCTCCGCGCCAGAGGGTCAAAGGGAGCTATCAAGAGAACGCAAAGAGACCCTTGGCGAGGATATCCTGACCTCAGTACATTGTCTCTGGCAAGGTTCGCAATGAGACTTTCCAGCCGGGATCGCTATAGTCATAGGCTCAGGCTTGTGAGTTATGATACAGTAGCGCAAAGCTGTAGCCAGCCTGCTCAAGCAGGGGTAGGTGCAGCATCAGCCTTGCTTACTCAGACACGCGTAACATTCCAAAAATCGACTTCATCCTGCAGGTGCTCATGATACCCCCGCCAACCATCACCACGGCTTCCACATCATCGCTTCTGTCGGACTATCTGGCGTTTTTGCTCAGCGACGACCACTTTGAGCTGATCTAATCGACTACTGGATATTAGCGATGGCTACAAACATCCTCATCAGCCCTCAAGGTAGCAAACCCGAAGTAGCTGCGGATGGTCGTGTGCTCACGCTACAGAGGCACCGTTTTCTTGGCCACCCGTCGCTCTGCCGAAGATCGCACTATGCTACAATTTTTCTCAAAGCAACTCAAAAGACGTGACTGAGGGTGGGAGCAAGCTTTTCTGCGTGAGGGATCAAGGCTTGCTAATTGCTTCAGAATTTACTTTTGATGAGCTTTACTCGCTACTCAAAGATGAGTGGCGCCAAAAAGACGACATCATTGACCGTTCCTGGACAGGAGACGCTACCGCATAAGGACAGTATGGATCTTTGACCTCGACCATGATGTCCTTTGGTATCACAAGGAGGATCACTACACTTACGTTGCTCTCGATGTCCTTCGCCAGCAAACTGTTGCCACTCATGACTTCCTTCCTTACAGACCACCGACAGCTGCCACGCAAGGCTCTCTATCGAGCATCAAGCTGAATCGACAGCTGATGCGGCGGAATGGCGTCTGCATGGAGAGCATGTAGAGGTACAGAGCGTTTGTTGGCAGGTTGCTTTCTGACTTTGCATACCAATGGAGACACGTTCTTTGCGGTCGGTACAACAACACAACGTTCCGGAAGCTGGCTTGCGGAATTGTCAAGATTCTGACCCTAGACTTCAAAGTCAAAGAGGTGACCACACCACGTCCAGGCATTGGGGGTTACCTGATCTGGCTGAACAGCCTCCCTGAATGGAGCCATTCAACGAAAACATTGTTCGAGTTGGCGGGGTATCCATTGTCCTCTCCCATTATCCTCGCCATGCCATCTCTATGATCCGCAACGACTTCCGGGACTACCTGCATTGGAAAAGAAAAAAATTGATCGTTCATATTGTCTGAAGGAAAGTCGAACGTATCTCGTGCTGTCCGTTCGGGAAGTTGCGCTTTTCCGGATCGATTCTGAACAGGAACGATGCACCACCTCCGAGCGTTTATTTGATGGCATGTTGCCTCTGTCGGATACAACGCTCAATCTACTTCTCGAGGCGACACAATGCAAGTCGCCTGTGACACCTCTTTGTCAGCTCCCAGTCGAGTTGTAAGACAACGTTCTTCAAAACATGTCAGCAGGACTAGTCGAAAGGGCGAGGGCAGGATGTGTACTGGGACTGAGAAGCCCCTTCACATGGGGATCAGAGGGGCGAGATATAGGGAGGGTAGAGGGACGCACTTTTTGGACGCCGTGGACACCAGTGGAGTCACACGTACACTTTGGCAAGTCTATTTCTGGGCTCATCTATAAGTGATCATGGTCTGGTGTGAGAGAACCAGAGCGGCGCGCAAGAGGCGCACAACGACAGGCGGAGTGAAGTCAGTCACTATGAAAACCCAGAGATAAGGGTGTTCGTTGAAGCTCGGTGCCAGACTATCACCCAACGTGCAAGGCAGAGCGCAGAGATGTCACATCTCCATTGCGAGCCCCACCAGACGCTCAGAGTTGGAATATGCTGGTCGGTGGCAGGCAAAAGATCGACCAAGCCAGAGTCGAAAGCCGGAGGAGAATCCCCTAAATATACCTGCTGGAGTTGTGTTCATGACGAGGTGACGCAGAAAACTTGAACGCTGGCCCTGGCCTGGCCTGTGAGTGTTACGAACTTACGCGTACGCCAAGCTTGGCAGCTGATGGAGGGGGGTCCTAGACTCCAATCACGACGATCCTTGCGACGACGAATTGCTAAAAACAGGAACTGCGGTCTCTGTCACACAGTTAAGCCATCAAGCGCATCATTAGCGTCTGTGGAGCCTGGTGCTAGACCAAAATGCCTAATGTCGATTGCTGTCCATCCTGTTCCTGGGTGTTCGTTGTGAAGCAACTCAAGCGGCGCCTCCTCGTCCTACCAGACACATGTGCCAAAGAGACTGGCAACTACATTCTGTTGCGAAAGAAACAAACATCGCTAGACGAGCCATGGCCGAGAACCGACATCGATCACTGTAGGCTTCCTACACACGGCGCACCGCAGTGGCTTGGCGTCGTGATTCGCCAGGTCCGGCATGCCAATGCCGGCCTCAACTCCCGTCTCTCGCCCGGCACTGCTTTGCCGCTATTCCCGGCCAAGGGAGTTTTCAGGATTGCTGTTTCTTCATTCTGTGCCCCGCGTCATGCTTCACCCATGTTAGTGACGTCTGTTGCTGTCCTTTTCCAAGTTTACGCCAAGTCAGGACGTTGATCATGGCCTCAGGTACAGCAGGGCTGCAAGAACGTGGTGAATATATGTACAAGACACTGTGTCGTTTGAAGAACAATCCGATTCACTTTGCTCTATCCTTTGCCCAAAGCACCCTAACATCCCGTAGCGCCTAGTGCTGAGGCTCTGTCCAGCCAACCACACCACGATGCGTTTCTTCAACCGCAACAAGGAGACCGCGCCCCCCGCTCCTCCCGGCCACGCTCACAAGGCCGACAAGATACGCACGTCCAAGCGCAGTCATGGACGGGAGCCATACAGCATGGCCAAGAGACCGAGCTTCGGCCAGTGGCTCAAGTGTACTTGGCTGGACATTGTGACCATGGCTGTCATGGGCGCCATTGGTCTGGGTGTAAGTCTCTCACGAACCTCAGCGTCGACCCCGTTGCTCACGCGGACCAGGTCTACATGGCAGATCCTGCTCCCTCTCGCTCGTTTGCCGTCACATTCGCCGACGGCGAAATCGTCTATCCCCAGTTCGCCTACCCCCTCCGTGACGAGATCATCCCCATCTGGGCCGCCGCCCTGCTGGCCGCCCTGGTGCCCATCTTCATCTTCCTGGTGATGCAGATCCGCGTCCGTTCCTTCTGGGACGTCAACAACGCCGTTATAGGCCTACTCTACTCTCTCATCTGCGCCGCCGTCTTCCAGGTCTTCATCAAGTGGCTCATCGGCGGCCTGCGTCCACACTTCCTCGACGTCTGCCAGCCCGACATCAGCCTCGCCGACGACCTCGGCTACAACGAAAAGGGCTTCCAGCAAATCTACTACACCAAGGAGATCTGCACCGGCGACAAGAGACAGATTGACGACAGTCTCGAGTCCATGCCCAGCGGCCACACCACCGCCGCCTTTGCCGGCTTCATCTTCCTCTACCTCTACCTCAACGCCAAGCTCAAGGTGTTCTCCAACTACCACCCGGCCATGTGGAAGCTTGTCGCCATCTATGCGCCCGTCCTCGGCGCCTGTCTGATCGGGGGCGCCCTCACCATTGATGAGTTCCACAACTGGTACGACGTCCTCGCCGGCGCCATCATCGGCACCATCTTCGCCTTCTCCTCCTACCGCATGGTCTACGCCGCCGTGTGGGATTTTCGTTTCAACCACATCCCCCTCAACCGCCGCGCGCCGTTCATGTACACCGTCGAGGGCGCCGAGCTGGCCAACGCTGTCTTCACACGCCATGCTGGCTGGGGCGCCACCGGCCTTGGTGGTGGACTTGGCCATGGCGTCGGTCACGGGCATGGTCACGCCCACGGTCACTCGGGTACGCATCCGGATGGATACAACGGCCACAACGGCGCGTTGATCCCTCGCCGCGCTGTGGGTGCCCGCCACGAGCCCGCAACCATGGTCTAGAAAGGGAGAGCGGAACAGTCTGACATACTGGCCCAAGTGCCTGGGACGAAGTAATGTAATCACGGCCTCTGATCAATTATACCCATGGTCTTTTGCAGCGAATGGTAATTTCTCATGAATTGCTGTCTTTAACAAATCTCCTCGTGTGTGTTTCCCCCCTCTTGACGTAATATACCGATCGAAGTCCCTTCTCTAAGAAGAGGCATGTGCCTGCTTTCGTGTCGAGGCACTGCAGGGCGCTGTATCGCAGATGTTTCTACTATTCGGAATCTGTGTACATGAAGCCAATGGCGGGAGAAGTGTCCTTGACCTTGCAATTGCAACTGCGGGAGCTCGACAAGGAAAACAAAGGATACGTAGTCTCGAGTGGCCTTATCTGTTCTCCTCTTGCTCTTCCTGCTGCGCCTCAAACTTGCTAGGCGCAAATTGATAGGTCACATTCTCCCTATCCCGTAGAAACCGGCCAATTCTCTCGTCCTTATTCATACCCGCGCTAGCCATGGTGCTTCGCCTCACTTCATTGCCCACAGCTTGATGTCGCAGTGCCGTCTCCGATAGGTATTGCGCGCCCGAGGCCTCCGCGCGCTGGCCCTGCACCATGGCCCCCACCATCACCGTCATGGCGATCAGCATGGCAAAGATGCTGTTGGGCATGTACACGGTGCCCTGCCGAGGAGCTGGCGCCTCGCCTCGCGCCTGGTGCCAACGCTCCCAGTCTTCCCACGTTGCGTTGGCGGACGCATTGCCCGGCTGATGCCGCCACGCCTTGTCAAAGTTTCGTAGTGACGACCTCGTCAGCCATCCCACGCCGTGCAGGTCGTATGCGCGTCGTTTGTCCGGGTCGGAGAGGAGGGTGTTGGCCGCCACGATGAGTCGATAGCGCTCTACGCGTACTTCGGGTGGCACCTTGGAGTGGCCGGGCGCCTTTAGGTCTGGATGATAGAGCTTAACCAGCTGGTAGAACCGCTTCTTGTTGTAGGGCGTGACCTTGTTGATGGCAAAGATCTCGTAGGGCGTGGGATGGTCGGACGTCGGCCACGGTGGAGGGGCGGCGTCGTCAGGTTGCCTGGGCGTGGCGTAGTGGCGGCATTGGTGGCCGACAGGCTGGAGGGCTCGAAGGGCTTTGCGTGGAAACATGATCTTCACGGTGAGTAATACCCGTCGCCAGGCGGAGTCATGGTAGGCGACGGAGGTTGGTTGCTGAAGCGGAAGACGATGGCTGTCGCGTGAGCATGAATGCGTGCGTGGGTTCGAGGTTGATTGAAAGTCGTGAGGTCACAGGAAACGGCGTCCCGCATGCTGGCCCCACAATGGCTTATCAATCTTATCTGTCTCTTATCTTATCGCGGACATGTGAAGCAGCGCGGACGCCTGTACTAAGGGTCCACGCAGCCGGCATGGCCAGCGGGAGTCGGGGGCTGCCCTGGCCAGCCGTGGCGTTGCTGACCGGTTGGCGCTCAGTCTGTTTTGGCCTCGACAAAGTCGGGCAGCAAGCACTTCGCTATTGGCAAATGCACTCCGACACTCCGACCGGACAAGGCCATTCACAGTGGCTCTGCATTTATTTAGTCCCAACCTTTTGAATCTGATATCCGTAGTTTTCAAAGGTGCCAGCGGGAGAAGTCGACGCAGAGCTGGCGTTGATAGCCCCGGGACGCAAGTTCGACCGGAATGACCTGGACCGATGGCGGGTTAGTGGCGCGCACGACGACGAGTCAGACCAGGCCATGGGCGATGGAACGACGCACACTATCTCCAGAGTCGAGGTTGAGAATAAGGGGTTTGTCGCTGGGCGTCAGACCGTCGGCGTCGAAAAAGTTGGTCCGGAAAAATTGCTCGAGATCGCCAAAGGAGCGGAACCATTCGTGCGTCGGCGCCGCCCCATCGGACTTGGAATAGTACTCGTCCCAGTACTCGGCATGGCTGAGAGCCATGTCGTTTTCAGACGTCATGGGTCTCTAGGAGAGATTGTGACTGTTGTGACTTGGAAGTGAAGGGGAAAGATGGCCTCACCTTGCCGCATTGCACAAAATGCCACCCTTGTCGAGGTACGTCAGGAGGGGCAGCTCTTCCTCGTTAAAGTTTGGGCTAACTTAGTTAACTAGTTATGGTTCACATGTGACATACCCTAGACCCTGCTCCGTAGGTATAGAGTACCGTATGATATCTGTGACGGCAGGAGTCCGGACCCCACAAGTCCGAAGTCCGCCGCCGACAACCCGGATCCGGCCCCCGGTCGCCATTCATCTGGCGTCTGTCATCTGCCAACAGCACACACCATCAAATCAAACACGAAAGATCACTCACCTCTCTCTGTGCACTGGTCAAATCAACTCTGAGGCGTTGGTGATATTTATCAGTGTTAAATGCACCAGCCTCTATCAGGTTCTCTACTAACCTCCCCTACACACTCCATGACACAGTCCCTCCTGATTTAGTGTACTCTGACCCCCTGTATCTAGACGGATCTGACACAAGCTCACCCCTCTACATGTCTTAGCTTTGGGGGTATCTTTCTCCGGATCACGCCTGTTCATATCGTTGCCTGGCTCGGTCACAGCCGGGCTCGTGCCCTGATGTTTTCGACCAGTGCATGGGAAAGTGAACGAGGAGATACGCCTAATGTTCCCAGAACCAAGCTAGATTATGTCTTTACGGTGACTAGTGACAATCGCAAATTGTTGCAGTGGCGGGAATCGGCCAGCTTCACATGGTCAGCAGAGCTTGTGTGAGCTTGGTTCATCCACAAAGGGTTTGGCGCCCAGGTGCTTCCAGCCCTGCGCTGCCATCAGATCCTCCCTTTTCTCTCGACTATTGAAAAGCAGAGCTGTTTTGCCGTTGCCGAAAAGTGATACGGATCGGTCCTACGTTCATATTAGTCAAGCTCATCGATTCAGTACGACGCAGAACCGTACCAGCCCCAGAGTCAGTTTGATGAAACCTTGCAGCCAGTGGTTCTTGTAGACATGTCTGGGCTTTCGGCCTTTGATTGCGAGTAGAATATTGTCGGCTACTACGCTGCCCTGCAGCATGGCCGATCGTGCATTTGGATTTGGCGTTTGCGTGTCAGCAACATCCCCACAGATGTAAACCCTGTCCGAAAACGATTCGTCCTTGATGCTAAGGTTCGGGTTGACTTTGATGTGGCCCGTCGATGCAATGGAGTTGGAAGAGAGCTTCGCGACTAGTTCAGAAGAAGGCTTCTGTCCGGTACAATTCACCTTGAGGGATCAGAAAAGTCTTGCTAGGGGGGGAGGTCTCCTCACAACGCAGTCAGTCTCCATGACTTTTCCCGATTCCAACGTAATCGTTCCAGCTTTGTCGTCCTGCGCAATCATCCTCTCGTCGAGAATGATTTCACACCTTAATCTCTCCAAGCCCTCCAGCGCTGCCTTTTGCAGACGGCTTGCCCACAGGTGCATGGGCGCGTTTCTCGAGTGAACGAGGGTGACGTGCTTGTCCGGGTACTTGGACTTGGCGTCGGTGGCAAGCTCAACACCGGCAGCGCCACCCCCAACGACGACAATCCTCTTTGCAATCTGGATAGAGGTCTGGAACTCGCGCAGAAGCTTCATACCCTCCGCCTTGTCCGTCGCGTTGACTCTGGACGGTAGTCCCTGGCGTACGCCCGATCCTGTCGCCACAACAAGATACTCGTACGGGACAACGTCCCCATTGTCCAAAGTAACACTGTTTCTTCCAATGCCCGTAACCCGACCCCTGACCCATCGCAAGCTTCCTGGGGCTGCGTTGCTGATGTATCCACCGTAGGGAATGAAGGCTTTATGTTCGTGTCCGGCAGCCACGCAGAAACGAGGCAGAAGCCAAGTGAACTGAAAGTGACTATTTGGCTCAATTACCACGACACGGCAGTGGCTATTTCGAGGCAGACTGCGCGCCATGATACGGGCAGCATGATAGCCTGCGAATGAGGCGCCGACGACAACAATGTTTTGGTTGCGCTCTTCAGGGGGTGTCGATCCGAGAACGCGGATTTGCTGACGGAGGAAAAAGGCGTTCATGTTGCGCACGACATCTGCGGCAATAATAGCAGCTATTTCCGCTACAGCGTCTAACCAGAGTAGTGTGTGTTGAAACATAATGGCGACACCATGTTTGATGGTTTGGTAACTGGGGAAGGGGAGCAGCCCAAGTATATGCTGTAGACATCAACTGATATCAGATCAGATTAGATTGATACCGGAGACGGAGATACGAGGTTCGGGATTCTGAGCTCGGTCGGGGTGCTCGTCAGCGCCGGCCTTCTGACCCTGTCACATGGAGGGGAATCTTGGATTGGCTGCCTAGCTACGGCTACGGGCTGACTGAAACGCCCGAAGGATTTCCTTTGCAGTAACTGGCAAGGCGCATGAATTATTATGTGTGATCCCCAAGGGTCAATAGCTTAGAACTATTAGGCTGATAATGGTCGACCAAGTTTGCCTGCTCCTTTACACATTCCGCCGCCAGCAAGAGAAGACTCATCTGAATGATATCGGACTGGGCAGCGTCTAGATTTCTCCAGTTCTACCCAGTGAGCCAGAGATGATATAGGAGGTGACATATACGTTTCGTCTCACGATAGAGGCAATCCCGGCGAAGAACTTCTGATTGAGTTATCCAAGCATAGTATGGCTCGACACGTCAGCTAAGATTCAACGATATATACCGCAAAGTCAGCAAATTGGTCAGCTGTCTTCATGGCGCAGTTGGCTAGCGCGTTGGTCTCATATTAAGCAATATGATCAAGCTCAGTCTTGAGATATCCAGAGGTCGTGAGTTCGAGCCTCACTGAGGACATTTCTTTTGCCAAAACAACAGGTTTTATTTTTCTCTTGCAGTTTGCTCGATTGCTTTGCTGTCGTGCTCTTTTTGGGCCAAATGTACCTGGTGTGCTTCTGGCGTCCAGTAAGTAGGGAAAGAGGTGCAAGAACAGATGGGACTGCCACCCTCCTCCTACGCCATAAACAGCTACACACCGCGTCAACCAGAAATGCTACCTTATCATCGATATTCCCCTCTGTTGCTCGCAAATTCTTGGAAAAGAATGATTCCTTTAAGGCGTCATCATGATGCTTTCTCCACGGTTGACTTCGCGCAACATTATCCGTCTGCCCAGATACCGGATTATGGGACCATAGATTGAAGAAGAGTCTGCGAGCTTTGACGAAGCGACAGTGCGAAGCTCTGGGGTCTATTCAGAAGGACGTTGGACACATCTATGAAGCAGCCACATCCCGTTAAGGTCTAGATCATCGAAGGCCCAAGAGATGCTTAGCCACACTCCATGCAGAAAGCCAAGTCGCATGTGGTGGCAGAGGCGTGTTTTCAAGGTACATCGCTGTCCAAAAACTTGGAATAACTTTTGCTTACAACGTTGGCGACAACCTTTCGTGTGTCGACTTCTACCTGAGAACTAATCCCCTCACAGCACATCTAGAAAGTCGTCTGCAGCTTTGGATAATCCTTTGCCCTGGCCTCCAAGTCCTCAAAGATGGACGAAGACTGATCGCCCGGCAAGCCCTTCATGCGATTCAAGTCCTCCTCTTCCAAATGCTCCAGTGCCTCCAGCGGTTCCTCCTTCTGGTGCTGCTGGTCTTCCTTCTGGGGCTCCGTGGCCTTTTGGATTCCGCTGGTTTCGCCGATGAGGAGAACCTGTGCATTGACGTAGTCAAAGTGCTTGGGTTGTGTAGGTAGCCATCGTAGATTCCGAAATTCTTCCTGAACTCTGCACGCTGTTAGTCGTCAATCTTACCTACTGGGGATGAGTGAACATACTCTTTGGGAAACTCTGGACCCTCCGGTATCTGCGCGCCTGCGGGAGGACTTGTTTCTGGGTTTCTGGTGCTGATGATGAAGCTTCCTTGGCTCTTCAACCCCAGATCTTTCTGCGCCTCACCCAGTTCCTCCGGAAGCGTCAGTATGTACGCAAGATGGCTCTCACGTCCCGTCGTTGTGATTGCATAGACGCCTTCTGCGGCAGGTGTCGCAGCAGGCGTGTGCCTCTTGCCTACAGTCCTGGTATTGTAATCGGCACCCTCGAGGAACTCATTCTTGATCTCATCAAAGGAGGTGCCAGTCTTCTCCACAAAGGAGAGAAACCGATCTCTTCCGCTTTTTGGGAAAACCTTTTTCGGAAGAACGACGATACGGGTGTTTCCTGCGTCGCCAATCTTGCCCTCTGTGAGCTTCGCGTCGTGCGGCAGGGGACGCAGGAGCATGAAGCTTCGTGCAATGTCCTCGATGGACGTGGGGCTCTCGACGTTGACTCGCCCGCGGATGAAGAAGTAGATGATGCCCTTTTCGAGGATGGAGGATGGAGTGTCGGGCTCGCCGTGCGAGTTGACAGCCGACTTGCCATTCCTCTGAGACCGAGTTCCCTTCTTCACATCCTTGGCACTAGCCTTCTTGTCCTTGCTTTCGCGTTTGCCATCTTCTCCCTCGTTGGAATCAGTATCGGGGTCTGTGTCGATACCCATCGACTTCTCCATGGATAGCTGCTTCTTCTCCGCCGGCTCGGGCGCCACTCTCCGCCTAGAGCGTAGGTTGTGCGTGTTTTGAGCGTGCGTCTCATCAGGTCCATCCGAGTCTTCTTCTGGATCCGTGTCTATGCCCATACTCTCCCCGATGCTGGTTTGCTTCATCATCTTGGCCTCGGGCACCTCCTTCCCCCCGGTTGGGGAGTCTCGCTTACCCGATTCGTCGTGGCCGGATGCCATGATTGGTGCGTACTGAAGCGCGGTGCAAAATGGTGTTCTTTGCTTGGAAGTAATAGGTGAAGCTGAAAAGTGGCTGGACCTGAGTGACAAGCTTGATTAAAATGAGCACTTAGCCAAGAGACCTTGGCCAAGACGCGTCCGGAAGAGGCGAGCTGGAAGATGCGATGATCGTTACACACACGTGATGTCATAGACGTAGGGCGAGGCAAGCGCGATCCAGGGATCGCACTTTGGGCAGTAGCTTAAATAAACATGACGGATCTCTCGTGGCTATCGACGCTTACCCTGAATGAACGAATGATGACATGGGTGTCTTGAATTGTCAAGCGAGTATCAAAAGCTCACCGCCAACTGCCAGTGTCGGTACCCGCGCGTCCTTCAGGCATGGTAATCGTCACAAGCAGCGCATATTCCAGAATACATCATCCCAAGTAAGAAGAACTAGTTGGATGTGGATTGGCGTACTGACTGAGAGTCACCGGCACTATTGGGCACAGATCAAAATCGACATTAGGATGTATGTTTAAATTGTTGCGAGGAAAGACGCCATCTCTCAGTCCAAAAGCGCACGCCGATCAAAGAAAACGAGCTCTATTTTTATTCCAAAACCAGGTACGCCCGCCGTTACAATGCATTCAAAATCAATGCAAACCCATTTCGCCTTTTTCAGCCATGTCCTTTTGGCAGCGGACGAGCAGCTTGACCTGCTCGCCAACCTCGCCCAAGCGTCCTAGCACTTTGTGGTTCCCGTCCACGAACCCCATGAGGGTGTACGGGATGCCGGTCTCCTTGGAGAACTCTTTGAGCAGAGTCTGCGCGCGCCTCAGGTTGTGGCGAGGCAGACGGGGGAAGAGGTGGTGCACGACCTGGAACTGCAGGCCGCCGTGGAACCAGTCCAGCCATGTGGGACAGTCGACATCCATGGTGGTCCGCATCTGCCTCTGGGCAAAGGACTCGCCCTCGCCCAGCTCGACCGTGGACATGCCCCAGTGGGACAGGTTGATCTGCACATGAAGGGGCATGAGCACAGTGTGCGAGATGAGGACGAACAGGATGCGCGACGTCCACGTGGGGATGGAGCACCACACGAGACAGTAGCCGAAGAGGAACCAGTAGCATATCATGCCCGCCAGCTCGGCCGGACGGATCCACCATGCCTTGCTCCCGCCCAGCCCGGACGACTTGTTGGACAGGACATGCAGCCACGAGAGAAGGTACAAGTTGAAACGGGCAATCGCCATGATCGGGTAGTAAGTGTACTGCTGGATAGGCACCAGGAACTCGGCCAAGCGGTCCCAGTAGAAGACGAAGCCGTCATAGTAGGAAGAAACAAGCGACTTGAAGAACTGCGGGCTCGTGGCAAAGAGCGCGAGGTTTTGGATGTCGGGGTCGTGTTCCGGGTGGTTCGTGATGAGATGGTGGACGTTGTGGCTGCTCTTCCACCAACCGATGGAGAGACCGCAGCAAAAGTCGGCAATGAAGACACCAATGGCCGAGTCGATGACAAAGTTCTGGGTTATGGCACGATGACCGGCATCGTGGGCAGTAAACATGATCTGATGCCAGAAGCCACCGAGGAAGACGGCTGACAGGCAGTACTGTTCATAACGCAGGGCGACCAGGAACAGCGCAAACAGAGAGGTGTAGCGGATCATCTCCTGTCCATACTTCCAGTAGTTACACTGGTACAGGCCCTCGTCGATAACGGCCTGGTGCAGGGCGCGGTAGCGGCGGACAATGTCCTCCTGGACGTCCTGGTCGAGCGGAGGATACTCGAGCAAGTCCTTGGCAATATCGGCCTGGATGACGGACGTGGTGAACTCGGCGCGGGTCATGGCGCCGACGTCGCCCCCTTCGACGGACGCGGAGCTACATGGCGACAGCGGGGTGCCGATGCGCTTTCGCAAACCGGCGTCGGTCGAGGAAAAGACGGAGGTGCTGGAGGAGGCGTCGGTGAGGGCAGGCTCCGAGACGAGCGAGTCGCCCTCGGTGTCGGAGTTGTCCAAGACTCCGTCTGCCCGGCCCTCGTCGTCAGTGTATTCGATGTAGACGCCGCCGCGGATTGGTGGCCTCATGTTGATCCAGGGGCCCAGCGGTTTCCGGCCGATCCGAAATGCGCTGACGGACTTGAGGGTGGGTGCGCGATGGTACCTGGAGATAAGGTGTTAGCTCCATGGAACTGCAAGTACCGGCGGGATTTCTTCTCCAGAGTCTGACAAATGTGAATATGCAGGACCCTGGCATGGGGGAAAGTGAATACTTGAAAAGCAATCGACATCCCCTCGGGGGGGGAATCAATCGCTATTGTCGATTTTCTTTTTCAACAGCTTGTGATTTCCCTCCACACCGGATCTGCTCGCTCGGCGCCGGGGAAATGGGTGGGAACATAGGATTCGGGGAACACTCTGGGTACCGTACGCCATAATTTCGTCTGTCGCATCGCGACCAACCATGTGGAGGATGGCCAGCTTGCCGCCTGGATGTTTCTGGAGCCAGCCGTCGAGCTTGAGGACCATGTCCTGAAAGATGACAATGGTGTCACCCTTGGCAATCATGCCTTCGACCTGGCGAGGTGTGAGGATCTGGTCGCGATCCATTCTGAGCTCTGAGTGTCACTGTCTCCTGCGATTTGGTCGGGTCGGCTGAGTGTGAAGCTCAGTCAGGCAATTGAGCAACGATGGTGATCTCTGTGCCAAAGGTCTGGTGCAAGCAAGCAAGCAAAAAGAGGATGCTAAGGAGCGACGGTGGAGAGAAGGAGGACACAAAAGAAGTTGGTCTCAGGCAGGCCTCCCAATTTGCGCAAGTGAGTGGAAGGGGATGACCGGCAGGAAGAAAGGAGAGCTTCGGCTTGGTTTGATTTCTTCCTACGGATATACGTTCTGCAAGGACCGGCTGCAAATCTATGGCATGGACGGGCAGACCAGGTGCAGCCCACGACACGGAAAGGACCGACGGTCAGACAACCACGGCGAGCGTACCCGCGAGAGGGTGAGGACCCGGATCCATTCCAGCCCAGCCCAGTCCAGGAGGCTCATCATGGCCCTAAAAAACGATCAACGACGGGCCATTGGGACAAGCCTGCAGGGAGGAGCCTGGTCTGGGCGGTGACAAGGCCAGACCGGACCGGACCCCTCTTCTGCTTCAAGCCTTCAACTGTAAATGGATCGCCCCCCGGCGCTGGTTCGTATCGTCGTCTGGTACTTTGATGGAGCAAGCCGCGAATTGCCTGGGAAGGGGACATGACATGGAGTCTAGTTTTCCAAGGAGCAAGCCACGGGCTCCACCGCAATGACGACGTGTGGCCGCTGGCAGCTGAGCACGTAACAAGATGCAAGGTACAGCGGCCCGCGACCAATTGCATACCATCAAATCTCACAATCTCTTGGTTATTGGACTTAATTCTATGTGTGGCGGTCGCGCACGGGCCAAGGATCCCTATATTGCCAACTTCCCGTTGAGAAACGCCGCAGGATGCAAGAACCGCCAGCCTTATCCGCTCATGTGCTGCTGGCAGTGTGCGCTGGTCTAAACGAATCAGTCAGTCAGTCAGTCAGTCAATCTCGGGGGCCCCTCTTTGGGTCGGACGGGCCACGGATGCGAATGTGGCTCATCAATTTGTGGAATGGCGCTTACGACGGCAGACAGGCCCTCTGCTCGTACGCACTGCTGAGTGCGCGCTCGTTTCGCAACGCTGGACCCTGAGTCGGTAAATTCTGGAGATCTCCGCAGCCGATGGGGCGCACGTTGCCGGGGTCGTCGCAAAGGTGTGTCGACTTTCTTTGTTCCGTTGGACGCGCATGAACCCGAATGGTGAGTGCACTTGCGCGTGTGATGATGTGATCAAAACCTGCGCTCAAGAGGTGGTGAGAGGGGAAATCTAGCGACCGTCCTGTCAAATTTGTCAATGGGAGACGTCAAGTCCAGTCGCTGTCGTGTCTCCCGCTAATCAATGAGCTAAGCTTTCCAGTGGCCCCAGGGGTCCTGCCTAGAGCAGCAGCTCGAGTCGGTCCCCCCAATCAATGCTGTAGCCTGTCGATACTAGGGTCCAGGCAGGGTGTTTTCTCCACATGATTGTGTTCAAGTTGAACCCCGGCTCTCCACCGCTGGACCAGCGCCAAAAGGGCCAATTTTATCGGGTCAGGGACCCTTGAAACTGTGCCAAGGCATGCACTGCGCCCCGAATATTGTGGATCAAGGGGGTAGGCTAGCCTAGTTCTTGTTTTCTGGAATACATGGAGACGCCCGGGAAGTGTTGGGCCGGGACGCTCGACTTCTTCAATCGACCTGTGCTGCTGTGCAAGGCAGGTAGAACGAGTAAAAGGCGCCGAGAACAGGAATGAATCACAGGACAGCCGTAGCTTTCGATTTTCCACCATCTCTTTGCCTCCCCAGGGCACCCAAGCGAACGATGCAGGACCTTGACCCAAAGCCTGTGCCCTACTGATCCTGCAGCAAAATAATTATTCAAAATGTACCAACCACCCATTGCTAGACGGCAGCCACACCCACTCAAGGGTTGATACCGCGGCAGGCGCATTGGCGACAATGTTTACAATAGCGCACGAATATCCCTACGGAGTCAGAGCTAGAGTCTATTCTGATTAGGGGCTTTATCCTTGACGTCAGCGGCGGGCGCACGCGCAGAGCACACGTACGCATGTACGCGTGGGGATTGGCCTGGTGCCTTTGACGGAATATCGTGCGTCCCCCGCCCCATAATAGCGTTGGTAGCTTTGCGCAGTGGAATGTGGGCTTTGAAGTTGGAACAGAGTCACAGACCAACAGAGTTAGTTGACGATTGAGACCCCGTTGACCTCAGGCACAGAGTCGTCAACGCTACTCGAGTGCTTTCACGCACAGTATGCCCTTATGGAGAGGATGCCCCAAATAGGTACCCTACGATAAACGTAGCCATCGCCTGCCAGCTGTTCTCTTTGTCGGGATACCAAAAACCGATAATTAGAAAGAAGAGTGTGCCAGACCTTGCAAAGAGACGGCAGGGGGAGCCTGCCTGTGTACTTGATCTTGGCTGCCGCCATATTGGGGTCGGGCGGGTCGTAATAGCAGGTACTTGAGTGCAAGAACGACACCTGTCAACTGAAGCGTGATTTTCAGTTCGTTGATCACAATCTTGTCCCGTTGAGAATCGTGATGCTGCGATAGCCATGATGCGCGATCTGCTTCGCTCACACGCTTTGAAGCTCATACGCCTTTCCAGTCAGGGGCATGATTCACTCCGTTCAAAGTCTCAGTCTACCTTAATCAAGTTGGATTGGCTGCAGGAGCTGTAACAGCACCGCGGACATGAAGGCATCACGCAGACATCTGACCAAGGAGATTACAACGTCACCCACTTCAAAATTGTACCTGCACAAGATCAAATAGTAAGGAGTATTTGGCATGTCCGAGTACCCCAGTATCACCGAGTGTGTGAAGGGGGATGGATGTGAGCTCAAGTATATGTAGCTCAAGAATGGGGGCTGTCTGACGAAACAGACTCAAGTCTTCAGAGACTGCTGTCTAATTTTGGGGGAAGCCGTTGTGGAGCTGATGTACGCGGGTCGTCTCTCGAGGCTGTCGGTTGAGAGTGACATTGAGAATCCTCGAGAGCACAAGAGAGTGAGGGCATCTTCAGGAGAGCAGGCCCGCGGCAGTGCTCTTGCGCTAAATGACACATCGACTTGAGATGATAGACGGCTTTACCAAATTGAGTATCGTATGCTAGGACCATAAGCGGGACTGAGGCGCCATTTCACATGTTTGTGTTCAGGAAGACGCCTCACGACTGAAAAGCCGCGTCGCACACTCAACGGTCTCGGCAACCAAGCACAGGAGGATCCCCAAACAAAGCATCGTATCCACCGCAGAACTAGAATCTGTGCTTGCCCACGTATTTTGGACTGTGAATGGCGGCAGTGAAGAGCATGAAATCCAGTTTCAACTGAGCGTGAGACCCTCGTGGAGGCCTCGTGGAGGGGAGGATAAGGGGCAAATCAGATATGGCTGAACAAAACGCTCTTGATCCAGTCTCGGTGCCTCATCTTGCGCGTGCTGCCATGAAGTCGGGAGAACCAGGAGGCTGAGCCAAAGTCTGTCGTGTTTAGTTGCCGGCGGTCTGGAGGGTATGTGGAACGTCCAGCCACCGCTGCCTGCGGTCAGGTGACTGCCCCTTGGTTGATCAGACTAATATTGAGCCAATGATACCATTTCATGATGTTTATTGACTGGCACGCTCGCGACTTCATCTGCAATGGCCTACATGTCCATGTTGCCAAGGGGTCACTCCTTGCCCAAGTCTTGAGCGCAAGCTTATGTCAGATCAGCCAGTCCGAAACCTAGTATAAGACAACCATCCTTCTCGTATCCTTTTAATTTCCTTCTTCCTCCCTATAGAAGCCTGCCCCGTCTGGCGTTGCTGCCCTGGCGGTACAGCTGAGCAGTTTTGGGTAGGATCTTCCAGGAAACAAATTTTGGAACCGAAAAAAAAAATTTCATTGAGAGGAGGCTTGATGCCTTGTGTTGAGGAAAAAGGCATGTCTTCCCTAAAGTGCTCAAATACTTCTCGAGTGACTGCGGGCGGTGCGATGCACAGACGTACGGATATATTAGCTCTGAGCGGAGGCCATTTATGTTTGTCATGCTGGTAATATACCGCGACATGTTGTGGCTTGGGTCGTGGGAATCTCTGCTGTTGCGCGGTGATGGAGCCTTGAAAAACTCCCCTCAGCCGAGTTCCTCACCCAGTCACCGTCACTCCACACCTGCACTTTGCTTGAAAAGTTCAAAAATGGCTGTTGATTTTACTTAAGATACTGTTCGGCAGCTGCCGGTATTGAACAATGTGGATCTGCTGTTGCGTTCGCGCGTTCCCGAAGTTGCAAAACAACTAAACACATGTTTTGATTCTTAACAACCACCTCCAAAAGTTTTCAGCACATACATCAACCATGTTCCTACCCATTGCGATACCCAAGACACCGCGCGAAAAGCCCTGGTCGCAACCATTACGAACTCTAAACCATCATACAGCTCGTCAGGAACAGAACTACGGGCAAGCGCGGGCCCATCACACATCACTTTAGCGGCAACGGCGCTTTCAAGCTTTCTCTCCACCTTCGCTGCATCCAACAATCTGAGGTGCCTCCATAAGTTTGAAAAAACCTTTGAGTTCATAGGCGGCAGATAGAAGACTCGATGTAACCTGGCTGCCTCAAAATGGGGCTTCAAAAGGTATAGCGAACAAATCCCAGGCTGACAAGGCTGCAACCTCTCCCGATTTCGATGGCAACGTGTCGAAGCGTCAAATCCACGCATCATCCAGTCGCCTACTCGATCTTCATCTCGCTTTAGTTCTGTGGCTGGGAATGGGCGGGTGTGCCACTGCTTGGAGCTTTTGCTCGAGACTACACCATCCCTATCCTATCGATTGAATGACTACGTCTTTTCAGTGCAGTGCGAGGAACCATCTACATGTGCACCGGAAGTATACTCCGGTACTCCCGACTTTATTTCCTTGCCTTGTGGACGATATCTGCTAATGTCTTGTTCTTTGTCTATCTAGGAACTTCCAAGCACTTTGGAGAACTAGATCGACGACTGTTCCAACTGCGAATCTTTCTATGGAAATACAACCGGAAGAAAACCGACGAAGGATAACTTGATAGCGAAGCCTAGGAATGCAAAATTAATAAATATATCGGGAAAGATGAGTGGAGGAACGATACTCGCAGGGAAATTACGAGACATGTACAGACTCAGGCATCATTCTCGTCGCTTTGATCGAACCGAACAAGTACCAGGATAATGCCTGTCCATATGTGACTCTCAATAACATGGTAACCAGCTTTGTAGCACTTGTGCATAGGTCAGCCTGAACGATTCAGCTCCCGTCTCCTCATGCCAGGGACGGGACGAGACGAGTTATGTCGACGAAATAGTCAACGCCGGCCGCAATCGACAGAATGTCTCAGTGAAACCAGCTCGAAACCAGCTCTGCAAGCTCCATATGGCGATTTGGTTGGTGTTCCCACTGAGTGACTCTCCTACCTCCTTCGCACCACGAAGAGGCTCCATCTTGGCTAGTAGTACCTTACTTTACGTATTCATCTTTGGGCAATAGAAGTGCAGCTTCAAGCAAGGAAAAGCAATAGCCTTATTATATTTTCTTCCCCATCTCGGACTCGCAATCCTACGATAATGCTCGCTTTGTAGTCATCTGTATAGGTATGTACTAGTAGATCAGTGCAGGCCAGAGTCAACACATTCTTCGAGAAGGAAAACATTTTCGAATTACCAGACATGAACACTGTATTTGTGCCAACTTTTTTCGTGCAAGTGAACGCTTCACTGGGCAGGTGCCACTATGCAGGAACTCGTACTTGCTGTGCCAGAAAACCTGACGTGAATCTGAGAAATCAGATGAAATCCGCAGGTATATCTGGCAACTCCTCGTTCAACCTCCTTTGTTTTTTTTTCCCACCTACATACACCTCTACCGAGTCTGACAGTACCGCACTTCCTCAAATGCTGTAGCATTACAAACGTTGATGTCAACATTGACAGCAGCACCAGCACCACAACCATCACCAGCAGCGGCGGCGTCGGCGACAGCAGCACCAGCAGCAGAAGCACCAATAACAAGAGCAGCAGCAGAGAAAGCAGCAGAGAAAGCAGCAGAGAAAGCAGCAGTAACAGCAACAAGAGCTGGGGAGTCGATAGCAATGCTCTCACCACCCACGTTCGTCACCCAGTGCACCGCCCCTTTTCCCCTCCCTCAAAGCTTCTGCTCGTACTGCCACGAGCACTGCAATCATGCCCACAACCCGGCGTAACTTCGCTGTCGGTCGCGACGCCACCACCCGTGGCCCCTCCGGCCCCGTCACCTTCTTGCGGCGCCTCACGGCGCCACCAACCTATCTCCTTTGGCCTGTCCGCCAGCAGCACGTTATGGCCCTCGAGTTGGAGATTGTCCGGCTGGCCATAGAGGCACAACACGCGCTGATATATGACCCTTCGATTATCTGGGCGATGCTTGTGCTCCGGGACTTTGTCGAGGCGAGATCCGCTGGTGTCATCGGGGCCTGGCGCGAGATGTGGGAGGAGCTGAGGCGCAGCTGCGTCAGCTGGGCTCCTGTTCAGAGCGAGGTTGATTAATTTACGTGATTCTTGATGGCTGTTATTTGATGGACCAGTTGGCTGACTTGCTTCGCGGGGGTTGATGCTTGTAGGCGTCCCGCTGGTACACTGTTGGGAGTCGGTTGTTGTCCTGTCAAATAGCTTCTTCGACGTGCTAGGGACTGGCTGGATCAATTTTTATATCTTCTGGCACATGATACAAGCGAAAATGGTCAACGAAGAGAAGAAAAGCCAAGAGATTATTGAGGAAATGGATCTGGTTTTTAAGAACCCTGACCATGCCCTCGGTTATACAAAACTCAATAACCGGCCATGTCAGCATCCGAGACCACTCTAGGGTCCAACTATCATCTTATTTCTTTCTTGGTATGCACATCAATAAACATGCCTTATCAACCCAAAATACCCCTTCCAAAGTGATTGGGTCTACGTGTGCTGTCTTGCCAACGCAGTCGAGCTGAAATGCATCAGGGGCAGGGTATGCATATCTCGTTGGAACCTCAAATCAACTTGAATATATCACAAATAATCATGCTCAGCAAGGGAATTTGGCCATTGATTTAGGTTCTCCGTTATGTTGTCTTGATTGAGGGCCTCAAAATCCTAGATCTATTGACTGTTGATTGCGAACGTAGAAGATGGACTGACTAGCCCGCAGCCCTGATACTCGGTACAAATCAGAAGGTAAAGTATCACTTATATCATACCCTAAAGGTGTATTCTAGGTCAGAGAATTACAGTATGTGCTAAATTTCAAAAGTCAAGCGTTAGTTACTGGATTAGACTAGCTGTTATGATACCGAATTGCGCGCGTCTGGTAAAGGTCTCTAAGTCTAATACCTCGTGCAGCTTGAATGCCATCTCGTATTGCAGATACTCCGCCTGTAAGTCACGAGCTCGGTTTCCTGAGCCGAAAAGCATCAAACTAAGCTCCAAACTCTTATATCTATGACTCTCCCTCCCAACACCAGCTTAATTTGAACAGATTTGTCTTTCACTTCTTTAAGGTCCTTGGAACAACAATACGCTACTGTCTAACTTACTTCGTCAGCAGTTATTGTCATTATCTCTCTTGCGGTGCTCTGCACTCTGGTGGGCACCGTGACGTCAGTCGATCTCAAGATGTATAAGAAGTTGAGCTGTAAGGGTGACTGGTGGCGATGTGCCAACATTCCACCAAGAATATGTTGCCATAATCACCTACGAACGGGAGCATCGGCTAGTTGCCAGAACTGCAACCCTCGACATAGGCAGGAACTGTAAGTTACTATACTGGTTCAATACCCAGAAGCTATGAACATTAATTCGCTTTGTTCGCGGTGGAATAGTTGGTCCAATTTAGACACCGATCAGCCATGCTTTCAGCTACAAGTCACTGGAAATGGTGGCAAAGACAATTGCATCAAGAGACATGGATACGCATTTCACGGCCATAGATGGATCTAGGCCATCCCTGGAAGGAAAGCGGCGGCAGAAGACTTCATTTCCAATGCTCAAGAGACGGAATGCGTCCAAGCGACCGACTACTCCATCGGTGGCCGCGTGTTTCGTATCACGGATAGCATCTACAAGGACCAAGTCGAGGAGCTTTCTCAGCTGTTTGAGAGAGGTATTTCTACATATGGCCAGATCCCCGAAAGCATTATTACTCTGGAGATCACAGATCAGGAGGTTGAAGAGTAGATAGCACGACTCATGGACACAGCTTCCAGTTCCAATCTTGGCAGCGTTGCTTGCCTCTCTGGGAGTTGAAACAAAGACGACTCGCGGCCCATAGTCCTAGTCCCCCACAGCTATATAGGTGAATGAAGTGTCTTGGTGCAGCCTACTAACCCATTCCATGGTGAACTCTAGTAGAGTCTCTAGTAGAGTTGGATATGAAATGGAATAAGTACGGGATTTTGGAGGTACCCACCTTCCTCAAGTCCAGCTCATAAGAGCCCCTGGCAAAAGACCGCACTGTCGTTAAGAATTATGGGCCAAGGCTGTCGGAGCCGCACCTTGGCTAACAGCAATGACCGATGATGGCAGGCTTGGCCTTCTCAGATAGGTAGATTGTCGGGATCCGGGATATAACTCAAAGGATAGTTCGCGAGCGATTATCTTACTTTCATGAGAAGCCCTCGGGTCACGCAGGATGCAGTGAGATAAGCGTGGCTCTTTTGTGAGGGGGGGAGAATAGTGCTCTGGTCCCTTCGCGGGATATGAGCTCTTCTTCATGGCAAGATATGACCGTAGTGATGGCCCTTTTGACGGAGGATGGTGGAGTTGACGACGAAGAAGGTGAAGCCAAGACATGACACGGCAAGCGGAAAAGACTGGCATCTTTGGGTGACGGAGCGCTGCAGCGGCTAGTAGAACACGTCCCGATCACCTCGGGTCTTTGAAGGAAAAACAAGCGTTTTGTTCTCTTTGAAGGAGTATAGTGTAAGAATTGTCCGTGTCTCATGTGTAACTGTTATCCAGTCCTCAATCCCTGTGCGCAAACGCGAACTCTGTCCGACCGTCCTTCTGGTGATTCGGGAAAAGCCTAGGATCTGCATCCTTGGCAATGAATTGCAATGCGACTATTGTCAAATTCTTTGTTTTCCATCGTGTGCGTACATGAGTTTGACGACTTGCTTGACCATGGGAGTTCTGCATAGTGGCTTCACTCAGACTGTGACGATAGGGTCCAGCATTGACCACCACTGTCCATTATTGTTCCATAGTACTTCAGCGGCATATATGCCAGAGCGCAAAGGCTGCTGATGATTGAATGAAGACTCTGTAGTCTGTACTCAAGTCAGTATCGCTGTGTACCGGGTAGGCCAGCTACAACCTACCCCTGTCGACGCTCACCAACCGTTGACGGCGCTTTTCAACGTGGGGTTTTCGCAAACATGGACACACCATTAAATGTACATGTTGTCTGTCTCCATCGGCATTGATGACTCCCCAAGCTCATAATTATGAAAATACTGCTTCACTCTCATTTCCCAGCAGGTCATGCGCTTCCCATGTTCGCTGTCGCCCAAGCAATCGTCCGCAAAGGCCACAACGTCCACTGGCTTACATCGCCCTCTCACGCCAAGCGCACCGCCCAAGTGCCCGTCGACGTGCGCCCAGAGTTTCACGCAACAAAGCACATCTACAGCATTGACCAGCCATTGGAGAAAAAGGGGGAGACTGGCCTCTTGGATGGGGACTACTCCCGGCTCCAAGGTCGACTCCTCGCTCAAGTCGAAGACTACCGCCGCGTGCTGCGCGAGATAGGCGACATTGATGTCCTCGTCGTCGATGTGATGCCCTATGGGGCACAAGCAATGTATGAGCTCGGGGAGATCCCCCGATGGGTCTCGCTGGGCGTCATTCCCATGTACACATCAGGCATGGACGCTCCTCTCGCCGTCTCGGGCCAAGCCCCTCCCACCAGCTATCTTGGCCACTGCGTCAATGCCCTTCAACAATGGACCCAGCAGAATCTGACCCTCCCGTACTCTCTCGCCCCTGTTGCCAATACACAGCGTCGTCAGCTCGGACTCGCTGACCTTCCCCGTGGTCAACCGCTCGAGAGCTACTGGTACAGCCCCTTTCTCCACATCCAAGCATCCTCCTCTGCCCTCGAATTCGACCAGAGGCCAGCAAACAAAACTCGTGTGGAGTTTGTTGGCCCGCTCTTTGCGCAAGGTAGTGTCGAAAATGCGAACCATGTACCCCTTGCGTGGGACGAAATCGTCGCCCATCCGCGTGTCATTGGTATAACCCAGGGCACCTTCACCATGAACCCGACCTCACTCATCATTCCAGCCATCAAGGCGCTGTCCGAGGACAAGCAGAACCTTCTTGTCGTGGTGTCGCCCTACGAACGCGAAATCCGGGAGCAAATCGACGTCCCAAGCAATGTCCTCATCAAGGAGTGGCTACCGTACGACTTCCTCCTCCCCCAAATCCGCCTGTTCGTGACCAACGGAGGGTATGGGAGTATCACTCAGGCACTCTATCACAAGGTACCGCTGCTTTGTGCCGGACAGACGGAGGACAAGAAGGACACGGCGGCCAGGGTGGCGTGGGCTGGGGCGGGCATTGACCTCAAGACGGATAGCCCGAGTGTGCAGCAGGTCAAGCAAGCAGCCGAGGCGATCCTGGGCGACGAGAGGTACATAGCGCGCGCGGCGAAGATGGGTGAGGAACTGAAGGCTTTAGGGGGTGCCAATGAGGCTGCGCGCCTGATTGAGGAGTTTGCAAAGCAGGAGTAGGCGTCATATACGATACCCAGTAGTAGTCTTTCTTTTGGAGAAAGCCTCTGGCAGTCAATTGCCGCATACAGCGTTGAATCTACGCAAGGACGTTCAAAGGTTGGCGGCATCGCCCACGCCAGGCATTCTCATTGATGCACTCATCAGCTACTTCTGTTCCTTGCTGGCCTCCGTCTTTTCACCCTCCTCGTTGAACAGGGTTTCCTGGGCTGTCGTCACGTCAGCATTGATTGAATTTCAAATACACATAAAGGCACTCACCACTCCAGAGCTCTGCGTAGACGCCGTCCCGGTCAATAAGCTCCCTGTGCGTACCCTGCTCCGCGACCCGTCCCTCCTTGAGCACAATGATCAGATCCGAGTCAAAGATGGTGCGCAGCCTGTGCGCGACAAAGACGCTGGTCCGCCCCTTTTCGCGCAGGATGCTGTTGATGTTGTTCATCAGGGCCTGCTCGGTATGCGTGTCCAGTGCACTCGTGGCCTCGTCAAAGAACAGCAGCGGCGGGTCCTTGAGCAGGATGCGTGACATGGCGAGACGCTGCTTCTCGCCGCCCGAGATCATCATGCCGCGCTCGCCGACCTTGGTCTCGTAGCCTTCGGGAAAGCGGGCGATGGTGTCGTGGATGCGGGCGCGCTGCGCGGCGGCAATGACCTGCTCGTTGGTTGCGTCGATCTTGCCGTAGCGAATGTTGTGCTCGACTGTGTCGTTGAACAGGGGCGTGTCTTGCGGAACGACACCAATGGACCGCCGCAGCGAGTCGACCTGTACGGAACGGATGTCCTGGTCGTCAATGAGGATGCGACCGTTCTCGACGTCGTAGGAGCGGAAGAGCAGGCGTAGCAGCGTGGACTTCCCACAGCCACTGGGGCCAACGATGGCGACCTTCTTGCCGCCTGGGATGGTGAGCGTCAGGTCCCGCAGGATGGGTCGTTCTGGGTGGTAGCCAAAGTCTACATTCTGGAACTTGATCTCGCCGGTCTGGAGGGCCAGCGGCTTCGCATTCGGCGCGTCTTTGATGGTAACGTTGACCTTTTGCAGGTTGAATAGTGTTTCCATGTCCAGCAGGGACTGCCTCAGCTCCCGGTAGACCGACCCCAGGAAGTTGAGGGGCACCGACAGCTGGAAGACGAGCTGGTTCACCATGACGAGATCACCCACCGTGAGCGTGCCCTGCGCCACGCCGTTGGCCGCCAGGTACATCATGCCCGTTAGCGCAGACGAGAAGATGATGTTCTGGCCGCTGTTCAGCATGGCCAGGGACGTGGCCACCTTGATAGAGCTCTTCTCATACCCTTGCAAGGCCTTGTCGTATCGCGCCACCTCAAACTTTTCATTGTTGAAGTATTTGACGGCCTCGTAGTTGATGAGCGAGTCCACGGACACGGTAGACGCCTTGTTGTCGGCGGCATTGGCCTGGCGGCGGAATTTGGTCCGCCACGCCGTGGTCCAGATGGTAAAGGCCGTGTAGCCGACCATGGTCAATACCGTGATGGCCGCGAACTTGGCGCCATATTGCCACGTCAAGATGCCGCAGACGAGACTGATCTCCAATGCCGTGGGCAGAATGTGGAAGACCATGCTGGTCAGCAGGAAGCTGATACCCTTTGTTCCCCTGTCTAGGGCTCGTGTCAAGCCACCCGTCTGCTTCGACAGGTGGAAGCCCAAGTCTAGCCGTAGCAAGTGGTCAAACACATTTCTAGCCACGCCTCGGATGGCTTTTTGAGCGACGGACGCAAAGACTGCATTCCTGAGCTCCTGGAACACCGTGGCGCCCACGCGAGCGCCGCCATAGGCTAGAATCATGCTGCCCACCACTGCGCTCGCCGTCCCTATGGTCGAAATGTCGACGTTCATGCTGTCGACAATGGACTTGAAGTAAAACGGCACCTGCACGTTGAGCAGCTTGCCGCCCACGAGGAGGCCGACGGCCAGGGCCACGCGCGTCTTTGTGTTCATGTCGCCCTTTGGCCAGAGGTAGCGCGACATCTCCCGCATAATAGCCCAGTCCGCCTTGCGCTGGGCAGCCGGGCTCTTCTCCTCGGGCGTGAGGTTACCATGGTCGCGTGGCTTGGTCGGTGTCGGCGATTTAGGCGGCGACGAAGAGACGGTGGTCTTTGGCGCTTGACGTCGCGCGGTCGATGTGCGGAAGGGCTGGATCGCAGCAGCAGCAATGGGTCGTTGCGCCAGCCATGATGGCCGGGACGGGGTGGACGAGGCTGGTGTCGCTGCCTGGAGGAGGGATGCGCACCGCGGGCACTGCGTTCGAACGAGGAGTCGCGGAATCATAGTTGGAATTGCATAATTAGCGAGGTCACAGGCTGCTAAATTGCCCATGAATGACTGCGAGGAGCGTCTTCTGATTGTCGGTGACGTTCGTTGCGGCAATTGTGCTGCCTGCGGGCTCGTCCGTCCTCGGCTCCGTCCAATTTTGGGCCTCAGGCTGCAGCCTCTCTCAAGGCAGACAAGCGATCATTCATGTTTTCTGGCGAACTCGCGCCATAAGGTGCACTGTTCAATCTTAGCTGCGTTCGCTTGGATTCGTCTCAGCTGCATAATTCAATTAATTACATTGACGCTATCACTCTTCATCAGGCTGTGGCCTCCGTTTGATCCACACCTTCATCTCCTTCGTCGGATGCCGGGAGGCCGCTTGCTTCGTGGTCTTTGGCACGAACCATTCCTGGCCCTCGGGCCTCCTGATGTCGTACATGGTCACAATAGCAGCGGTGTACATCATTAGCTCCCGCATGGCAAACGCACGCCCCTTGCACATGTATGCGCCTCCTCCATACGGTCGGATGCTGCCCATGTCTGCAGTGATGGTTATCTTGCCGTCCTCGCCCATCACCTCCTTTACGTGCCTCCGCGGCTGCCATTCATGGGGTTCGGGGAAGTATTTGGGGTCCAGCTGGTGCAGGTCGTGTGGCGCATGAGCATACGTGCCCTCGCTGAGGACGTACGCGTCGTCGCCTCGACCGAGCGTGGTGTCCTTCAGGACGTACTTGATGGACCAGGCACTCACATAGAGCCGCAAGGTCTCGACATAGGACGATTTGAGCAGAGGGCACTTTGTAGTCAGGCCCTCAATGTCAAATGTCTCGAGCTTAGGTGGTATCGAGATGCCAGTGCCAAACAGATTTGTCGGTTGCACTCCCTTGATGTACGGTGCAATCTCCTCCCGAATCTGCTCCAGCAGCACCGTGTCCTTGTAGATATGCAGTAGCATCCAGTACACCAGGGGGCTCGAGTTGGCGTTCATGGCCCATACCAGACCCAAGTCGGCGGCAGCGCGCACGGAAACCGGGACATTGTGCTTCTCCCATATGCGCACACGCTCCTTCTGGAGGATGCTGATGTCGTCCAGGTTCTCCCATCGGTGACCAGGTTCCTCTCCCTTGGACCACTTATCCAAGGCCTCGTGATACTCGTCCAAGCAGCCGAGTTGCCTCCTCTTGGACGCCTGCGCACGCTGCAGTGGCCACCAGGGGAGCCAGGACGGGAGGCCCATGGCCATCAGCACAAACCCAGCGTCGAAATCCCAGACGTACTTTGGGTATTCGGGAAAGTTCTTGCAAAAGTCCGTGCCCATGAGAGCCGGGTTGGCCGTCTGTGCGACAAAGTTCTTGGTCAGGCCCATGAGCTCGGCCTCGACGTACTGTTCACCATTGTGTTCGACGACGTCTGCCTCGGCCATGCGCTCCCACTCCGCCTGGTCAGAAGGATAGGCGTTGAAGGTGACAAAATCGGCAATGGATGATTTGAGACTCGTTGCTGTGGTCTCGACCAAATTAGCCAGGCCCTCGCCGCTGAGCATGATATTGTACGCCTTTCCAACCTCGTCCCAGAAGACCTGGAAAAGATCCAGATCGGACTTTTTGAACCCAAAGTTGGTGAGGCAGAGCCGTTTGCTCACGAAACTCTCGTCAGCAACCGAGTGGGGCTTGTTCATGAGGGGTGTTGCCAGGGACGGCTTGTAGACAATGCTGTGCGTCTTGCCCATGAACAGGAGCGAGACGATGCCCTGGGGATATTTCTCTCGAAGACCAGCGAGGAACGAATCCCCGTTGAGGGACATTTGAGGCACATGGCCGAGGAAAGGGGCGTAATAGCCTGGCTTGGCCGCCGTGTGGGCGCCCTTGGAGCCGGATTCTGGGGCGCCCGTGAAGAGGCGCGTTGTGATGGCGACGATGAGCAAGGCCACAATGACGGCGACAGTCGTGGGCTGCTGGGCCTTGGCCAGGAGCTGCTCAAGCTGTCCAGCCATCTTCAGAGCGGTGAGGGATGATGAGTAGAGTCGGCCTGGCAGAGAAAGCTTTCGATCGGACCTTTTATCGATAGCCCATTGCTGCTGAAGACGCATTCACGATGCTACTGGAGGTAATCAAATCGATCTTCTGGGGATTTTCGTGGATGCTGACGCTTGTGCCAAGCATTGCTGACAGCTCCAAGAAAGGATTGGCCAGCGCTCAAGGCTAAGCCGTATTGGGCATTTTTCAGGGGCCAGCTGCGAGCGACACGCCTGGGCCCTGGGGTAGGCATTGTGAGTGCGATAAATCAAGATGACTGGAAGGCAGTTGTGCCAACGACGTAGTACTACAATTTGATAAAACTCGCTGTTACTATCCGTATCTCCATATCTATCCTTGGACGCCTATGTACATGTGTGGTTGCCCAATTCTTATTTGAGTTGGTCGAGCGTTCTGCTTGCCGGTGAGGGCTAGAATTGTGATATTCGACATTGACTCTTTGCGATGGCCTTTCTTTGAAAGGTGTCGTTCACAGTTCTAGGCATCAAGACTAGTATTCAGAGTCATGGGCAACTCTTATGATCTTTTCTACTTCCTGAACAATAGCAACGCGCTTCATCACACCTAATAAACTTGAAGGGATTACCGAGCATAACTCCCTCTAGGGTAAGCGTACTGCCTACTGCTTGTGAAGAGAGCACCTCACAAAGGGATCCTTAGTACCTTGGGCGTGATACAGGGCGGGGATTCATCTGCCGCACACAAACGCGAACGAATCCTGGGGAATGGCACGTGCAAAGGAAAGTTATGCGGTTGTTGTCACTCACTATAGATCCGTCTCGTTGGTTGTAGCGATCAATTCTGTCTCGGTTAGTGCCCGCTGTGGAAAACCGACCCGCAATAAACGAGCCAGGGCCCAGGACCTTTTGCTCCGTCACTCTGCCTAGCAGCGGATGCCAAGGCCGTTCAGCGCCGCTGGTCTCAAAAGTCTTCCTGGTGACTGGAGTGTCGGCAATCCGGTAATCCCGCTGTAAGTTAGTCGATATGTTCGCGGGCGACTACAGTAGACGCTTGAGTCGCCGAATGATATGCTCCAAAGTAGGCCGCCATGGGATTGTTACGATTGCATAGATCCCGATACGTCCATCCCCAGTGCAGATCATCACATCACACGACAGCCAGCGTCATCAGCCTGACCCAAGATGGCGTGCGTTTTCAGCATAACACCTGCGTAGTGATCTGCCTTTCGTACCTGGTAGTTAAGCTGTGCTCGCCCACCTCTGAACCTGATTAAGACGTGATCATCACGAGGGCTGTCTGGCTTCCATGGCACGACAGTGCAGCACTTGGCAGCAGCCCCGCGTGCATGCCAGCCTACGCCATTCCGGGCTAGCCCAGTATGATGGATCTTCGATCTTTCGATGATCGAGAACGAATAGGATGCATGTCCGGCTCAGTGGCGCGCGACGAGTCGAGGGTCATACGTATCTGCGGTCGTCTCCTTCTCGAAACTTTTGAGACCTAGACTAAGCACCTTCCATGATCACATCTGCTGAAGAAGTCGAGACAACCGCCCGCTCTCGAGTCTTGAAGCATACGACACGAGGAATGTGCAGCGGACGCTCGACGTGCCCAACTGCCTACCGCATGCGAGGTGGCTTGTTCCCTGCATATCGTACCTGCCTCAACCTCCAGTCAGCCAGGCCGTTCCCAAAGCGTCATGATATCAGAGGGACCGGCTCTGGGCACCGCCCACCCGGTTAAGGAGGTCTCTGAGGCCACACGAGAGCGCGAAACGCTTCGCTACGATCCCTTTCTATACCACGACTTCCGCGCGAATGATACCGGCATTCCCATACCCAGCGCCGAGATCCATAGTTCCCGCGATAGCATTCTCACCGGCCTCACCCAGCTGGGCGCCTACCAGACGGGCACAGAGCGATCCTTCGTATCATTGTTCGATGTGAGCCATCAATATGTGGTGGCCGAGGCGACACCAACCATGGGGCTTGCACCCAACCTTCCCAGCGTCGTATGTCCTTCGCCTCTAGCCCTCTGTGGTGTGGCGATACCAAGAGCACATGGAACATGCGAGCACGTCCTCTACCTCCAGGACCGCGACGCTGCCGAGACAAACCAGCTGCCACTCTCGTATGTGCCCAACTTGTCCGACGACGCACGGTTCAACACAAGGCCCTATTGCCAGTTTGGCGAGGCGGGTCAGTTCTATGCTGCTGTGCCGATCCGGACCAAGAGAGGCATCAACATCGGCTCGTATTGTGTCATGAGCACCAAGAAGCCCGACACTTGGAGCGACAAGTCCGTTCAACACATGCGCGACATTTCCCGCGCCGTCATGAATCACTTGGAAGGGAATCGCGCGAAGCATGTCTTTGTGCGAAGCGAACGGATGAACCTGGGATTGAGTTCTTTCATCGAAGGGAAGGCAACGCTCTCGGGCTGGCGATATGGACCAACGGTGGATCCATTTGCAGTGGACGAACTTGCAGAAGGTCACCTCGACCATACACAACAAAGCCTTGATCCCGACCGTGCCGCAGGATTCGGCGAGAACGACGCCGACTGGGCAAAAGTAATCTCGTCCCAGCCCAAGTTGCCAGGGATTCCTCCCAAGCCAAGGGCTCCTGCACCAAGCACCCGGTCGAATGAGGCCGAAGTCCTTTCCAAAGCATCCAACATTATCCGCGAGTCGTTCGAGGTGGCTGGCTGCCTGTTCTACGATGTAGCCATGACCTCCGGACAGTTCACAAAGGCCGGCAATGGCAATATCTCCTCTACCAGCAGCAGCGACGAGCAGCCTGCCATCACCCCAGCCATGTCGAGCGACGTACCTTGCGAGGTTCTTGGGTTTTCGACATCCAAGGCATCAAGCATCAACGGCGCCAAGCTGCCCGCTGACTTTGGCATCCTGACACAGCGTCTGATGGCAAAGTTCCTGCGACGATATCCTAGCGGAAAGATCTTCAACTATGATGCGTCTGGAGGGTTGGAGACGAGCGATTCCTCTTCGGATGACGAGGGCGCCGACGCTGCACATCAAAATCCTCCCTCACGAACTCGCAAATTATCGACACATGTCAAGGACGAGCAATCCGTGTCGCAAATCTTCCCTGGCGCACGTAGCGTAGCATTCATACCCGTATGGGATTACAAGCGCGAGCGATGGTTCACTGGCGGCTTCGTCTACACTAACAATCCCGCAAGACTGCTCAACAACAAATCCGAGTTGAGCTTCCTGAAGGCCTTTACCAAGCTGGCGGCCATCGAAGTGCACACATTGCAGACAGTCCAGAGTGACAAGGCAAAACTCGACGCTTTGGGTTCTCTCTCTCACGAACTGCGCTCGCCTCTGCATGGAGTCATCTTGGGAACCGAGCTGCTGAGCGACACCAGCCAGACCGTGTTCCAGGGCAACGCAACACACATGATCGAAATCTGCTGCAGGACATTGCTCGACACAGTCGAGCATCTTCTGGACTACTCCAAGGTCAATAGCTTCTCCGTCATGCGCAAGCAGAGACCCTCGAAAAGTCGCAATCGCTCAGGGGAGAAGCTCCTGCACACAGATGTGCGCCTGGACGGATTGGTGGAGGAAGTCGTGGAAAGCATGTTTGCCGGCTTCAATTTCCAGTTCATGTCGGCGCGGGACCTGTCCAAGAAGGATCTCGCGGCGCACAACAGGACCATGTCTCTCCAGAAGCTCACCCCCGAACAGCGACTCTCTATCGGAGATCTAGCCGTGTTCCTGTGGATCGACCCGGCGTTTGAATGGTTGTTCCATGTCCAAGCGGGCGCGATTCGACGCATTGTGATGAACCTATTTGGGAACGCGTTGAAGTACACGCCCTCGGGCACGATCAAAATTACGGTCACACAAGACGCCGGCAAAGACCACTCGAAACGACAACGAGTGGTGAAGTTGATTGTGCAGGATACAGGAAAGGGCATCGGGGAGGATTACCTGCGTCACAAGTTATTCCAACCCTTTGCGCAAGAGGATGAGCTGGCGCCAGGAACGGGCGTGGGTCTGAGTTTGGTCAACCGCATTGTGTCCCAGCTGAAGGGGCAAATCGCTGTGGAAAGCAGAGTCGGCCAGGGTACGACCGTCACTGTCACGCTGCCACTGGAGCAATCTTCAAAGGCTTTGGACTTGTCGGAGGATGATCAGACATTCGAGGAGCAGGTGCGTGAGATGGCGGGTCTGCGGGTGAAGCTCGCTGGCTTCGACATGGTCCCCGAAGGACGGCCCATCGTGGAGAGGATGTGCAAAGAAGCGCTGCAGCTAGAGCTGGTCGATGATGAGCAGCCTGGAGTGGAACCACAGCTTGTGCTTTGGTCGGACGATGCGTTGCCCGGGGATTTCAAACAATCCGGCGAAGTTTCGAAGCTGCCAAATGTGGTGGTCTGCCACAATGCCTTGGTGGCGTACCAGCGATATACGGAATGCGAGGCTGCTGGCCAATCCGGCATTTTTGAGTTCGTGTCACAGCCGTATGTCTCCTGTGTCCAAGTCGGTCCATAGCTGCGCTAACTCTGACCAGGATCGGGCCTCGTAAGCTCACTAGATCGATACAGTGTGCCTGGAAGCGATTCAACGGGCAGCTACAAGGCTCTGTGACACCTCGCCCACCGGGCCCCACGCGCATACGAAGCTCGTATGGCAAACAAGTAACCTCGGTGCAGGGCATAACCACGGATCTCACCCAAGACTCTACCGCACCGAGCACACAGCCAGCAGCATCGCCCAAGACGCCACCCAAGACACCGGAGGATACGGAAATCCACGACTTTGAGCTTGGACCGCGAGCAACTTCTCTAGATATTCCGGAGAAAGCAAGCACGAAGAAGATGCTCCTTGTCGACGACAACCCCATCAATCTCAAGGTCCTGTTCGCATACATGAAGAAGCTCGGTTGCGACTTTGAGTCGGCCACCAACGGCCAGGAGGCTGTGGACGCGTACAAGGCGAATCCCCAACAATTCCGCGGTGTGCTGATGGATATATCGATGCCCGTTATGGACGGCCTGGAAGCGACGCGCCTGATCCGCGCACACGAGGGGAAACTGCAGTTGTCTGCTGTGCCGGTGCTGGCTCTGACCGGGCTGGCGTCGGAGAATGCCTGCCGAGAGGCGATGAAGAGCGGCGTGGACATGTTCCTGACAAAGCCTATGCGGTTCAGCGCGTTGAGCGATGTCCTGGAGTCGATGAACATACTGGAGTCGGTGGCGGGCACCCACGAGGTGTCGGAGGCTCCAAATGGGGCGACGACCGAGGTAGCTGCTTGATTGATGTCTGAGGATCCAGCTACACACAGACACACACATGTTTATTTGAGCATTGCGGCAGGAGTTTGGCGACACGGAAACAAATACACGAGGCATGGCGGATCAGCGGAGCAAGGCGTTTGTTTGGTACACTGACGGAACGCATAGAACGCGCTACGACATTTTGAATTAACGATATTGGTCGGCAGGAGTGCATAGAGGAGGGGCTGTGTGGTCGAACAGGATTGCATTGGGCATGAGGAGTCAAAACAGAAGATACCCGAATCATGACTTATTGTCGGAGTCACGAGTCACAAGTGAGGAAACTACATCGGGTAGAGCTGGTCGTGCTGGTCGTTTCCTTTCCAAAGCCGAGGACCTGCTGTTCTATCCATATTGTAATCTTTCGTCGCCGCAAAAGTGGCCGAAGAAAGTGTCCGAGGTCACTGTTTACCCCTGACGTAGTGTCCGGCGATCATGTCGACCAAGGAATCAAATCCCACGCTGTAACCTCATCTCGCCATGACTGGCCACAGAAGGTAGGCTGCGAGTCGCTGATTTCGACATTGAAAAGTCCCCGTCGTCTCAGTACATAAGGACAGCATCCCTTCTCTCCCCCCCCTATGCCGCATTGACATTCACTCTCGAACCATAAGAGGTGGTCCTGTCAACGTCCCGAGAAACCCCAAATCAGCACCTTGCCCAGAATGCCCGAGTACACCCTCTTTATCTGGGCGCGCGGCGCCTTCCCCCGTCGTATCGTCTACCAACTCCTCCAAAAGGGTCTCGTCGCCTCGCCAGCCGCCCTCCTCGCCGGCGAGACGACACAACTCCATCTCACACTCAACCTCCAAACCATGTCAATCACAAACGGCGTTTTTTCCACGGCCGAGTCTAACCCCTCCGACCCCAAGCCAGCGGGAACAAGCACCCCCTGCCTGCGTGTGCGAGACGGCGACACAGAGACCTGGATCCACGAAAGCACGTCTATCATGATGTTTATCGAGGATACCTTTGAAGGCCCACGTCTCGCCAGCAGGAGCCCTCTCATGAGGGCGTTGACGTGGGATCTGCTGGGGCAGATCAACCTCGCCGGGGTCGACATGACTTATTACATGCGCCACGCGACGCCCGTCACGCAGTCGTGGTCGCGCATGGATCCCAACCAGCGCTCGCACCCGGCCGCGTGGAATGCTCGTGACGCATTCCACCGCAGTCTGTTGAAGCTGCAGGCTTGGGCGGCGCCATCGCTCAAGAGCAGTGGATGGCTTACACCTGGTGTTGACGGTCCTGGGGTTGTGGACTTTGCACTTGCAGGGCCGGCGCGATACCAGTGGCTGGGGTATGAGCTGGACAGCTTTGAAGATGAGAGACTGGGGCTCCTACGGGAGTGGTGGGCGCGGTTCAAGACGTTGAGCTGGTGGGAGGAGTTTGAGGAGTGCAAAGACAACCATCCCGAGGGCATGAGCTATCCCAAGGAGGCGAGAGAAGTGTGAAGTACTCGGTTGCTATAAAGATAGGGAGGACTTGATTCATCATTGATTCGCCTCCTTATTCAGTCTCTCCAGCTCCGCCCGAGCACCAGCCCAGGGTTTTCGTTTCCGTTGGTCAAACAGCCTCCACATGACGCTCGTGAGCACGCCATCCATAAGCATCCTCCACACGTCCCTCTGCTGCCACCAGAAGAGCCACCCCTTGGGGCCCCAGCCCAGTCGTTCGAACACGCCCAGCCCAGCGGTCGCGTTCGCCCATACCAGCCACTGCCTCTGCGGCACAGACGCAGGAATGGGCGACCCTCGATGCGCCAGTGCCACCATCCTTTCCTCCTGCTTGTCTACCCACTTCTGCATGACGTCGCGCGTCGGAAGATCCGAGTTGCCCTTCCAGACCTGGGCGATAGACATGCTGGTCAGATCAGCCAAGAGAAACGCCCCCGTCGGGAACCACACGCATCCCATGAACGCGAGTGACTCTGGCTTTCCGAGGGAGAAGACATTCTGATATAACCGTGGCAGCGGGCGACCTTTTGACCCAGGGGCGGCCGTCCAGTGTGGATTTTGGCTCGCACTGGGATCGTATCGAGGATCCAGGATCCCAAAGTCATTCTGGTAGCCCGTGCAACAGATGATCACATCGACCTCTATGGCTTCCCCATCTACAAGCTCGACCTGTCGGGGCCCCACGGCTCGTCTCACACCAGGTACAGATGCCACCGCTCCTGATCTCAGGTGGTCGATGAGTGTATCGGACACGACAGGCGTGGTTACCATCATGGACGGAGCGGGCTCGAGACCCCATTCTGGCTTTGGGACACCGAAAGAGTTTGTCATGACTTCTTTTGCCTTCTTATTGAGAGTATTCTCCACGAGGGAAGGACTGAAGCGCTCGATGAAACCCTGGGCGTTGATATGCCGCTGAGTGACGAGCCTGTTGACCGGCTGGCCGTTGACAAGGCGTGGCATCTAGCATTCATGTTAGGGAGACGTAGCATTTCCAGAATGTACTCAACAGACTATGAGAGCGCCACGGTGGTGCGCTATACGTATCGATGCGGCGTAAGGTACCAGCGCATGGGCAATGTCACCACTGGTGTTGCCCAGTCCCAGCAGCAGCACCCTTTTTCCAGCGTAGTCCTGCGGTCTCGTTGGGTGTCAGCTTGGCAGCACGAGCTGGAGAGGCTAAGCTTACCGTTTGAAAGATTGGGAGTGTATACGTCCAGCCGCGAGAAGCCTCGAATTTTCGATGTGAGGCATGCTGGGACGAACATGCGGGCCTGTAGCCATGAGGATCCTGTCAAAGTACCTCGCTTCCTCGCCATGCACATCTACCCGCCATTGCTGCTTCTCGTCCACGTGTACGATCCTCTCCACAGTCGCATTGAGGCGGAAATGGGGACGGAGATGGAAGTGGTCGACGTATGCTTCGAGATACTCCTCAACCATGGAAGCGGAGGGAAACGGTGGCGTTCCTGGAGCTCCAACGTCAGCAACTGTGTAGCGGTGAGGCAAGTAGAGCAACCTTTGGGAAACGGAAAGTCTGTGTAGCAGCCCTGTGCACAATCGTCAGAAGGAGACCCCCTCAAAGCACATATCTAGCTCGTACCCTGTCTATCGAGACATTGACCTGGGTATCTATCTCCCTTTGTCAGCCCGGCACATGATGTGCGTCCCACAGCTGGAAGAACAACTCACCCTTTAACACGCTCAAAGTGTCTCTATCCTCAGTACAATGCCACAGTCCACCGACATAGCCACTCTTTTCAAATCCAGTCACGTCGAAACCCTCCTCCAGCAGATTCTTGACCGCCACAATCCCCATCGCCCCTGCATGTCCGTTAGCAAACGCCTCCCATCTCTGTGAAATCGGCGACAAGACTCACCCAGACCGATCACGGCTACCGTGTTCCCTGTCATATTGACGGTAGATGCTGAGGAGAATGCTCATGGCATGAGAAGAAAGCAGAGAGTGAGAAGGAAGGTAAGAGGAGACTGCACGGGAATATGTCAGAGAAAGGCGGTGCGACACGTCTGGGACCAGGGGGTCGGCAGTTAACTGGGCCCGTGACTCTGTGCCCAAGGCCCGCTCTCATCCATGAGTTCAAGGACTTTGGAACGCGCGTTTGGCGGACGCCAAGTAACGTGTCCTGCAATATGCAATGGCCTTGCCAGTGCTCTCTCTTCGTTGACTAGGAGTCTTCGGTCCAGCCGCATGGGACGCGCAATGCTGCCTTGTACGGAGTAGCGCGCATCGAATCCAATGCATCCGCGTGTCCGTGAAAGTAAAAGGCAATTTTTGACTGCCGCCATGATGCGCGACATGCTCAGGCGGATCGCGGAATCCATCCGCTGCGGAATTAAAGGACTCGGGCAGACAGAAAGACAGTCGATTATACAGCTACCTGCTCATTCGCACGGTCGCCACCTCTCATAGCGAGCTATGGATAACGATACCTCCCTCCCGTTACGCCGACACGATCCTTTCATTAGCAAAGCACATCCATAGCGACCAGTAATTATACCTTGCAAGACTCATCCAGCCCAAAGCCTACACCTCCTCAATTACCGGACCGCGAGCGGGCACATCCTCCATGCCCTCCTCGAAATCACTAGACGCCGCATCGTCCACCGTCGCCTTCCCAGACCCCTTGGACCCTCCCTCCGCAGGAAGCTCATCGTCCTCAATCGGGTCCTGGGACAGCATGGCGCTAGACTTCTTCACCGACGACGACCCGCCCTTGCGCTTGCCGTACGTCTTCTTGACTTTCTTACTGGACGTCTTCCTCTCGTCGGTCAGCACTTCTTCCACATCAAAGCCGTCCTGCGTCTCCGCCATCGGCTCCTCGGCCAGATCCGCCGCAGCCCCGTCTTCTTCGGTCGGCTGCGCGAGTTCGGCGTCGAGATCTTGCAGGGCAGGGTCAATCTGCAGCTCCTCCTTGCCCGCAGGTCCTTCGCCCTCCGCGTCCGAGTCCCACACCTTATCGGCACTCTTGTACTCGTGAGAGACTCTGGGTCTTCTGCCCCTAGCCTTGGCACCTCCTTCAGCGTACGGTGTCGTGTGCGTCTGCAGGAGCTTGCTTTCCACCTCATCGTCTCCTTCCTCCTCGATGAACTCGGGCAGCGCATGGTGCGCTTCGTGGTAGTCGAGGAGCCACTGCGCAATGTCGCGGGGATTGTCCTTCTCCTTGCCAAGGTCGGGCACTGTTTTCTTCAGGCGGTGCCACAGCAGCACCTGGGCGCGGCGATGCCACTGTAGGCGCCAAGGGCGATCGACCAGCTTGGACCAGGGGATCTTCAGGTCACTGGAGGCACCGCTTTGCTGGATGGCCCTGATCATCTGCAGACGCGGTTCCTCGCCCATCTCCTGCAGCTGGCGACGGGCCAGCTCGAGCTGGAACGACCCTGGGGGCGCGTCCTCAGCAAGAGACGGGAAATGCTCATCCTCACCCAGGTAGATGTGGAAGGACTTCCACTTGGTGATGCACTGGAGCCGACTGCGCGTGTTGTCCATGGCGGCGCTGATTTCCTGCCAATCAATCGAGTCTTCTGGCGCATTCGTGTACTCACGCCCAGGCGTCAGACGACGCGCAGCGTAGATGGTGTTCAGCGCCTCGAGGTAGACTCGGAGCAGTCTGATCTCTTCTGCTTCGCTCCAGACGTCCTTCTTCTGGTTGTCACCGCAGACAATGTAGTTCCTGAAGCGGTCGCGCAGATCCTCTGGGTGGCGGTTGAGGAGCGCGGCAATGTGTGACCACGCTTTCCCGTGCTTCTCAATAAGACCACGAAGCTCGTCATCCTGCGCCTCATCCCAGGCGCCACGCGCGACGAAGTTGTGGAAGTTCTTGCGGCACGTGTTGATGACCTTTTGCCGATGACGATCTGGGCACCTTTCAAACAGCCGGTTCCAGAGCTCCGCGTGCATTTCGCCAGCCTGCGCACCTCCGCGGGAGTGCATCATCTGTTCAGTCAGCTACGAGTACAAGGCAAGGAATGGAACAAACGGAACGTACAGCAATGACTTCGTCGTCCGTCTTGCCATGCTCCTCGGCAAATGCCTTCCACTCCTTGCGAAGGAGGTCAATCTCCTCCTTGGAGAATCGCCCTTGTGTCTTCCCCTCCATGCGATTGCGTCTGGGCTTCTGTTGTTTCCTGTCAAAGTCGCCGTCCTCGTCGTCGCCGCCGTACGGCACAACCTCAGCCTTGGGCTTTTCTGGCTTCTTCTTGGCCGGTTTGGCGCGCTTTCGCGGCTTCAGCTCGGCCGCGGACGGCGACGGCATTTCCTGCGCAAATTGTTGCGGCTCGTCGTAGAAGGTCGGCTTAGCCTTCTTACGCGTCGACGCGCGCTTCCTGGGCTCGGCGTCGGCGTCGGCCATCTCGGCATCGCCACCCTCAGCCTGTCCATTGTCATGCTCGGTGAGTGCCTCGCGGGCAAGCTCTTCGACATTCGTCGTCGCGGTGGGCTGGCCAGACTGGCTGTGGCGACGGACGTGTGCGACACTGGGAGAGCCCTGGGGGTCAGAGACATCCACATCTTCGTCTACGGCCTCCTCGACACGCGCGGGCCCGGACGCGCTGTCGCGCTGCAGGAACTCGCCGTCCTCTGCCGTCTGGGGCTCGCGAGACCTGGGCCTCTTCGTCGACTTGCCATCGGCGTCGACCGAACTGCGCTTTCGCTTGGTTTGCGGCACCGTGACAACCTCCGTCATCTCCGCCTCCACCGCAGCAGGGCCATCGCCGACCTCGACGGGTTCGCGCTTCGCGTGGCGATGGGCCGATTCCTCCGCAGGCGCCTCCTCCACGTCAGGATCATCGGGTCTGTGCTTGCTCTTGCTTCCCTTCTTCTTCTTCTTCTTGTCCTTCTTCGACTTCTTGGAGCTGGACGGTGGCTCCTCGGCCGACATGAGCGCGGGGGGCGCCTGGTTGTTGCGCGCAAAGGACACCGCGTTCGCCTGGGACGAGTAGGGCGCTTCGACCGCGTTGCTGTCAAACACTTCGAGGGTGCCAAAGTCGTCCATGCTCATGTCGACGCCCTCAACATTGTCGTCATCATCCAAGCCGCCCATGGCGCGCCCGTTTGTGTCGTGGAGGTCATTGCGACGGTTGCTGCTGTCGTCGTAGTCACCAGCGCCACTGCTGCGGTTTGCGTCATTCGGGTGGTGCGCGTCGGTCGCGTCTGGGGCGTCCTGCTGCGGTTTCTCCGCCTCTTGCGCGCGATCCTTGCTCTGCGAGCCAAAGCTGGACCAATTTAGGCCGAGGCCAGCCCATTTGCTTCCACTCGACATTGGATCCGCGTTTTTTTCTGATGGATGTTGATGCCAATGGGCGGATGGGCAGTGTCGCGGTGAGGGAAGAGGTGTAGGGTGAGGAGATTGCAAATTGTGCTTGTGTGGGTCGACGAAGATTGGGGACTCTCTAGCTGGATTGGTCAGGTGGCTTGGTGCCTGGAAATTGAGGCAAATGCATGGCTGCGTGCTTGATTCTATACGGAGCGACACTATGAGATTTACAAGTGAATGTACAGCATTCTAGACTAGTTCTCCTTCTCGTCACCGTCGTCGTCTTCGTGCGTGTTCAGATTTACAGTGATCCCGTTTGGCCCCTTCTTGATCTCGTACTCTCCACCCAGCACCAGGTCCTTTGCAACCAGCTCTCTCGTGCGGCCCAGGCTCTCAATGTCGTTGATGCGCTGCAGCGTGTCCTCCAGGAGCTTGTCAAACCCTTCCAGAGCACAAATCTCCTGCCACGCGCGGTGCATCGGAACGCTGCTCGCGCGCACGTCGGCTTGGCTGGTAATGGTGATGAGGTTGAGGCTGTCGAGCTCGCGGATGAAATCGCAGCGCGTCATGATCTGCTGGGCAATGTGGAACGGGTACGTCGGGAGCGTGTGGCCGCGCTCGTCGTCGTACGTCTCCATGTCCTCCTCCTTGTCGACGAGTGCCTTGGCAAGGGTCATGGACGCCGACGCCCACTTTTGCTGATCCATCACATCGTCGTCCATCTCCATGCCGAGGATCCAGCATTGGTTGAGGAACCATCGCTTCTCAATCTCCTTGATCTTCTCGCATGTGCCAATCATATCCTTGCTCTTGGCGACGCGGTTCAGGAAGCTGAGGCGGCCGCCCACGCGTTTGTAGATATCCTCCAAGATCTCCTCGCTCACATCCTGCTTTAGGTACTTCTTCCTGTACTTGGAGAGGGCGGCCATGGCGTCTTTCTTGGGCAGATCCGTGACGCTCATGACTTCCATCCTCGTGGCCAGTTGCTTGAGTCGCTCGTACACCCAGTAATCATCCGAGTTGAACACCATGGTGACGAGGTTTGCCGCTGCCCACTGCTCAGCGCGCTGCTGCAGGAGCTCGATCAGGTCGCGGCCCTCCTCGACGTTGCGCAGCAGGTGCATCTGGTTGACAATGACGATCAGGGGCTTCCTGCGGTAGGCGCGCATCTTCAGGGCCACCTTTTCGAGTTTGTTGAGCGCGCGCTCAATGTCCAAGATGGCAGTCGACTCGCGAGGTCCCCGCTCGCTAAAGTAGCCACCAATGTAATCCTCGTGGAACTCGTAGTCCAGCGCCTTGCCTAAGCGCAGCCGGAAGACCTCTAGGTCCGGGTGTGCCTCGAACATGGCCACGGCGTCGCCGTCAATCCGGCGCATCGCCTCGATCAACATACTGCTCTTGCCGGACCCCTTCTCGCCCACGAGCAGGAAGTAGTGGCCAGCCACTTCGCCAGAGACAATCTTGTTCACCTGGTCCTGCTCGGGACGAACAACCCAGTGGTCATCGTTGCCGCCAGGCGCGTGAGGGACATCTTTGCCAATGGCAGCCAATTCCAGCACAGGGTCCCCAGGCTCAAAGGCACGCGTCATCTTAGCCACGACGAGCAGCTTGTAGCTCTTGTGGTAGAGGTACGCGGCGAGGGCGAAGCCAGACGCGAGCACGAAGATGGACGCGAACGTCGTCGCGGCCGACTCGCCCATTTTGCTGAGCAGCGTCGGTTCCTTGGGCTCCTGCTTAGCATCCTGCTTGCCTGACGATGCGTTGGTGTCTTTTCAGGTTACATGTTAGCAACTCAGGCCCATGACCGCCACATTCCGTCCCTCCCGCATGTGGGCAGGCAGGGCAGACTCACCACTTCGCCTCGCGCCATACGTCGCGAAGCGCGCCCGCAGCAAGGGCTGCCGAGATGCATTCAAGGTCTCATGCAGTGTGACTCTCGGCACCAGGGCCAAACGCGTCAATCGCGCCCCTCCACGCGTGAGCATCATTGCAAAAAGAGCGACTGCGTCCGTCGAGGACACGGAAAGTGAATTGAGACCGATGGGCGAGATGACGGAGGGCGAACCGAGCCCGCTTTCCCCTGGGTTAGGGCGATCTGGAACTGGGACTGCTCCAAGACGCTGGGTCCACGACAGCCTCCAATAAATTAACGGTGCAGGCAGGGATGTCTTAGGCCCAGCTGGCTAGGGTTCCATGTGGGAACATTTGACCATGTAAATAACCGGGTCCGCAGTGCAGTTATCACACTGACATACCAATGTCATCAGCAAGTCGGTTCAAATGTTGTTGATATGATGGAATTGCACCTCGTTGTCCACTCGCAAGTTCGAACTGAGGTCAAGGCCGCCTACGTGTAGAGGGAGGCTGCGTTGGCTCCACTGTCCGGCATACTCGCACTACAACCACAGGATGGCCTACCGGGTAGCTTATGTGTACGCTCACTTTACCTTCAACTACAAGACTTTTGCCCTGCATCTCCGGCATTAATATTCTGAGCTATCATAGCCGTCACGGATCACTTCCTCATCATATGGCTCAACTAACAAGTACCCTCCATTTGAACGACCACCCTGCCTGAGTCCAGCATGCCTCCGACGCCCCGCGAGCTCGAGGACTGGTGGCTCAGCAAAGGCCGCCTCGCGCTTCAAGAATTGCTCAACTGTTCGACACTAAACCTCACGAGCCGTGAAGTCGGCTACGCTCAAACTGTGCAGCGAAGACTGCGAGCCTTCGACGGTAATGCCGTGCTACATGACCAGCTGCGAACAGACTGGGAGGCGGCACACGAAACCAACGAGATCCGCCACGGTGTGAATCCGCGCAAGAAACTGCGAGATGCCTGCAATATTGTCTTCCGCCGAACGGACGATGGAGGCATTGTCTATGATCGCGCTCTGGAGGGCTTGGGCTGGCTTGACAAGGCTGAGAATCACCGCCAGCGCCTTCTCGCATCAACAAAGGAAGCCATGGCCATAGAGTCAAATGTTGGTGAAGTGCGCGAGAGGATAATTTCAGAACTCCAGAGCACCACTGCTAAACGCTACGCCCAATTCTACCTTGGATTTCGCGCCTCCGTGAGCACTCATCCTCCCTCTTAGGACTCCTCTGTCAACTCAAACCTTGCTGACATGGACTAGGTGCTTATGCAGAACCTCGAGCAGGGCGCGCAAGGCTGTGTCGATCTCATAAAAACAATGGCACTTCTAAACTCGTTGTTCTCCTCGGTCACACACCTGGAGGATGGTGTTGACGTTGCGCCCTCGCCCTGTTCCGCTGGCCTATGTGAAAGCATCCGCTTCACCATCTTTCGCCACATTCTCTCCCCCGATGCATTTTCCGCCGATAAGCTTGAAGAGATACGAATCAAGCTCGTCAGCTGGTGCGGGTTGCCCGACTACGAACACTCTCGCCAAAGTCTTGTCCGATACGTAGAAGAGACCAAGAAACTAGAGGATGCGTGCTTCGAGGCTCTCGACTCCATAGAAAAGCGCACAGAGACACTGCCTGGATCTACCATTCGCACCACGTCAGATGGCATGTCCTTGGTATCTCTTCACTGTCAACATGGCTCCGTGGACAATGCCAATGAGTCCGTCATGGTCTCACCAGCCCCTCCAGTGCCTAATGCCCTCCTGTTGGGGGTTTCCGGACGCGAGTTCTTCGCTGCGGAGACCGATCCCTGGGCTTTTGGCGTCGGCAAGGGCAATTGGAAGCCCTGTCGACCGCTGTCACAGAACGGCTTCGACGAGCACCCTCTAGCTCGGGAGCTGGACCTGACATCCACCGAGAAAGCGGCCCTCGGTCTCTTAATCCCTAGAGCAACACCTTGTCAGAACACGTAGGACAGTTTCGACAGCGACGACGAGGGAAGTTACACGGTCAGCAACACGGCTACGCCACCCAGGAGCCCCAAGAAGACCCCCTTCCTTCGTAACACCCCTTCAGCAGCATCGATACCTCCCATCCCTCCCATCCCCGAGTCAATCCGGGAGCAGGGCAAGGTCTGGCAAAGACTCGCCCGCCGTATCCGGTCCAGGACGGACATGCGAAGTGCAAGCACAAGTGCCCAGCGCAAGCCGGTGCTCAAATCGCAGATATCCGACCCTGCCTACATCTCGAAGCGACGCGCGCCTAGCCACGACAGTACACCAAGCACACCGACGGAACCCTCGCCATCGTACCGGTCATCAACAATATCGCAGCAGTCCGAGCAGCGCAACGTACGCTACGGCCTTGCGCAGCCACGCATTTCGCCTTTGGAGTATACACGCATGTGGTTGTTGGAGAGGGTCGACGCAGCCAGTGAGAACAGGTCTTGCCAACTGCCCGCCCCTGAGAAGATCTGGCGTTGGACGACTGGGTGGGAGAGGTTTCTTGTTCTCCCTGTTATCCCAGCGTCCATCAACAGGATGCCCAGTATTCTCGGTCCTTGTAAGAGACAGAGATCTAGCGATCCTGCTCAGGCCAAGGTGCCTGTTCAAATGTCGGACCCAAGCTGTCCGCGCCTGTCCTTGAATCTGGGTGCGCTTACATCGCTTTTCCCCTCCACGAACAATCTTATGGCTGTAGGGGAGCCACGCGCTCCAGCTACGTCTCACTCCGCAGATACAGCGTCGTCTTCAGAGAGCGAAGTTGCACCACCACCAAGAACAACGTTCAGTGAAGAATTGCCTCGTAACCAGGTTCGGAACTCTACTATGATGAACAGCAAGGGCCATCGTAAATCCATGTCAACTGGTAGCATTCTTACCGGATCTGCCGAAGAGACTCTCCATCTGCCTTCCATCTTGTACGTCGCTAGCTGTAGCGTCGAGCTCTTCGCCAGAGAATCCGCTTCTGATGCTGAGACTGCGTCAGATCCGGGTGATGCGTCGTCTGTGTACTCTCAAGACAGCCAGGAGACAGTCATCCCGCCAAAGGACATCGCCTGCAGCAAGTCAAGTCCTGAAAAACTAGAAGAGGAAGAAAACACTCAAAATCACAACATGGCCTACAGCCCACTTGATGACAGCCGCGAAAGCCTCACGGACAACGTACTGGACAGCACCGATGGCTTCTTGCATCCAGAAGACGCTCACAGAACTCAACTGACAGCGGCATACTCCGCGCGGTCCATGATTGCTGAGTTGCAGCCGGCACCTTTACGACTTCCATCCAAGTCGGGCAAAAGACCAGCTTCAAGAGCAACCACCCCTGAGCCTACAACACCAGTCCTCTGTCCCTCCACGCCCAGCATCCGTTCTGTGGAATCTACTTCAGATACCACTGTCGTGAGCACGGCGGCCAATAGGCCGTCAGGCTTCACGCCGACCAAGAATACCGAGCGCAGCCGCGCACCGCAGCACTCGCCCACGATCCCAGACTACGAGCCACGCTTCAAGATCTGTAGATCTAGGCCCAGCAAGGAACGCCCGCCGACTCCCGACTCTCCTGCTGCAACACGTAATAGCTGCGACCTGAGCTCTTTCCTCCTTGAGCGTGCCAAAGGCCGCGACACCATGACGATCCTCCCTCGATCGGAAGCACAATACTTTGCCGACACGCGAGCTCCTGGTACCCAGCAGCCGACGCCTGGTCGTCCAAAACACGTCCCCATCATGACTGCCTACTCAACCCTGCCGTCAAACATGACAACGCGCGAGCGCCTATCTCAGGCTACCCCCCATAAGCCTCCTACTCCCCACTGTGCGCCGCGTACACCATCGTATACATTCGGCAACCTCTTTCGTCGCCGCAACCGCCCCAAGACACCGACAACTCCTTCGCCGCACTACAAGCCGTTCGAGGGCGTCCCAGAGGATGGCTCATTGCGCCGTCGTAATCGCACCTTTTCGCAGAGCAGTGTACACCCTGGCCATCGCGAGTCACTCTACGATGTCCTTCGTGCCATGGATGAGAACCCTGTGCCACCACTGCCACCAACGTCAGCGTACAAGGGGAAGAAGCCCGAAGGTCTCAAGGTGGACACGGGAAGGAAACGGCTTCGCAAGCCGCAAAGCATGGAGTTGTTGAGCAAGATGAGCAACGGCGGGTTGAAGGCTGCATTTCGACGCGGTTGAAGATGGCGGGCGGGCAGCGGTGAAGTGACATGTTCGTTCTGAACCTATTGTGCTGTCTGGTCTGTACGGTGGACGCTTTGTATAGTGAATACACCTTGTCCCAGTCACAGCTTGACCGAGCCGCGAAACGGTGAGGAGATCCATTGCTCGGCATGAGACGAGGAACAGTGGGCTGGGCATTGTCATCGAACCCTCCGCGCATGACGACGACACAGAGCGGTGAGTACCGGACGTAGCGTGAGTAGCACTCGTGGACATGGATAGGCGACGAATCGGGAGAATTGGCCCGCAATTGCGGATCAACAATATGCGTAACATGGGCTAGTCCCAGAAATCACACGAGGTTCAGTGTTAATAATAGTCAGAGAAAACATGTCGGACGTGAGCCTGAACAAGAACTTCCCGATGTCTGGCACGCCAAGGGCACGGTAGCGCCCAATGACTCCAAGTGTTGGGCAGGGTAGCGTGACCGGTCACCCAGCTGAGGGCGAGGCGGTCTTGACCGCATCTTTCCCGTGTAGATCGAGACCGCTGGGTGTGGTGTGGGGGAGGGGAGGTGGAGGCGTCTTCACCAAGTCTGGGACTCTGGGTGAGATGGTGAGAACTCTGCAGAAACGAAACCTGCCCGAAAGAACTCTTCCGCAGAGGACTACATGTAGTATGTGATTCTGTGGCACCTTTTGTGGCGCGGATTCGTCAGTCAGCCGCAGCCACCCGGCGCGTAGGACGATGATCACTTGACCAGCGAACGGTCTGGATGGTAAGCTGGAAGAATGATGGCGGTTTCTTCCATGTCTTGGGTCACCTTGTTAGTCGCGTCTTTCCGGCTGCTCGATTGCCAATGGTGGTGGCCCGAGCCGATGCGATCATTGCGCATGGGCGGTGCGGTGCAGTCATGCAGTATGGTTGTAGGACGGCTGGTAGGAAACGCCGAATGTGACAGACATTGATGCGCGAGGATGCCGATTAGGCTGCCTCGGGCTCACGGCGGGCGGTGATGGATGTATGCCAAGATACTGAGGGTGAAGCGTCACGGTGTCCTGAAATAGAGAAGCCCTCATAGAGGGCTGCATGTAGAGAACGTATTGCGCTTCCTGCCTACCCGGAGCCGGTGCCTTCACGAGACTGGACACGTGAGGCCGAGCGCGTTGCCTCGCATCTGGCAGCTGATTCAGCCGTCAACTGCCATCACTGTCGGGGGCGAGAAGGACATGTCTGGTCTTTGCGGTTCCAGTCGGCAGCACGGCGATTGGTCTGTGGCTTGCCGGTGTGCAGCGCTGATCTTCCGCTCCCAGGACGACACATGTCCAAGGTCCAACTGGACCTTGACTGGGCTGGGCTGAGCTGAGCTGAGCTGAGCTGGGCTGGGCCGAATTGGGCCAGGTCGAGATATATGCACCCCTTGAGCTATTAGCGAGGATCGAAAGAGAAACAAGTCCTGGCGGTGAAAAACATTGGATCGCATCAACACAATCCATTGGGTCTTGCACTGAACTGCCCACAAGCAGCAAGTCGCAACAGGGCCTCGAATGCTCAACTCCCAGCATGGATCAAGATTCAAGCCTGTGGAGAAACAGCGCGCCAAGACCGACTAGACTGACATTAGCAAAGGAGCCCTCTGGACGGTCGGTCGAGATGGAGGCATAGCGCTGTGCTGTACGGATACGTGCAGATTCACGTCGTGAACGAACATGCTCCACGACTGGAGTCCTTGAAGCCAAAATGCTTCATCAGACTGTCTAGACAGTCCCTCCCCAGGAGCCCGACGGCTGTTGCCGAGCAGAAGAAATGAGCAGCAAACCTTCACGCCCACGGCCCGTGCCATCCACCAATAAACACCCATCTCGTGAGGGAACGGACGGCCACGGAACGGTCCTGCAAAACGGTGGTGGCACGTCCTCACTCATTTACTCACAGCACCCAGCAGCACACCACTTCACACTTACGTTACGATGCCGCCCTTGCTGACATGTATGCAGCCAGCCAGCCATCAAGAACAGTGGAGTTCCGACGCATCTCATGGGGATCTGCTCGCCCGTCCATGCTGCCGACGACGATGGAGCCCTCTTGACCCCGTCTCAGCCAGTGGCCATGTCGGAATCTCCATCTCACGCAAGCAGTTAAGACATCCCCACCCCCTGCCCCTCCATCCGTTCGTTTGTTCAACCATCCTACCTGAGGTACTGTACCATCCACCCATCCATCATCCATCGAACTCGGACGACCAGCACCTCGCAATCTTTTCCACCGCCAACTACCCTTTGTCCAGCCTGACCCGACGACGCACGACCGCCACTGCAACCACGAACGACGACGACGACGACAACGTCTTGCTCCTACCGTGCAAATGGCTGTCTGTGCGCCTCAGCACCGCCCGTCGCCTTGAATTTTCCGGTCGAACGAACCATGGATCAATTGTCGGCGTCTGTCGCTGGTGCGACTACCTGGGACGACCGAATATCCCCAGACATGCAAACGAACGACGCCACCGCTCCCTACGCTGCCGAATACCCTGCCTCATCCACGTACGCCGACTCGTGGGGGTCCGGCGGAAACGCAGAAGACCTCGAAATCGACCAGGAGGAGACGCAGTGGGAGCAGGACTCGGAGGGTGCATTGGTGATACCGAAAGTCGAGGCCGACGAAGACATCCCCCTCGACCAAGTCAAGCCGGCGCCCACCAACGACAGCACAACAAGTCCGGCGAAAGTGAAGCGGCCCAGGGGACGTCCGAGGAAGCACCCACTCGTGTCCGTCGTCAGCGCCACAAAAGTCACAAAGGGACGCTCCAAGACGGGCTGCATCACATGCAGGAAGCGCAAGAAGAAGTGCGATGAAGCCAAGCCGAGGTGTAAGTGCACCTGGGTCTCTGGCCAGGTCTACCCACGTTTGTCTGACAGAGCACTATAGGCATGAATTGCGAGAAGAACGCCGTAGTCTGCGAGGGCTATCACGAGAAGCAGGTCTGGCGCAGCGGCAAGGAGAGGGCCGAGCAGGAGCGCATAGAGCAGACAGCCAGCATCACCAACTTTCCCCTCTTCCACGGCGTCGAAACGACAGAGGACCGCATCTTCTGGAAGCACTATGTCAGCAACCTCAGTAACCTGCTCACGGTCGAGGGCGAGTCCAGAAACGCGTTCAAGGACATTATTCTGCACCTCGCCAACCGACACCAGGGCCTCATGCACTCGATCCTCTCCATCAGCAGCAAACACATTGACTGGGATGCTCCGTACGGGAAGAAAATGCTGGATGAGAACCCGACGAATCTGTTTGCGTTGCAGGAACGATCTGTCCACCACCACGACGAGGCCATGAAGCGGTTCTGGGAGGACATGAGCCACACCGTCGACCGAAACGATCCGCACTACGAATCGGAAGAGTACCAGACCACGCTGTGCGCCCGATATGGACAGATCATGTGCCGCGTTCTGCAGACGAGGATCGAGGGCAACAACAGCGGCGAGCACCGACTGCACCTCAAGGGCTACCAGGCGCTCATCGCGGACTCGCCGCCACTCGACCCGACCTTTTACAGTTTTATTACCGAGTTCTTCCAATATCACATCTACGCCGACGACCTCTTGTGGCACCCGGACACAAGCCCGGAAAGGCTGTCCTCAGAGGACTGGCGACCAATCGCCCCCATCCAGCCCCAGCGACTCGTGGGCGTCTCGGACGGCCTGCTGCACTGGCTGGCCGTGGTGAGTGGCTTGCGCGTCGTCATCCGCCAGAACATGATCATGGGCACCACGGAGCCGCCCGTCGACTACATGATGCTCTTCAGAGCGGCCGAGATCAACAGCGCCATACAGGAGTGGCAGCCCGAGTGGCCGGCCACCGACAGCAGGCACAGGATCTGTCTGCTCTACAAGCAGACCATGTTCATCTACCTCTTCAGGACCATCTACCCGCCCTCGGCGACGCCGCAGTCCACCGTCAGCGGGCTGTCCTCGACGCCTTCGTCGTCCTCCTCCACGCCCCAACGCAGGGCGTCCATGGCGGCGAGCGTCGTCTCCACCGCATCAGCGCCCATGTCGAGTTCCACCTACAACAGCTACCCGCCGCACAGGGGCCCGACGCGGCACAGCTCGATGCACGAATACGACTCCCGCGGCTACGCCTCCTCGAGGGGGTCATCACCACAAAACAAGAAGCGCGCCGTGCTCGACGACCCAAGGCTCATCAGCGCCGTCGACGAGTCCCTCAGTCTCCTCGAGTCCTTTGGACCCTCGGACCCTGCGCAGACTCTGCTGCTCATCCCGTGCATGCTCGTCGGTGTGGCGTGCTTCGACCTGGAGCGACGCGAGAGGCTGCGCAAGGCGCTGCGCGCCGTACGCGGCTACACGGGCTTGCGCAACTGCGACCGCATCCTCGAACTCCTCGGCGGCGTGTGGGCCCTCATGGACGACAGCGAGTGGGTGGCCGTCTGGGACTGGCAGGCTGTCGCGCGGCGCATGGGCGTCGATGTTCTCTGCGCGTAGTGGATACCACAGCACACGACGACGACGAGGAACGGGTTTGGAAAAGAGGGATACAGGAATGCTTTTCATATAGAGGCATTTATATAGAGGCAAGACGCTATAGCATACAGGGACTCAAAGAGCTTGAGCTCTCTCCGCAACTACCGTTTGGCATGTCGCTGGGGTAGTAGTAGGTATCATTATCACTAGGATAGACGGCGTTTTGGGCGTTGCGTTGCTTGGAGCATCGCGCACGGATAGAGAGGCGTTTTTTCACACTTGGCCACGACGCCATGCCTGTCAATGCAAATCTTTTTGGATTAGACACATTGCTTCGCCACGCATTGTCCCATCGTGGCTTCTCGTATCGACACTACTCGTCCATGGCTGACTACCTTATATTTTGCCACTCAAGCCCAAATCAACCCAGGAACTCCGTTTCCCAACCTACATACCGGCCAGCAGTATCAAGCATTGCTGCAAAAGCGCTATCTATTCTTTCCGTTGCTGCCCCTCGAAATAGAACTTGCCCAGCGGTTGCCCCTGCGCGTCGGCGCTGCTCATCGCGTTGGGCCCTGCGCTCGACTCGCCATGATCCAACCGCTGCTGCACAATGTTCTCTGCGTCTCTGACGGGCCCACGCACGGTGGTGTCCACGTACCCGTCGTTGCTGCCAGGCTGGGCATGCTGATCTGCCGCGATGCCGTCCATCAGCCTCGCGTCGCGCCGCTCCTGCAGGGCGGCAGAGGTACTCCCGTCCCCGGTGACGGCAAAGTCGCGTTCCCGTCGCGGGTCGCTCAGTCCTGAATTCGTCCTCTCCAGCACCCAAGCCTGATGCGCGGCCGTGCCGGGCGCCGGTCGTCGATGGTAGATGGGCCCGGAGACTGTGCTGCCCGCGCCCTCGCCGAAGCCGACCAACGACGCGGACCCGTCATCGTCGCTCATCCGGTCGTCGTCATTCTGCGGGGGCATGTCCTCATACATGGCGTAGTGATCCCCCCCTGCGCTCGTCACCGACCCAGCGCCCCTATACCCTGTACCTGTGCTGAGCATGTCTTCGTCTCGTTCCGCCGCCGTCGTTCGCGCGTCGTCCCCGGCGTGGCTCTCGGTGGCGTGGCTCTCGGTGGCACTGGCCGTGCCCACTGTGCTCATCTTCGTCACGGCCACAGGCTGGCCATTGCTGTCAAAGTACGACGGCGTCACCGGGTGCTGCGGCGCGTAGTTGGCCGGGAAGCCGGTCGATGTCGGGGTCGTCTGGGAGGGGGAGGGGGAGGGCGCGCCGCCCCCGGCACTGCTGGGTGGTGCGCGCAGGGTCGATACGCGCTCGAGGCCCGCGAGGCGGGAGATGCGGTCGGCGCGCTCTGCTTCGAGACTCGTGGTCGACGAATTGTGCTGGTGGCCGCCGCGCTCGAAGCCGGGGCCTTGGGGGAAGTGGCCGCGCTGGCCGTCTTTGATGGCGGTTGTGGAGAGGGCGCTGAGGGATGTGGTCGTGCTGGTGGGCGTGCCGCTTTGACTAGTTAGCCAGGGGAACGGAGCGCAAACGTAGCGAGATGGGGGAGAGCATACGGCATCTCAGAAGGGGTATCTGGATTGGACCCTGGCGGGGGGATGGTGATCATTGTGGGCGGAGGTGCTTGCGCCATGGTTGCGCTGGCGGGTGATACGTTCACAGAGTAGTAATTCAAAGTCTTATTACTGTCTGCGTCGCTATGATCCTGATGGCTGCTCGATATGGGTTGGTCGTGGAGACGAGAACGTGACTATCACAGGTGCTGGTGTAGTTAATAACGTGGGATGGAAGAGCTTTGGGAATGGTGAAACTGTAAGATTGCTCGCTTCCTCCGTTGCTCCTGCCAGAACTTTGAAGCCCACCATCACCCAGGCCACCTGCCGCCCGCTCCCAGCGGCCCAGGCCCAGGCTCTAGCTATAGCCTATTCCCACTTCTGGACTTCAGGGACCAACCGCGTGCGGATGCGATAGTAGCGATAGATGACGTAGCGTCTAGGCTCGAGACCAATTCGGACTGGCCTCGGGGCCCCGCAGAAGCTGGGCAGCGTTCAGTCTTGCTAACAGCATGACTGGAGTTTGGTTCGTTGGGTAGGACAGACCTTTCTGATGCCGTAGCTCATATCCAGACGGATAATTTCGGATGCGTGCTGGATCAACCTAGCTCTTGTCCGGTCGTGAGAAGCAGACCCAAGAGCCTTAGCCGCTTGCCGCAGTAAACCACCAATGCCCTGGTAGTCACTAGCGCAAAGGGCATGCAGCGAGCCAGCGACACCCTTCGAAAGTTCAGGATTCGGTACCGCTGAAAACAGCAGAACCACGTAGTCTTCTTCGTGTGATTGAGCAATTTGAGATGATCTTTGTTCCAGAAAACGCAGATCTCGCAAGAGGCAGACTTGACATTACGCGCAGCTAGCTATCCAAGTACATGTATCCGTCGTTTCCACCAAATCGTGACAAATAGAAGCCCTCGACATCGCACCCTCGCCAACAAATAAATCATGCTACTGACAGCATGCCGATAATCATGATGCCAGAGGCAATGCTCAAAGCCACAAAGCCCGGGTCCATCAGCGACACCGCCGCACTATCGTCCCTCGGCGCGCTGGCTGTTGCTTCGATCGATGGTTGCATCCAGGTAGACGTGTGGACGACCACCTTTGTGATGCCGAGGATGCCCGTCTCTGCCGCAAGCGAGCCATCCATGGCCTCGGTGGCGTTGAGACCGGTGTCGACGGTGATGGTGCCGGTGCCGATATCACTGGCGACAACCAAGGTGAAGAAGAGAAGGAGAAAGGCAAAGATTCTCATGGTGATGGATTGAAAAGGAGTAGAACGGGGCGAGAATGCTCCCTGTAGATGTTTTTGTAATGAGTGGAAGGAGTTGAGAAACTCCAGACGTACGTTGATGGTTGAAGAGGTCGATACACCCCCGCCGCTCGGTGCACAGGGTCTCTATAAGAGTTGGATCTCATATATGGATTCGCTTCTCGCAGTCGTGACGCGCTGGTATGCTGGGCGGCTCACAAGCAGCCTTGTCGCGGTTGCCCCTGGCGAAGGGTTCGAGTGTCTCATGGAGCAAGACATCATCCGTGTGTTCGAGATGGGCCTCATGTCTCCGCGGATTCCAAGCCTCACGCGAGCAAACATCATCCCGGAACGGGCAAAAGTATGTGCGCCCTCGTGGGTCAGTGTTGCAATCAAGAAGGCATTCGACCTGTGTGTTGTACATGGCAAGTATTCCAATCTCAAAGAGGCGCTGACTGGTGTGTCTTTCCCGGGGACACCACATGTTCGGAACAATACAGAAACCAACTAAGGCAGGCCACCTTGGTAGAAGCGGTTAAGCAGAGCCACACAGACAGGGTGAGACTACTTGCGAGTCACCAAAGCCCTGGCGAGCTCGACTGTCTCTGTGATGTGTGCAGCCAAGGCCCTGGTAGGACCGCAGCCCTGTGCGGTGTAAGCAAACAAGCAACGATGGGAGGGAAGATATTATCTCACCTGTCGCCCTCACTTCCCCTAGCTGCCATGCATACTTTCGGAATTGCTCGCGATCCGGCGGCCGTTATTCATACCCCCCTGACCACGTTCCACTATGGATATCTTAGCGCCATGGAGGACATCATGCGAGATTGACGAGTAAAAGAGATGAGACATGATAAATTGTTTGCGCCCACACGACATATGTGCGATATTATATGCAAAAAGATATAGAAAAGTGTGCCGACTTTCACCTTCCCTCTTCCTATGTAATGCTTCTCCCAAACGAGCGCCACCATTAAACTACCAAACTCCCATTCCTATGTGTATCGTAGATTTTGTGATTCAGTGTACGTCTTCGCGCCATGTCTGTCGAGAGCTGTCTATCGATAGTTCTCTGATGGCATCTCGTACACAGGGCCATGAGACTGGTTCAGGGCCGGTTGGCTATCAATCTCCGTGGCATGGGGGTTCGCCCAGCGAGAGGCGGCAGCGTCATTGTGTGTACCGAGCTCTTGCGGCTGGGCGTAGGAGGCGCTGTCCATCTCGGCGGCCGTGGGGTGCTCAGGCAGGACATCAGGCCCGGACTGCAGAGTACTAGTCCGGTCCGCGGGACGGGAGTAGGCCGTGTCCGGGCTGACGGGGCTGGGCGACAGAGGGCCTGGGCTCTTGTTGATGCCCGAGGCACGCGTGTAGGCGGCGCCGTAGGTCTCTGGCTTGGCGTACCCGGCCCGACCATCGCCCATGGCTGTCCCGCGGTATCCCTCAGGCGCCTGGTATGGCTTCGGCCCGGCCGCAGCAGCGGCAGCAGCGGGCGTGAGGTGGCTGTTGGTGGAAGGAGTGTGGGACATGTCGGGCGTGCGGGGACCGGCGGCAGCGCCAGCACCAGCAGCACCGCCAGCAGCGGCGGCGGCACCGACAGGGACCTCGGAAGCGCCAAAGGCATTGTCGTCAGGGTTGTACTTGGGGCCGCTGCGGCGCTTGCGCCAGCAGAAGAAGATGATGGCGCCGATGATGGCGAGCCCAGCGACACCCACAGCAGCACCGATGCCAGCCTTGGCACCAGTCGAGAGACCATCGCTGTCATCGCTACTGCCACTGCCACTGCTGCTGTCGCCATCGCCATCGTCATTGCTGCTCGTCTCGGTGGCCTCGGAGATGCCCGTGGAAACACTGGAGCTCGTGACGGTGAGGGTGCTCGTAACAGTCACAGTGGTTCTAGCATTGGCCTGCTCGGTCTCGGTCACGTCTTCGGTCACCGTCGTTTCGCTCGTAGCAGTCGAGACGGCGGTGCGGGTGACTGTGTCCACCACGGTAGTATCGGCGCCCTGGTCCCCGGTGACGGTCTCCGTGACAGTGATAGTGTCACGCTTGGCGAGGTGAGCCCTCGGCTGGGCCATGGCAGGGTTGTGCTCAGCAGCGGACGTGACGACCGGGGGAGGCGCGTGGGTGGTCGGGACGGCATCCACGTGGGCAACAGTGCGCATGGCCAGTTCAATGCCGCGGCGCTCGTTGGCCCACTCTGTAGATGTCTCATAGATGGTAGTAGTCGCGGTTTCCTCGTCGCTGCTGGTGACGGTAGTAGTCCTGAAGACGGTCTCTGTCACAGCAATGGTGGTCGTGCGCGTGGTAGACACCGTCCTGGTACTAGTGGCGGTATCGCCATCGCCGCCGCTTATGGTTCTGGTGACGGTGACTGTTGTGTCACTGCTGGGGTCTTCCGTGGTCGTGCTGTCTCCTCCGTCGGTGGTTGTGGGGTCGGCATCTGTCGTCGTCTCCGTGACAATATTGATTTCCGTGCTGACGGCATCGCTGCTTGAAGTGCTTTCGTTCTGCCTCTTGGCGAGTTCGCCGGCGTTGCCGAGGGCGATGAGAAGGGGGAGACCCCAAATTGGCCTCATGATGGGCAAGGACGCAAAAACGTAGCAAAGACAGAGGGAGATGAAAGGAGAATTGTAGAGAAGAATGAAGAGCGTGTGAAGTGAAGGGCCAGGCGTCGGCGAAAGAATGTCGGGATGGCTGTGACTGAATGAGCGAGTGTTCTTGTTTGGTGATTCGGGAGGAGGATTGATGCGACGGAAGAGACTGGTGGCCGTGGCGTGCGCGTGAGCACAAAGGGTGATGGCAGGTGGCCGCTGGGCTACGGCCCACAGTCACGGTCACTAGCGAGTGGAGCGATGGTGGATACGGGCTCTGGTCGGCCAAGCACCGCCATCCATCCATCCATCCAGTCGACTGGAGCCCCGAATACGAAAAGGATGTGCGCGACCCTGCTGCGGCTGGTGCGAATTGCAAATAGGGCAATGTCTTTCCCTGAGGCTGATGTCAAGTCGATGCAAGTCTGTATACGATCAAATGTCAGTCAGAGCCGCTTCCCCCAGAATAGTAGCTAATAAGGGACCTCTGTTGGTCTCCCGATGATTCGCTGGTCGCTGCCGGGAGTGGGAGCGACCAGGCTTGGCCCTGGGGTGCAGTCCCTGTGGATCGGCCCGAGTGCGCATGTGAATTGTGTACGGAGTACTCTGTATCCGTACCTACGTAGTACGTGCCTTTTCGTTGGCGTCGTCACTGGGGACGACTTTGGTCAGTGCTGATCAAAAGAATCGCTCGTCTTCCAAGGACGAACAAAGTGACTGGAAGTAGGATCGTTTTTGATGATGATGAAGCATTCGACGATCATACGGTTACGCACGGAAGGAAGACACGTCCTAATCAGGAACGGACATGGCTGGCAGCAGGCAGGTCCCCCGACCGGTAACAAGAAGGAATTTGGAAGGCGTCACACATTGGCATTTCTCCTTTTCTGCTTCGGTCACTCCAACTCCCCAAGCCGCTTCCACTTATTCAAGGTACTTGAGGCTTTAATTTTTGATTACCCTTGCTCAGTGACACTCCCCCCACGAGCTGCTTGTCTGAGCTACCAGTAAACAATACCATAATCCCATCCATCACTCAGCGACATCATGAAACACCTCTTCCCCTAGTCTCAGCTGTATGCGTTTCCGCCAGACATAAGACGGGCTCTGGACATTGCTGAGGCAAATACCTTCCACTCGAAAGACGAAACTTAGTCCTGATCCATGCTTTTGGGACGTATCCCCGTCTCCCAGTCAATGACACCGAGTCGTCCGCTTCAAGTATCGATGAACATGTTTCTAGGCTCCATATCGCAAGGATAGAATAGAAGGTCTTGGAAGAGCAATCCATGCCACGTCCTCGCAATGGGCCAAGAGAGTTGAAAGCCTGAAGTCCAATGCTTTTCCTGGGATCAAAGTACTCAATCGGGAAGGTCTTGGCCATCAACGCCGCAAATATGATCGTGTATCCACAATGCTCATTCCATGCAACAGCTTGCTCTCACATGCTCTCGTTCATCGTGGACCACGCTTTTGCAATAATTTCACCTTCCACCCGGCTCTAAAAGAGGCAATACCTCCCTTTTGCTCTTCGTGATGGAGGGCTCCTGGCACTTCGCAAGACAGTGGGTGTTTTCTCGTGAACGAAGAGTAAGGTGCTGTGTTCTCGCGAGAGAAGGATCGTCTCTCCAATAACCCAGCAGTCTCTACCGATCACTTGCTTAGGACCCCTAACGGGGGGAAATCGCCAGTCATCTAGGCGTTGTGTGCTATCTAGTCAAATGGTATCCGTACCGTATGACTTGTGAGTCGAACTCGTCCGTCCGCCAGCTGGCAGTGACTATTATTAGCCGCAGTCGCCTATCAGTGCTCAGCCACGCTTGCTCTACAGAGTATAGGCAACAGCGCAGTCTCGGATTCCGCTCGTTCCAATCCAAAGCCCATATCATGCAGACACGCACAGGCTGATTTCCATGTTTCATGTTCACTGCACGCAGCTCAGACAGAATGATTGGCTGCCCTGCTTCCATGAGATGAAGCAAGACAGCGGCAGCATGTTTCTTCGTAATTATGCGGTGGTGAGGGAATCGTCACATTTTCATAAGCATGTCTATATCTAGGGGGTATTGCATGCGTCCTGCGCCTTTGTTGCCCATCACCACCGCACACACAAGAAAAAGATAAACTAGAAATTCTCCTTCCCCCACACAAACGAGAACCTGTTGGTGGTGTCAGTCACTTTGTCTGCCTCTGTCAAAAGATCCAAAACTTACCCAGGCTCGGTGTACTTGTTGCAGTACACGTGCAGCGCGCTCCCCAGCCCCTTGGGCCCGCAGAAGAAGACACCCGCGTCCGTGGGCGCGTGGAGTTTCCGGATGCCGCGAAAGATCATGTCCCAGTTGGGCCGGCCAAAGTTGGTCGGGCTGCGCAGGCCCGTGATGGTGTCCTTGTCGGCGTTGGCGTCATTGATCATAATGTTGGTCGCGTCGTCCGCCTTGATCTTGGCCGTGAGGTAGGTGTGAATCTCGATCCGGTTGTCCAGGTCCTGGGCCTCGACTGCCAGCAACAGCGAGCGGAACCACTCAAAGGAGCCAAAGTCGCGGCAGATCCAGAAAAAGTACACCTTGCTGAGGCGCGTCCGCTTCTTGGGGTAGTTCATCCGGTACCAGATGGACTTGAGGATCGAGGCGAACGGCGTCACGCCAATGCCCGCGCCCACGAGAATGGACACGTCGTACTTGAAGACATCCTCCGACGCCGAGCCAAACGGGCCGTCGACGTAAACCCGGGGCAGTGGGCGTCGCAACATTGGGTCCATGTTGTTGCTGTTGCTGTTGCTGCTGCTGTTGTCCTTGCCGCTTATACCAACAACCTTGCTCGTCTCGGCCTTTTTGTCCCAGTCGCACCCGAGCGTCTTGCCCAGCTCCTTGGTGAAGTCACCAACGCACCTCATATGGATGGAGATGTAGTCCTCCTCCGGCGCACTCGTGAGCGTAAAGGGGTGGTATTGCCAGAGCGACACCGCCGGGCAGCACAGGAAGATGTATTGGCCCGCCCTCGTCTTGGTGTTCTCCTTCTTGATCTGGATCTCACACACGTTGCTCGGGTGCTGGATGACCTTGGAGATGTACGTCTTGTGTCGGCCACGGACCTCGCGCGCCACGCGCTCCGCCAGGTAGATGAAGCCTCCGTACATCCAGTACTGCCAGAAGACGCCAATCGCCGAGGCGCCCAGGCTGGTGCAGAAGGGGGCCACGTCCGGCTGGATCATGCAGAAGGCGCCGTGGATCGCCCAGAACAGGAAGAAGACGATGAACATGTGGTGCGTGTACCAGAAACGCTCAAAGTTGGCCCTCCGTGTCTTCTCGATGGACGTGGCCACCATGCCCGTAAGCGCAATGAGCATGACATAGCCCGTCCATCCTGGCCCCGAGGCAAAGTTGGCCAGGAGCCAGCCATAGAATCCCAGTCCGTTCTTGGCGGCGACCTTCCCAAAGTTGACCCAGTGAGCAATTGTGTGCAGCCATGAGAAGAAGAAGATGCTCCACGCCGTGACCTTGTGGAAGGTGATGTTCTTGTCGAACTGAATGATGCCGTTCAGCGGCGTTCTTCGCAGCAGTGAGATGAGCGTCCGGCACACGGGCAGCAGTATGATGGCCACGTCCACATGTAGCACGAGCGCCGCCGCTCTGGCCACCACAAATGTGAAGCCTATTTCTCGCTGTGAGGATTTAAGACTCTCTTTCATGGAGTAGTGCACGCAGCCAAACGCAAAGATGAGCGCATGTGCGAGGCTGAACACAAAGACAAAGAACCGACGATACCCTTCGTTGATCATCCAGCGACCGAATTTTTGCTGTGGTGTGAGCTCCTTTTGTCGTTCCTGGGTCATCTCGCCGGATAGGAGCATCCGTGTGAGAGGCGTCCATCGCGCGCGCTCCGTGGGTTTGTCGGAGACATAGTACGCATCGTAGGACATGGTATCGGCAGGAGCCTCAAAGGGCTTTTGGGGGATCGAAAGGCAGACCAGCTGAGGCGAATAGAGGGCTCGTAAGAACTTATGATTAGCGATAAGAGAAGAGAAGAGAACGTGTCCTGCTCATGTCAGTCAGTCGCGGGCCTTTCTCTCTTGTAAGGGCAGCAGCCACACTTACCAGCACTGGGAAAGCCGGTTGAACAAAACAAGTAGCGAAAAATTAAATAATTTGAGATGTCAAGCGAAAGGAAGAGATGCACAGGCAACACATTATTACTTGGCTGTGTCCAGACGAACGACTTGACCCTTTACCCCCGGCCCTACTAATCAAATACCGTCCGTCCGCGTGTCCAGGGGCCCAAACGTGGTTCTCGAGTATTCGCAAAAAAAAATCAGCCCATTGCTAGTCACTGTTTGTCTCATCGCTTCGCCATTCGCCTGGGCCGTTGCAAGTACTGTTTGCGTAGCCTGCGTCGGGAACATGTGAAACGCAGCCCTGCCACGGCTTGTGTCGCAGATCCTGTCACGCCTCCTGAGGCTGGGCGGCTACGCCCAATCGCATCGTGCACGATTCGCATTTACTACATTTAAATCACCACTGACTTATCCACTTTCCCAGTTTCTTCAAGATGCAATGCTGTTATTGAGCTGTCAAAAGCTCGTCAATGCTAATTGTACTGTCCCGTAACTCTCAATAACCCAAGTATCACTCATTGCCTCTCTCAGTGATGTGTCTCCGGCGCCGCCGAGTTGAGCTACACGTAGCCTTCCGCCTGCTCACTACCAAACTCGCATTGCCAGTCTCAGATGGCATACTTGCGAGTCCACTCCCGGGCTGTCGCCTCGTATCGCGGACGGTCTGTCTTGTACACGTGGGCAATCTCCGGGACAAGCGGGTCATCGGGGTTGGGGTCCGTCAGCATGGAGCAGATGGAGAGGAGTACTGCCGCTGGTCAGTCACCGTCATGGAAGCATGTCAACGAGCCTACCTTTGCTGATGGTCAACGCGGGACTCCACTGGTCACGCAGAATGTCGAGGCAGATGCTGCCGTTGGAGTTGATGTTGGGGTGGTAGATTCTGGTGGTGAAGTTGACCTTGGGAGGCTTGAAGGGGTAGTCGGTGGGGAAGTGGATGGCGAGGAAGAAGACGCCGCCCGAGTAAGGTGAGTCGCCAGGGCCCATGATTGTCGCTTGCCAGTGGAACTGTGCAGAGTTGTCAGCATGATGATGGTGGTGGTGATGCCCTGCCGGGCTGCACCAGGGCGCTGCTTGTCTTACCAAATCTTCACCAACTGGACCGGCGGAGCATGACGAGGGAGGGTCGCTGTGAGCAGGTTAGCGATGGGACATTCCTCGTACAGGCATCTCTTTGCCCGCTCGGCAAGTCTGCCACGCTGCCACGCTGCCACGGCGCTTCGTGATCATTTTGCACAATCCCATCATCCAAGGACCCCGCTCATATGTCAGCCCCACCTTGGGATCTGCTTGGGCGTCTGGGAGCGACAGCACGGCGGGCAGGCGAGCCATTTGAGGTAAAATCTGATAAACGTACCGGCCGAGGTCAGCGAGCTCCTTGTTGATGCGCTTGAGAGCCATCGTATGTTGTGTTGTGTTGTGGTTGTTGGGTATCGAACGAAAGAAAGTGTCGTGATTCCGTGCAAAGCGTCGGCTCGCACTGGGAAAGTGTCTCCTGCAAGGCGGGACCCGGGTTAGCGACAATGCGGTTTGGTGACGGGACCTGGAAAAAGTAGCTTGGGAACGCACGACGAGGGTTAGTCGATCGAGAAGATTTTCGGATCTGTGTCAATAACGGTCCGCCGTAGCAAGGGTCTATCGTCGTCGCTCGTGATGGTTTGTGACGAAGAGAGGGTTGGACTGCAAGGTGGGAGGATGGGAAGACAAAGTCGTCACTGCAAGTGGAGTGGCTGATGACTGGCCAGCCGGGGCGCCCAACAGTGGTGCCGTCAGGTTTTTTGTCTGGGCCACACCCGCAACGCCACACAAGGTGACTAACACGCGTCCACCAACATTTGCATGGAGGCATGTTAGCATAATCGTATTTCTCAGCATCATCTAAGGCTCTCGTGATTCACACTCATCCACCTATATCCTTCGGTCACATTCGACAAGTTGCCTTCATTCACTCATAATGTCATCACGATATGCTGAGACTGCATTTCCAGCACAGCTCATGAAATCACACGCACAAATCTGGATCAACAAGGTTCTCAACTAATGAGGCTACAACGCTGCCATTGTTATACAAATGCCTGCAAACCCGTAATGGCCCGGCCTAGAATCAGGCTATGGATGTCGCTCTGTCCCTCGTACGTCTGTGTCACGAACAGATTCGCGACATGCCTCCCGATGCCATATTCGTCGCTCACGGCATTGCCTCCAAACACCTCCTGCAGCACGCGTGTATTTCGCAGCGCCGCATCGCAGTTTTGTCGCTTGACCATGCTGATCATCTCCGGTGTCGCCTTGCCCTCGTCCTTGAGTCTGCCGACTTGGATGGAAGCAAGCGTGCCGTACGCCACGTCGGTGGCTGCGTCGGCGAGCTTCTTCTGGACCAGCTGGTATTTGGCAATGGGGTTGTTCTTGAACTGCTTGCGATCCAGCGCATACGTGCGTGTGCGAGCCAAGGCGTCCTCGAGCGCGCCCATGACACCCAGCGAGATGCCGTAGCGGGCGCTGTTGAGACAGCTGAAAGGACCGCGAAGCCCCTCGACCTCGGGGAACATGTTGGCCTCGGGCACGGGGCAGTCGTCCATCTGGATCATGCCTGTGACGGAGGCCCTGAGCCCGTTCTTGTTCTTGATGGCTGGTGTTTCCAAGGTGCCGGGGAGACAGTCCTTTCTCTCGACCAGGAACCCCCTAATCTTGCCCGTCTCCTGCAGCTTGCCCCAGATCATGAGCACGTCAGCAATCGGGCTGTTGGTGATCCATGTCTTGGAGCCGCTCAACAAGAGGTAGCCCTTCTTCGTGGGGTGTGGTCTCGCTACGGTCTCCATGCTGCCAGGATCACTACCGTGATTTGGCTCGGTGAGGCCGAATGCACCTAGGATCTCTCCCTTGGCCATCCCGGGAAGGAACTTGTCCTTCTGCTCCTCGGTGCCAAACTCATTGATGCCGCCCATGACCAGAGACGACTGCACTGACATGCCGGAACGGTAGCCGCTATCGACGCGCTCCACAGCGCGGGTGATGAGACCACCGGCTACTGTCGACACACCCGCGCAACCGTAGCCAGAGATGTTGGCGCCCAGCAGCCCTAACTCACCCATCTCCTGCAGCATCTTGGCGTCATAATGCTCATCACGGTAGGCCTCTGAGAAGATCAGCGCTGTTCTCCCGATCGCGAGAAAATCAAAGGATACATACGTAGCACGCGTGGCGCCAAGCGCTCTTGACAGTACCGTTCGGCAGTCTCACTGATGGCAAGCTCTTCCTCGGTCAGAAGATTTTTAGAAGCGAGAGGATCTTCCCAGTTGAACGGGGCACCTGGCTGGACTGCGTAGAAGCGAGCAGCAACCGGCTTCACCGAAGCCTGGCGCGCGCATGTCCTCAATACTGGGCGAAACATTGTAAAACTGTTGAAAGTGGTGGATGTATTGGAGAGCATCTGCTCGGCAAGCCTCGGTCTGGGGAAACGGGGAACAGATCGAGAAGGACGAGGCCGATGACGGACCCCGCCAAGAGGTATCGGCGCCACCCGCCCCAGATTGTCGGCACAAAACTAGGTCTAGGTCATCACTTAGCTAGAACAGGGAACGTGCGTACGTATTGATCTCGTTGTAACCTTGTTAACTACCAGCTTGCGCCCTTTCATACACTGATTTTCCAGACACTTTGCCCAACTTGCCGGTTGCCCCCCCCGTCTCAACACTGACTTCTGGGCTCGGACTCTCTTCGTGTGGCGGGTACGTTTCCACGATGATTGTGTCTTGGGACAACAGCCTAGCTCGCGATACACGAGCTAACCTCCTGCGCTCCTTCCCATCGAGTATGTGAGGAGCCATATCGGGTGGTGCGCGATACAGCGTAGCTGAGTATCCACCAAGGGACCGCCAGATGCGTGCGCTACGGAACCGAAGGACAAGTCGAGAAATAAGACCCGTGGGTGTTGGCGGCTGAGAACGGGAGACGCGACGAACCTGTTCCTGAAATCGAGCCTATTCTGGTCATCAACACGTGTACATGATATCGGTCTTCCAAAACTCACGAATTTGTCGCCCTCTGTGTGCCGTAGCTCCAGACACAAAGTCGTAGCACGACTCTACGGATCATCCTGGAGCGAGGCACATGGAGAGAAGCTGGCCTTCTCGCTCTGCGGTGGGAATCTAATGCTGCTTGGTGTATCACGGAAGATCAGCAGTGCTGGACTGCTGCTGGCGCGTTGAGCGAGATTGATGGCAACGCCGTCTTGGAAGGGTGACTGAAAGTCAATGGGTGTTTTGGCTGAGGCATCGCCGCCAAGAGAGCTGGTGGACATCGTTTCAGAGGTGAGCTGACAGGTTCATTATCGATATTGCAGCGGTGCAGAGGTTTGAGGATGAGCAAATGAGAGTTGGTGCAGTGCTCTCGATGCTAACAGTCTACCTATATCTTGCCTCCCGATGTAGTCTGGAGGGGTTTCTGTATACAAGGGGCAAGTTGCCTGAGGTTGTGACCAAGTCGCTCTTCCCTCGTGAGCATCAAGCAGCACCTGGAGCCCGTCTCTTCGCTGCGCTGCTCCTCTGACAATGGATTGTACTACTGCTCATATACGCCTTCAAAATGACGTATGCTGTCTTGGACATCTTGACACTTGAGTCTTAAACCGAACTAAGGAGAGAGGCTAGAGCGGCCCGTCGATCTTCAACATGGTCCTCGAAGGCAGGAAATCACCCATGAGGTCATACAAGGACAGACCACTTACCTTGGCAAGATACGGGGAACTTCAAACCAAACTGCACTGAGCGCATAATTAAGGGTGATACCAGCACCAATGTTGGTCACTTGAACTGTCAAATGCAACTTCCACGGGGCCGGACAACCCGCAGTCCCATATCAACAAAAAACGGGCTTGTCCAAAGTCCGGGCCTCTTTCGCCCGGATCGCTTAATTTAGTTACGCGCAATATTATGCCCAGGACTCTAGGAGCTCGGTGAGCATCCTTCTACGTACATGCAATTCGGTATGGCATAAGGTTCTGGATTCATTTATAGAATCACCCTGGTCCATTGGTAGCGGCTGGATACGTTGTGGCCCCCGGCGCATAACGCAATTCGCTTCTGGGGCGGAGATACGAGCGTCAAGCGCACAATGGTCAAGCCAAGCCTGCAAAGACAGACGGGGGTCTTCACATGTCGCAGAGGGATCACGCTTCATTGTGACAGACCAGTGAAATGCAAAGGGACGTGGCTGCGGCCCGATGACGGCAGATTCAAAACAGCAATAACCTCCCATGATGTTGATGAGAGTGAGGATCTCTACTTGTAGTGAATAATAGTGGTTTATTATAATCTACAGTCCGAGGATAACGTGGTGGCTGTCATATCGTCGCTAGTTGGCAGGACACGGTACATGTACTTCTTTACCTTGCTTTAGGTTCACCGTTCTTCTAGTGGTCTCAGCCCCTGAAGCGCCCACTGCCTGCCCTAGAAGGCCTCATGTCATCGCCGCTCCGACCAAAAGTGGACGACAATGGAGTTGACATGGAATAACCAACTCTCACTCACAACAACGACATCGTCGTCTTCCTAGCCCCTATCCGCTGCTCTCGTTTTCATCACGTCGCCTTACAGTTCCACGCATTCTCAACCATATCAATGTCCCATCATTTTGCGATTTGATTAGATAAGCCAGAACTCCTTCCACGCGATATTGGGGGTGCCAAGCCTCGACTCAGGCCGCGCCAGCAGCTCCACCACGTCCAGTCCACTCCTTGAACAGCCAAGCCAAGCCTTGAACGCTTTGGGCGAGGCAGAGGCCCTTTGCCAATTCCCTTCATTTCCGCTCCTCGCGACGCCCCGGCACCGCCATCACCCACTCGCAGTGTGTGCAGAGACAATAGACGGCGGCCAGCTGGGCAGTCACTCCGTCTTGCTCCCACTCCCCCTCTCAAGCTGGTTGGAACGACGTAGCCTGTTTGACAACTCGATTGATCACGAACCAACGATTGCGACGTCCGACGGGCCATCATCATATCAGGCCGCGATGCCCTCATACGTCGACCCGACACCCATCTACAACGACAGCGACGCCGATATCCTCAAACTGGAGTCCGACTACGAGTATCCCAACCCCAAGGCGAACGGGGCTCACCCGGCCCATCGCATCCCACCGGCGGCCATCAATGAGCCCTTTGACGAGGCGTCCAACTCGTCCATTCACGACTCTGACGCTTCAGGCTCTGCGTTGGACACTGCACCGATGACTGCGGCGTCGACCACGACCAACACAAATGGCAATATTACGCGAGCCACGAGCATGAACTCTCTTCCCAACGGCAAGAGTGGAAGGGATGACGAACCCGGTCTGCCAGATCGGTCGCGTTTGCCCAATGGTGTCGATGGCAGCCATGCCGAGAAACCCAGACGGAGCACTGAGCAGCAGAACAAGCCCAGCCTCCCCACAATACCGTCAGAGGCCGAGTCGTTGTCGTCACAAACCAAGTCGTTCTTCCCCCCTATAGCATCGCCAGTAGGCGAGTCTGCAGCACCGCCGCGACAAGCTTCACCGCACCGCCTTTCTTCTCCTCCAATCTACCATGGCAGCTCTGTCAACAGCCCATCATCACCCTCACACCTGCAACCGCCGCATCCCGGTGCCGCGTTAAAGCAGAGACACACGCTTGAAGTGCCCAAAATAGCCTCGGCAAAAGTATCGAAAGATGGCGGAGATTCAGCGCAGGCTAGTGGGCGCTTCTCCCCTACTGTCGGAACCAACGCTGGCAGCGGGAGGAGGGCTTCCCTGAGCTTGGCGAGGCGGACAACGCGGTCCATGCAATCCGACGCACCGCGCGACGAGGTGGTCCCCGACGAGGATGTTGCACGCTGGGCAGAGGCATTGCGTCAGAAGCGGGCGAGCAAACGCAGGCGCAAGGAAGAAGAGGACGACGACAGGGTACTGGTCGGGACAAAGGTTGACGAGACGCACGCCAACTGGGTTACTGCGTATAACATGTTGACGGGAATCCGGGTGGCCGTCTCCAGGACAAACGCCAAACTCGACCGGGACCTGACCGACGCCGACTTTGATGTCAAGCAAAAGTCAACGTTTGACGTGGCTGGGAACGAGCTGGTCCCCTCGGCCAAATACGACTTCAAGTTCAAGGATTACGCGCCTTGGGTCTTTCGCCATCTACGGTCTCTGTTCCGCATCGATCCCGCCGAGTATCTCATGTCCTTGACGGGTAAGTACATTCTCTCTGAGCTGGGCTCGCCGGGCAAGAGCGGCAGTTTCTTCTACTTTTCGAGGGACTACAAGTACATCATAAAGACGATTCATCATGCGGAGCACAAGTTCCTCCGCAAGATTCTCAAGGACTATTACCAGCACGTCAGGGACAACCCCAACACGCTTCTCTCGCAATTCTACGGCCTGCATCGTGTCAAGGTGCCATACGGCAAGAAGATTCACTTTGTCGTAATGAACAACCTGTTTCCCCCTCATCGGGATATACACACCACTTTCGACTTAAAAGGCTCAACAATAGGCCGGGACTATAGGGAGGATGATTTGGACAAGAATCCGCGGGCCACACTCAAGGATCTCAACTGGCTCCGCCGAAAGAGACAGCTCGAGCTGGGAATCCAGAAGAAAAGAATGTTCCTGGAGCAGTTGCAGAAAGACGTCAAGCTGTTGAAGAAACTGAAAATCATGGACTATTCGCTTCTGGTTGGCATTCACGACTTATCCCGGGGGAACGAAGAGAATCTCCGGGACAAGACATTGCAGGTGTTCAACCCAGGAGGCGAGAAGGACCGTGGTGATGAGCCACCGTCTGTGCTCTTGAGGACACCGTCCAAGTTGGAGAATGCGCGCAAGGCACGCGAATTAAGGCAGATGATTCGGTCTGAGAGGCCCGTGCCGATCGGTCAGGTGTTGGAAAAGGACCAGCTCGAGGGGCAGGCCCGGCCCGGGTTCGTCTTCAACCAGGATGACGGCGGTTTCCAGGCGACGCACGAGGATAACACCCCAGCGGATGAGGTGTACTATCTGGGCGTCATTGACTGTCTGACACACGTGAGTACCCTTGCCATGTCCCACGGAGGAGCGCAGCTGACAGTTGGTAGTACGGAATGATCAAAAAGATTGAGCATTTCTGGAAAGGTCTGACCAATGACAAGACACAGATCTCAGCGCTCCCGCCTGATCTATACGGCGACCGATTCTACAACTTCATCGAGGGCAACACCATGTCCACGGAGGAGGCGCATAGGGAAGCGCAAAGGAAAGACGCGGAGATGATTCAGGCATCGCGTACGTCACAGTCAAAGAGGCACCACACCATCCCACCCATGCCAGATCACCTGCCGCCGGCACCACCACCGGATAGGACGATGTCACCTGAAGGCCGGGAAGTTCTCGAGATGGCATCTGTGCAAGCCCATCGCACCGAACAAGCGGGCGCATCGGAGCGACATGTGCCTGATCGCACGCTGCGGACGTCTGCCGGGCAGCGCGACTCACAGCAAGGTGAGGCCATCCTACCTGTGGTAGAAGAGGCCGGGGACGACGACATGCGACCGAGGACCCCGGCCAAAGACAAGATGCTGCCTCCTACCCGCGCCCCGCCGCCGACACCACCCAAGGCGAACAACACCAGCAAGGCTGAGAGCTCAGACAGCGGCTACGGAGGGCAGCCCAGGCTGAGCAAGGAGAGTCTTCGTAACAAGACGCTTCCGCCGTTGCCAACCGAGCCAGGGCGCACGACGGCATAGATAGCCTGGTTGTCATACCCCTGGGACTATTACCTTGCTCGGTGAATGCGCGAGTGGAGGACGGAGACTCATCATACCATTTTGTTTCACATACACTCAAGACAAACCACGCGAGATACAAGACGCATCAACGAACGGCCCCCATTGATACAAACGAAAGCGAAAGCAAGAAATGAGACTGGCGCATTTGGATCTGACCTGCCTGTTTAATTGTTCTGATTTTGTTTTCTTTTCTGTTCCTCCTCGTTTTCCAACTGCTCCCACTACTACCACAGCAAAGCAAAGCAAAGCGTCGGGGTTTATTTCTGTCGTTGGCGGTGTGTAGTGAAGGCGGTCAAAGGGAAGATGAGGTTCACAACCAAAAGCCGAAAGAGTGCAGAAGCCACGGATGATACCACGCTGTTCCGTATTGGCAGCAGCAGCAGCAGCATGCATGTTTTCCTTAAAGACGTTGCCAACAAAAACTAGCCTTTTCTTTCCCCCTTTTTCCTTTCGGTTTTCCCTTTCCCCCTCGTTACATCTTCTGGGCGTGTTAGAGGCGAATATGGTATCAAGTTAGATATGGGTAGTCAGTCTCAATTGTTACAGTGATGTACATATGGTACATGGTACACGGTTGTGGTTTCCTCCTCCCCTTCTTCTATCCTCCCGACGGGCCAACAACCACCCTCACGGGCCACAGGCACTTTTATCGCTGCCTCTTCTCCAAGAGACCCTGAATATCGTCCTTGCCCTTGCCCTTCTCCGCGACGCCACCCTCGGGCGCAAACGTCGACGTGACCGTCATCTCCTGCGCGCCCTGCCGCCTCAGTTCGTCCAGCCGTCGTCGCTTCTGCAGGTCGGCCACGCGCCACTGCTTAAAGTACTTGACCCACTCCTTTGCGCAGTCCTGGTCGAGCTGTGTGCTCTCCGCCTTGCAGAGCTTCTTGTCCGTCGTCGCGGGGTCCTTGAGGGGGTCGTCGATCTTGTGCGCGTCCAGGCAGGCAAAGTAGTTGTCGCGCGCGGCCCAGCAGACCTGGCGCTCGGAGCGGGTGGGGATGGCGGTGCCGGCGCGGATGGCCTCGCCGCGGGAGTCGGATGAGAACCAGCCCATTGTTGTGCTTTGGAAGGGTATGGTGTGCGTGTGCTTTGGTGTTGTCTGGTGGCAGGTAGCAAGCTGTAGAGACTGACTTGATGACGGATGCACCTCCAGTCAGCAGAATTTAGGCTGTGCCCACCGAATGGGCTTAGCGTGGCTTTGTGCATGCATGCACGTACTCCGTACCTCTACGACAGCTCCAACCTCCCCTTGCCGAGTGTCTGCCATCCATCGCCAACCTTCTTTTCTTCCTACCTACAACGCAGATTCGACATGCGACACTCATAAAAAAAACCAAAAAATCTATTATCACAATCACAGGCGATGCCCCGTCGCCGTCGTCCTCCGCGAGCGGGCGCCCTGTCCGACCTGCAACCGCTCAAGATCGCCGCGCAAATCGCCGCCTTGCAGGTGCTCTTCTATCTCATCGCGCTCGTCCTCTTCTTGTTCACCGCGCTCGTGGCCGGCGTGCCATTCGGTCTGGATCTCGTGCTGGGATCGCAGCGCGTTCGAGGGGACACGACACAGGGATGGGTCCTGGGATTCGTCTGGCTGCTTGACGGTGGACTCTGCATGTGAGCTTCCCTCCTTGCTCATGACAAACGACGGAATGAGATCTAACAAATTATCAGGGCCCTGGCCATCGTCGCCCTCATCGGGCGCTCCAAGCTCGTCCCGGACTTTGCCATCACCATTCAGGCCCTCCACCTGCTCTTCACGACACTCTACTCGCGCGGCCTCCCCCAGTCGTCCATGTGGTACGCCTCCCTCGTGGGCAGCGCCGCGCTGTGCGCAGGCCTCGGCATATGGGGCTGCCAGTACCGCGAGCTGCAGCCTGTCTTCTTCGGCGGCGGCCGCATCTTGGGGAATAACCCTCCGCCCAGGGGCACGGTCTCGAGCGACGGCGGTGACGACGAGGAGATGGGCCTCGTCGGCAAGCGGAGTGGCGAAAACGACGGGCCAGAGGAATACGAAATGGGCAAGGTTGGTCGGTGAAGATCTGGGAAATGAAATTTTGCCCCTACCGGCCTACCTGTATGATGAAGCGTGCATTGCTCGGCGTTTTAGGGGGGAATTTTCTTTGTTTTGGAATCAAGTGTACTACTATTACCAGGCATCATACGTAGGGGACACTATTAGACATGGAATGACATACCGTTGTATCCTAGCACGGTTCAGAGAACAATCTTCAGTAAAAGATGGCCATATATAATTCTCCGGGAAGGGTACGCGCCTCTCCTCGGTAGCGTACACGAAGTAATACATCCATCCATCTATCTAGGCGCCCAAGACAACGGCCAAGTTATCGTAAATCACCCGCTTCACCTCCACAAGCGCGTTCCGCCTCCCGCCCAACGGTAGTCCTATGCTCTCCACCTCGATCCTGCCCTCGGCCGTCTTCCGCACGGCGACACTCCCGTCCACGACAAGGGTACCCTCACCCTTGAACTCGGCAACATGGCTTGCCCCTTGCATCGCACGCCGGAGGTCCGCGAGGCGCAAGTCGCCCACGTGCAAAGGCTGCGTGGCAGAACGGGACGACGTCTTGAGTGTGCTCGGCATAATGTCGAGGGTAGGTGTCGACGAGGGAATCGAGTGGTTGACGAGCGCGACGGCCGTGTTGTCCATCTTTTGTCGTTTGTTGGCCGGCGCCTCTTCCTCCTTGGGTTCCTCCTTCTCCTGCGCGAGCGTGTGCGCCAGGAGCTGGCCGCTGATGGTGGTGATGCCCAGCCCCTTGACGTTCTGCCACTTGAGCCTCTTGACCAGCGGGTCTGCAAGACGGACCAGCCAGGCGTTGGTGTCGACGCTTGCATCGACCCAGACACCCGTCTCGGGGGTAAACACGTTTCCAGAGAGGGCGGCACGGCAGTCCTCTGCGAGAGCCATGGTCTCCTGCTGATTGCCGCCGACAAGAATGAGCTTGCGCGGCTGGATCAGTGGGATCAGCATGTTGAGGCTGCGTTTGTCGTGGAGACCCCTGAAATCAATGTGAGCAATGCGGAGGTTCGCCGTGATCGTTTCCGTTGTGTAGACCAGTTTCGAAGGGCCTGATGGCTGCTCAGGCTCCGTATCCTGGATCTCGTCCAGTTCATCGGCGACAAACCCGTCTGGTGCGCCGTGGCCCTCGTCCTCGCCCGCTGCGACAGCTTTACTGGGTGCGGTCTTCGCGACGTCGTCCCATTTGCGTTTCTTGCCCAGCTTGTCGTCATCCGCGGCCAGTTTGCCAGCCTCGACTGCGTCGTCCTCCTTCTCCTCGGCGCGTAGGAAGTCTTCTGGCCGGATCATCTCGCCAAAATCATCCCCCCTCTTCCGCCGTATCGTGAGCGGGAACGACTTTTCCCTGCCTTTCTTGCCGCGCGTGTCCCAGTCGAATACGCCTTTCTTCTTAATCAGGACATTGATGCCCAGGTCCTCATCCTTCAGTACCACATTCTTCCGTCCAGCCTGACCAAGCTGGGCGGACACATTCAAGGCCTTGCCCTGTTGCTCGTCATCATCTTCCGAGTCTGACGATGACTCGGATGCGTCGTCGACAATATCACCCGAGGTCTCCATTGCACCAGCACCACCTGCTTGCTGGGTCGCCTGTAGTTGTCGCTGCGTCGCCAACCACCGCTGATAACTGTCCAGCTCATCCCCTTCCAGAGCTTCCCGCTGCGCTTCCTGGATCTCGAGCGATTGCCCACCGCCATGGACGAACTCAAGATCCTCCCCGGAGCTGCTTGACTCGACCGAAACACCTTCTTTCCTCTCCCTCCAAATCTCCCACAATGTCCTCGCTATCGACGGTGATTGACCCGGTGCAAGCCCAGGTCGGTCGGTCAGGATGACCAGGTTCCTCGAGTCTTTGGCTAGTCCCTTGAGAATGTCCCTCGAGAACCCCCACTGCATGCTCGTGTCGCTGGCTAGAATCACACGTCCCTCCGTCTCCACGTTCTCGACGGATCTCGAGAGCAACTTGGCAATCTGCGCCTTGCGCTCGAGAAGTCGCAGGAACTTGAAGTCAAAGGGCCCGGCGGCCTTGCCTTCTCCTGCCCCATTGACCTTGCGCTGATTTTCGGCAAAGGCCTCAAACTCCTGCACGATGCTGTCGTCCATCCATTCCAGCATACTCCGCGCGTACCGCATGGTGCTCGCCATGTTTCGTCCTGCGAGATAGAGCTTGGCGCTCTTGAGCGCACCGCCATTCTCAGCCGTGGCGTCCGTCCGCCACGCGTGTTCCAGTAGGTATGATAGCTCCAGTACCCTCGCGCTCGAATCCACGGGGATCAGCACAGTGCCTCCTCTAGTGACGCAGGACTTGATCATATCGAGGAGCTGCTCGTCGCGCTTGCTTCGCCCCGCTGCCTGTGCCGTCTTGTCGGCTCCCCGGGTGCTGCAAATGAGAGCTGTCGGTTTGCGCAGGGCTTCAATCACATCGGCGCCACCACCGCCTGCGCCTCCTAGCCATGCCGCGCCGGCAAGGACATTCTCCTTGGCCTGATTCCAATCCACCGCGTATACAATCGACTCCAAGCCATGCTGAATATGCCAAATTGTTCCACCGAGTGTGTGCCCTGCATTGTATGCCGTGATCGTGAGGCCATTGAGAGGTGGACTGAACGGAGAAGAGAGCGGTTGAAGTGGTTGTGAATATTTGAGCGGCTGGATGAGTGAAAAGAATCGCGCGATTTCCTCCGGCGTTGGTGTCTGCAGTAGCAAGTTCTGGGCCTGCGAGGCCGCCGATTGTGAGAATGCGTACGCCGTTTCGGATAGGGATTCTGCAGATATCGTGGTCGCAGCGGCCGGCGCCGAGGAGTACAGGTCCTGGGTCAGCGTTCGGCCAAGGTCGATGATCGGTCGCGTCGCGTAGACAGGTATGCGTGTGAAGAGCGGGATGTTCTTGCAGCAGTGTGCGTAGGCGGCAAGATGGGAGGCTTTAGCGTGGGTGAGGAGGATGAGGGAGAGCGTGGGTATTTGTCTTGTCGAGGTTAGCTGTCGCCGTCGTGGAGGAGGGACCAGCGGGATGCGCACTTCTCGAGCTTTTTGAGCTGGTCTACATCGAAAGATTCATCCCAGCCAAGGTCGACGAGGACCTTGACGCCGCCGTCGAGTTCGAGTAGCGACTGCGACGCGGAGGATTCCGTGAGCGCGCCCTGGAGGGGGCAGAAGGTGAACATTGTGTCGCTATCTGCCCATGGTCCGCTTCAACACGGTTGGCGAGAGGAGAAAGGCGCAGATGAGGAAACTAAAAGGCTGTGAAACGCGACTGAGGTCAATGAAAATCCGCGCTACCGCATCGCTGGTATCAATCGGCAAAAGAACGTTGGATGCGTCGCGTTGTTGTAGCTTGAGCTTGGCGATCTTGCATACGGCCCGCAGTCGTGCATCGGCGCGGAACATCATTCTCCCCTAGTTTCGGGTGAAGCACGTCTGCTTTGTTCAGCGTCTTTCACGCAAGGACATGACCTTATTATGCGCGGACTACCGTTTTTTATCGTAGCTGGGGGCAAAATTCATATTTAAATTTCCAAATTCGCTATCATATATCTAAGTGGACCATGCAATGCGACCTCGTCCGAGGTTTAAATTTCCGCCCAACGCCGCGCTAACAAATCAATCAGACCCTCGCATCCCTTGCCCTCTCTTAAGAGACCATTTGTCTGAAAGCCGAACGGTTCAGCATCTGAAGTGCCCTGGAGTCCTCTCCCCTGACATGCGGCTCGCTGGGGGCAGGCAGAGTCTGGGAATTGAGCAGCTGGGGCAGCTTAGTCCGGGGCGCGACGTCCGAGTGCGAGCTCTGAGGGGGGCTGATGCTGTTGCCACGGCTCGGAGGCGCCTCAGCCGCGATAGATGTCCCTAGGGCGCCAGCTGTCACGGCGTTGAGGGCGGGTAGAGGGCCATGACCTAGCGTGTTGAGTCGGGAGTCGCCAGAGGACACGTTCTGCAAGGGCGAGTCGTGTTGGCGAGGAGGAGAAGGATATGTCCTCCGCTGGGGAGGAGGCAGCAAAGTCCCGTGCTCATAATGAGGCGCAGGGAAGCTAGGCTGGGGAGGCTGGGCATGCGAGACAATGTGCGGGGGCATGGGCACTCCGGGCTGGTACATGGGGCCGTTGTACTGGTGGGCGCCCTGCGGCCAGCCATAGGCGGGCTGGCCATACTGGGGAGCGTATGGCTGAGGAGGATAATGCTGCTGCGCAGCGTAGGCGGGTGTGTGGTGCATTGGCACACGGGTCAATGCAGGGGTGAGGTGCGAGTCGCCGATGCTCGTCTCAGGGTACATGCCCTTGACGGGAGTGAAGTTGCGCAGATTGGGGTCGGTGGTGGGCTGCTTGAGCTCTGGCTGTCCCGAAACGGGGCGCGAGTAATACGCAATGAGGTGCAGGTGCTGGCCGGTCGAGGTGGTGATGCTGAACGACTGCTTCATGAGTCCGTCGGCTTTGTACCGGTACCCTTCGGGCTCGCCGTCATCATGGTTCTCGTCACTGTCGCGGCCGTTCTCGGACTTGGAACCCCTCTTCGCATTGCTGAAGCCGCCGCCTCGCTTTCCCTCCATCTCGCGGTAGGTCAGGAAGCTACCTGACACGCGGCTGGCACTCCATGACTTGCCGTCCGTCCAGCGTCGCATGCCAGCTTCCCTCTCATCCCAGACGAACACAGAGCCAGATCGGATACTCTGGCGTTCTTTTTCTGAAAGTCGTCGCTGAACTCGAGGGAGATGTCCCAGTCGACAGGCCTCGAACAGCCGGATTGCGTCCGCGGGGGACCGGATCACGCCGTGGTATGTTTCCATTGCAGCGTCGATGTCTGACTAGCTGCGTCACAGTATGATGCCAGATTCTGCGATGCGAACCTGTATTTTATGGTGAGTTGTGGGCTAGAGATTCGAGTCAGCGAGACGCTCTGAATATACCAGCAAGCCCAGCGGCATTGACAGTCGTCACGACCTCTGTTACCCTATGCGTTTACTCTCGGGGCAAATTCTGAAGCAAGAGAGTATTGACGCAACGGGAAACAGGATTGCACACAAACAGTCTTCTGGTGACCATGTTTGGTGGGATAGAAGGGATCAGACATACTTGCTGAAGGTGACAAGAGCTCGAGGGCGGGTGTGTGGGCGACCGTGTATAGCTCTCGTGTGATTCGCGTCCGGACCGACTGTGTGGGCCTTTCAAGTTGTCGTGAGTTTGGAAGCAACGTCTAGCGGTCGAAATGTTAGATTCGGGAAACAGAATAGATTCAAAGCGAGACGAGAGTGAGCGTAGAGACAAGTCTGAAAAGGAAATGCTGGAGATGATGTGCCATGGCAGACGATCTCGCCTTGGGAGGCCCACACCGAGCGCCAGGGACGAACAGTGTGGATAGGATGGATAAGTCGGCTCAGCGTCCCAAGGAAAAGCTTGGCTCGGGGTGACAGGGAGTGGTGTGTGGGGATAAAATCCCGAGGGGTGTGCGGGAGAAAGCCAAGCCCAGAACCACTGGAAGTGCTCCTGGCGGCAGGATGGTTGAGAAACGCACGAAGCACTGGCTTGCGCACCACAGCTCGTGGAAACGTATCCGCGCCGAGTCTGGTCAGAGCCAAAAAGTGTGCGTAATTATGCCAAATTCGGAATGGAATAAAAAGTGTCGCTACCTACAGTTGGTGGTGGCGGTCGTACAAGCAGACGGTAATTATTCGTTCGTTTGGCTGAGGGAAAAGGCAAAGGATGGAATGATCGTTGGTGCGAGTTTGCGGATGCCAGGAGAGTTTTGATGTGCTCCATGCTCCTGCCTGCCCACGTCGGCCCAAACACTAGAGGGTATCTCATGCCCCAGTCGTCGTCATCTCGGCGGCAGAGGCAGGAGCAACTGTATCTGCGACGAGACTGGACTGGCGGAAGGTGAACCCTTAACGGCTGGTACGGCATTGCCAGTGGCTATGAGGAAGGTGGATGGGACTTGCTTCTCTGCCGTAGTGCCGAGAGCAATTGCAGACACAGTGACATGTTTTACGCACGGTCTGGTGGCTGCCTCTCTCCCTCCAAGAGCGTCGATCTCTCACTGTGTCAGACAAGACCATCCTACTGGCGCCACCAGGAAGATACGGTACGCCCTTAAGCTTATTATTTCCTCATGTCGACTTTTGGCGCACGGACACCGGCTCGCTGCTCGCGACTACATGTAAGCCTAATTATCCGTACTTACTAATTGGCCGTCGACTTGGCTTCATTCGCTGGTACGTACCTGTCGATATACGTTGCGAATGCCACCTCTTCATTCGACCACGATGCTCACACACTCTGACGCATAGGCTACGATGTCACGGGTTCAAGCAAAGACCGAAGGCCGGCGATAGAGTTTCTTGCATTGACAAGCCAACCCTGTTCACGTCGAAATCGCTGTCGGAACGCACGGCTACCTTTTTGGTCTGCTCCATACGTATCGCGCGGCCTTTGCGTGCCGTAGCTGCCGGGTGCGGACACCATCGATACCTCGACCAACCACTAGCCTCACTCTGGGGAAGTACTTTGCTGCAGAGAGAAGTGTATAACGGTACCTCCGGCTCTCAGGCCCAGCGGCCTGGAATCGGTCAGGACTAGCAGGTGGGTTCTGGATAAGCATTCGGTGCTACCCATCATGCCCGTGCACGGATGAGGCTTCGTGTGTACGTACATGTAGGTGTTGACGCAAGGCAATTGGCTCTGTCGTTTTGTCGTGATCCCTAGTAACGTGTGTTAGATGTCACGACACGGTTCAAAACCGCAAGGGCCCTGGGATGCTCTCATGATCCAGGATAGGGCCGACCTCTTTCGAATACGTACAGACGTTGCACGAGCGCGATCTGGTCCTTCCTCCAAAACGACGACGACGTCTGTGTACGTACGTACGTGTATTCGGAAACCATCCCAGTTTCCTTCTAGGTGCCGCACACCCAGTTCTTTGTGCCGTACAGCCGGTGTAGTCCGTGAGGCCTCACAGCGCCAGAGCCCTCAGTTCATTAATCCAGCGGCTGGATGGAGCCCTGTCTGATGCTGTCTCGCCTGTAGCATTCTTCCTTAGCGGTCTGTGAGGAACACCTGTGTCTCTCTTGCGAAACTTGCGGGGATTTTAGGTGCGCCTGCAGCGCGGGATAAGGGATAAGCATAAACAAACGGCAATCGGGCCATTTGTCTCGTGCGACATTTGTTGACGTCTGCTTCGTTCGTTGGTCCAAAGAACCAGGGGGCTACGACTCTCATCTATATACTGTCTTTTCTTCGGAAGGCAAATGGCGCATTTGATCGAGCCTCGTTCTCGTTTCGTCGGGATGTGGGAGTCCCCGTGTGGAAATGGCATCGCAGAGTGCGGACATGGACGGCAATCGCTCTGGTCCAAAGTTTGGCAGCACTCCCGAGATCTCGCTCTTCTTCCCAAGGACTCGACAACTACGTACCACCATGGGTCACATTATCACCACAAGTACGGATAGTGAGGGCACCGTTTTCCGTCGATACTCGAAAAACCCAAGACATCCCCGCTTAATTGGCTCAGCCGTTCCGGTACCCGAGTCACTTCTCTTGGTGATTAATCAAGCATTCAAGCTCGCCCACACAAGGCGGAGCATTCTGTCTCCTTGCGACGCCGTGTCTAAACCGTTGTGACTCGGCAGAATCGGCACCTGCCCACTCGTACAGACAAGAGCTGACCCAGTCAGCCAGCCGAGTCGGTGCCGGCGTGGCGGATGCGCAAGTAATAATACCGCACGTACAGTGAGGCCTCCATGCCCTTTACGTATGTACTTGCTTCGCCATGCAATGAGACGTACGCAGCGTTGTTGATGAGGAGATGCGGCTGCAGAGGGCGGCCGGGCAGCAAACACAGATTGACATGTCGAGCTTTGTCAATTTGCCACTCTGTCCAAACGATGTTCGTGGCGCCAACTTGGCAGCCATCGTAAAGGGTCTAGAATAACTTTGTGGCTGAACGAACCTTTCCCACTCTCGAGGTTAATCACCCTCCTCAACCTTGACTTAAAGTCTAATGATTGAGTCTCGAAATTGGCTTTATTAACCTTGCAATCAAAGTGCAGCAGGTTCAATCTTAATTACATTGGCCACTTAGGTGCTGAAGCTGGCGCAGATAGTATGTACGTGCGGATACAGACCCCCAGCTTCCATATGGCGTCGAGGCCAGCCACGAGCTTTCAAACTCAAAGAGCCTGGCCACTAATTGCGCCCTGCCAAGCCAACTGTGGAGTCTGGCCGCCGTGACCTACGCCTTTTCATGTACTTGTGCTTGCCAGAGCATCCTCTCCGGCTTCCCAAAGGGCCTCCAACGCGCGCCGGACTCGCATCCCCGGTTCCCCCGACCGTCACTGCGTTTTGCGGCATCGCTTGCCGAGTGTCGACCTGGCAAAGAGGCAGCCGGGCGACTGGAGTGCAAAGACGGATAACTCGGCCACGCGCTGCTGGATTGTTTAAGCATGAATTTAAGCGTTGTCAGCCATTGAGCTTGGCGCGGGTGCTAGCACGGAAGCGGCTATGATTTGGGACGTGTCGCTAGCGATTCTGTGACTCAAACACGCGCACGCCAATGAATGACATCAACCGGCTTTGACGTGCCGAGCAGAGACTTCCGCCTGGTTCTTGGGGTTGCAGCGGGTTTGAATGAGAAAAGGCGGAGGCTTCAGCGACTGGACCGCTGCCAGGCTTGTTCCTTCAGCTTGTGGAATCTTGCTCAACTTCAGACTCTCCTTTGCGGTTCTGCCTCTTTCAAGGCCGAAGGCCTCGACCTCAAGCCTCAACGCCCGCTTCCGATCTCGTGGCTCCAGTCTGCAAAGGGTGTCAAGCTTTGGGGGGCCTGCCGCCCTGGGCGCATCATGCAGGAGCAGGGGTGTGACTTGCTCGCTGCCACGTCTTGGAGGTGCCGTCCTAACCGACTTGGCTGACAAGGGTGTGTGCTGACGCTGCGAGGATCCGTTTCAGAGCTTAATTCTTAATTCGGGGTGCCCTAGAAATGTGGGATGTCATTGCACTCATGACGATCCAGATTGCGATGCTCATATCAGCAAGACATTGCCCTACCTACCGGTTGTCAGTTGGGCACAGATGGCTGTGAACTGGGGCGCTCCTCGGGCTTTTCACGGCATCGACAGACCGCTACCGTTGTTGATCTCTTGCTCCGACTGCCATTGAGTACCTCCGTACACCAGACTGCTTCTTGGTACTGCGCTTGGCCCAGCCACGCCGAGCCCTTTTTCTGTGCCGATCCGTCCGCCAAGGCCAGCAGTCAGTCAGTCAAAATCGACCTTGGTCATTAGGCCATGTATCAGAGAGGCAATCCGTGAAGGGAACAAGCCCGCCTAGCCCTTGCGGTCACAGATTTGTCGTTTTCTAGTCTAGTCTACGTAGTGACCACCCGTACGTACCGTCGTACGCCCGCTCACTCGGGGAACCGCGCCCGCGAGGGTATACCAGCAACACAGTGTGTACGTACCTTATAATGGCGGGCATTTGTTGCGGACTATATCCTTGCAGGATTGATGCTTGACGCTTATGCTTAATTTGTCCTGCGACCTCGCCTCGCCTCGCCAGACGCCAGAGAGCCCGCAATTACTCCATCTCAACCTCAGCTCAGGGCTTCATTGCCCCCAACGGCCCTCTGGATGCGCTTCGTATTCCCCATGTCAACTCGATTACCGCTCCTTGCACAGTTCCATGACACTGGTCGCAGACCTGTACTGGGAGCCAAAACGTGGGCGGGCGACGGAGCCAATTGTTGTCCCTGTACGTAAAGATTGGAGCCAAGGACTGGCGCGGCTGCATTTCCGCTGCTGTCCGTGACAAAGGTGCCACCCATTATGGAGTGGAAGACGGTAATAGCTCGCGCGATGATCTAACACCGAAGGCCAAGATGCAGCTGCTCGCTTGTAGGCCTTGGCCTCGTCCTCGCGCGCCACTGGTGCCTGTATCCGTACCGGGGACGCCAGAAGACGATGTCCCAGTGGCGCGCTCGAGTCAAACCGTCCATCAACGCGACGGATGCCGAGCGCCCCCCACAACCCAGTTGACAGACAGAGAGTCAGGATCCCTGCTTAAGCTTATTTCGCGTGCCAAAAGGCTCGAGCTGCCAAGCAATGGTCAACGACACGTTCACCTGAGCTGGCTTCGTGTGGCTTTTCCACACACACACACACACATCATATTCTGTGTGTGCGTGCCAAACGTGAACCCGCGCGACAAATACCCTCTCATCTGCTGACTGCTACTCCGACAACGGCGTCCGATCTCCTGCACCATCCTCCTCAGGGGGAGGCGATGGACAGCTGTCACGGACTCACGACTCACGATCGCATTCTCAAGACCCGCCCGGCGACGACGCGCCACGGCAAAGTCGGAACGGTCGGCACCATGGCAATTATGCATCCTCCCCTTCCCTCCTCTACTAACTAATTAGGACCTCCCTTCTTCGTGCCAGTCTGCCAGATCATTTTACAATTCTTCCTCGTGATTGACCGGCTATCACAACCCCCCCTAGGTCTCGGACAATCCATCGCCAGTCCGCTGTTCTGCTCTGGGCACTAGCCCTCTGGCTCTAGCCTCTGGTAGTGGAAGCGTCAATTTGGAGAGAAAAGCTTGGCCTTGAAGTTTGTTTTCCATGTGGCGTGCCTAGGTTGCTCGGCACCGACATGGTCAACCGCACCAAAAGTCAGGCGCACCATGTTCGGCGTGGGAGGTAGGCCTGTGATGATCATCAGGGCTGTTGTTCGACTTTTGGACAATGGAGGACATGTCTGAGGCGTGACCGCCCGGCTTCCTACGTGCATGACTGTGAGGCCTCACGCCTTGCGACCTACGACGTAATTCCGTACGTACGTGTCCCTCCTCTCGGCATCGCAGAGCCGTTCTGCTCTTGGCGATGCTTTCTCCAATCCTGTCCTGCGGTGACTCCGGTCCCTCAAGAGTCAACCCGAGTTGCCAGAGTGTACGTGTAGTAGCGTTGCTATCTCGGGAATAAGACTCCGTTTCATCTACCTAATCGCGAGGAGGGACTTTCCTCCGCACGTTTCGTAGTGGATGCTGCCATTGCACGTACGTACGTACGTCCACGCCCTCCTGAGCCACACGGCTGGAACGGCATCATGGCGGCGGCGGTGCCAGAGGATTGACCGGACCAGCATATCGTAATGACACGTCGCAGAATGCCCGAATGTGCGTTTTGGATACAAGGATCGTATGTATGCTTCTTGCTGGGTGACGCGTTCACGGACATAGAGTTTCGGGACAGTGAGAATAGGGGGCGCGTGGGAGGCCTATGGTCGAGTGAGGGTGACCGACATCTCGATGATAGGCTTAGGTTCAGGCCCCCGTTCTCTTCGCAATGCGTCTGTCACCGAGAGGCGGATGGCTATAGTACCACAAGGTGTACGTATCAGCTGCTCGGGAGAGGATGTTCTGATTCGAGCTGTACATAGCTGTCACGAATAGTGCCCACCGCAAGGACCCCCATGCCTTGACGGCCGCGGCACCTCAAGACCGTACAGTCGCCTTTGAAGATCAAATTTGGAAGACGGATTGCCTAATGCCTTCTCATGCTTACTCGCTACATGAGGGTCGGCGTCTTGGTTCCGCTGAGGCTTTGCAGCAGCGATATCATCAACACGGCCATGGAGCGATCTCGATGCTCATCCGAGTGGCTTGATATCAGAAGCACTTACGTACTCGCGGGTTACACCTTGTACCTCGCATGGTGTCGATCGAGCTGGTCCAGACGTTATGTGGTGCAGTTGGCTTTCAAATAGCTGGGGATGGGTGCATTGCTTGACCAAGACACGCACTTGTATTTACGAAAAATGATGTGCTTTTTTTTAGGTAACGAAGAGTTCAGAAGATAGAGGTCACTCATTGGTCTGAAATAGCGTGTATAGATTGGCTGTTCATTCAGTCGGCATGTCAGTTTCCTACCTTCGTATCGACGAATGAATCCTTGGTAACCAATCTCACGAACAAACGGTATAATCAGGGGAACATGACGGCTGCACACAAGGTCCTGTACATCAACTGCTCATGTTGAGACTTCCAAACGTTCCCTCTCTTGCCAAGTATTCTATAGGCATAACAAGTATCATACAAGTTCCCTCATGCGGCAGCCAGTACATGGTACAGGGTAGGCAGTCATACTACACACAAACAAGTCATCTTACAGTCCTCCACGATTCCGGTCGACATCGTTCGACCTCGATCTCACCGCTAGATCTCGCGAGGTATCCAAACCTCGCCCCCGTTGCCATGTCGGACAAGCTCGCGGCGTACGAGGCTCCCCATGAGGAACAAACAAGTCGCAACCACGCCAGCTGTGTGCTCTCACCCACACCGCCTGACCTGAATCGCGTGTTTGTAACTTGAATTTGACACACGCAAGTCTCCGATCCCCAAGGAGAGGATTTTTCACATGTCAAGCCGTAGCCTCATGCATCGTAGCCCGAGCCCGAGGGCTGGGAAGGCGGTGTAGTCCCTCGCGAGGCGTGATGCAGATCTCCGTTGCACGAGGTCGCATCCGGCCTACGGGTGCATGTGGCCGTATAGGCGAGGAAAGGGGACCGTGTCCCGAATGCTCTTGACGCCCGTCAGGTAGCTCAGTAGACGATCGAAGCCGATGCCAAATCCGCCGTGGGGGGGGCAACCCCAACGGCGAAGATCCTCGTACCAGTCGAGGACGCCCTCGCCCGGACGATGATCAGGGCCCATATTCTCCAACAGCAAGCCGTGCCGGTGCTCACGCATGGAACCGCCTGCCAGCTCGCCGAGCCCCGGGACGATGAGGTCGAAGCAGTCAAAGACAGATCCTTGCGTCGGGCTCGCCTGGGACTGGCGCATGTAGAAAGCTTTGATTTCTCTGGGGTAGTGCGTGATGAAGACGGGGAGATATGAGTTGCTTGCTTGATCGTAGCCTATCGACTCGGCAAGGTACCGCTCGTGTTCACTTTGCAGCCCCTTGCCCCAAGTCGGGGGGAACTCGAAGCCGGCGCCCTTTTCTTGCAAGAGTTCAATGGCTTTGGTGTAGGTGATCCTGGGCCATCTGGAGGTATGCACAAGGCCGTTCCATCGTCGCTGTAGGATGTCGCGGCTGTCCAGGTCGGCAACGGTTTGCTGCTCCTCAGGGTTTTTTGGATGCAATCTCAGGTCATCCAGCTCCTTCCATGCGCTCCGTTGTTGAAGGCCTCCGACGACAGCACCCAAGAGCTTCTGTATAAAGTCCATGACTTCGTCCATGTCATCGACGAAGGACAGCTCGGCTTCCAACATGTAGAACTCGCTCAGATGCCGAGACGTATCACTCTTCTCAGCGCGGAATGTTGGCGAGAGGGTCCACACGTTGCCAAGCGCCTGCGCCAAGGCCTCGAGATAAAGTTGCGAAGACACTGTGAGATACTGGGGCTTCTTTGAGAAGGGGTCTTTGGGCGTGCCGGCTTCGACGCGGAAAGTCTCACCGGCGCCTTCGCAATCCGACGTTGTGACGATTGGTGTATGTGTTTGCTGGAACTTCTGCTTCTCCATAAACTGACTCAGGATACCCATGACATCCGAGCGGATGCGGAGCATGTTGTTGTTCAGAGGTGTTCGCATCCGGAGATGCGGTATCCTGCGCAGACTCTCAGGAGTGGCATATTTCCGCTGAATTGGATTCGACTGGCTTGGTGAGCGGCAATCCAAAAGTATGCCGGTGAGCAACTCACTGCAGCATTTGATTCTCCCAGAATCTCCATCTCCTTCACGCTCAGCTCGAAAGTGGCTGTTTCCCCAGGTTGTGCTGTTTCGGGCTTTGCCCTTGGCGTCCAAGTGCCCTTGAGGCTGACAGCCGCCCCGAACTGAGCCCCGACTCCTGGCAAACTGATTCTGTGAGAAACAATATTGCCCTGCGTTGCGGAAAGACTCACCTGTTGAAGACGTGTTTGTCAACAACGGCCTGGAGAGGGGCCCTGCAGGAGCCATCTGATATGTCCAGGAACCGAACGGTTGCGCTCCGCCTCACATTCTTGATCCACCCGTCCACTCGTACATCAAGAGTCCGATCTATTGACAGGAGGTCGGAAACGGTAGAGACAGACGTCGGACCATGCTCCTGTGAGACTCGAACAGAGTAAGACCGAGCCGAGGATGTCTGAGGTCGTGTCAACTGGGACCTGGCGAAGCGACACGCACGCGAGGAAGCCCTCATGATGAAACGAAACGAGACGCACCCAGGGCGCTAAGCAGGCGACTTCACGTGCAAGGTGTCGACTCTGGTGTGTCAGTCATGTGAGATCGAGGGTCATGTCGTTGCTCGAGTGTACGTAGGTACGTACGGATGCACGTCGGACGGGAACGGACAAACGTGATGTCGTGGGGCCGACGTACAGGCACGGTAAGCACCGTCGCGGCGTCGCTCCTCCCCTGCACGCACAGACGGGGCGCGTACCTGCCTCGCGTCTTTGGTACCCTATCGTGGACGAACGATTACCGCCTCAGGCACCCTGTCGACAGCATCCACTGAGCACCACCCTCCGAGTCGCATCCACCGCGATCTCGCGCTGCCGGCGCTCGCCAGGTGACCATCACCTGTGACGCTACTATTTATCCTCACGGACCGGGCGTCAGCCTTGATCAACGTGCAACACCCGACGTGAGCCATGATCGTCCCCTACGCTAGTGTATCGTATCGTGCCCCTCGTCATCGGCACGCTTGACAACCCTGGGTTCCCATATGGCACTCCCTTGCGACCTGCGGTAGGTGGACCAATCAATCGTCCACCGAGTCTCAACTTCTGACGGCATCTTTCTGACACATTTCAACCAGTAGCTTTGAACGAATGTAACGCTCAGTCATGTCATTTCACACAATGTCAGTGCCGTACTCGATCTGTCGAGCTGCAGGAGGTGGTGGAGCGCATTGGAGCTGATGATGCGAAGACTGGGATCATATGCGAGATGGGCATACCTCGTTGGCAGTTGGCACCACAAGCGACTGTGACACACACAACAGCAGCAGCAAGCAAGCAAGCAGCCAGCCCGCCCGCCCGCCATGCACCCATGCGTCGAGAACGGAGACATACGAGTCTGAGCCTTTGAGGCACATAGCCCAGGGGCATGTGCTCGATAGCGCCTTGAGACAGGGGTCGGGTCTGCCGCGTGCCATGCCATGGACCCTGTCTGAGAGGCCCAATGCTCGTCACCCGTCCCATTGCTGCTCACCGGACTGGACCAACAACCGCTCTGTCGCTGCCAGTCTTGTAGCGTTGCACTGGCTAGCCTCGGTGTCTTGGGGATCCGGCTATCCTTACTTGGAAACCGGTCAAGGAACATGAGAGGGGCGCGCTGGGGACGCCTGGCCCATCCGTGTGTGTTGGTTGCCCGCAGACTACGCCAGGGACGGACTGGCAACTAGGCTCCCCGACGCTACCACGGAGCTTGTTTTGCGGCGCCCATCGCTCTTCCGCGGGTGGATGGCTGCGCCTGTTACTCGGACGCGTTAGACAAAGGCGAGATGGAGTAGCACAGATCTGGCTCGTTGGTCCCGCTCCACCACGATGACCCGGGCAGACGCTGTGTCTGCAACACTGCTCTGAAGCGACGTGTATCTCGACGCAAGCAAGCAAAAGAGCAATCAAGCGGCGCTGCAAGGACAGGGGCTTCTTGTTCCCGTGAGATGATCTTGCAGACGGTTGCACACAGCATCGGCGTAGCCCACCATCGTCCCGTCTACTTGGATGCTAGAAGGGGTCCGTAAGCTCCATTTCTTTTTTGTCTTGAAGGTCTCGATGGCAAGACAACTTGAAGCCCATCTCTGTCGAATCAAGCGAGGAGGTGTTCGGTTCCTTAAGGATGTCCTTGCTCCCCACTCACTCGCCTCCATTTGAAGCAGTCGCAAACGATGGTTCACCTCTTGGATGTCTGGGTTGTACAGAGCCCGGCACGATTCTTTCTGCACCCTTCCGAGCATGTATAAGAAGCTCGCGACTTCTTACTCTAGGAATGCGCCTCAGAATCGCATCGTCTTCCCTCACCACTAACCACCACCACCACTGCTGCGATTGCCCCGGCGGCTTCAACACTGGCGAGCTACGATGCCCCCTGGGAGGAGCAGCAAGGTGAGGCCCTCAGAGGTGGCCGCAGACACGAAGAAGAACTTCATTCCTACGGTCAACGCCCACTACGCCAAGCAATTCCCTCCCTACTCGATACTCTACGCCCACCCAACACGAGACCTAGAGATATCCCGTCACACGTTAAGCACTAAGCCACCCGCCTTCTCCATCGTTGTGGGCGATCCTGTCACACAAGCGCTGAACTGCGGCGCCCTCGACTCGCAAGAGAGCCAGGGGCAGGGTGGCCCACGAGTCCGAGTTCCCTTTATCTGCGCAGCCAACGATCGCAGACCCGGCGGCGATTGGGAGACGGGCTGCTCAGGGTACGAGGAGAAGCTGTGTCGACGCAGCAACCTCTCAGCAACCCTCAGCTCACCGTTGCCTGAGACGGGTGCGGTTTCCAATTACCCAATACCATCCATGGGTGGAATTCTCTCCGACTCGGTGGTCGTCTGTCGAGGGCCCCATGAGCGGTACGAGCGCCTCGACAAATGGTACGACCTGCCCGTCATCTCGGTTCCCCCGACCCGCTGGCCCAAACTCAAGGACAATGGCACAAAATACTCCTTTGCGCAGGAACGGGACATGGCGCGCGAAAAGATCCGCGGTGCGCTACGAATCTGTCTATACAACGGCTACAACCGCGTGGTCGTCGGTGACTTTGGCCTGGGCAATGGCCACCGCAATCCTCCCCAGGAGCTGGCCAAGATGTGGCGTGATGTCCTCCTATTTGACCCGGACCTGCGTGGGCAATTCTACTACGTTGTCTTTGTCTTTGACGATCCCCACCAAAGCACATCGGGCCTCATCCTAAACGAGCTCGCGCGCCAAGACGAGCTTGCGCGCAAGAAGAGCACCAGCGGCAGCGGCAGCAAGGGACGTCGCCACCGCGGGGAGTCGTCAAGCTCCTCGGGATCGGCCGGCACGCCGACCGACCTAGCCATTTTCGAGCATGTCTTTCAGGGAGGCGAAATTGCCCGTGTGCTAAGCGAGCGAGATCCTCGCTATGGCCTGGACATGATCACCACATAATCAAGTCCACTGGTAGCAGGGCCAAGGAGGAGAAGATGGGGATAGAGGGCGTGACCAACGTGCATCGGTGAAAGGTGACACATCAGTCACGCCGCCGCCGTCACGTTGGGGGCTGGTTTGCCCAGGTACGAGCTCCAGGCACCCCCCAGGAGGAGGAGTTGGTTTGGTCCGAGCATTCTTTTATTCATTCATTATTGAAATTGTGCTCGGCCGCATCGGGCTTTGTTTGCTGTGCCATCGGTCTGCTTGCCCACCACAAGCACTACGTATCATCATGCTGAAAATCAATCATAAAGGGAAAAAACACGACATGTCATAAAATGGCCAGTGGCATCCGTTAGCCCCGCTGCACAGTTGATGAGTCGTTGGAACCCAGTTTTCATGCTGGTTGTGTCTGTCGACAGACCTCACACCCAAACAGGTGCTGTGATCATGACACTCACTCCCAATGTAGTCGTCCGCTAGTAGTAAAAAGTGGTGGTCTTGTCGCTAACTGACTGACTGACTTACTATCTATGTATGTACCATATTCCGCTGCGCACCGATAGCCCTTTTCGATAGCATCACCAATACGCAGGTCTCAGCCCGCTGAAGCCACTGAGCGCGGAGGCGACACCGCCCTCGCCGCCCTCTGAGCCTTTGCTCCTCTGTCCGCTCAACTACGAAACTCGTCAGCATTTTTGATCACTTGTATAAGGGGGGGAATGGGGGGTGGCAAACCTCCAGCTGCACGGCCTTGTGCACGTGCACCAACCAATCCACATAGCTCTGTGCTTCGTTGTTGCGATCCTCGACAAGCATGCGCGCAAACTCAAACTCGGCGCCGTCAATGCCCTGTCTAGCCAGCTGGATAGTCAAGGCCTTGGAGCCGCGGAGCGTCCGTAGGAATTCGACAATGTTGCGCACCTGAGCGTTGAGGTGGGTGTCGAGCACGGGAAGCGAGGACGTATAGGCATCTAATGCCTTGAGTGAGTCCTTGTCAGATCCAAAGAGGTCCTGGAGAAGGTTCGGCGATGTTTGGGCGTGGAACCACAGGAGGCACTGCTGGCCGTTGTCGACCAAGTACACGCCGCCGGCTTCCACCTGGCCGAAAGATGTGCGGATGGCGGGAGGCAGCTTCAGGTGGCCTGTTTCTGGATCCGCGAATCCTTCCTCGGGCTGAAGGTTGTGCAGAGGAATCATGCGGGGGTACAGATACAAGCTGAGCTCCAGAGCGCCCATGGAACGGACCATGCGCATCTCGTTGACTCGTCGGTCCGCGTTCTCAGCACCGCCCTTGAATGCGCGTGACTTGATGAGGCCAAGCATGAACATTGTGAACTCCTTAAGTCGCTCGGGCATCACCAGCTGGCTGTGGGGGTGCTGCACAGATGCATGCTTCCTGTACGCAGCGAAAACCTCAATGGTGCGTTCCGTGAGCCAGTTGCGGATGTCCTTGAGATTACTTGACGTGGTTCCGAGCTTGGTGCAGGCCTCCTTGGCCAGGATGGCGAGAACCGCATCCTGGTCCACAAACTTCATGCAGTCTCGGATGCCCTGCTCGCGCGTGCCAGAGTCCTTTGCGGTCTCGGCGACACTAGCAATCACATTGGAGCACCGCACACGCCGTTGACCTGAAGCCGATGTGTAAAGCAGAGCCGACTGGAAATGCGCGTCGAGCTTGGAGTCGAGTTTGCCGTCGTACGAGAAGGACACTGCTAGGGCCTTGTCCGCGTCAAAGACACCGAGCTCCAAGTCCGCGCCGAAAGTGTGCTGTATGAAGTTGCCATGGTATCCGGCCACTTGCAGGCCATTCGAGCAGCGGACCTTGAGCAGCGCCTGGAAGCCAGACTCGCGCGCCACAGCATGCGTGATCTCTAGAGAAAGCTTCAGGCTGTCGCGGGGGGCGATGAAGTTGGGGTAATAGAATGTCTCACCGCCGGTCGTTGCCGACACATGGCCAATGGTGGCAATGTCCAGGAAGCCACCGTTGGGCGCCGCAAGGAAGAAGTCGGCACCGACGCCTGAAGCAACCATCTTCTCAGCAGCCTTGCGCCACCCAGGGTGCTCGGTAGTGTAGAGCTTCTTGTCGAGCTCGCCGCCAGGATGGTTGCCATCATCACGCATAAACAGACGCCCGGGTCCCCAAGTAGGCAGCGCAGAGCAGGCGGCCACAACGCGACCACCAGTGACCTCCAAGGCAGCCAAAGCAGAGTTGAGGGCGGACAAGAGCGCCGGCTCAGGATTCTTGACGTTCGAGAACATCTCCGGGAGACGTGTCAGCAACGATGTGATGACGGATTTCGACTCGTACGGATCTACGAACAGGCCTTCACCCAGTGGCAGGAAGGGATCCTCCAGGTCAGGCATGATCAACATTTGCGCCGAGTCCAGCCCAGGAGAAATGTTGTAGAAATGAATGTCCTTGTCGTAGGTCACGAATCCGACCTTGGCGCCTTTGGGTATCCTGCGTTGCGGCTCCCCATCCTCGCCCTCCTCGCCACCATACAGGGCGCTTTGGATGCCTTCGCAGAAAGCTTCCAAGAACCCCTTGTTGTAAGACTCCTGCGTCACGTCGATCAAGAACAACCAACGCAAGCCAGTGGGTTCCTTAGTCCAGTACTCCTTTGGCACGACAAACTCGACAGTGCCGCGGTGCAGCTCGGGTCTCTGATCGCGGTCGACTCGGACGCCCTGGGGCGTTGTAGCACAGAAGTATTCAGGGGGAGTGTCGTTTGGATATGTGCACAAATTGCAGACGAACTTGTTGCCACCAGATCGGAACATCATGAAGGGGTTGATGTAGGCTCGGCATCGTCGACATCGGGGAGGACCTTCGTCGCCGCAGTCGATCACGGGAATCTCCTGCTCACCAGCTTGCTGTGGTGCCAGTGGCTGCAGCAGAAGGCCTAGGGGCAGCGATGTCGCCTGGAGACCATCATTTGTTGAGGGAATGTTATTGACTGTCAGTCGTGCATACTTGGGCGACGCGTTGCCCTGGTCGAAAGACACGAATGACACAGCCGCAGGTGGCGGCACATGTCGCTCAAAGGTGTGATATACGTTCTTGAAGAAGTGTTGCTGCGCGCCATCTCGAGAGATGGGCACGCTTGGGAGATCTTCTGGCGACACCTTGGGAGGTCCGGAGCCCGCAGTTCCTATCGTGGCAGACGCATCGTTTGAAGGCTGCTGGTTGAACTGACCAACTGGAGCGCCGAACTGGGCGTGTCCCATTTGAGGTGTACCCTGGGGTTGTTGCCCATATTGGCCACCTCCAAAGGCTGGCACACCCTGCGCAGCGCTGTCGAGGAATTGCGTCTGGGGCGTACCAGGTGGCGGCATGCCATTGAAAGCCTGAGAAGAGCCAGCTGCTTCGACGTTGTGATATGCGTGCCTGTCCTTCTTCTTTCGTCGAGTTGTTCCATAGCCGCTGTCCGCACCGAGGTTCATGCCTCCCACCTGAGCAGCGAGAGACGCGTCTTGGGGCGCTTGTGGTTGGTCTTGGAATGCTTGGGGAGCAGGAGAGCCATAACCGTGCCCGGGGGAGGGCATTGGAGGCTGCTGGCCAGCATACTGACCATACTGCGGTGCTCCATATTGTTGCTGGTATGGCTGCTGTTGGGGCTGCTGTTGAGGCTGTTGATATTGAGGGCCTGGCGGGTAGAAGTTCTGGGCAGCGGGTGCACTCGTTCGATTGGGATCGTTCGGGTCGTACACCTCGCCCTGTCCGAGGGCGTGGTACTGGGAGTAGTCGGCCATGTTGCTAGGAAGCTTAAGCTTGGAAAGCAACAGGTGCCGCCGCTTTGGAAGCTAAGATGCCACAGGTTAGGGGAGTGTGGGGTCGTTCGAGAGTCGCGGAAAGGTTCGCGGCCAGACCGGTAAACAATGCTTATATAATGAGAATGAAAGTGTTCATGTCCTCGTCAATTCGTCTATCGTTGTTGTCCGCTTGGGCCAGACGCGAACTGGTGACCCATAGATGTGGTCGGTGAAGGTGTCTTGCCTCGTGGCCTTTTCGTCGATAATCCCAGTTCCCACATGCGAGACGGGGCAGCAGCTATCCCTCCCTGTCAGTATTCGGAATAGCGTGGTGCGAGGACAAACGAGCACTGTTATAGGGCACTGTGAGGCAACGACACGCCAAGCTCCTCTGCCTACCCGAGGTCACGCGTCCCTCCATCTCACAGCTGCGAAGCTCGACAAGTAGACAATTACGGTTTCAAAGTCTAGCTGGGTTTTGCTTGCCTGCCTTCTACTGTTCATAATGCCATGTTTAGACCCTATGGTTCATACACATCGTTGAATTGTTCAGGTCTCATGCCGAACCTACTAGCTTAGTTAACGTGCCAGGGTCGTCCACAACAGAGTGAGTGAGCCACCTGGGCTCATGGGATTATCACCGACACATTTTCAACATTTTCGAACATAAAGGCTAGTCTCCTGAGATTAATGATTGGATCAAGTAGCACTAGACGCAGCAAGTGAAACCCCATGACTTTGCGCTTATTGAGAAATGGCCACCGTCTTCACCCCTCAGTACCTCGCATTCGGCCACCTAATCAACTCGATCGCGTCACTAGTCCCCGAGACTGCCTCAGTGCATGCGAATAAATTTAAACCGCTCTTCTGAATTGCTCTTCATGATAAGCTACATCGTCTTTATCGGTGCCAGTTCTTTGTCGTTATCTTCGGCTTCTCGTGACCGTGAGTCGATGGTAGACGTGTTCTAGAGTACCTAGCCGCTTCTAAAACCCACCGAGTGTGATATGAACACTCAGAATTGCACAGAAAACTTCTCAACAATTGCTGTAACCTGTCCAAGCGACCTGGCTCCAGCACTTGCCACCCGGGTTGCACATTTTTACTGATGGCACAGAATTCCCTTCCTCCGACCGTCGCGCGTCGTCTGAATCGCAGACCAAAGCAAATGACTGTGCTTGCAATTTACAGTCATACGAAAAGTTCGTTTTATGCCAAATTAACCATGATTATGTCGTCTGCCTCCGCAACAGGCGTGTTAGAAGCGCAACTTATTGTCGCGGTCGGACGACTCAGTGCGACTGCGTAGTCACCTTCTGGGCTTCATTTGATGATGCCCGCACATGATGGCCTTGAGTCATCCATACTGCGAGAAAAATGTGCAAAAAGTAATTCATAACATTTTTCATTCCACTAGTGACTCATGGCAAGCTTCAAAAATCTTCCTTTTTCTGGGCCTGCGTGGTGGAATGGCCCTCGTTCGTGCGAGGACTTGCTGTTGAGATGGCTTCATGTGCCACATGGCGGTGAGTTCGTCTGCAACGACTTACACGACGCCACCAAGCGCATACAACTTCAGAAGACACTTTGAAACAATGTGACAAAATTAATTCCATACACCAGAGCTGCGGTTTCAGCTGAAGCCGTCCATACAGGTCACACACTGTAATCTAGTGGTGTTGCGTGGCAATGGGCGATGCGACAAAAATCGTCGTAGTCGTCCTCGTCAGTGTTGGGACACCTTACAGCATTGCACCGAGCGGCTCCAAAGGCACATGATGGCTAAAGCTTGATTTCGTGAGACCACCCCCTTTGCAGTCACTATTCTATTAAAACTGACTCATACTTGAAGCGAGTGTGAACGACACGCAGGGCTGTGGCAAGAAGCGAGAGGAAGAAGGGAACTCGAGAGGACGGACGAGGAGGGGGATGGGCGGATGTTGGGAGAGCACGCGCTTCCAGATCACTACTCTCCAGCAGCACTCACACGCTCTAAGATAGATTTCCCAGTCGGGGAGTGTGGATGCAGCCCTGCACCAATCAGAAAAATGCAGCACGGGAACCATGGATTTCGCAGATCAAGAGGGACATTGACGATAACAGGCTTCCGCCGTCAACACTGCAGCATCTGATACAGCTGGTGTACTGCATGGAAGGTGGCCCACCCCTGCGGAGTGTACTGGTGGTAGTTCCGGCAAGAGGCGCCAGGAGTGGGGCAGGGATCATTCTTGCTTCGACCGGGGGTGGTTATGAGCTTTTGGCAGTGAGTGGGAGGGGCCGGAGGGCAAGAGCTTGCGTCTGGCGGCGCACTTCCCGTTACTGATTGCGGCCTTGGGTCTGCCACCCCCCGCCTGGTATATAAACAAGCTCCCCCCTCCACGCGCGCACATATGGTCGAGCTCTCTTCTCTTCGGCCTCTCTTTGATTTTGTCAGTTATCCGTCTTCACCAGCCTGCATCTTTAGGACCCCTTTGTTCCACGTTGAAACAAGCACAACAACACGTCGTCAAGACTTCAAAACACATTCGCAATGGCTCCCGCTGCAAAGAAGGCGTCCGGCGCGACCAAGGCGGCCCCCAAGGCTGCTCACCCGACCTACCAGGACATGATCACCGACGCCATTGTCACACTCAAGGAGCGCAATGGATCAAGGTATGAACCGACGTGCCATATCCACCCACTCACGCGTGCTAACAATGTGTCTGCAGCCGCCAGTCGCTCAAGAAGTACGTCAAGCAGAACAACCCCAGCATCACTGCCACCGACAACATGTTCGACGCTCTCTTCAACAGGGCGCTGAAGGCTGGTGTCGACAAGGGTGTCTTTGAGCAGCCCAAGGGTCCCTCTGGCGGCACCAAGCTGGCCAAGAAGAAGCCCGCCACCGAGAAGAAGCCCGCTGCTCCCGCCGCTAAGAAGGAGACTGCTGCCAAGAAGGAGACTTCTACCAAGAAGGAGCCTGCCAAGAAGCCTGCTGCGAAGAAGGCCGCCGCACCAAAGAAGGTCACTACTACCAAGGCCAAGGCTCCTGCAAAGGCCACCAAGGCTGTTGCTTCCAAAAAGGCTGCGCCCAAGAAGGCTGCCGCCAAGCCAGCTGCTGCCGCCAAGGTACGTTCACATGCCGCCATCACACGATACACGCTCTAACATCTATGCAGGCTGAGAAGCCAGAGACCGTCCTGACCAAGACCAAGTCTGGCCGTGTTGCCAAGGCACAGAAGCCCGCTGCTCCCAAGAAGGCCGCGCCGAAGAAGGCCGCATAAGCGCGTGTTATCTCAAACCTATCTTGATGCGTAATGACTGGCGTTTATGGCACTGTTCTTTTGCTTATACAGGTACGGGACCGTTGGGGCTTTGCGACACTGGGGAAACGGAAAGCGATGGAATGTGTTTGAAATTCTTTGAATATGTTAGGAACGCAAGGTCGCGATGAATGGGCGCGCTGCGTGGCTTTGGGTACTTGTGCGCGACCCACTAGTACAACTATTGCGCGGCGGACGGGGAGTTTCGGCGCCCCTCTTGCTTTGTATGATACCTCATGGAAGAGTGCTCTGGGTTCAATGGAATGCCTCCGGGCTTGATCTGACATTGTTTTGATTTGTGTTCGGGTCGTGCTAATACAGTGAAATACGGTTGGTGTGGTTGAGTGAGCGTCGGTTTGAGACGCGTCGACGTTTGTTTACGGTGGCATGGCGCATAGGACATATCGACAGGGGTGTTTTCCACGAGCCTACCCTACAGTAAGGGTGAGTCGAGCTTGTCAGTATGCGGTATTTCAGTGGCACTTTGAGCGTGAAGGAAACGCTCCTTTTCATTGGGAGATAAACAAAGTAAACTTGCCTACCGTTATAATCTTTTATTATGGCTTGGTGGCTGGTGGGCACGATGCAACTGGAGATGGCACGACTCAACAAAAAGTAGTAAACTCACACAAACTTCGCACAAGTTGACACCATACTGCTAACAATTTGTCAGTTCAAGGAACTATTTGCTGGCACACTGTTTTCCACACAGCAATATGAAAACACTTGCCGTTGAGCATGTTGCAAATTACTAAAAGTTCCTCGACTATAAGGGCCTTCAAGCGGGAGCTTTGCTGGTGAACACGCATTGAGCTAATAATAACCAAGAATGATGTCAGATCTTCACCCCGCGCCCACTGACAAGGCTATTGAGCTACGTGCGCAGCTCTTGAGGATAAGAGTTAATAGCGACTGACAGGCAATCCAAGCTAAGTACTGAGCGTTCCGCAGTGAGTGAGCTGAGTATTAATCGGCGCGAGGCCACGTGTTGTACACGTCGCCATGCTGAGCCCCCACGTATCTAACACTTGGCCTACGTTAAGGAGACTGGAGTGATTCGCGTCTGCCTGCCCGAGGTACATTTGTTTGGCGGGCAGCTGGAACACTCCAGCTCCGAAATAGTGGGGTACAAAGTCTCTGGTCAGACCCCCCACCACAAATCAAGTCCCATCTTATCGCTACCTTACACTGAAGCGCTTCGCCATCCCTCCAAACCCGTCACCCTTTGCTGCCCAGCCTAACCCTCCTGTATCTCTTGCGCTCGCGACGAAACGCCCAGCTGATAGGGTAGCAAGGTCATCTACAACAAGAACTCGAGCCCACAAATCAGGTGATGGCAAGGGACCCTCATCCCTTACCCTGAGTGCAGAAAAGCCACCCCGCGAAATGCGACCGCGACGACAGACCTCATGAACACAATGGCCTCCTCCAACCCCTTTCGCAAGCAGACGACCCCAATTATCACAGACTTTGATGCCTCGTCCATTCCACGTGCCTCGCGACCGCCACCCCCCGTGAGCTTTGGCAGCTCCGACCCCAAGATCGATCCGGTGGTTCCGGTCGAGACCAAGACCAAGGCCAAGGTCGTCAAACGAGTGCGCGTCCTCTCACCACCTCCTCTAAGCCCTGACACGCCCGAGTGGCCGGAAAATCATATACCAGCATACCCGCAAGATGATACAGACTCTACGGACGTTGCCGGGGAAGCCGACAAGACGACCCCTACGGATGCAGTGCCTGGAGTGTCCTTTGGGACACCACAGCAGGGCATTGCTCTCGTGGAGGAAATGAAGAGCGAGGGAGAGGCGCTCAAAGCCGGGAACAAGGCCATGGATGTCGATGCTTTCAAGCGCCTCCTCATGACTGGCGACAAGCCCGCTTCTACCAATGATGCTGCCGAAACCGTGCCAAAGCCAGCGACATCGTCGGCACTCTTGCCCTTGAGACAGGCGGAAGAAGACGAGAACCTTTCAGACTCGAGCATGACGGTGCAATTCGGGTCGAGGAAGAAGGCGGCGCCCCCGCCCCCGCCGAGTTCGCGGCATGGTAAAGCTATCAGAAACAACACGGGGGCGTCTGACGCGAAAGCAATTTCACCATTGGAGCAGTCGTTCGCCGCAGGGCCTCGAACTGCTGGCACTGAGATCGGAGACGACTCATCCCATGACATTATTCCAAAGAAAGCAACACCGGCGGCGCCACCACCACCGCCGCCGCCCCGGGGTCATGCTCGAAGCGACAGCAAGGCGCAGCCAAGCTCCCCAGGAGAACAACACTCCTCCCCCGACGCTGCGCAATCACTGTCACAGAGTAGCCGGTCCAGCAGCGCACCAGTACCCCCGCCGCCGCGCAGACCCAATGCAGGCCATCGGATGTCTTCCAGCCAAACATCTCCCACCTCTGCGTCCTTCCCAGATGCAGAGTCCCCCGATGACGCAAATGACATGGCAGAAGGCCAGGCTGGACCGAGCAGGCACCCCGTCCCCCCTCCTCCTCCACCCGCTCGTAATTCCTCCGTGCGGCGACCACCGAGCGCTGAGGCCAAGTCAAAGGACAGTGTTGTACCGCCACCTCCGCCACCAACGAGGAAGAGAGGCACAAGTAAAGGAAGTGCAGATCGACCGAGCACAGGTGATCCAGGCCAGGGTGACGCATTGCTGGCCGACTTGAGCGCCCTGCAGCGGGAAGTCGATGCCGCAATGGGCAAGCTAGGCTAGCAGCGTGGTCCTCAATGTACCTAGGCGTCCTTTGCGGGACACAGTTCCACTAGGCACGCCCACTTTCGTTGCGCCCGGGCTCACCAAGTCCGTGCCAACGCCTTGGGTGGTCTGGAACCTCGTTTGCCAGCGGGAATGAGGGCATGCGGTTTGCCGAACGGGACGTAACATTCTGGACGGCGTCATGAGGGGGGTTGTGCGAGACTGCGAGAGGATACAAGACCATAATATGGGGCTGATCAATGTCTTGATATTGAACTGTGCAAGGCATTTTGCGGCCATACTATGCGTTGCTTGAGTTTCCCGCCGAGCCGAGGCCACTGTCTGGGAGCCGCCACACCTACATTCAACACCCATCACTCCAAACAATCAACGGCAGACACCGTGAGCCTCACGATCCAATATACTGTACTCGCCGACTCCCCAATGTGTTTCAGAGATCTGGCCACCCTCAGCTGCACCACGTGCCACCGCGCCTATGGCCAGATTGCAGCCAGCACCCACGTTTGCGGGCTCAAGTGCGGCACATTCCTGAACCGCAGCACCGACAAGCATGTCAACGGCGAGTGTGCCGTCTGCGCTGGGAACAGGGAGGAGAGCGCCCGGCGAGCCGCTGCGTTGAGGCGATTTGGGAGCAACAGTAGCGGGACCCAGGCTTGAGTTTTCGGAGGAGAGGGGAAAACTTCATCATCATCATCATTTGTGGCCTTTGTTTCATTCTATACATATGTGTTTTGATGGGCTGGGGACTCGGGCTTTGACGAAGGGCAGGTTTGGGGCGTTGATTTGAGCACGCTGTCAGCGTTGCATAGAGAGGGTAGGGATACAAAGCATGTTATCCATGTCAACATCATCTTGAACCTTTATTTGGTCTACGGAGTGGACTGTCCGGCTAATCAATGGGCATGCGTTCGAGTCTACTTATTTGTCGTCGATGTGTTGCCAAGTTGAAAGTCAGACCATGGCAATCGATCCGGCTTCGGCGCATCGGAAGTGGGCCGGGGCTGGGCGTCCATCAAGGCATCTCAACATCTCAAACCAGCGCTCTTACAAATGATGTCAAGAACATGGCGTCTCAATCATTATTCGAAGACGCCTTGAAGGCTCTCCGCCTGGTGAGTGCGCGCTCTTCGTCTAGGAGATTGGACTGACCAGTTCGCACAGAGTGCCCAGTCGTCCGCCCGCCATGTCGTTCACTCCTGGATCTATGTGCCCGTGGGCCTTGCATTGATGCTACTGGCCTGCTTCGGCGTCGACTCGTTCCTTCGACAGGTCAAGGTTACCTTCCCAGCATCCGTGGCATGTCTTGTGCTCCTCTTCGTCGCCCTGCTTGCCTGCGAGGCTGCGCTGGGCAGTCACCAGACGAGGAAGCTGGTCGCCCTCCTTGATGTGCCGGTACGTCTACCACGCTGTCTCTGACGATGAGAAGGAACAAGGCTGAAAAAACAACAGGCCGGGTGGGCGCTGCGATGGATGAGCATCTTCTTCATGCCGCCATTCGTGCTGCTCCCTCTCAGCCCTCGCATCGGCGTCATCGAGGTCTTGAAGATCATCGCCGTCTTCCTCATTGGGTTCGCCGTCATGATGGCTCTGGCCGCCTACCTCATTCGCTCTCTGCATCTGCTACTGGGCTCGAGCAAGAAGTCCATGACCCAGCGCGCGGAGGAACTCGATCCAACGCAGGAGCATATTCCTCTGGCAGACGCTACTCCAACGCCCAGTGAAACGCCTCCCAGGGAAAGCATCTCTGGTATCACGAGTCCTCCTGCCTCGCGGCCACAGACGCCGCCGCAGCTGAGACTCCAGGACCATCATCATGCGACGCAGCAAGTCGTACTGGGCGACCACGTCGCCGCGAGAAGCGAGTACATGGTGCAGGTCCCCGTCCCGCCGGAACGGTGCGAAAGATGGGCTGCCGTGGCAAGCAGCCACCTGGACACAATCACATACGGCGTACTCACCCTCGTCGGCCTACCCATGTACTACACGACTGATTTCCCATTGCCGCTGCAACTGCCGTTGACGGTGCTATGCTACATGTTCCTATCGACCCTCCCTCCGCCATCCTGGAGGACATATCTGCATCCGGTGCTCACAGCCTCCCTCGTCACGGTCCTGCTCCTCTGGCTCCTGGCTTTCACAAAGGGCGTCTCCCTCTCCACGACGCTACACGCCTACCGCACCGGAGCCAAGTACCTGACCCTCTGGCGGGACGCCAGCACCCGCCCTCCCGGGGCAGGCGACATCTTTGCCACCCTCCTCGACGCGAGTATCATGGCCCTCGCCCTCCCGACCTTTCAGCACCGTCGCGAGCTACGCGCTCACTTTGCGCCGCTGCTCGTCCCCAGCGTCATCATCTCCGTGGGCTCCCTCCTCGCCTACCCCCCGCTCTGCTACAGCATCAGCATCGAAGCCAAGAGGAGCCTCGCCTTTGCCAGTCGGAGTCTGACACTCGCGCTCGCGACACCTGCTACGGAGAATTTGGGCGGCGACCTCAACACGGCCGCCGCGCTGGCCATTGTCAGTGGTATATTTGGTGTGCTGGTGGGCCCGAGAATGCTGGCCATCATGCGCGTCCCTGAAGGTACCGTATAAAAACACATCACCCACTCTCTCTGAAAGGATGCCTGAATTGACCTAACCGTACGATGTGCAACAGACGACTACGTAACGCGTGGCGTCACGCTGGGCGTCAACTCCAGCGCCATCGCGACGGCCCTGCTCCTCAAGACGGATCCGCGCGCTGCGGCACTGGCCTGTCTGAGCATGATCTTGTTCGGAACCGTCACGGTCATTTTTACGAGTATTCCCCCAGTCGCCAATGTGATCAGAGGCTTCGTCGGGTTGTGAATGAGAGTGAAACACTGTCTTGGCGCCCCGATGGTCGGCTGTCAACGCGCAGATTGGCCCCATTAATTCTCGCTTAGTAATATTCACCCAATTTTGTCATGGTGTCGCGTCCAGTCTCTGACTCTCGTCCCACTTCCTCTCTCTTCATCAATGCGCTCAGCCATGATGAGGCCTTCATCTCATGCTCAAGATGTCACGCAGCTCTTTGATGCAAGAGCTTACGTTGCCTTTTGATGAGTGAAATCGCCAGACACCGCTCACAGAGGCCAAGTGGAACAAACGCTGCTTGTCGCGGTCGTCCATCCTCTCCACGGCAAAAGCAGACAGCGACTACTCTGTCTCAAAGCCTGCAAGAATCATTGGCGGTAGTATGCAAGATGCAACGCCGGCCTCTTAGTCTGACACTCAGCTCCCGCAGGCCAGCTTCTACCCGACCCGGACTAAAATTGAACCACTGACACTTCTTCCTCCATGTCTCCTGGCTCTCATTCCATCCGGAGAACAAACCCCTAGACACGGACTCTGCTCTTGCTTGAACCCAAGACGGGGTCTGTGTCTCTGCTGCATTAACCGGATCTTGTGGCTCCTCTCGCGGCCCTTGGTCTTACCATGGAGCGCACATCTTGCAAGACACATTTAGTTAGATATGAATTCACCGCGTAATGAAGACAGTGGGAGGGAATTTTGTTTTTGCTGTGCTCGAAGAGTGAACCCTTTGTCTACCTCACGAGACTGGTCCAGATCCACCATGTATAAGCCCTTTCCTCCCAAAAGGTTTTTTTTTTTGTTTTTTTGCGTTGTTTTTGTCTTCTATTGTCTCTTCCCGTGATATTGCTCACCCAAAGCCATCCGCCGGTTGCCGGGCAGCTCTCTCGCGAAGTAGCCGTGCGCGAGAGGCTTGCGTTACGGCATAGGGGTTCTTCCTCAGGCCGGGTCCTCTTTGGAGAGCAACCGAAAAGGATTTTTTTCTCCTTGTCTCCCTCCCCCCTGACACACAATTGGCCTTCTGTGTGAACCAACCGCAGACTGCTGGCCCAGCTCTCTCGCGAGGTGCCGTGCGCGAGAGGCGGTATGCCACGCAGCAGAGTGACTTGTTCTGCAATGGCTGCCTCGAATTGAAGCGTGTCTCTCCGCCCCTTCCTTTGAACCTGTCGCCTCTAAAGGTTTTCTCTGGCACCATCCTCCCGCCACCCCTGCTTCTCCAGGTATCATAATGCTGTTGTCGACCTCTCCTGAGCCATGTTGCTAATGCAAGGCCTTGTGCGGTCATAAAATGAACCTCTACCCTTGTCATTCGTAATCCGGGACAAATCGACCTTAGTCCAGGAACCGTCAAGCTTCATGAGAGCCCGACCTCCCGTGTTGCACCAAAGAGAGGTGTGTGTGTGTGGTATGTGCTTGTCCCCGTACTCCTGTTGCGCCGATAGGTCCATTTCCCTTCCGATTCGCTCAAAAAAAAGTCGTGGCGAATACTAACTTTACATCCAATATGAAAAGATAGACCATAGGGCCCCCCCCCTCCCTGAAAACAAGACAACAAAGAAGAAGAAAAAAAAAAAATAAAAAAAATTTAAGGCAACCCACAGACTCCATGTGCGCCTCATCATGAATGCAATGAGATTAGGCCGGCGCTTCGCGCGGCTGGACACGGCCACCACCGCGTCCACGTCCGCTGCCGTCACCTCGCCCGCGGTAGCCACGGCCACGCCCACCGCGACCCCGGTACCCGCCATTGTGGCTGGTGCCCTGGCCCTGCCAGGTTCCCTGGGGCTGCCCCTGAACAACACTGCCCTGCTGCTGCTGCTGCTGCTGCTGCTCCTGTGCCTGCGAAGGCTGTTCGTTCTTGATGATGTTGACTGGTCGAGGGATGGATTCGGGGTTGTCGTACACATAGAGGCTCTTGTCGATGCTCGCGGGAATCGGCTGGATCTCGGTGCCGAGATCGCGCTCAATGTTGTACAGGTTGAAGCGGTCGTCCCAGTTGATCAGGTTGATGGCGAGACCAAGATGTCCGTAGCGGCCGGAGCGACCGATGCGGTGGAGGTAGGTCTCGGCGTTCTTGGGGAAGTCAAAGTTGATGACCACATTGACGGCCTGAATGTCAATACCACGCGTGAGGAGGTCAGAGCACACCAAGTTGCGGCAGACGCCGTTGCGGAAGTCGTGGAAGACGCGGTTGCGCGCCTGCTGCTGCATCCTGGCGTGGCTGTAGAAGCACGAGTAGCCGAGTTCGGTGATCTTCTTGGCGAGCAGCTCGACGCGGTTGGTCGAGTTGCAGAAGATGATGGACTGGTTGATCTGCAGCTTGGAGAAGAGCGTGTTCAGGCAGTGCACCTTTTGTTTTTCCTCGACAAAGGCGTAGTACTGCGTGATACCCCGGAGGGTGAGCTCGTCCATCAGGTTGATTTCGTACGGGTTGGCCATGTTGCGGTCGGAAAACTCCTTGACGGAGAGGGGGAAGGTGGCGGAGAAGAGCATGACCTGGCGGTCCTTGGGGTGGAACTGGAGCAGCTGCTCAATGACGGGCGTGAACTCGCTGGACAGGAGCTTGTCGGCTTCGTCCATGACGAACATGGGGCACTCGCTAAGATCCGCCACGTTCTTGCCGGCCAGATCGAGGATACGACCGGGGGTACCGACCACAATATGGACGGAACCGTCTAACCGGTAAATGTCGTCGCGCAGGCTGGTGCCGCCGGTGGTGACCATGACGTTGATGCCGAGGTGCTTGCCGAGGGTCTTGCAGACCTGCGAGGTCTGCATGGCAAGCTCGCGTGTGGGAACCAGGATCAGGGCCTGGATCTTGTTGACTTTGGGATTGATGCGCTCCAGGGTCGGGATGACAAAGGCGGCGGTCTTGCCGGTGCCGTTCTTCGCGCGGGCGAGCACATCGCGGCCGGTCAGGGCCACGGGGATGGCCTCCTCTTGAATGGGAGACGGGCGCTCGAAACCGGCTTCGAAGATGCCCATGAGCAAGTCGCGCTTCAGGGCAAAGTTTTCGAACTCGAGGCCCCTTGTGTTGGTGACATCCTGCACCGATCAGTACGGGATACGTTGTCTGTCTGTCAGAGCAGCAGGCATTACCTCTGTTTGTTGGCGGTTGTCTTTTGCTGGGAGGTTGAGCTTTGATTTCCAGCCGTCATTGCTCCCGGTACTGTTGGTGCCGTCACTGAGTATGGTGCTCTTCAGCTTGTCCGCTAACTGTTCCGACATGGTGGCTGGATCGTGTGTGTATGAGATCCAGCTCGGGGGGAATTGGGCGCGCACAAATTGGGGAGAAACGTGGATGGAGGCACCTCTGCTAACGTATGAGGCTACCGTATAGGATCTATGTACACAGTGAATGTGGAAACGAGTATCTAGCCGTGAGGGTCGAGACGTGCGGGGATTGGCTCGTTCTGGGGTGCTTCGGTGTCGTGATGTGCGTGGTGAAAGTAAGGTAAGGTAGTTTCGACCTCGTCTCGTGGGTTTGCTCAGCGAGGGGGGGAGAGGTAGGTTTCGTTGGGGTTTCTAGGGTAGTGCAGATGGCTCGCTGTGGTGGTGCGAGAGTTGTAGAGGCGTCGTAAATAATGGCGAGCTCCAAAAATGAGTTTGCGGGAGTGGTTGTAGAGGTGAAAAGTCCCTTGCTGGCGATGTTGGTTCCATTCGTCGGTGCGCTGCGCATGCGAGGAGTGCACAGACCACATCGTCGTGGTGGGTGTCACGTGTGCGGAAGAAGGAGGTGGGGGCTGTAGTAGATCATCTTTGTGTCGAGGGTTTAAAGAGTGACCGAGGCAGCGTCATCTGGACACTGGCGAGAGCATCTTGATATGAGTTGTCAAAGTGTGCTCACATTTGATTTCATATTGCGCTAGAGGTTTTGACGAGCTCTTGTGCCGTGATGTGAGGCTTAATCCCAAATCCCCATTAAGACAGCTTTTACGCTTTGCTTGCTTGCCTTGGCTGCCGCTGGCCAGTGGAAGACAGTGCACGACAGCTTGGAGTTTCCGAAGACAGTCGTGAAAGGCGAAAGAAAATAAAGTTTGTCATCTAGGTATATACAGGACCATACACGTGGTTCGTTACAGCTTCATGCCCATGGCCTTGGCCACCCTCAGGCTCTGCCTCATGCTCAGATCGAGCATAATCTCCTCACTGCCACCAGGAATCGCGTACGCCCTCACATCCCTGTACAACCTCTCGACCTTGCCGCCCTGTCCGCCTCTCGAGTAGCTCAGACCACCAAAGATCTGACTCGCCTCGCGGGCGCAGAACTCAAAGGTGAGCGTGCTCTGCGCCTTGAGACCGGCAATCGGCCCACCCAGACGAAGCATGGCCTCCGTCTCGCCCATCTTCTCGCACTGGTAGATGAGGTTCTCGAGCCAGTTGTACGACGCCTCAATCTGGCGCGCCATGTGCGCGAGCTTCATGCGGATGACGGGGTGGTCGTAGAGCTTCTTGCCAAACGTGCGGCGCTTGTGTGCGTACTTGACGCTCTCCTCGTAGCAGACGCGCGAGAAGCGCAGGCACTGGATGATGATGCCGATGCGCTCGTGGTTAAAGTTGGTCATGATGGCGCGGAAGCCCTGGTTCTCCTTGCCGAGCAGATTCTCCACGGGGACCTTGACGTCCTCAAAGGTGATGTAGGTTGTGCCCGAGGACCAGACACCTTGGCAGTCCATGCGGCGGGTGCTCACGCCCTCTGTGCGCTCAATAAGCAGGAGCGAGACGCCCCCAGCGCCTTCACCGCCGGTGCGGACGGCGGTGGTGAAGTAGTCGGACCAGATACCGTTGGTGATCCACTTCTTCTCGCCGTTGACAATGTAGTGCTTGCCGTCCTCGCTCAGCTTGGCCTCGCAGGTCAGGTTAGCGACGTCCGAGCCAGCATCGGGCTCCGTGATGGCGAGGCAGATGCGCTTGTCGCCAGCCAAAATGCCGGGCAGGACGCGGTCCTTGAGCGACTTCTTGCCGAACTTGACCAGCGGAGGGCAGCCGATACCATAGCCGCCAATGAGGTTCCAGACGAAGCCGCCGGAGCCTGTGCGGGAAATCTCGTCGGTGATGATGAGCTCGTGGAAGAGGTCCCACTGGTCCAGTGGCACGCACTTGGGGACATTGTCCTTGTTGACGTATTCCTTGGGGTAGTGGATGCCCAGCAAGCCGGCCAGGTAGCCTCGACGACCCATTTCCTTGTAGATCTCCTCGGGCACGCGCTTGGCTTCATCCCACTCGGTCACATTGGGCTCGATCTCGGCCTCGATCCATTCGCGCACCTCGGCGCGCAACGCGGCGTGTGTGCTGTTGTAGTATGGTGAGTGGTACTGTGCCAGTTAGCCTCCGTGCTCAATGTGATATCTGCACACAAGGAAAACTAGACTTACGCCCTGGACCGAGTTGGGGTCGGCAAATGGGATCTGGAGGCCGATTTGCTCCAGAGGCTCGCTCTGCTCCTCGGTTTTGGTGGCGATCTGGCGCACAGCCTTGTCCGCCGCAGGCTTCACCTGCACCGTCCCTGGGGCAGGCTCGGCCTTGACGGCCTTCTCCTCCTGCTTGGGCTTGGTGTCGAGCGAGCCGACCTGCAGCTTGGCCTTGTATTTTTTGAGGATGCCCTCGTTGTGGTACTTCCAGAACTGCTTCGACGCATCCTTGCCCGCCACACGCTGCAGAATCTTCTTGCCGCCAGGATGGTCGTCCTGGAACTTGGTCAGGTCATAGACATCCTGGTCGACAATGATGTACAGGTTGTCGGGTTTGTTGTGCGACGCCACGTCGCTGACGGTGAAGGTCTTTGACATGTTGACGGCTGTGTGTTGTGTGTGGATGATAGATGATGGAGAGGCAGCAGGTTAGGTAGAGGAAGGGAAGAGCTTCAAGATAGATCGGGACGATGGGAGTAGCAAGTAGTACAGCAGATCCACAGGCCGGCTATGGGAATCAATCACATGTTGGTCTGCCCTCGCTCCCGACCTGGGGATTACGCATCCAGCAGGCTAACCCAGTGCTCACTCCAGCATTTCCAATAACCCCACAGGTCCCGGCCGGAGCCCATGGGGAAGCTCACCAAGTCATTCGCGTTAAACAATGAATCGCCCGCTTCCGACGAGCTAGCTTCACTGGTCATGTGCGCGCCGCACCCGGACGTCGGCTGGCATGTGAATGCGCCCATCGACACCCCGGAATGTTGATGTCATGCACCTTGCTCCATCGGGTGGAGATGCCGAGGTTCACTTTGCTCGTGTCGTGCTGCCCGCGTCCAATCGCATTCCCATTATTGCCAATTGGCGGGAGGATTCATGCTTCCAAGTTTCAACCCATTGATTTGGTCTCCAACAACAGATGCGCAAGGTAATAATAAAGCGGAGGATCAACTCGATTCGGTGTGTCTTTCCGACCTAATGTTAGGTGTAGCGGCCCCGATCCAGATACCTATTCAATGTGCGTACACACAGAATTGTGCACGTGCTCCTCGGCTACCTTAGCCTGCCTGCCTTCTGGATAACACCGTGCCACACGCGTTCGGGGCGGGTATAATTAGTTCGCGCGACTGCTCCGGACAGCGCAGGTCGATTGCTAGATTCTGAATCTGAATTCTGACCATGGACAGCCATGACTCTGACCTCTTCCTCGGGTTCACATCCCGCGTGTCCTTGTGAGCAACTGTCCTGACGCCCAAACTCCCCCATACTTAGCAATAGATAATCACGCCGCTAATGTCCACATGCTCCTGCTCTGTTGCGATAGAAACCCCTAGGCAGCCCCTCGAGGCTTCGCCTTGGCCGCCGCCTTGTCCTTCTTCTCCTGCTTGAGCTTTTTGCGCTTCTCGTCCTGCTTCTCATCCAGCTTGCGCTTGTGTGCCGCCTTCTCCTCGTCCGTCTTGGGCACCGGCTTGAAGAAGCCCTCCAGACGAGCCTGTTGCGAGCTCTTGAGGTTCTTCTCTAACCGCGCACCGGCGCTGCGCACGCGGTCTTCTGAGAAACCCTTCTCTGCCACCAGGAACTGAACGAGACCCTCCACATCGGGCTTCTCCCACTTAAAGTCGCAGTCCTCGTGATCTGCTTGCCGCACGTCCGGCGCAAGGAAGAGATCGCGCGCGTCTTTGTACGGCCAGTCATCGGGGATGGCATACTTCTTCTTGGGGTCCTTCTCGATGGCCTCAACCACCTTTTCCAAGCTGCCATTGTCGCGGATCAGCTTGAGCGCGGTGCTCGGTCCGACCTTGGGAATGGGATCGAGGTAATCGCAGCCGAGGAGAATGCAGAGGTCGATAAACTGCGTCCTGTCCATGTTTAGCCCCTCTAGCACCTTGTCCAGTCGAACTTCCTGAATCGGCTCCTTTCGCTGCTCACTGAACGTCAAGTGGCGCAGTAATATCGGCGTGTCGAAACAGAGTGTGTCCATGTCCTCGCTCGCGGCGGCGTAGACCTTGCCTGCCTTGGCCAGCACCGCGCACTGCGCCTCGGCCTCGGTCGGGGCAATGATGTACGGCACGCCCATCAACTTGAGTAGTCTTTGGCATTCGGCGTTGTGTTCCCTCGTCACGCGGACCGTTCGGCGCGAGAACTTTTCGATCTCCTCGGCGGTACCCGTCTCCTTGGCCTCCTCGAGACCCTCCTGCGCCTCCTGCTTCCGCTGGAATCGCTTGGCGAGTTCGCCCGACTTGAGTTTTGGCGGCGCGCCATCGAAGACGAAGAGAGGCTTGATGCCATTGTCGACCATGCGGAGAGTGCGGTAGAACATGCCCATGAGATGCGACGTGGTCTCGCCGGTTTCGTTCATGAGTTGCTGACCATCGGAGCGGACGGCGATGAGGAAGGAGTAGATGCTCATGGAGGCGTCCTGGCAAGTTCATTAGCGATCGGTCCCTTGAGATTCCAGAAGCATGCGGTCGTACAATAGCCACTTTCCGACCAAAGTGGTTCTTGATTTCACCCTCCTTGATGGCGTCCGGGGCCTCATCCTTGATGATGGAGAAGAGTTGCTTGATGCCCATGGCGACGGCTCTTGGTATTGCAGTGTGGTCTCGAAACAAATGTCCAAGGTCTCAACGGGTGTCCAACTTCGAGAATAGAATAACAAATGGCCTTGCAAGACAAATCGTGATATTTAGTCGTGGTGGTGGGGAAGTGAGGAAGAGCTCAGCTAGAGACAGCAACGCGTCGAATCATGACGTGACGCGCCCAGCCGCGCTTTTTGTGCAGGGACTTTAATGGGGTTCCATAATTCCAGAGGGCAGGTGCCACCACAGGAGAGAGAGAGACTCAAAGCTCCAGTCCCCGTCACAGTTAGACCTTCATCACGACGTGTGTCAAGCGAATCATGTATCAAAAAAGATCAATACACGCTCACTAGCCCTCTGTGCAAGCTGCAAAACGTCCTGGCCCTCCGAAGGCTCCGCCAATGTCATCTGCTGCTCTCGCCGTCACCGGCCTGCTACACCCCATGCCACTCTCCGCCCGAATACTGATCAGGTCTCGTCCCGTGACCTCCAACGAAGGCGCCCGTATAGCCCTTGATGGCACACTCCTTGAAGACGCGCGCAATGACGCGCTCCCCTAGAATCTCGACACTGCGCCCCAACGCCCAGGCCTCGTCCGTGCCCACCTGCGCGAGGCCTGTGAGGAGGATGTCACGGATCGCCGAGTTCATGCTACCGGTGGGCTCCGCGTGATGCCGACCTTGGCCACCACGGACCGCAGACTCTCGAGGCACTGCTCGGCGCGCTAGGGCGTAGATTATATCTCTGTCGCAAATCGACTTTTTCAGACCCGGATTGACGCGCAGGAGACGATCCATGCTGTCATCGGCGCCTGCCTGGACGACAATCATCTTGCGCGCGAATGTGGGCCTGGTCATTGCGTCCACGAGCTCGCTCACGGTCTCATCGCCATAGGAGTGGGGCAGGGCTAGACGGTAGGCCTCGTCGATGAAGAGAACCTTACCGAGGGCCGATTCCAAGAGTCGCCTGGCTTTCGGACCCGTTTGGCCAACGTACTCGCCCATCAAGGCCGAGGCGGAGACCTCCACGACGTCCAGCGCGGGAGAGAAGGCCCATGTCGTAGTAAATCTGCCCGACCTTGCGGGCCGTGGATGTTTTGCCCGTGCCCGGGTTGCCAAGGAAGACGCGGTGCAAGGGCACTGGCAATGCCGCCAATCCTGTCATTTCCCTGGTTGCCTCTGAAAACCATGTCAAACTTGTCCCTTCTGAGCGACGTCTCGCGGCGCTGGGCGGCCTTGATGCTGGCGCGCGCGTGGAGGAACATGCGCTTCGCCTCTCCCAGGCCCGGCAGAGACATGAGTCTGTCGAGGTACTTGTTCTCGGCAAACCCGACCTCCTTCAGACGCAGCCACTCGTTTCTGGCGGGCCGACACGGCATGGTCGTCCTCGGATGACATCGTCGTTAGTGTTGCGTGACATTATCCATGTCATGGTGAGCGCCGGTCACCAAATGAACGACGAGGGACTCACTCAATGTCGATAAGCATTCCTTTCATCTTCTCGCACAGATCCAAGAACTCGGCGGTGGCCCGCACACGTGGTCGTCTCAATCTCCTGCCCGACATGTCGTCCCACAGCGACGCGTCGTCCGCGTCATTGTCATTCTTGGATGTCTCTGCCCTCAGCTACCACTGTCTCCATCGAAACGGACTCGCTTCGCCATCAGCGTTCCAAGGAAAGCATTCTCATCTATGGCGGGTGGTAAGCGGGCTTCGACGTGTGTCCAGGCGTGGTACTCGAATCGCAACCGGGAAGAAGTGAAGATGCCACTTGGCCCTACATGGGCGACCCGAGCTATTAGAGTATCTGTGAGAGACGAAGATACGAGGGCGCCACCGTTGGCTTGCTCGCTCGGCAGAGTGTACGTTCTCCAGTTATTTAACAGGCAGCCTCTGTCTGTCAAGGCAGCTGGCAAGCATCGTCGCCCGTGCATTCATTCACGCAGTGCATCATCAAGCGTGCAGTAATAGGTAAGGCTGTCAAGTCTCGATAAGGGATGCGCCGTTCTTTTCTTTGTCATAGCTCGTCAGGCTGCACTCCGTTTTAGTGAGTAGCGGCTCGATCCGTTGTACGAGTTCTAGCATTTCTCCGGAGTTTTAGACCATGAGGACTACTAATGATTGATATTTAACAACAATGAATTGCCTGTACAATCAAGTATGCGTTGAAGCGCAGGACCTTAATGCCTAACTTGGAAGTTGGAGGCTACTATGTGAGGCGTCTGCAGCTGTCCGGCGGCGGCCGCCCACTAACAGGCTTGATGTCGTTTCATCTCGTTTCTGCGACAGTTTTAAATCCTGATTGGCTCAGCCTGACCCTAATAATAGCCATTCGCACAGGGATACCCGGGAAGGATGCGCTAGTCGACAGTACAGACATTGCCTATCACAGTCACTCAAAAGCAGCGCGGGCAGGACGCTCGCTGGCATGGACCGACTCTAAAACGCAAGTGTGGCCTTCCTCTCGATGAAACCGCACGGCTGTGATCACAGCTGTGAACCGCTGCAGTCTGAGTCTGCCTGGCAGGATTCAACGCGGGAGGATATAGGTATGGCAGCACCCGTGATACTCATTCAAGTGGGCCCCTTTCTTTGCGAGGGCGCCGTGCCATTCGATGCAGCCCAGGATGCTCTCATGTCTGTCGCCTTGCTATGGCAGGGGTCAGTCAGCCCAACGGAGCACAGGAATCCGCTGGCTGGTCGACGGTCTGGCTCAGTCCGTCTCAATTGCCGTCAAAAACCCGTCGACATCTACTACTACCCTGTGCCCACGTGCAAGTTCAAGTTCAAGTTCAGCGTGATCAGAAGGCGGACAAGCAGCCATATTTCCGTCCTCATCCTTCTGGGGCTCACTCACCTTCGACAGACAGCCCGTGGAACCGACTCTCGACAGGGACTGTGAGACGCCCTGTACGACAGACGGATAGCATGGCTATTTATCGAATCGGTGGCGCAGCCCACTCAATTATCTGCAGCTAAAGGCTCTCAGCCTTGCCGGCGGTCGCTTCTCGCTATCATTTGTTGATCCCGCCTTGCTCCGTTCAGTCGTGCTTGTCCCACATAGACATGGGTCCGTCCTGTCAGCACGATTATGTCCCCCAGCCATGGATGTGATCCTCCTGGGCCAAGTTTGAAATGCCTTCTCCCCCCCTCCACCTTCTCCGTAGAGCTGGACCTGTATCTTTTCCATCCTTCCGACTTTGCGCCTGTGTATCTACATAATAACTTTATCATCGCGGTATCGTTCGGGGACGGCAACCGCGGCACAAACGATATATCGAGCTCAACCGACTGACTGCTTGACTGCTTGCCTGAGACCAAGTACCATGTCTGTCGCGATCCAGACGCCGGGCGTCTTTGCGGTGACGAGCATACCAGCCCCCGTGATGACCGCTGGGCCCGAGCTCTTTCGCCGCCAGGACGACCCGGAAACATGTGGTTTCTGGTCCTTCACCGATCGTGAGATCTCCCCGGCCATGGATCGGATGGCATGGCCATCGCATTCACGACCCGACTGACGATGGGAACGTAGGCGTGTCACCCTACTCCGAATACGTGTGCGTGGGGGGCTGCACGACGCAGTGGAGCGCAGGCCTACACGGTTGCAAGGAAATTTTTGCGTCGACCTGTTACGACGCCAGCGACAGCTACTGCTCCTCGGATGTGTCTCTGCTACCGGGCGAACTTTGCTGGTGAGGCTACCCAGGCGATATGACGACCGCGGGTCCCTCGTCCAGACACGATGACTGACCGATAGAAGCACCCAAGATCAGTTCACCAACTGCGTCACGGCGTCCAAGCAGGACGAGGGCCGCTGGCTGAAGGCCTACGAGTGTTGGGTGGGCTTGAGCGGCGAGGCCTACATCTCCGTCTCTGCGACGATTGTCGAGACGACCGACGGCACTACCGTCACCACGGAGCTCACCACGGATGTACCTACCGCCACCGAGACCGAGGACTCGGGGGGGAGCAAGGCCACCAACAGCCCCGCGGGGGGCGAGAACGAGAGTGAAACATCCGCCACTGCGACCAGCGACGCGGGCGAGGGCGACTCAACAGGCGAAGCGTCAGAGAGCGAGAATGACGGGAAGGACAGCTCGGGGCCTCCTATCGGCGCCATTGTCGGCGGTGTCATTGGTGGCGTGGCGCTGATTCTGGGCATCGCGTTTGGTCTCTGGTTCATGCGCTTCTACAAGCGCAAGCACGCGAAGCAGACGGGTGCCGAGCCCATGCGCGAAGATCACCCAAACACATCCTACCACGGCGCCACCTATCCTAGCCACGGTGCGAGCTATCCGATGCAGAACGGTGCCTGGGGATACCAGGTGCCGGCCGAGCCCAAGCCCGGGCAGCCGTATGCGCCGGTGGAGATGCCCGGGAGCCACGAGCGGGCGGAACTGCATTGATGATCAAGAGCATGTTTGTCGGTTGGGAGGAAGCGTTCTGCGTTCTGCGGCATTGTCTTGGAGTTCCGGGCGTATTGCGTCCATTTTTTACGTTCTGATGGGCGTTCCTGCGCTTCTTGCTGTACTGGTGGCTGGCATGTTAACGATTTTGTAGTTCAATCCGATTGCTGTGATGTTGCAAACTTGTGAGTCGTGTGAGAAATTCTTCATAGGGCTGAGATGCTGTTGGGTTTCGGTGGTGGAGACCCATCAAAGACCAACGAGAGGACAAATCATTGCATGTAGACTGCTAAAGGTCGAAGAATTAATAGCCGAAAGCCGAATCAATAGCCAGGAATGTTCGATTGCCTTGTAGCTGCCTCATTGCATCCATGTCATGAAGCTACCAGGGTCCAAGACCCAAGATGCCGAGAGGTGCGTGCACAGGGTAGTCAAAAGCTCATGATACGTACGTAGCCCCGAGACAACATCGCCCCGGCAGGCAACATGAAGGCATGCGACCGTCGCAATTGGTAGTGACGCTACTTCGGCAGCCGAAAGGTCGCACGACTGATGAGCACAATTGATCCATTGTTGGATGAATTACGCATGCGGCTTTGCTGAGCCCGTTGACCAGATCCTCGCCACAAGACTGGGTATCACGATGGCCACGTCGACGACGGCCTGACCTAGACGTGGCTGTGGCTGGCTACTCCCCACGACATCGTGTACTACGTATCTGTCTGCCCAGGGGAAGCGGACCTAGCGAGCACGCATATGATGGTTCTTTGTGCGACCTGCCACGAGACGACACCAGATTCGCTTCACGACGCCCGTACGAGGATGTGCCCATCAAGATGGCTGGCTTCTTGATGCTCTGCCCAGTATGATAGAAAAAGCAATTCGCCCATGTGACGGGCCACGGCGCTGTGTGTCCTGGTCAGATGATCTCGTCAGGACAACGTACGTCGGCCGCGCTGTGCGTGTCTCAACACACTCGTCATGATGAAGCAGAGCCTCACTCTTTCTTTTGGGAGAGTGATAGCAGACGGACCGGTGCGTCGGCTGCTACGTGCGCTGCGCAGCTCTCGCCTTGGCAGTCGCTTTGGGGGTTACATCGCGAAGACCATGTGGCTGACGCGTGGGCGGCTAATTAAACAACAGGTGCCTGCCTGGATTTGGCAAGTGGCCTCTGAATCTGGGCATGGACAGCCAACTTGTTGGCGCGCCGGGGCGGCGGCGCGCAGCGGAGATGGACTCTGCTGCAAGCCTGCAAGCTTGTTTCTGCGACAAGCACGGCGGTGCGCACGCTGCACGTATGATAAGCAGAGGCGGTGAAGCGCTGCTGATGCGGCGATGCCTAATATGGGCGGTTTGATTGCTCCGTCAACTGAGGACGGGCGGATGCATGTGTGCCGACCCTGGACCACGTCTCTTTTCATCACCCCATCCATGCCACATGCACGTTGCAACTTCCAAGGGCTCAAACGGAGACAAACTCAAACGGAGACATTCAGCCTGATGAGACATCGCCCGTCACTGCCAAGGCGGTGCTGCCGTCCGTCCGTCCGTTGGGCCAAGGCCGCCACTAGGTGACGCCTGAAGCAAGTGCCGGCGTGGACTTTGTCGTCCTCTGTCGAAGATCATGGGTTGGACCGGGACAGCCAGATGCCGGCTACTTGTCGACGGCGGCCGAGGCTATAGAGATCCACTGCCATGTGCGTAGCTCGCCTTGCTGCCGGCTGGGCGACGCACGTACTGTCACATCTGTCCTTGAAACTTGCTGGCTGCGGCGGATGCGGAGTTAGCTGTGGTGGTGAGTTGACTGGAGCTGATTCATTGAGCCTTGCGTCCACCCTCCAGATGCATTCGAATCGAGTCGTCAGCCCAGTCAGTAGCACGTAGTAATTGCCGAACCAGCCGGGCAAACCGTCTATGCGCCGAGCGCGGGCACTGACGAGCGCTAGTTTAGCATGTCTTATTAGCTTTGGAGTTTCGAAGCCTTCTGGAACAAAGGATCATGCCCCTCCGGAACAAACCTGGCCCCGGTTGCGGACTGGACAGGGGATCGGGTTTGCTGGAGTCGGCGCATGTCCGTACGTAGCACAGTCTGTCCGCGTGCGGCTTCGCGTCGCCATGAGCCAGTAACCGAAGTCTGCCAGTCGTCGAAGAGTCGTACCGGCATACATTGGTATAGCGAAGCGTTCACAAGACGCAGTCGTCGTGAGGAGGATGGGCAGGGATTGAAAAGTCGCGACTCGCGACACGCGACAGGTGGAGACTCGACGCAGAGGCCATCTTGCCGATGCGGGCATCTGCGTTCCGTTCATCATACGTATCTTGCAGAAACAAACTAACGATGCTTGTGCACTTGTTTAGGCGTCTCACCTTGGTGTTGCTCGCAAGCTAGGTCGAAGTCAGTCTCAGCCATCGACTCGCAGACGCAGATGAACGGGCTGATGCAAATGCAGATCCCCGTCTGACTCGCCGCCTCTGTCAGTGTCACGGCCACAACTTCATCAGTCTTCACAAGCTTTGGCGGCCCCACGAGCACTAGGAAAAGAATCCGTACCCCTGCTGGACGGTCTTCGGCGCCCAACCGGAGGACCCTGATTAATTAATACCGTACTGTCCTCACTGCTCAGGGTTCTACACTGCAGTGCAGCTGCCAAACGGAGACTAATCAAAGGTGCCTCGGGTTTGGGGCGCGGCAGGGAACTGGGGAAAAAAGACTCGTTTGCTTGGACCGGACCGTGAAGAATGTGATGCATGGGAGCAGTCGTCGCGACTGTCGAGCAATATAACCGGCTGCCGTCTCCTTTTTCTTTTCTCTTCCCCAGTCTTTTGTCGGTGATCAGACTCGCATTGCTCGACAAGCTGTACGGTTACCTTTCCTCGTACCTTACCTTACCTACCTCACACTACCTTACAGGCTACAGCAGCTGGCTGGACCGAAGAAACAGATATCCACCCCTCCGAGCACATGCAGCCGTGCCTGCCTTGCTAGTTCCATCGCCTCCGGACCGGCTTCTCGCTGTCCAACTTACTACCTTAGCTTTAGTCGTCTCTTCTCTCCAGTCCCTCCTCCCATCCCCTCAGTCTCACTTCGCTTTGCTTTTCCCAATCATCACGAGCGCATTGGCGTTCGTTCTTCTCTTCCCCCCGCGGGTCGCAGCGCCGTCGACGTAAATTAGACTGGACTGCAACGGACGATCGCGCAGGCCTGTACACATCGACAACCCCGTCGACGCCGCTGTATCCGTACCTCCATCTACATTTGTTCGACCACACGACCTCACCTCGAGACAGCTCCCATAACCTCATAATCTGTGACGCTGCCCGGTCCGCGCAGAACGGAACGTTACCCCAATTAGACGCTCGCTCAACCAACCATCCTATGAAACTGCAGACGTCATGACTTACATGGTAAGTGGCATTCCGTATTGTCAATCAACGTGGTCTCGGTGGCACAGACGATGCAAGGCGGGCCAACACCCAGCCAGCCAGACAAGCCCATGCCCACCATCATGCACGCACTTCCCGCATCCCTCTATTCCGTACTATCGCTGCATCGCACAAACAAGCCTTTTCAGGCTGGTCTCTCATCTTCCGCAAGTCGCAACCAAGAAAGAACCGTTGGGCGCCGCCATCATGTATGGTCACCACACCCTCTTCCCTACCTGCTTCGGCATACCTTCGCACACCGCCTTACATGCCTACATGTTCTTTTTCATGTGTGGTCCGAGTCGAGTCAAACACGGGCAGCGCGTAGTTGCGCCGGTCTGTGGGGAGGAGGAGTCTTGCTGGCCCTGCAGGCAGGTAGGCGGGCCAGACTACCTTGCCTTTGTTGCCCTCCCCCTTTGTCTACTTTATACTCGCCAATCCTCCTTTCCCTAATCCTTATATCATTCCATTTCGCTACCACTTTATCCTTTCCCCTGCTCGACAAGCCCCGGCACGTCATGAATGTCGCGACGGCCGATAGTGCCCTCCTGCACAGAACCCCCCACGCGAACCTTGACTCAAAACCTTCGATCTTCCTCCACCACACTACATTCCAGCCAGCCACTGCGGCGGGCGCGCAGTAGCAGCAGCAGTAGCAGCAATGGCAAGGGATCTTGAGCTGATACCAAGGACTTTCCAGCTCGCCATCGCCCACTACTGCGACAGTCATGGTCCCACCCCCTTGATGGTCACCGAGGCCATCCCGACAAACTGCAACACATGCTACGATTACTCATCCTCCCCCGACAGCCAGCAAGGCTCACCGACACCTGGCATGCGCGATGTCAACGACAGACTGCGACACATGACCATCCGATCCTCCACCATCCCCACCTCGGAACCGCGCACCTCCACAAACGGGCAGCGTCAGTCTTCCATCCTCAAGACACCTCCGGGCAGTCCGCATGGACCACCGCAGCCACGTCGGGACTCAAGCTTCCGCCGGACGTACGACGACACCGTCACCAAGAAACAGGGCCCATGCGAGAACTGTGCCATGACTATTCCGCGGCAGTCAGCCAGCAATGGCCCAGAAATCCTTCGCACGCGCGTGCCAGCAGCCCGTGTGTTTGGACCGGCAGGACAGGCCTCCCCGCCAATCTCGCAGACATCTAGCGATACGGAAGGCGAGGCAGAGGCGACTGGCTCACGCAGACCACAGCACAGTAGGAGAGGGCCGCCGCCACCACCCGTGCCAAGCTCGCGCTCGAGTATTTCCTCCGAGTCAGCGCCGTCACACACCCACTACGTGGACTACACGTCAACCCACGAGCCTACGGTGGCAACATCATTCTCTCTCCTGCGGGCATGTTGCCTGCGAGCCTTGTCATTCGAGACCTTGCCCCGAGCCCCGAACACATCCAGTGCCGCAGCTTCGTATGCGAATCCGAGCAGCATACCACCTTCTCCAAGCTCCGCGACTGCCTCGTTTGTGACAACGCACTCCAACGGCGCGGCTGTCTCTGGTGGCTCCATCTTCTTTGGAGATGCCCTGGCAGGCTACACCACAGCCTACATCTTCCGGATCCCCGATGTCCATGCACGAGGGCACAAGCGCATATACGCCTTTCTCGCCTTAAGCACATATCGTGAGACCAAGGCCGTCAAGACCTTTGCCAAGGTCTCTAGCGCCTTCCACGAACTCGCCATCTGGATCCAAAAGCTGGCCGAGGCGGAAGCTGAACGCGCAGCCGAGGCATCCCCGACGGGCTCCAATGCTCACACCTCGTCCGGTGGCTTTTCGCAGCCGTCCCCGGTCTCGGCTATGGACTCTATGGGCCCACGATCCTCTGGCTTGTCGGGCGGCAGCAGCTTCCTCACAGGAGGCAGTGGCTTCACGAGGCGCACGGGCGGCGGAGGCGGTGCGTCTGCGCCCAAGGCACGAGGGTTACCAGACCTCGTCGGCCAGCCGGATTTTTTCGTCGCCCTGCATGCCAAATTCGTCAACATCTTCTTTGAGATTGGTGTGAGCCTCAGTGGTTGATCTGGGCCTGCCCTTTTTCCCTGCTATCCCCTCGCTACCTCTTTTTGTGTGTTTTCCGTTTTTTTCTTTTTTCTCTTCCCCCTCTTTCCCTCCCTTTTTTTCCCCTTCAACATTTGATACCCCCCCTCACGACGTGATGAATTTTGTTTTGATTGTCTTTCACGGTATGGCGTTGAAGCAGCAACGAGGCGACGAGATGTAGGAGGCAGCTGGAGTACGTAGCAGCGCGGCACGGGGAACGACGACGTGAAACGGATAATGGTAATCTTGATACTAATGTCTCAGACTCGTTTGCAGTCTTGTACAAAATGGTCAGACGGTGGAAAACAGCGTCAAAGGGCGGGCCCATCACGCTGGTGTCCGGCGTTGTTACGAGTGTTCGGAATACTGGGGGCGAGACGTCGAGTGTACTTAGACTAAACGGGCTGAAGCATTGTAATTGCACATTGCATTGATGATGATACAATCCCATGCTGAATGTCTCCCAAATCTATGATCCCCACCACAAACCGAGCAATGCCCACTCCCAACGTGACAAACTATTTGTAGAAATCAAACTTGTTATCATCCTGCGCCCCCTTCACCTGGCTCGAGTACGCGTCCTCCAAATCACTCTGGATGATGTTGTACCTGTTCTTGCGCACGGCCCGCAGACCAGCCTCCTGCATGATGGCCGCGATGATGGCACCGCTCAAGGGGTCGTTGCGCACAATCAGGCTGTCGAGGTCGACCTCGGGCGCCAGGCTCATCTTGCCGGCAATGGTCGAGAAGATGAGACGTCGCTCGCGACGGTCGCGCAGCGACGGGAACTCAATCTTCCTGTCCAGACGACCGGGACGCAGCAGCGCCGGGTCGAGAGTGTCGGCGCGGTTGGTGGCCATGATGACCTTGACGTTGGACGTCTGGTCGAAGCCGTCCATCTGGTTGAGGAGCTCGAGCAGGATACGCTGGACCTCGCGATCGGCGCCGGTCTGGGCGTCGAAGCGCTTGGTGGCAATGGCGTCAATCTCGTCAATGAAGATGATGGAGGGCGAGTTCTCTCTGGCCATGCGGAAGACGTCGCGCACCATGCGAGGGCCCTCGCCGAGGTACTTTTGAACAAACTCGGAGCCGACGACGCGGATGAAGCTGGCCGTTGTCGAATTGGCGACAGCCTTGACCAACATGGTCTTGCCCGTGCCGGGGGGCCCGTAGAGCAGCACACCGCGGGGCGGGTCGATGCCAATCTGCCGGTAGAGGTCAAAGTGTGTCAGCGGTAGCTCGACGGCCTCGCGAATCTCCTGCTTCTGCATGTCCAGCCCACCGACGTCGGCGTACGTCACGTCGGGCTTCTCGTCGGCGCCGAGCATGGCGATGGAGGAGTCCGCCTCTGGCGGGAGGATATCGACGAGAGCGTTGGAGTGGCGGTGCAGCGCGACCGAGGAAGACGGCTTGAGCTTCTCGCGGTCGAGTGTGGACAGGACGCGGACGACGTAGTTGGACCCTGTGCTGGACTGGACGATACCGGTGCTGCGCGGGCGTGCTGTTAGCCTGGCTCGCTAAGGGCTTCTTTTCCCAACAGTCACCACTTACTTCTGGTCAATAGCCTCCATGAACTGGCCGATCACCAGCGGCACACTCTGGATCCGCTTGATCTCCTCCTGCGCGCGCACGAGCTCGCGCTTCAGACTCCGTTGCTCATCCTTGATGTATTCCTCTTGCAGGTGGATGTACCTAGTCCAGTCAGCCGCCTGTTCTTGAGCCCACGCGGTGTGGAGCGCACGCACTCCAATTGCCTCTGGAGCTTCTTGAGTGAAGCGTAATCGTCGCCGCCCTCGACCGGTAGGCCCTCAAAGCTGTCGATGGTGGGTATGGTCGAGGGAGCAGCCTTCTTGTGCGGGAGCACGCTGTTCGAGGCCGAGTCCACCGCTACGTCACCCATGATTTCTGTATATTCTGCGGCCGGAAAATGTTCGTTCGTTTGTGTGCGTTCACTGTGCAGCTCGGAATGTGTGGTGTTGCGGTATTGCTGGTGTTGCGGCGATGGTCAAGTGTTTGAGTTGGACGGATAGCTCGAAGCAGCCAGAATCCAGCAACGTTGGCGTCAACACCGAGCCTGCCTGGTCGCTGGAGTCTTGGCGTCGGTCACGAAGCGTGCTTAGTCATTTCAAGCCTGGTTCAGCCTCAGCTGTGGCTGGTTGGTTGCTGTGGCGCGCTAGGCACGACGGGTGGGTGCTTTTCCCTGCAGGCGTGATGCCGCGTGAAGCCAAAGCCAAGCCGTGGTGGATCAGCGCTTACCGGGGTCTATCGACCATTCCGATGACGGGGCGGGATCATGAAGGTCAAGTGATGCATCTCAATACCACGTTCGCGATAAGCTACTCACACTTGGACCGCGGGGACGCCTAAGACGGTCAGGGTATCTTGCATAATGCTGCAGTCATGCGCTCACCTTGTGCTGGCTTCACCTGCGGTGTCTGTTTGTGCAGCCGTGCCTGACGGAATGACTGACTGCTCCTCATCCACCCGGCTGGCTGCCATCTTCTCTCAACTATCCTCGTCGCTCTGAACTTGTGCTCTTGTTCCCCTCCTGCTTGCTATTGTGCTTCCTGTTCAGTCTCCCACTCTACCCATCAAACGTTCAAACGTCTCACGAGCGCGGAGGGGCCTACCTAGCTACCTAACCGAAGACTCAATTCATTAAGCTCGCTGTCACCCCGCGGCTCCTACCTTGCGAAACCCTGATCGCCCTGCGCCGTCAATGCACCACCACCATCACCAGCCCTGACTGTTCGCGTCTCTCCACCCTTCTGCAACAAACAAAGCAGTCTGTCCTTCCTGGGAGTCCTCCTGGCCAACCACCAAGCCATCATTCGCGTATCTCTTCACATCACCTCGTCACTCCCCGCCTCGTCCTGATTCACGGCTCTCCTGTCCCCAGTTACCTTCTTGCACTATTCCGCCATGTCGTCTCGCATCAATATCCCCAAAGGCAAAGCCAAGGCGACCGCTGCCAACCTGGTCGACTCATCAGCGAGTTCCTACGACTCATCGCCCCAGTCTTCGGCCTCGTCATCACGCTTCCAGCGCCCCAGTACTCACACACGTCGGCCTAGTCTGCTGAGTACGCCATGGCTCTCCCATCAAGGAAGGCTTTACTGACCAGGTGCTAGGCGATGCCCTCTCCAAGCAGGAAGCGACCGTCATCAATATCGGCGAACCGGATGGCGTTCCTCGTCTGGTGAGTAGCTGTATGGCGGCATCATCTCCGCTCCAGCGACTGATGGCCATAGATCTCCTATCTCTCCTCTAGCCAGGGATATCAATGGAATCCGGGTATGTTCTGCTGCTACTTTTTTCAATACATGCTAACAGTCATAGAAATTTTCCTGCCGTCCTACATCGACTGCGACTATGAGCCACTAGAGCACGGCCGAGAACCCGTCATTGAAATCACCCTCTCCGACGAGGAGATCAAGCAGATGCTCCCTCAATAAGCGACCTTGCTTCAACAAATATCATTCACCCCACTTCACTTACAATATTTTATACGGCGCCTAGAATGGCCTTTACTCCTCTCCAACAGAGGACATGATTGCACGACCGACCGGATTTTCGGTCAATAATTGGGAACGCTTTGATGGAGTTTTATGGACAATGTTGGCCATCGCCTTTCGCCTGGACTGTGTGTCCACGGCACGATAGCTGCGATCAGGCGTTGAGGGCTACACATGCTTTTAAGAACAATCACCACTTTTTTGATGATTGGGTTGTTGGGCGCACGGTAGTGTCTTTTTTGAGTTTGGGATTGTTTGTAGGTAGCTCGCACTTTCAGATAAGATGCTGTTCCCAAGAACCGTGGACATCCTGCGTGAAGTTGGACTTGTGCGTACCCAAGTGTCACTCAGCGTCGAAAGGACAAAATGTACATGGTGCCTCGTGTGGTCAGTGCTGAATGGCATCCAGCCCCAGGCGGTCGACGCTTACACGCCTCGTAATGGTCCACCTGGATGCTGCAGACGCTGCCCCACAATGGGGGTTCCCGCCAACTGCCATTCCTGGCCCGGTGCTGCAACCTCACCGTTTGGTGTTGCACCAGCCAGCACAAGATTGTTCTCTGTCCACAGGAGCCGAAAAGTTTCAAACTGGAACGGTATATGACGTTTGTCCAATGTTCTGAATGCCATCAAGTGGCTCACCCGGCTCTCCCACTGAAGCTGCGAGGCTCAAGTTTACCTGGATTAATTACCTGTGGCGGGGTTGACTTGACGTAGCCGCCCAGCCGAGCACACCCCGTTTTCGGGGTGTTCGTGCTGAGTCATTTATCCGAGAGCCCGCAAATCCAGGGTCTGGAGTAAAAAGACGCGAAGCAGAACGCGTTTCCCACGAATGCGCCAAAAGTACAGGGACAACCCGCGACATGGATGCTGACTCGGCCGTCTCGCAAGTCCAGCGACGAATCGAGCTCCAGAGTCCGGAAGATCTGACATATCTCATCACCAATGTGCGGAATGCGGCTGCTACGCGGTTGAACGAAGCGTTTCCGCAAGTCGATGGCGGCGGGGAGGACGAGTTGAGGAACCAGATTGAGGCTCTGGTTAATGAGGTAAACAGCAAATGGTCCATTGAATATCACAGGCAGTGTAGCTGATTGCTGGCTTGGCAGTACATCGACAAGACGTTCACACTTGCGGCACCCAACCTGACAATCAACGGACTACCCGTCGCCTCGGTCGATGCTCTGCGAGATAGCGGATCCATGGCCCTAGACGAAGCATACGAGCCCTTCGATACACGGAAACGGCAGAGAGTCGCTGATCTGATCACGCAAGAGGAGAAGCTGCTAGAGGACGTGGCAAGCCTGAAGAGAGCCGTGCCTGGGAAAGCAGCCGCGGAGCATGCACAGATGCTCCGAGAAGCGTTGCGGCGAGACGACGAGATGGTGGGTGCCATGGCAGCGACACATCAAGAAAGCGCCAACGAAACGATTACTCTGGACGGCACAGCAAGACTAGACAGGCAAGAGACGGTGGAGGGCGAGTTCAAGGACGCAGTGGAGGCACTGGGGAGGTTGAAACGTGATATGAGCACCGTGGTGGCCAAAATGGAGAGGGCACGTCAAGCAGGGGAATATGTCATCACGCAAGGGCGATGATAATTGCATTTGGATTTCTGGCGCGGCGTTTTCAAGGGGCAAAGGATACACAGCAAGCAGTTGGCCATCATGAAACCAAATAGGATGTCTATTCGTTATTTGTTTGTTTACCGGATTCTAGGCTAGGGGACTCGAATTATCTTTTTGGCCGGCAACACAAGGAGAGAACCAACTAATACACCCCGCCCCATTTGTCGCGGTCCTCTTGTACTCTAGACCTTGACCGCTAACTCACAACGCCCGCCCGAAACTACACCGGAACACAATATGATCTTGGATGCTTAAGCGGCAGCGGGCTGCTTGGCCTCGTCACCCTCGCTCTTCTCCGGCACAGGAGCGGTATCTACGCCAGTCGTCACCTCGGGCTTCTCTCCGCCGGTAGAAGGAGCGGCATCGGTGGCGGGAGCAGCCGCAGCCGCAGTCTCGCCCTCCTTCCTCTCCCACTTAGGGGGCTTGGCGAACTCGGGGTCGCTCCAGGGACCGGCGTCGCTGTTCTCACAGCCGCCCTCGCACTCACAGGAGCCACCAAACTCCTTGGGCAGGTTCTCGGCGGGAACCTGCTTCAGCAGCTCGCTCTTGTAGCCGCTGCCCAGGATATGGATCTTGGACACGGTGACGGGGTCGAGCCAGCCCTTGACGACGCTCCAGACGGTCGAGAAGCCCCAGGGAGCGTTGATCATGTACATCTTGCCGAGGCGCTCGGGGTAGTAGTTCTGCGACAGGCCGGCCGTCTGCTGGACGTACGAGTAAACCTGGGGCACCTTTGTGATACCGACGCCCTTGAGGTCCATGATGGTGCAGCACGTCTCGAGGAGACTGCCCTGCTTGCGGGAACAGGCGGGTAGACGGGGGTCGGAGACCCGCTCGTACTCGACGGCAAGGTTGGTGATCATGCGATCCGCCGAGGTGATCTTGTACATGGCAGCCAGGTCGATGCCACCAAGGGTCTCAATGTAGACGGGGCGGCCATCCTACGTACTGTCAGCGTTCCCTTGGAATCGATCGATCATCTGCAAATGCAGAGTCCGGGCGTACCTTGTCCGTCTTGTGGTAGAACTGCTTGTAGTACTTGGAGATCTCGGCCTTCTCGGGGTAGTCCCAGACAGGCACGAGCTCGTCCAGCTTGATCTCTTCGCGCCACTTCTCGCAATCCACAAACATCTTCTTTGCCGCCTCGACGTCGAACTTGCGGGCACGGAGGAAGCGCAACTAAAGGAAGTACCAAGAGGCAACAATCAGCGAACTGCGTCCCTAGATCGAGAACAAACAACCGCCGGAAAAGGGGGGGCATCGTCCTACCAGGGTCAACGTGTCGAGACGCTTGGTCAGGCCCTCGGCTTCCAGCATCATGCGCAGCTGGTGCACCTGGGCAATCTGGCCCTCGGTGAGATGACCGGCGTGACCATCTTGAGGCTCGGCCTTTGTGTAGGGGAAGTCGTAGTCGTCGTATTTGGGGTTGATATCCATGGCGGGGGATGAGGGGCGGTGACGAAACAGGGTTGAAGGGAGCTGCTGGTCTTTTCTGTTCTCGCACGGGGGAAAAACCTGGCCGTCGTGATCTTGATGCAAGAGTCAAGGCCAAGATTTGTTGAAGAAGTGCTGGGACAGGAGTAGGGGTACGTTAAAAAATGCGAGTTGGGAGCTTGCAGAAATTCGTGTCTCTTTCAGGTTCAGTCCCCTCTCGAATCTCCGGGGTCAACGGTCTGGACGACATGGATCTGGCGAGTGAAAGTGGGACAGGGAAACCAACCGGCCCCCGGCAAAGACCGCGTCGCCGCGACCACAGTGGCTTGGCTCACCTGGCTCACTGTAACTTTGTTCCTCCAGCACACCTGGCGCGCCTTCAGCCGTGCCTTCAGCCCTTCACCGCTTCCTGATAGGCCCCACCGGCCACAGCAGATAGTCTTATCGCGTTTTATCGATATAGATAAGACTCCATGGCAGTCTTGGGTCCAACTAAAATAATCAAGCTGCTATCACGTTCCATCGTATCGTGTCGAGCCACACAATAAATACGCCTTTGCGCACCTGAGCAGGTACACCGCAAAATATGCAATTATGAGACCATCCCCTTCGCGGATTGCCCTTTATGCCGTTCGACAAATACCCACGTCAGTGAGCGGGCCGCGCCCGCTTCGTTCTTTTCACATCACGGCACCTTGCCAACCGCGAAAACGGAGCTTCTTCACCTCGAACCCGTATCTAGCGCTGAATGGCACTGACGATTTCAAGTCCACGAGGGAGAATGATAAGGCGCAGGCGTCCGTTGCCCAGCACCCTACGAAGCGGAAGGCTACCAGGGCCACCACGGCCAAGAACTCCCTGCGCAGAGTCGCCCTCATAGCGCAGTCACCAAAACGTGGCCCGGAGGGGGCAGCGGACGGAGACGTCGAAGTCGACACCACGAACCTCGTGAGCGCGACATGTGTGGCCGAATCTTTTAAGATGCCCATGGTTCTGGACATCTTGTCATCCCATGGCTTCGCCATCAACCCCGACGGCACAGACTTTGACGCCAACGAGGTCGTCCATGCGCGAGGTGTCAATGGCGGCGACATATTCGTGTTTCCCTCTGGCACAATCGTGACATGGTCCTTACCCCCGGACGTGGTGACCCGACAGCTCATGCGCGCCGCAGAAGAGCCGCACAAGGCACCCATGCGTGAGCTTGAGGACCTCGAGTTTACAACGGACGTGAACCGCGAAACTAGCACCATGAAGGGGGACATTGTAGTCCTGGGCACGCGCAAGGAGAACAAGGAGGGCGACACGCTGGACACGACACTGGCAAAGGTGGCCTTCTCCTCGGGCCTGGCGCGGAGCACCAAGCTTGCGGTCCTGGAAAGCGCACTAACGTCGTATTTTGAGTCTACCCGCAAGATCCCACATATCCTGTCTCGCGGTGCGGGCTTCCCCTTTGGACGCAAGTTCATCCTGCAAAAGACGGGCGAGCTACTGGGTTTGCGTGCCCGGCTGAACCACTACTCCGAGCTCACGGATTCGCTCCCCGACATCCTGTGGGACAGTCGCTCCGAGCTTGGCTTGGAGGGCTACTACGAGCAGGTTGGTCGGGCGTTGGACGTCAATGTCCGCATCCGTACTCTGAACCAGAAGATGGACTATGCGCAGGAGATTGCGAGCGTACTGCGCGAAATGTCCAGTGAGCAGCATGGAACACGCCTAGAGATTATCATCATCCTGCTCATCGCGGTCGAAGTGATATTCGAGCTTAGGCGGATCTTTTTGGAATGGGCGCAAGAGAGGGAAGCTGCGAAAGAGGCGGCGCTGGCATTGCAAGGCACCTGATATTTGAATCATTTTTGTATAACACCTTACCTTACCTATGATACCCACACCCAACTCAATGGTAGTTGCAGCTGTATACACAACAGACTTTTTGCAGGTCGAATCCTTCCTTCGTCTATTAATTCGCACGTACAACCTTTTCTTCTCAATAGTATCATCGGCGAGGAAAAGCCACACTTGAAATTGTCCCCTTCCTCCCTTGTCATGAATCCCACCCATTGCCCTCCCCCCCCCAAAAAATCTAATACGAGGGACATACTCAACGACGTCACGCTCTCAAGAGGGCTTTTGCTGCTGTTGATGGGCGACCATTTGCGGTAGAGGTACGGGCGTCACTTTGCGAGGTATCGGAGTTCCGTTGGCGCCCAACGGGGTCGGTGTCCCCGAGTTGGCTCTCGGCGGAACAGCCACACTCTTGTCCATGTGATTCGCTGCTCGCTCATGGGCAGTCACCCGGGCTCTAGCCTGCTCCAAGACAGCCTGCTGCTGCGACTCTGGCATGACGGTGTGGTAGCCCAACGACTGCTGCGTTGGTTGTTGCTGCGCTGGAGGCTGCGAAGCAGAACCTCCTTGGTATCTCGGCCCTTGGTTCGGGGTTCCATAGCGCTGAGGTGGCTGATGATGCTGCATCCTAGGCGAAGGGCTGAGTCCCTGCTGGTGCTGCACTCCACTCCCATTCGTGTATTGGCTGAATGTGCCCTGGCCAGGGGTACCCGCCTGGTGTTGTTGTTGTTGCTGTTGCTGCTGCGGGTAGCTTGGCGTTTGATATTGGCTGAATCTACTCGTCCCCGGTGTCCCTTGTTGCGCCATCTGCCCATACTGCTGCCGTTGCTGCTGATTCGCGTACTGAGGCATATTCTGATGGCCAAAGGGCGTCTGCGCCTTCGAGAGCTGCGATGCATATTGACTGGGGAACCCGTTAGGTCGGGAGTACTGGTTCGAAGGTGGACGCTGTTGAGGCGTCGACGCCGTGGGGTATTGCTGTCGCTGTTGTTGGTAGTTGCCATGGAAGCCTGGAGTTGGTCCACCTCGGTAATACTGTTGTGATTGCGAGGGTGGTCGCTGTGGCGTGCCATACTGGTTGCTTGGCTGGTAGTGGTTGGCGTAGGATATACTTGGTGTGCGTTGTGGTTGTCTCTGAGATGCTGGGGCCGTTTGCTGCGCTCGTAACCTAGCCTGCGCTGCAGCATCATCCTCTTCCATGACGCCTTTGTATTGGTCAGTTGAAACCTCGAGCTTCGTGCTGATCAAGAGGTCGTTCAACTGGTCGCCATTGAGCTTGGCCACAGCATATGGCGGCAATGTCTTGATGATCAGAGACAGCTGCGCCTTGAGTACCTGGTAGGTGGCCCGCTCCTCCTCAGCAACCTGTGGCCCCGCCGTGGCCAGCATATCGCCTGCCACCGGATCGCTGCTCTGGCGATTTTGCGAGTTAGGCAGGTTCAGGTTTCGAATGCGTTGGTAAGACGCTAGTGTCTCGATGAGGTCGCTGACCTCATCTAGAATTTCTTCCACTTCCTTCTCGGCATCGTCGCGCTTGGCGCCCATGGCGTCCTCCAGAGTCGGGTCCACAACAGCCTCGTCCCAGTTGTCGATGGCCTCACGAACTGCAGATTCATCCAGATCAACTTCATCTGCGTTCTGGTTACCGTCATCAAGGCCGTAGTAGTCAATTTCAATCATGTTTTGGAAATTCTGTTGGCCTGCTCGTTGCCACCAGACGCGGCCCGCCACGCTTGCTGGTACGACAGCCGTTGAGTCGTCCTTGCAGGGGGCAAAACTCGAGAATGCGCCCCGGAATAAAGTTTCCATCTCAGACATCTGGACCTCAGTTGCTGATGGCTTTTTTCCCGCAAGACTCTTGACTCGCTCATGTTGCCGCGCTTTGGCACTCGCGGACGGAGTTGCATGACTGTAGTCCAGATAGTGGCCAGCAGACAGCTTCGATCCGAAATATGAGTTGCTCCAATACTGCGACTTGTCCGTCAGCTCGGGGTGATAGAAGTCGAGTTGGTTGCCCTTGGCCTGCGTCTTGGGCTGCTTGGGCGGCTGCAAGGCGGGCAAGGCGCGTGGCGCTGGGAAAAGCTCCCCCAAAGTAAGCACCCTTTCTTGAGATGTGCTTGGGTAGACCCGTGTCAAGGAAATGCCCGCAGGTAGGTTGGCGTCTGATAGGTGGGCAGCTCGAGAGTCGGCAAGGCTCGAGAATAGTCGCTTCTCCTGCGGTGCAAGGCCGAACAATGATAATACTTCACGCGCACCACTGTCATCGTCAAGATCATTTGCCGAGCCCGATGATGTTTGCGGGTATGCCTCCTCTCGTCGCAATAGACCAACTGCCTTGGTCCGAAAGTCACGTATTCGCGCAACTAGGTCCGCGCCAGACGAGCCCTGCGATTCGGCTTCAGCGAGGGAGGACTTTACAACAGCAGCCACATCATTGACCAGATCGCTGACATGGGCGTAGAAGTGCCCGGTGAACTTGTCGTCGATACTCCGTAGCGTTGGAGGCTCAGCAGATTTCTGGCGTTTCGTTTCGGGCTCGTCATCAGGCGTGGTGTCTGGTAACGGTCTTTTGAGCAGAGAAGGTTCGAGATCGAAACTGCGCGGTCAGTTCAGCTATAGGCCAACGACTTTGTGATCATTGCACACTTACCTCTGAAGGACCCGGAAGCAGGAGTCTATCAAAGCAGTCTGATCGCGACGGATTTCAGTTCCAATCGCTGCCTTGGTGTCCTGTTCGTTGTCGGTAATGCCATCCGCTTCAGCAGAGTCGCGTTTCCTTTTGCCGGGTGCGACGGGAGGATTGGCGTCAATGGGGTCCAAAGCAGCCTGCGTCCCGTCTGGGGCCGTGACAGCCATTTGCGCCATGAAGGGCGGGAGTCGCAGTGGTTGGACGTGATGCTGCTGGCTCGTGCCGAGGGCTGTCGTTGAAATTTGACGTCGCGAGTAAGCCTGACGTTCGCTCGTCGCGACTGGGGAACACGCGGTTGCGCGAGTTGCGGGTGCAGGAGCGCTTGAATCGTAGCTAGTAACCGCACCTCCAGCCAGTCTGAATGCGTTACCTCCACCAGATACAGTAGCGGGCAATCGATTACCCAGATTGCTGATGCACGGCTGGGATTTAACGAGAAACGAGATAATTTGAGCAATAACTACAGCGATGGCGGATGAGACCAACAATCAAAGGCTTCAGGGCAGAACTGAAATGTGCCTGTCTGTCCGAGGCCATTGGCGCTGTCTGCGACCACACCAGCGCTAGGCTGCTTTGGATCAGTCATCTAAGATTACATGCACGTGATACCCCTCATGATGGACCAATGCCTGTCACTATCAGTCCTTGCATTCTGCGCGAGTCTTTTTGTTGGTTTGCGAAAAGTTGGATGTCAAGTATCAGACCATTCATGAATGTCGAGTTCATTGCGGGGCGACAGAGCACGATAGATGCACAGAAGCCTTGGAAGGAGTATATTACCTCATGCAACGCAAACCAGACGTTACTATCAACAACAAATACACACGGAATCATCGTTCTCTTCAACTTGCCGTAATCTTGTCTAACCCAGCAATTGCATTTTGTGCTATTATGTCTGCTTCTTCACAGGTTTGACGGCCTCTTACTTTGCGCGAGCAAGACCAACGGCGTTCTTGCCGAGATCATACACGGAATACCAACGGCGCAGGAAAGCATCGCCGAGAATAACCAGGGGACCAGCAGGGGCAGGAATGTCCATGCCCTGGAAGGTCGAGATGCAGCTGCCGGAGACCTCGAGAATGTAGTCAGATGCTGGCAAGCTGTAGTTGGAGCCAGCCAGGTTGAAGGTGATGTCGGGCAAAGAATCCCTCTTGGCGCAGTCAACAGTGTACTGGCCATTGTATCCCTTCTTAGCCCCAATCTCCTTGTTGAGCAGCTCAGCGAGAGAGCTAGGGAGGACGTTCAGGGATGTTCCGGTGTCCAGAATGACACCAGTGTCCTCAAGCTCGGCAACCTCATCACCAAACGCGATACTCTCGAGGTCGACCTCCCAGTAAGCCTTGCGGCGCAGAGGGATGTACTCAATCTCGCCCTTGTAGTGGTCCTTATCGACACCTCCGAACACAGCCTCGCTCTCGCCCTCAGCATCAGCGAGGTAGAAAGCAAAGACAGGCTCGTCAATAAGCTTCTGGTTGACCATCTGATTGAAGGGAGGCACGATCCCGTTGACAGAGATGGTGTCATAAGCAAGGCCGAGAATACCGTCAAAGCGGCCGAAGGCAAAAGCCAGACCAGGCTCACTGGTGGCCTCGGCAAAGTCCTGGCCTTTGACCTCCAGGTCGCCAATGGTGAAGTCATCTTGGGAGACGAAACCAGTCAAGCTGCCAGAACCGTAGTGAATCTCGAACTCAGAACCGTTCTTCTTGTAGGTGGACGACGCATCAGAGTCGTAAGTAGAATGCAAGTAGCACGCAATGCTGCCGCATGACTTGGAAGGAACCCAGAGGTTGGAACTGCCGGTATCGAGAACAACCTTGAAAGTCTGGGGAGGAGTGCCAATGGTGATCTCGGAGAAGTACTGGGCATTCATAAAGTTGGAAACAGGTACGGGGTGGATGCCATCAGACTTGGGTGCCTGGGTGTTGAAGATGACATCGGCGCGCGAGTCGGGGCGGGCAGAGCCTAGGTACTTCTGGCCAAGGGCCTGAACTTGCTCCTCGATGGAAGAACCAGCCTTGAAGGATTAGCATCAAGGTGCAGGAAAGTCGGCAATGATAAAGCTTACGAGCTGCTCAGACAGAGGGATCTTGTTGAGCTTCATCTTGTGCACGCCAGCCTGGGCGGACCCAAGCAGGGCGGCAGCTGTGACCAAAGCGCTCTTCATGTTGGGCGGCTACTGGTTGCGATATGGTGCTGCAGAAGTAATGAGGACTAATGGGCAACACGACGAGACCAGTGAGAATGATGGTACTCGATAGTGGTGATGGAGGTGGAAGGAAGAAGAGCGGGAATGAGATGGCTGTTGTGACGACAGATGGGGAAGATGGATGGCGAAGCTATCGAGTCACGAGTGGAGATGCGGGAGCTTGGGGTCTGGCCTGACTGGTTACGCCTGCCTGCCTTGTTTCGATTATCGATAAAGCGCCCGCCTGTGGTTGGGTCGGTGACGTGGGATGGCTGGAGCCTTGACGGCCTTGCTGTGGCTGACGACTGTACCAGTTACTGCTTTGGGACATGGGCGCTCCTCGGCTGAAAAAAGCCCCGCCTCGTCATGACGCATCACAACGAGAGGTGCTGATGCACCACTCGTGACAGTCTTGTTACCGTGTGTGTGACAAAACGGGCGGATCCCACCACACAACAACGAAGATGCTATGAGCAACATTCATGACCGACGGGGAGGATGAACAAGAGCGAAGATGTCTCTCATGATGGAGATTCAAACCCAATTTAAACCTACATGTTGGGCTTCCCGCTGTCTACATCTCAGCTGCTTAACCGCACGATTGTCCTTATTTAGTGCCATGGCTTCGCAATCCAGAACACATCGCTAGTAGTAGTAATTGTTGGACTCTCCGACTCTTCGTTGTACCTGACAGGCTGAAAGTCAAATTGCCTTATAAACTTGGCACGGCATTCGATTTCACAGATGGATCGGTTCACCTGTCTCAACTCCTTCATCGGGCATTGCTGTAATAGTCTAAATTATTTCCTGACACCAACTCGGCCCAGACTTCTTTATCCATTTGATGGGGCAATCTGAGACGATGTTGGCTTTACAAAGTAGACAAGGTAGTTGGACTTAAAATCATTACATAACTGACTTATTTGATAATTAATCGCTGGTGAACTGGACCATGTGCAGCCCAGCAACATTGTCTAGAGTCCAAGCGAAATAACCAGCATCCCAAACAGTCAACGCTACCTCCGCTTATCAACATATCACAACATAAGCAGGGTTTGATCACTCGAGAACTTCTACGTATAACAAAGTTAGAGTGCGCAAGTCTTGCCATATCGTGACAGATGATATGCTTTCATTGCTTTGGGCGTAATTGTGCAACACGGGCTACGGTAGTGGAACAACGAATGTCTTTGGTCTGTCCCTTTGAAAGTGACCGTCGCGACACTGAGGTACGCGCGGGCCATCATTCCAGTCCGAAAGGGAAGATGCTCGGATTGTATAATTCCCCTACGTGTCTCGGCCACCTTGCAGCAGTTATTGTTTGGCGAATGTTGCTCTAATAAACAAAGAGCACTGGACGACAGTATGTATTTTCAAGTCTACTACAAGACACCACATGTATTACTATTACGAGCGATCGACTGAAGAATGAATGCCGTGCACAGAGGCGCCAGGAACACCACTTGATATTGATTGAGGCGAATACTTATTAATATCACAGCCCGTTACTTTAATCTCGGACAGAGGCGCAGGGTGTGTGGTGTGCACTGCGAACTTGCACCAACTGCAATTACCGTACTAATGTGGGTGGGCACCAACGGAATGCTGGACGATCAACTTCGTCAGTGAGGGCCTTAGAGGAAGCTGCCGCACCAACTTGTTGCAATTGCGTTCAACGTCAGTGCCCGAGTCTGCTGATCGACTTTAAATCAACAATCCGACGTACGGATTGCCAGGCTAGACTCTGTAATAACGTGGGCTTGCTCTGTCCATCAGAAGTTGAGATGTCATATTAATGCCGCTGAGCCAGATGGGGCTGAGTCAAACACCATGATAAAGCTCGAGGGCTAGCATGGAATGTATCTCGTGCGCATGCCTGAAAGCAATACGTACCGCCGCGCTTCCCTGCAGGTGCGGTACTGCAAGGTTCAACATCATGCTGTTAGTGTTCTCACAAACACTTAGCGATTAATAACGTTCATGTCAGATAATTCGGTGCTTGGAGTGTGCCAGCGTCTGAAGTCAAGCAACTGGAATATGATAAGGCCTGTCTCGTCTAGGAGGGTTACGCCAGTCTCAGATTTGTGACCATGGCCCGCTTGGCAGGTTTCAAGGCAGACAAAGTACTTTACGGGGAATGCAGCGATGAATGATGCGAATCGATCACGAGGTGGCCGTTGGCACGCTTTATGCAAGGGTTTGGGCACAGATCATGATCATGCTGTGCTGTACTCTGTATCCGTACTTGGAGCCGCAAATGTATTATGAATATAATTATTAATTAGTCCTATTTAACCATTAATAAATCCGCGTCCGACGGGGATTACACCAACGCCGTACGTATTGTAGACGCGCGTTCACATCTGCAGCTCAACATTGTCCCCTTATGCAATGGCATTCTGTTGCGACATCGAATAGCAATGTTCCCGAGAGCGCCATGTACTAGACATCAATATTGGTTGATGGCTCACTCGTTCGAGCCTCATGGATATAATTATTACCATATTGTGGAATGTGCCGGGACCATCACGCTCACCACGGATGCATAACCCGAGGCCCAATCGTGCGCAACGTTATGAAGGCGCACAGCAGCGTTTAATTGCAGTGGGCCGGACGAAACACAAAGGACTCAACTAGTAGACGTGACTTTGCCACCTCATCTTATGAGCGCGGATGCTAATGTTTGCGGGTGAGAGCCTGCCATGGCTTAACGCGTAACAGCTGTCTGGCGCGTACTGAGTACCAAGCGCACATCGGCAAATCAGCAATCCTGCCCCTGGCAGAACTCTCAGTTCCTGCAGGTCTAGACTGCATCAATTGATGCAGGCCAACCCAATCGGCGCGCTTCATTCCAGTCTTTGCAGTAGCATTGGCTGGCGCGGCTTGCGGTGGAGCGGATAGAGACAGGGGGGCTCGGAAAGCTTGTGGCAGGGGAGTTTTTCTTGCTGCGAGGGTTGAGGGGCATGGAGCCTCAGGGGCCGCCGGTGGCCCAGTGATGAAATCAGGATTCGACATGACTGGAGGCTGGAGCTTTCAACTTCCGGCGGCGGTCACAGCGCTTTAGGTGGGTGCGACAATCAGTAACAGCTACTGCAGGACGTCCCGGGCGCTGCACCCTAGTGCTCAGGAGGGAAGAAAGGCCCCCCCTTTCTTCTCACACCCACCCGCCCGGCCGTTCCTTCCCTCACTCCCTCTCGCACTCACGCTCACGCTCGCACTCCTCACTCCCGTTTCTCTCCTACTTGCCCTGGTCATCTTCGCTTCAGTTTCTCCCCTTTCAACAAAACAGACAGCCACTCCCTCAACCACGCAACACTCGCTCGTTCCAGTCCCTCTTTTCCCTCTCCACAACTTGAAACTCAACTTGCAACCAACTAGGTGACCACAACAACCTGTTCGACTCGAAGTAGAAGCCAGCCGACTGCAGATTTACAATCGTTCGACAAAACCTCGAAATCAATCAGGCCGAGCGTTTCTGCTGGTCGTCGAATCGCAGGATCATCGAGGCTCACGAGCCAACTCAAGCACAGTACGCAGGCACGTTCAGGTTTGCAACAACGCGCCGACCGGGCTTCTCTGTCCATTGTTCCAATTCTCGTGCCCTCGAGACACTATACGACGCGTTCGACCCTGGCCCTTTGTTCCGAGGACAGCGTGACTCTTAGTGGAAGCTTTTAGCACTCCCAAGTGGAGTCGACAGGTTGTGGTTTTTCTCGGCTGGCCTAGGACTCCTCATCTGTGGCCTCTTCGACGTTTACCATTTGTTTTCAACATATTCGATTCTTCACATTCGCTACACGCAACATCAAAACACACAACATGAAGTCATTATCAATTCTTGCGGGCTCCCTGGCGGCTGCCTCGCAACTGTTTGGCTCCGGAATTGCCCTCACGCCAGACCGCGTTCATCTCGCCGCCCACAAAGTGGTTCGTCAGGACGCGAATCCTACTCAGATGCCTATCGAGGACCCCAAAACCAATGTCATTACTTCCCAAGGATGCTTCTCGTCGACCGGCAATATGACCTTAATGAAGATGGACCCGAGCAAGGTTTCGACTGGTGAATGCCGGTCGGCCTGCGAAGACGACTATCTAGCGTTCGGCGTGACAGGTCAGGAATGCTACTGTGGCAACGAATACCCAGAGGAAGAGGCCCTCTCAGCTGACAAGAATTGCAACCATCCTTGTCCAGCTTACCCTTTCGAGGTCTGTGGCGGTATCAAGAAGCCTGGATATGTATCAGTTTTCAACCTCGGCAAGCAGCTGACCCTGGACAACTACATACCCGAGGACAAGGACGACGACAAGGACGATGATAAGGACGACGATAAGGACGACGACAAGGACGATGACAAGTCCAAGTCCACTTCCTCGACTACTGCCGCCGCCGCCTCCACGGCTACCTCCGGTCCTAAGGAGAGCGCATCTCAAACCGAAGAACCCCAAAATGAGGACAGCGACGACGGCGGTCCCAGCGTTGCTGGCATTGTGGCCGGCTCTGTTGTTGGGGTCCTTGCCATTGCCGGTGGAGCCTTGGGTGTGTGGTTCTTCATGCGGCGCCGACGCAACACTGAGATTGAAGAAGAGCATCGTCGTAACGCAGCCGTCAATGCCTTCATCAGTGGCTCCAAGCCGCCTGGTAGCAGCGGAAGCATTTCCATGACTGATTCGCGCCTGGAACCTGGCTTGGCTCACCGTCGACTCAGTGATGGCAGCATTGCCGACAACGAGGACTATTCCCGCAAAATTCTCAGGGTGAGCATTTCGCCCTGGCCAATACCACTTATTGCTGACTTGCATCAGGTTACCAACGCGTGAACGTTGTGAAGAGGTTTATTTTCTACTCTTCCGACATACCGTACTACCACCCCACACATTTGGCATTCTTGGCGTTTTCGGGATGACAGCTCATGTCTAAGGTCGTCCCTTGATGAACCTGTGGCGTTGGGCCCTTTACTTTGGCGTACGGATAGAACATCTGATTGACGGATACGACTGGATTTGACCGTTTCAACGCAACATGTCGACCGCCTACACGCCGTCCGTTCCTTACCACACAATCAACCTTTTGAGAAACACGTGCTTTCTCCTTCTGCCACGGGAGAGCTAGACAAGGAGACAAAACCGGCCTCCCCAGAGGCTCCTCTCCTGTGTCGGCGATCTTTTGTACCAAATACCCTCGACCGGCTATCCAGGGAGGAAAGATTAACATATTGACGCTCGGCTCGTTTTGGGACAAGCAGAAAGGGATGAACGTCGGGCGAGCAAGGGGAAAGCTGGCGAGGTCTTCGAAGATCTCTTTAAATTTAGTCTCTTTAACTCTGTTCTCTTCTGCGGTCACGAAGAGGAGACGCTTCGCATGTACGTAGGAGTGTGAAATCAGCTTTGCTCCAGTCACACTGGCCATTAAGAGACAATTTCAGCGACAAATAACTTGTCCAGATTGAAGCATAGATCAGCAATCCCCAATGATGTTTCTTTCGAAATCCGCTGAGTTGATTTTCCGCATGGGTGCTCTCGAGCTTGATGGATCGGTATTGGAAGTGGTGTCGCACCACGTGACGTGCTATTCCACTACCACGCGCGTAGCTTGTCGCGTCTCTTGAAGGCTGCAAACTTCTTGTCGCAAGCAAACGATTCGAGCAACAGTTGAAAACGTAGCTACCATCGGCCAGCATTCAAAACCCCACGCCTAAGCTCAGTTTCGCTCTGAGACCTGCCGCGGATACGGAAGAGAATTAAACTGCAGACTGTTATAGTGGCAGTTATCGCCGCCGCGATGTCGACGACAGTTTCACGTGTACGTCGCACAGCGACGAATACCCAAATCACGTACGGCACTATCTCAGAAACTTCAAGTGTTAGCTGACAGCCGCAGGCATAGTTTCGCCCGTCGCATCAATGACATCCAGACATACCCGTACCGATCGCCTCAAGGCGCCACGATCCTCATTCATTGCCACGACAGTGGTGTGACAATCACGTGGCGAGGTGGCCGGATGTTCAAGCAAAAACCAAAGGTTGCGAAGAAGGAGAGGACGAACGGAACAGTCGATGACTCAGTCATGGTGATCGATTCCGATGACGAAGCACCGCCTTCAAAAGGAGTCGCCAAGTTCGAGGACAAACCGGAGTTTGAGGAGGAAGATGTAGACGAAACACCACATTCGGAAACAGTCCAGACGCTTGATTTGACGCTTGGAACAGCTGTACAGAATATCGCAGTCATGCCTGTCACACCAGGCTCAGGCCTCGAGGACAAGGTTCCCATCCTTCGGCACAAGCTGGTTTTTACAGCTTCCACAGTCACAAACGATGTGTATCTGGTCACACTTCCTCTCACACCACCCTCCCCAGAGTCAAAAGCGAGGCCGGAGCTGAAGAAGGATCTACTGGCGGGCAAGGCGGGCTCAGGCGTCTGGGGGGAGACGCTTGTGTTGTTGCGAGGCAACACGCGGCTGAGCGATGGGCTTGCAATTGGGCTCTACATGCCAGAGACCGACGATTCTGGCAAGCAGGCGAGGGCGGTGGTGGCAGCCCATTCAAGAGAGGCCTCGGGCGTCTTGCGGTTGTGGGAAATACCTCTCGATCCGAAATCCAAGATGGAGCGACATGTCGAGCCTTTCCAGACTGAATTCCTACCAGCACCACTGACCGGGATCTCTTTCAATCCTACACACCGCTCGCAGCTGCTCACAGTGACGGCGTCACAGGGTGCTCGCGTCTATGATTTTGCGCGGTCGTCGCTGCCTGCGGATCCAGACGCAACGGGTATCTTCCCCACGCAGGGTTCGTGGCAACTCACTCTGTACCAACCCTTTGTTCGACCCTCAGCACTCCGAAAACCAATCGTTTCCGCTGCATGGATATGCCATGGACATGCTATCTTCACTATCATGGCAGATGGCATGTGGGGGATTTGGGACATTGACAGCGTTGGCGCTACGTCCTCTGGCTCGCTCCTGTCAAAGGCCAGTCCTGGTATCAGGGGCGCCGCACTCACTGCCTTTAGTGTGTCTGGTTACATTGACGGTACTAGTCTGCTGCGCAGTACGGGAGCACACCACACGGCGAGAGACTCGCAGAGCGGAGAATTTGCGCCTATGACACCGCATACAAGAAAGCAAACGACCGCCAACATCCATTCGCCAGCCACGGCCGACCGGTTTGCGACAGTCCACGGTGGTATCAAGGTCGCATCATTACCGTCGACCGAGAAAGCTCTGCCTGATGAGAGCCTAGCTTTCTGGATCGGCAGCCAAGAGCATGTCTGCCTCATCTCGGGCGTGTCCAAGTTTTGGGAATCTCAAGTCAAGAAGGCGGCGGGTGCAGGCAATGGCTCTGCCCTTTTCAACGGACCACAACCTGTCAAAATGTCAAAACTGCAAGATCTTTCCACTGGGCTTCTAGGGGAACGCTGCTGTGGCATCGATCTCATCACGTCAGCATCTGCGTCGCAACCTGAAGTCCTCCTCCGCGGTGAGACTCGCATCGTCTTCGTCCACGAGACCGCCAATGCCGGTAAAAAGCCCCTCACGACGAAACGCCGTCTATTCTCCGCCGGCCACAAGTCCAGTGCCATCATTGTACACGGTGGCAATACCAACCGAACCCCAAGCGCTTCGTTCAACCTCAGCACCGTCAAGCCTGGCACGCTCCGCCAGCGTCCTACGATTCTCGACAAGAAAGACCACAGCAAGACCGCCGACTCGCTCTTCGCCCCACGACAGAACCTCGGGTTCGGGTTTGGGAGTACCCTCAACAAGGCGGCTGATTATGAGGACGGCGACGCGGACATGCTAGACATTACGGGCATCGACCAGGCCCTGGACGGGTTGAACGGACGAACGGGCGGACGGAAGAGAGTGCTTTTTGAGGAGGACTAACTTACAGGACCACGTTGTACGATATACCCCTACGACTGAAATGAGCTTTTCCCAGGCTGGCGACGGAAGCAGCCTCTATCCATTCCATACCGGTCATGTGCCCCGTGATGAATTATGTGAAGATGTTTCGTTCTCTTCCGCACGGCAAGGTGGAGCGCAAGGCGAGATCCATCCTTGACTGCTCTGTATTCCGAGCGGTATATCAACATTACTGTCAGCAATTGAGTCGGGGAGGGTTACGGGACGGGCAGCGCTTCTCTTTGGGAGGTTTGCTTGACTCATTCTATGGCTGGCCAGACTGTGTTCTGTTATCCATTGCTGTTTGACCAGCTGGCGGTCCCTTTGGGATTGACTATAGCTGGTGACGATCACAATGGGGAATATGCGCGCTGATTGGCTATGGGATTGCTGATACATTGTGAATGCCCGTATATGAATTGTATTGCTGTGGATATGGAGATGCTAGTATGTGGTCAAAAATGCCGATCCTACACATGATGCTTGCACGGCCCGGACTCGACTCTTTTGGACCATGACCGTCCTCCTGATACTCTCTTCGCCATCTTTGTCAGCCCTATCTGGCGTCGCTGTCCTCATCACTACTGGCGGTATTCCGACCTCGTTGGATAGATGCCGATGATCGAGCCATCGCTTGCACCAGTATACTCTGTGTTCCCGAAGCCGAAACGTGCCTCGAGATTTTGGCAGGACGGATAGATCCCCCTTTTGACGGTGGTGGACGCTTTCCGTTCGCATTGCGGGATGAGCTCGATGACCTAGACCTGAATATACTCGCGCTTGCCTGATGACCAAGTCGGCCCATGTTGCTATGCATTCTCGGCCCTGAAGTCGGTGGTGATATCGCCCGTGATAGCTTTGATGGTGTGCTGGCCTCCTCTTCCAGGCTGGACCGGGGGGTCGAAGGGGTGTCGGTGTGCATATTTGATGGCCGAGCTGGGATATCCTCCAGATGGTCGTCGTCAGTGCTGGAGTCAGTGGTCTCCCCAATGCTACTTGCAGAGTCGGGGATGACCGGGTTGGCAGTCTCAATAGGTGTCTCTTCGATCGCCTGCGACAGGTTGTTGTCTCCGTTAGCAGCCAAGGTCTTCTCGTATGCGTCGCGAAAAGCCAGGCCCCATGCCACCGCGACCTCCCTCGCCACACTATTACCAACAATTTTGTACTGATTAACCAGGTCACCGAGGAGGACATCCTCATCTAGAAAGCCCTGCGCACGTCGGGCTTCCATCAAGCTAAGCATTCTGGGCTCCCGAGAGTGAATAGCCCGGCCCGCCTTTGCGTCCCCAACGCTTAGCTTGGTGACAACGGTCTCGATAAGCTTTGTCGGGTCTTGTCTTCCATAGGCGGACGATTCGGGCGCTGTGCAGCTCATGCGGTCTTCATCCTTATCTGCTGGGAAATGGCGATGTCTATCGGAAACTGTCAAGACCCCAGAGCCAGGTGCGCCCTTTTTTGGTATACCGTACCAAGCTTTGGCGAAGTTCATTCCATACGGTAGAGTGGGGATGCTGTTGATCTGATGTTGGACATCGCTTGTTTGCCCGGCTGTCCGATGATCAGGGAATGGAACGCAAATATCAGGCTTCGCATCCCAAATATATGGCAAGTCGGCCGTAGCCTCGGCGGCTGGTATATAAGTAAACGGCGTGGCGTTCAGCATAGAACGCCTAGCCATAGGGAGACCGGTGGGGAGCTTTCCGACACTCCCAGACCTCGTCCCCGGTGGGTGTAAGTGAGTTTGCTGAGGGGGTGAAGGGAGTGCGCAGCCTGGTGCTGCGAATGCCACGAAGATGCGCGAGCGCCTCTGCGGCGAGCCGAGGGAACAGGCATCAATATAACACAACTGGATCTGGTACCCGAGGCCTACTAAGGCACATGCGAACTGGCTCAAGACATCTTCGGCCTTTTTTTCCTCAGTCTGGACGATGCCCGGTACGTTTTCTAACAGACCATACTTGGGGCGGTAGAGGTCGACAAAAGAAGCAAAGGCGGCTATAAGCGACTGGTTCTTCCGTTGCTTCTCAGTGGTCTTATCGTTTGTGAGTCGTGAGAATCCAGGGCATGGGCTTCCAGCCGAGATAAAATCAACAGACCCGGGCCTAGGTACGGATTTTGAAAATTGACCCTTTGCTGCTAGACGATATAGATCATCAATTGATCCAAGAAAAGGGTGTATGTCGTCTTTTGGGTCCATATTGGCCATGTACGTATGTACGGCTTTGGTGTCAAAATCGTTAATGTACTGCATCTGGACGGCTCCCCCGTCTTCGAGACCACGACCAAAGTTACCGCCTCCGCAGAAGAGATCGAGACCGCGAAGTTTGGGGAAGCTGTGAACTACGGCTGGGTCGAAGCCTTGGTTTAGTGATGATGGAAATGGGGCGCATAATGGCTGGATTGAGCCATCTTGCGATATTCTGTGGGTGATGTAGAATAAGGCACCCACTCCTGCTCGGTTGTATGGGCTCGAAATCGGGCTCCTGTGGTCGAAGAAACGGACAGAACAGCTGCCCGTGATTTCTCTATCCCGAACATCCAGAAAATGCTCGGAATAAAGAAGCTCGTTCTTTGGGGCACGAGACTTGGGCTGTGTAGGCGCTCGTCGTAAAAGACGACGGACTTTGTATCTGATATTGCGACCAGCTGCCCCGCGGAGTGCAATGATCTCGCAGGGTTCCGAGACCTTGCTGCTATTGTCGATATGCACGAGAACTGTATTGCCTTTCTCGTACGGCAGAGACTCGGTGGTGTTCTGCGTGTGCTCGCAAAATAGATGGGAACGCTGTAAAGAAATCCACTTCCGCTGCTCAGGGATATATGTCTGGCGACAAAAGAACTCAGACCTGGTTGAAGGTGATCCGAAAAAGTCGACGTCGTGGACTCCAAGAACCTCCTCTTGTGTGATTTTCGATGCGTGAGCGCAAGAACAGTGGTCGGACATGAATAGCTCGTTACTCCACGGGTACTTCATTATGCCACAGATCGTGTCCACAGGGCGATAGTACCACGTCACGTCGAAGGATACACATCCTGCTCGGTTGTGCACTTTTAATACCCGAGCGAACCAGGGATCAACGTCTTGAAAGTCGCGGCCTTCTACTCTTCGCCATCTTGAACCAGACCCTAACTTATCTCTTGGTGTTGAGATGGTGTCGCCAGGCTCAATATTGTGAATATGAATACAATCCTCTGTGCGTTCGAGTCTCTGTGACCGTTCGCTCATAGGATGTAGCAATGGGAAGCCTCGCGAATGACTGACTTCTTCCCATAGGCGCTTTGTGTGGCTGCTGAGCGGTAGGGGCTCAAGAAGCTTTCGAAAAGGAAGGTGTTTGAAGAGCTTCATAATGTAGGACGTCACCAGTGTGGGACGGATCGCCTGTATGTTAGCTCCCGGGCTTGGTACACGCTGATACTGTTGGAACGTGCAAACTTCGTCCCAAAGCACGTGTCTGTAGGTGTCCTCGTCTCCAAGAACTCCGATGGCCTCTTTCCGAATAAATTCCAAATGAGCCACGATTGATGTCCTATAATCGTTGCTTGGATGCTGGGCGAGCCATGGACAGACCTTGTCTCCATGAACGCTAACAATCCACGCCACGAACTGGGCTTTGAAATGATGAAGCGTGACCAGCATTCGGTGTTCTTCCCATCGGGAGTGAATGTAATCCACAAAGTGCTTAGCAAGGTCTGTCACCCAGACGAAGGGCTCGAAGAATCGCTTATACTCCACTGCCGGTCTGCCGAGCTTGTAGTAAAGGTTCTCGGATTCGCTCAAAGGAGATGTAATCCAGATTTTGTCGCGGACAGTTGACTCTGAAATGCCATAGTTCCCTATAGGCAGGGTCGAGATTGTTACCCTCCTTACAAAGTAGCTTTCCTCCCCGAAGCTGAGCCTTCCGTCGAAAAAACAGGACTGTATGTTGTGCCTTACCAGCGAGCGCATCTGCACGCCGTAGTTATTCTCTTCAGTATATATGACAAAGTCATCCAACCGAATCTCGTGAAATTGGTCTAGGGCTAGCTCAGGCCTTGCATTCCGTAGCAGGTTTGTCGTGGCCGATTTTTCCGGCAAAATAGGACATCCAGCTTCGAAGGGCTCGTAGTGGTTGCGAGGTGCTAGTAATGTCGAGGCCGGCATTTCGACTGTAAGAGTTTTGCTTAATGGCAAGGGGGCGGCGGAGTTAGCCTGGCGCTGATGGTCGTTTTCATAGCCACCAGGAGCAGCTGGTTCCTCAACCTCGATAGCAGGCACCGACTCGATCTCCGACGTGGCCGAATCTTCGAAAATCACATTGACTCCATCCTGAAGAAGCTTATCGAGCAAGTCGAATGCTTGTGTCGGTGGTTGATCGTGAGCGGTGTCTAGTGTCCGTATAGGCAAAGCTGAATCGTTGGAAGTTGGAAATTTTGTGTGGGAGTCAGGTAACTGGTCGGACGCTCCTGAAGATGGTGTTTGGGGGTGCATCGCCGCGCTGTACACCAGGTGGGAAGCAACAGTGGGAGTTTTGGAGCTTGCTAAGGGCACGCCCATCAGAGCTCAAAACTGGCGGGTTGTGGAGGTTGCCAACTTGCCACAGGCAAATGATGAGGGCGATGATTGAAAACGAATGCAGGGGAAAAAACATCGTCAACTAATGGCGAGGAGAGGGTGAGGTTGCATAGGCGTCTGTTCATCCTCATCTCCGCCTCAGAAAGAGCTTACGCCTATCCACATGAGAACTGGTGAATAGGCGAGTGGATGAGAGCTGGCTCAGATTCGAAAATCACGTATTCGACTCGTGCCTCACCTAGTTGCGGTCTTTTTCTCTTCTCGGCAGATGGTGGTTAAGAAATTTGGAAAAAAGCCAACAAGTTTGCTAGCTTTATTATAGGTGGCTCGCATAGGCTCGCTACGAGCTTAGGAAGTTGCTCTCTGAGTAGTTCACCTCTCCTACTAAAGAGGGTTTAGCGTGAGGACGATCCTACGTCTAGTGTCTATTTCCCCGTCCACGTCCGAGCAGTCCTACCTACCCTACATATTACAGTCGCACTGAAGTCTTCGCAATCAGGTAGGTTTAAAAGTAGCGAGATGCTTCCGAGAGTGGTGGCGAATATACATGAAATTCGGAATTACGATTGGGTTGTTTTGGATGAGAGGTTTATTACCCCAAGTTCGCGGCATGTAATTGGCAACATGGACGGTCCAATACACGGGCAATAAGCAGCGTTCTTCCACGAGCAAACACAATCAATACCCAAACAGGAGACATACTGTATTTTAATTCGGAACCTGGCTCGTGTGCAAAGAGTGGGAAGCAAATCATAGCTTGCTTAATGGACCGCTCAACTTTTATGACGACAGCGTTTTGGAGTCGACTTGTCACGTCTCACATGATACACTGCTGCCTTGTGGACATACGTAGCCAATGGAAGGAATCTATGGATTCATAACGTGGACTTGGACAGTGGTTCTGCCCGTGCTGGCTTGACCCGGGTATTTATGGATATTGCTCAATGCTAACAACTGTCGAAGGATCTGCCAAGGGCTGTTTGATGACGAAGCCAAGATCCAAGATCCCAAGAATCCTACTTGATTTAGCCAGGGTACCAACAGTTGCAGCTCCTAGATCACCATGCCCAGCCGCTAGATCAGTAGAAGGACGTCAAGCTATCCGCGGCGACAGCGTCCGTGCATATTGCTCCTCTCTGTGGCCGGCTAAGGACAGTGAGGCTCGAAGACGATGTCCGTCTATAAGACAAGCAGACTTGCACCGTTCAGGGCAGAAATCACATCCTCTCATCACAGTCTCCAACAGCCATTCAACGCCAAAGATAACAGCCCAAAATCCTCAACATGCAGTTCAAGCTTCTCACTGTCCTTTCCCTCGCCGCTCTAAGCATGGCCCAGCCTGCTGATGTGTGAGTTCACCTGCTTGATCCACTAGCTAGGCTCATCACTGACAAGTTGTAGTGAGGCTCGCCAGTGGCAGTGTGCTGCTTTCTGGCCTGGACCCATCAGCAACTGCCAGGCGAACTGTGACGCGAGTTGCTTGCCTGCTAACAATGGATCGGAGGACGGCTTCTCTTGCGTCTGTTAAGATCATCGTTGCATGACGAAGTGCCGAGGTTGGATCTCACAATCCCCGAGCAAGGGCCTCATACGATACAAGTCAATGCCCACTGGACAGATTGATACGCAACGCTTCCACTCTGTGCTTGTGTGATGCTGTGTTCAATTGCCTATCGTCTCCTCCGAAACCGGCTATTCTGCCCTGGTCCACCCTTGGCGCCGCTGTTCTTCAACTTCAGTCTCTGGAAGTTGGCATGTGCCAGCTCATTGACCTTTCTGGCGGCCTTTTTCACGGTGCCCTCTTTCTTCTCCACCTTCTTCTTCGTCTTCTTCTTTCTCTTCTCGGATTCGGATTCGGAGGCGGAGCTGACAATATCCCCAAAGTCCTCATCGCCCTCGTTGAGTTGAGTGTTTGGAACGACTTCCTCATCGTCCTCATCAACGCCGACGGTCGTGACTGGTGCCGTGGGTCGCTTGTTCCATGTCGGCTTGATATTGACCTTTCTGGTCGTCCTCTTCTGTCCCTTCTTCTTGAATATCCTCATGGGCTGTCCTTGCCGATCTTTGCCCTCGTGCCCATCGCTTTCGGAGACATCCACGTCATCAAAGCCGCCAAGTGGGAGGTTATGGGCTTGGCTGTCCCCAACAAGTATGTTTTCCGGTGCTGGCTCAGGTTTCGCAACTGGTCTTGGCTGGCCCGAGTCCTCTGCCTCCATGTCCCGTAACGCCTCCAGGTCCTCGTCTGCCTTGTCCTCTTCCACCTTTCGTAGGCTTGCCACTATCTCACTCAGGCCTCTGCCAAACTGTTTTCGCGGCAGCCTCAATGGCGCTACTTTGTCGAACTCGCCATTCTCGTCAACGGTAGACAGGGTATGTCGTCGAAGGAATTGAGGTGTGTCGAAATGAAGTTTAGAGGGAGTCGCTGCGGTCATCTGAGTGTCGTCGCCCGGTTTCACTGGTGACACGAATGTATTAAGATACTTTCGTTTGCTGTCTGACATTGGTGTCCTTCCCATCCTCGGCGTGACAGCGAGATCCAGACTCGAGGTCTTCTTGCTAGGCGTGGCGTATATCTTGTTTTTGCTGGGTGTGCTGTGCACCTTGTCCCTGGAAGGCGTTTGTGCCTCGTCGCCGAGCAAGTCGAAAAGTCCAAGCACCTTGCCATCTCGTTGCGGTGTAGGGCCTAACGATGTGACAGCCGTTGGACTGAACAGCCTTCTTGATATGGTCGGTGTCTCTTCCAGTTGCACATCCAAGATACGCGATGCTGATGGAGTTTCAATGTGCCGTGTTCGCTTAGATGGAGTGCCAACTGGTACGCTGTTGCTTGTTGACTTTCGCTTTCGGCTTTGATCTTTTGTTGGCGGTGGTATTTTGCCGTCGAGTATGCTACGGTATCGTTGGTATTGGCGGTATTTGTCGGCTGCTTATGTTAGATAACCGTGCAAATCATGGTGACGGAGACAGCATACTGATCTCGGGGTTGCTCTTGATGTCCTCGCGACCTGGCTTCTTCCCGTGCTTCTCCAACCATTGTGTTTCCCACGTCTTCAAATCCAGTCGCACATTTTTGGCCTTAACGTCGTACTCAGTTCGGGTTTCCTCGTCCATGACGGCAGTATTTCATCAATAGAGCGTTTCTCCACGTTGAAAAAGGACAATGAGGAGTCATCAATGATCAGCCAAGTGCGATACTTGAAGACAAGTGCTTAGGTATGTAACATGGGATTCGAGATTTGGTGCGGGACGGCGCGCTGCGACGCGTCGGATTTTACGCGCCTGCCCGTTAAGCGTGGCCGAGGCCCCACCATACGTCATGCGCTAAGGCCGCCTTGGCGGGCAGAATCTCTAAATCGCGACTCCGCAGAACTTGTCCATCATTATTCATCAACAGACATGAACCACGAGGACGACTTTCAAAACTGGAAGTCACGAGCCCTCGCCGCCGCAGTCTACAATTACGAAAAGCCCGAAACGAAGAGCGAGGGATGCGTTGTATGTCTGCGGGATGAGGTGGCTGATCCATGCACCGTGCAGCCATGCGGTCACAGATTGGGATGCTGGGAATGCGTGCTGAAGGGGATTGACCTCTTGGGGCACTGCTGGCTATGTCGCACGAAGGTTCTGGGTCTCTTTTGTGAGCGGACAGGCGAGTTCGTCCCTAGCGATCATCTCGGACACGGAAGCCAGAGTGCAGCACCTGATCACGACGTGCCAGAGGCCATCGCGATCACAACGAACCGCGAGCGACAACAGATCGAGCAACGACAAGCCGTCTACCGTCATGAAATGTACTCAAAGCACATAGGCTCGACCCGTCGTACGGGATATCGCGAATTGACGCCGCAAAACTTCCTTCGCGACCCGACCCTCGTTTCCCGCGCGCGCATGTTTATCCGCCGCGAGTTGCATGTGTTCACGCTGCAGCAGCCTTCAAGAAGTATATGCAGAGCGACGAGGGCGAACATGGCGCGACGGAGGGCGCAGAATGCCGAATTTCTACTAGAGTACATTGTTGCGATTCTCAAGACAGTCGACATGATGGGCTGGGCTGGCGAGGCTGAGAAGATGATCGGCGAGTATCTGGGCCGTCAACATGCGAAGTTCTTTCTGCATGAGCTGCGTTCATGGCTCAGAAGCCCATATCAGCGACTTGATGAGTGGGACGCGGTCGTGCAGTACGCTCGACACGCACCCCGAGAGATCTCACGCAAGGAGGCGCTTGGTGAGGACGCTGAATATGTATTTTTAGGTGCAGATGGGGACGGAGAGATACATGTGTCCAGACATGCGCGGGAGGGCGACTGCTATCGTCCTCGATACAGCGGTAGGCAGGCTGGGCGGCCTGGCCGTTCCAAATGATCTGACTGACCCTGGATAACCATCCATTCATGACTACCTACGATAGAGGATGAGATACCCTGAAAATAACTGAGCCTTGATTTACAGCACACAATAAACTATTGCAAGCACCTTGTTGAATGTTGTCGTCGAGTGAGACGGTTCACACCGTGCGACCCCACGTTGCGAAGCCCAGCCCAAAACATCGCGGGGCAGCACAGCTCACCGACGCGCTTTGTTTTCTTTGAGCATCATGTGCTCTATGATCCGCACGACAGACTTCAGGATCCCGCCAATACTTTCCGCTAGAACTGGTGGTTTTTGAACATCCACTGAAGCGACAACTTCGTTTCCGCTCTCAAGATTGCGTGGGATGCGTGCAGCCAATATGTCTGTCCTCGGCTCGCATCTCGACCAAATGTCTGTTTGTTGCCAGGGCATCGACAGTCTCCCGTGCGTATCATCTAGCTCGACATGGCTACTTCTCTGACTTGTCTAGGTTCCCACCCCCTAAAATCTTCACTGCCGCTCTACTCTCCTCACACGACATAACCTCCCTCATCCGCGACACAGAGTCCCACGAACGAGCACTCTTCTCGGTGCCACCTCCACCTCCGCCGCCCACAAACCTTCCCAAAGCCAAGACAGACGATGAACCTAGTAGCAAACGTCGTCGTACGGTATTCAATGTGGCACAGGGCGAAGTCACCACCGGACCTCCCAATGCGAACAGGAGGAAACACACCGCCGTGGCCGCCGTCTTGGGTGGTGAAATGACAGAGAGCCTGCAACGGGGTAAGAGCGAGGTTGACGTGGAAGTTCTCCTCAAGGGCGCTGAGAAGCTATGCAGCGTCTACGAAATGCCTGGCGCGCGAGATCGCATCAACGACCTCCGCGGACGGTACAGAGCTGGAAAGGGCACACTGGGCTATTACGAGGGCAGGGTAGCTGAACAGGCTGCACAGCTGGCAGAGTATAAGCATGACTGGATGGATGTCGACGAAGAAGAAGAACAAGGGGCTGATAATGACGTGTGGACCGAGGACGATCTGCGACGAGAGGAAGAAGAAGCCCGGGAGCTGGAGGGCAAGAAACGGGAGCTGCAACGGCGACTCAAGACCATGGAGAAGGATCTCGGCGGTTTAATGAGCATGTGAAGACAAGAGATTCGTTTCTCTACGACGACTGCGCCTTCTTCAGGGTATCGACAAACACAGACAGGTCCTGCGCGCCGTTGATCTCCCACTTGTCGTTGATTACAAAGTGCGGCACACCCCGTACGCCACGCTCATAGGCATCCTCCACCTCGCGATCCACCTCGGCCGCGCCTCTGCCCTCCGATAACCACGTCCGCGTCTCCTCCTTGTCGAGTCCGCCCTGGACAGCGGCGCGGGTGAGATCTTCTGCCGAGGTGATGTCGCCACCCTCCTCGAAATACATCTTCATAATCTCGCTCATCACCTCGTTCTCAACGTTCTTCTGCTTCGCGAGCTGAATGACCCGGTGCGAGTCCCTCGTGTGGCCCATCCGACCTTCGAAGGAGAAATCCAGACCCAGCTCCTGTCCCATGGTCTTGATGCGATCCTGCACCATCCTGACTCTGTTCTCGTCGCCAAATTTGCGAACGAGGACATCCATCGCAGGCTCCGACTGGGTGGAGGCATGTGGATTCAGGTGGTATGCTTGCCATGAGATGCTGGCCGCTGGCGAGTTCAGTGTCTTGAGCGCCTGGAGGAGACGCGCATAGCCGAGGTAGCAGAAGGGGCAGACGGTGTCCGAGATGATGTTGATATTGAGGGATGCGGACGTAGTCGAGGCCATTTTGAAGGACCTGAAGAGCGAATTCATTTAGCTGCTGAGTTTTAAGAGTGCAAAAAGGATAAGGCAATGTGATGGAAAGCGTCTGGTCGACTCTGGTGGGATTTGTATGGGGTTTGCCGGTGCTTAGAAATCGTCACTGTCGCCGGTGGCATATGTGAGTGGGCTGAGTCCCACTCTGAGAAACAAAACAAGCCTTTGCTCCCACTGTGAATCAATGAAGCAATCATCATCCAATAGTAGGTGCTCATATATCCCCATCTATCATAATGCCAGAGTCGTACACGCTATGCTATGCAAATGCCCTCAATCATCGCGCGTACAGAATCCTCTGTCTCTATCCGTAGAAGAACCCAAGGAAAAATGGAGCGGCGGGCCCTGCGAATACCAGATTCCCTCAGGGCCTCGCAAGCACACTCCGTCTATGCCGTCTCTCGCCAATTTTTTTGTTTGTTTGTTTCCTCCCTTCCCATAATGTCATTATCATCGTCGTGATCATCATCATCATCATTTTCTCGTCTTGTCCTCCACCGTGAACGTAAAGTCGTAGCTCGATTCCACTTCCGAGACCTCCATCTCCCAGAAATAAGGCAGCTCCTGCGCCAGCTTGCGCCCCGCCTTGGCGCGGATGACCCATTCGTCTTCACTCGAGTTGGGCTCCTCCAGCTCGACAATCTTCTGCGGCGGGTCGTGGAAGAGGAGACTGCTGCGGTGCAGGCGTTTCCGGAAGCGGCGAGCGCTGGAGCCGACGTCGTTGACGTCGAGGAATTCGTCGTCGCTGTCGTCCGACAACTCGCTGTGCGTGCGTTTGCCGACGCTGCTGGACATGCTCACGCGACGGAGGCGACGCATATGTTCCTGGTGGCGCTCAAAGGCAGCGCGCTCAGGATCGAGATCCGCCGTACATGCATCGTCGTTGTCCGAATCCAAGTTATCCGAATCCTCCTCCGAGTCCTCGTCGGAGGAAGACGGCGATGCCACGGCTGTTGTGCGGTTGAGTCTCGACGGAGGCGGCCGGCTGATGTTTGGGTGGTCTCTCTGTGTCGAGGGGGTTCCAGCTCTCGAGGCCTCAATCTCATAAGGATAGAGTATCTCAAGCGCAGGACTGCCTGGGTCCATCGGGTCCATGTCTTCGACCACTTGTATGTCCCAGACCACGGCAGATGTCTTTGCTGATGAAGTCTGCTTCGTCGCATCGATGTCGCTTGGATCATCGTTGTCTCGTTGGCTCGCATTGTCCTCCTCTTCTTCATCGGATTCCTCCTCTTCAGAATCTGATTGACTCTGTTTCCTCAAGAAGATCTCATATCTCGAGCGATTGAGTTCCATTGGCATATTTTGCCCCAAACTGTCTTGTTCATCGTCATCTTCCTCGTCATCCACCTCTTCATCCGAGCTATCTATAGCCTGCGACGAATCTGAAGACGAGTCCATAGGGCTGAGTTGCGCCGGCCCTATTGACGGCCTGTAGCTGAACTGGTGCCCGTCGCCTACGGGCCGGATATGGGGATCGTCGGCCAGCGCAGCAAAAGGCGGCTGGTGTCGTGGTTTGAGGCTGCTTTTGCGGGAGAATGGGGAAAATCTGGTGGGCGTCTCGGGTGGTGATGCAGGATCGGCGGTGTGCGAGCTCCCGGCCTGCTGGAGGTTCGGCGTTGACGGCCTCCGGCGGAGGCGTCTGCTCCGTGGCATGGTAATGACCGTGCGGCGTGAACCAGTCGACGTCTGACAAGAAAGGAAAGTTTCTGTCTGGCTTGGTGTTTGTTGCGGGCTTTTGGTGTGACGGGGCTGTTGGTGGGTGCGACACGAGCCTATTGTGCTGTCGTCGTGCAGCGACGCTCTACCGGATCGAACGAGTGCTCGAGGGGATCTCGCTTCCCAAAGCCGATCCAAGGACCAAGAGAAGCCGGAGCTTAGACGGGAGCGATGGGTAATGGTGGTGCGTGTGGGGTAGAGACGGCCAGGGATCGTCGTGTGTGAGCGATAGGAAGTGTGTGTCCAGAGTGATACACCCAGCTCCAAGTGGGATGGCGCCGACGATAAATATGCGACACCGGGATTGCGATGATAGAAGGAGGGAAGAAAGGGCAGAAGAGGCTGCTGGTACGTATCTTGGCCCACGGGGTCATAAGGGAAAATTCGACGTGTGAGCCTTATGCAAGGCAATTGAAGGTACCTCCGTACAGGTACAATGTACCGGGCCTAACCTTTGGTTGGCAAGTTACTGGAAGTACAGTACTCGTCGAGTCAATTAGACACTGCTGATACAAGACTGCTGGTGGTGGTGTTGCGGTAGGTAGTGGTGGTGGCGCCGCTGCTGCTGGTATCGGCAGTAAGCCAGGGCCGTAAATAACGTGTCTACCTCTTTATCGCCAACAGAGCATCGCAGGATGCAGCGGCGCTGCAACCAGACGTGGTTTTTTGCTTGCTGCTGTTGAATATGCAGGCAGCTCGAGCGGTGGGTCGGTCAGTCGGTCGGTCGGACTGGGAGACTGGAGCTGTCGCTGCAGTCGACGATGGCTCGCTCGCTCGCCTGTTTTACTTGAATAATGCTGCTGATCCGCTGATTGTGACCTTGGTGAATGAATCTGAAGAAATTGGGTCAGGGCACCGAGGTCCGGGTATGGAGACTCCAGCCAGGAGTGGTCAATGTGCGTCTCTGCGTGCTTAATGGGGTCATCATATAATAGAGCATAAAAATGATAGTGAGGGGTCGCTGCTCGTCAGGCACGTCGCTGGGTGGGTTCGTTCGCGGACAATGGCCGTGACTGAAGTTCTGAACAGCACGTAGGTAGCCGTCTCGAGTCCTTGGAGTGCAACCTTGGAATCGGACGCTGGCCGGAATGGATGCCGCCGCTTCAGGTCCTGCTGGCGAGAGCAAGCAAGCACAGCTGAGGCGAGTGGTGAGAGGTGACAACTCAAGAATGTGAGGCGGCAGTGGAAAGTTGACGTGACTTCAATCGCTCAGCGCTGTGCAGCAAAGCCGTATCCCGGTCCTGGCCGCAAGAGATGCAAGGAGATGCCTGTCTCGCTGTTGCGATGGGCAGGCTAGACTAGGATGGCAGAGGGTGCAATCGCCGTCTTCAGCTGCTGCTGTTTCTCATCGATCAACCCTCAATCAATCAGTCAATCCAATCGCTGCTCGCCCACCTTGCCGATCTATCGGATCGATCAAGCTGACAAACGACACCCAAGTTCCCGACACGTAGTAGCCTAGCTGTGCGTCGCTGGACCAGGCTGTCTGCTGTGCGGCTTTCTGTGGCCAGAGGAGTGGTGAGTGGCGCGTGGGCAGTTGATGAGAGTCGTGGGACTCGTGGGTACCTCGACGATTGGCGGTGTATCTTGCGCGCTCTGCCCAAAAGCACGTACCCCGTTGGTACCTGATCAGTGAGATGAATGATTACACAGCCTGCTCCAGCAACGATGAAACGGATGCGGAAATGAGAATGCCTGTTGTGCTGACTTGTTAAAGATAGATTGGATGGACTTGCATTAGACACCCAGCTTGTGGTGTTCCAAGCTTCACCGTCCAGGACAACTGGCGGTCCGCCTGTTTTAATATACATCATGAGGACACTTTCTCATGTGCGCTGTGCAAGCCGAGAGCATGCTGCGCATCATGCCTGCCCTGCTCGACACCTCGACTTGCCTGCATGAGCCTAATCGTTCAACGATCCGAGCCTGCTTCTGCGTGGCCTGTGTTGCTGTGACCTATCGCGTGGGGTTCGCGGTGGCACCTCTCAGTGCCCAGCGTCGACAAGTACATGTAGTTTGGGCATCAATAGCGGGCTGCAGAGATCGACCAGGAAGCATGTCGAAAATACCGGACAGAATGCTTCCAATGGGCTCCAGCCGGATTCGCCGTCGAAGCCTGCGCATACGGCTGGTCACTGCTGGCCAGGTAGAACGAATCGGCCCCGCTAATCTTCGTACGACAGTGTGCCTCAGGTCAATACACCAGCTGCCCGCCAACTAAGAGTAATTTTCGCAAGATCATGTTGTAAACAGCTTTGTATCACTCCCAGAAACTTAGATGCCTCTCTTCACTCAGTATTTGTCCTCAATTGATCCATCGGCATAAGGGCATCTTACAGAAAGCCAATGATGGATGGATCCTGATGCCCAGCTGCAGAAGACTGGCCCTAATTGAGATTGATGACTGCGTATTTTATCTGAATCGCATAGAGCTAGAAACTAATCGAGCTGTACGGGAGTTTCATTCAATGATTATAAGATGATGCGGTTCAGGCGGATGTGTGAACGGCTCGTGTGCGCAGCTCAACACAGCTTGCCTTGGATCTTGGCTTCCGGCAAGTGAGTACACGGCCGGATAAAACTGGCTCCGACCGCCGCTCCTCAGTTTCCAAACAGGGGACCCATAATTTCCACTACCTTACTCAGCAGCCGTCGCGATCCGCGTGCATGGTCGCAACGACGCATCGTGCTGCCATCACGCGCAGCAGCAGCCGTACCGGAATTCATCAAGACCACCTATCGCAACCATCCGAGGTCACTTTCCGAACTTTGCGGATAGTCTTCGACCAAATTACGCCAGCCGAAATTATCCTCGAGCGCGACCGCCAACTCACATCGTGAGTCCAACATCATGAACCAAGGCCAGGGCCAGGGTCAAGGTCAAGGTCAAGGCCAAGGCCAAGTGCAACAGCAAGGACAGCAAGGGCAGCAAGGGCAGCAAGGGCAGAATTCACAGCAGAAGATGCATCTCATTCAGCCTCAGCATATTCGCAACCTAGCCATTCTGTCCGAGGAGGAGAAGGCTAAGTATGTCGCTGGCTTGGAAGGGCTGTGGAACAAGGTGAAGAGCACGCCACCAGGCAGCGCGGAAAACAAGGCCGCGACGGATAAGATCCACGCGTTCAGTACAATGCTTCGAAGCAAGGTCGCCCAGCGTCAGCGCCAGGCTATGCATCAGCACCAGCAACAGCAGCAGCAGCAAGTACAGCAGAATCAAAGCCAGAATGGCCCGCAGCAGCAGACCCAACCCCAAGCACAAGCCCAGCAACAACAGTTGCAACAAGGTCCGGGCCAGCTCCAACAGCAAGCGCCTCAACAACAACAGACTCCGATCCTACACCCACCCTCAGCGCCTCAAAGAGCTCCCTCTCAGGCTTCTCCACCCCCTCCTCAATCTCAGCAGCAAGCGCAGGGAGGAGCAACACCCCGGCAGATGCAAGCTCAACCCTCGCAGGGACAAGGCGCTCCACAGCAACAGCAGCAATCACAATTAACGCGACCCCAGAGCGAACAGATGAACCAGCATGTAGATACGCTCAAATTTCGACTCCCGCCTGAACTGCAAGGCAAGTCTGCCGAGGAGATAGCGAGATGGACTGAGCCCAAGAGGGAGCAATACCGACAGAAGCTCGCCATGCTTGAGATGTCAAACCTACGTATCAAGAGGATCGAGCAGCAGTTGACCCAACGCCAACAATCAGGGACCATGACAGAAGATGAACAGAAGAACCTGACCCAGATGAGGCAGAAGACTCTGGTTGGACGACAGGAAGTTCAGAATTGGATTGGATCATTTAGAAAGCAGTTCACCGACGGGCAGCAAGCTGCCCAAGCCAAGGCCCTCACGACTCAACAACAGGAGAATGGCCAAGCTGGTGCTCAGCAGCCGCCTCAGCTCGCGGCGGCGGCGGCGGCGGCGGCGGCGGGCAACAGACCTTCGCCCGCAAATGGAGGCATGCCTGCGCAGCAGAACCGTGGCACGCCCGGTGCTGCGCAGCAAGCTCAAGCCCAGCTCCAAGCGCAGAGAGCCGACCAGTCTAACGGTGTTGCCAGTGGAGCTGCGGCAGCTGCGCGTCCACAGCAAGCCCAGGCTGGTCGGGGACAGGCTCCAGGTGGCGGGCCGCCGCCCAACCCAACTCGAGGGCTCAGTCACTCACACGCGAACACGCTTGCCAACGAGCACGCTGCCGCGCAGTCACAGTCGCAGTCGCAGTCGCAGGGCCAGCAACAGACGCAGCAGACGCAACACAAAGCAGTTACCCCTGGCTCTGCCACACCACACAACGGCGCCACCCCGCAGCAACAGCAGCAGCAACCACCACAGCAGCAAGCGTCGCAAACCCAAGCCCAGCAGCCCCAGCAGCCGCCCCAGCAGCCGCCTCAGCAAGCTCATGCGCATCCACATGCCCCACAGGTGCCCGGAACAATGCACTCCAAGATGCCCATCCCGAAGCAACTACCAGAGAAGGCCATGGCTGTGCCTCAAGGTGTCGTGGTGGGCGGAGGTGTCAAGGGAAACAGGCCGACCATGAACCAGGGCAGTGGAATCATGGGACCTGCGATGCACCAGCCTGTGGTTCAGAAGATCCCGGCGTACAACAACGAAGCGGAGGGCGATCGCGTTCTGAGCAAGAAGAAGCTTGACGAGCTTGTGCGCCAGGTCTGTGGCGGTGTCTCGGACGGTCAGGAGAGCAATGTCCTGACGCCTGAGGTTGAGGAGGTCAGTTTATGTGGAAGATACTCGAGTTTGTTTATGATGCTAACAGCGAACAGAGCGTCCTCACAATGGCCGACTCATTTGTGGATAATGTCCTTCATGCAGCCTGCCGCAATGCTAAGGAACGTGGCTCCAAGGTTCTCGAGATTAGAGACATTCAACTTGTGCTCGAGAGGACCTACAACATCCGTGTTCCCGGCTACTCCTCGGACGAGCTCCGAACCGTGCGCAAGGTGCAGCCCGCGGCCGGTTGGATCAACAAGATGAGCGCTGTCCAGGCAGCCAAGGTCATGCCAGGAAAGGGGGAATAATGGACAATGTTTCACACTGCGTAGGGATGACGTTGATGGACGGCAAAGTGTTATTTCCTTTACAAGGCGCAAGGTCAAAACGGCTGGTGAAAGGAGTTTGTTGCACTCACATTGCGCATACCCGACTCTTGCAATCAACATCGTATGGTTAAGCCGATATCTCCGTCTGCCTGTCAGATCTTACGCGTGCGTAGTGATAATGTGAGACGCTATTGATATCGCAGTAATTCTAATGCCCAAGGTTACCTGTAGACATCCACTCGTACCGATTGGGAATTGCTGAGCAGCTCAAGGCAGAACTGAGAAAACGTCACCGCACGTAGATGTAGAACCCCACAGCGCGCCTGGTGCACAGCACAAACCCCCCTGCACAAGTTTTGCATAATGGTGGTCCCGGGTACCTTAACAACACACCTAAAACGCGGGCAGCAGCAAGTACCACTACAACTGCCCTTCAGCTCGCCTGACTGACCGAATGCATGTCTGGTCCTCCAAGCTCGAACCTTCTCCCACGCTTCAACAACGACTGCACCTTGACGACGAAACCGCCTAACGACGTCAACACAACTGTCGACGCCGATTATCGCACGCCTCAAGCTTCGCGCACGCCTCATCAAGCTAACGATTTCATCAAAAGTACCGACGTGCCAATTCGAGGACGCGCTCACCCGGCGGTCTTGACACTTTTGTCATCATCCTCCTCCATCATCCAAGCGATAAGCCTCGACAACATACAGATCTGCGCCATTACAGGCCGCCGCGATGCCTGGCAAAGCACCCCCCAAAAGCGACAAGGATGCCAAAGGCGTCAGCAAGGGCAAGAAGGGCGGCAAGGATGCTGACGAGGAGATGACCGTCGTGGTGCCTCCCTCGAAGAAGCAGGCACAAGCCGCTGATGGCGATGGCGACGTCCACATGGGCGGTGAAGAAGACAAGGTTGAGGAAGTTGACCCAGCCGTGCAGGCTGTCACAGGTGTGTGCTTTTCCCAGGATGACCCGGTCGCTGGAAGTTGACTGACCCTGACCTCGCGCAGACATCAAGAGCAACTTTGCGCTACTGGACCGTGCCGTCGCTCTCTTCGACCCACGCTTCTCGTTGCGCGCACTTCGCTCCATCTCGCTCATCCGCAAGCGACTGACGCCCGACATTATCGCCCAAGCCATCGCCGACAGCTTCCCTGCGACAGCTGCCAGCGCCAAGAGTGCCAAAATCCTCCTTGCCGCCATCGACCGTGCAGATACACAGCTGGGCAAGTCATCGGGGTCAGAGATGGAAGTTGATGGAGATGCAAAGCCCTCAACTAAGAATGGGTCCAAGAAAGAGGCCAAGGATCTTATTCCTGAGGTGGACATCTTCCTGGGCATCCTCATCCAGGTCTATCTTTTCGACTCAAAGCAGTACGCGAAGGGTGCACGGTTCTCTGAGCAGCTGACCGATCGCATCCAGTCGCTGAACCGACGCACGCTCGACAGTCTCTCGGCCAAGGTTTACTTCTACTTCCAGCTCTTTTGCGAGCACATGGAGCCTCTGCCACCCTCGCCCGAGTCACCAATTGTAGCAGTGCGGCCCATACTACTTGCTGCCTTGCGTACGGCTGTCCTGCGCAAGGACATTGACACACAGGCGTCGGTCATTGTCCTGTTGTTGCGCAATTACCTGCTTACATCGCACATCAACCAGGCCGACTTGTTGGTGTCGCACACCCAGTTCCCTGAGAATGCCGTCAACAACCAAGTTGCTCGCTTCCTGTACTATCTCGGCCGTATCCGGGCGATCCAGCTGCGGTACACGGAGGCGCACGAACATCTGACGGCCGCCACGCGCAAGGCACCCGGGAGCAACTGCGCACTGGGCTTCTCTCAGACCGCCACCAAGGTGCTACTAGTTGTGGAGCTGTTGATGGGTGACATTCCAGACCGCTCGACTTTCCGTCAGGCGACCATGGAGGAGGCGCTCCACCCCTACTTCCTGCTCGTACAAGCTGTGCGTGTGGGCGACATTGAGAACTTTGAGACGACCATTGCCGACCACGCCGACACATTCCACCGGGACGGCACGTACAGCCTCATCTTGCGCTTGCGCCAGAACGTCATCAAGACGGGCATCCGCATGATGTCGCTGTCGTACTCTCGCATTTCGCTTCGTGACATCTGCATCCGCCTGCACTTGGGCAGCGAGGAGTCGGCGGAATACATTGTGGCCAAGGCCATTCGCGATGGTGTGATTGAGGCTACGCTGGATCGCGAGAAGGGTTTCATGAAGAGCAAGGAAGTGGGTGACGTGTACGCCACGAGGGAGCCTGGTGAGGCTTTCCACGACCGCATCAGGGCGTGTCTCGCGCTGCACGACGAGAGTGTGAAGGTGAGAACAATTCGAAACGTATGGAGATCTCGTGCTAACACACCAAGGCTATGCGCTTCCCCATGAACCAGCACCGCCTTGAGCTTAAGAATGCCCAGGAGGCGCGCGAGCGGGAGCGAGAGATGGCCAAGGAGATCCAGGAGGGCGATCTGGACGAGGACGACTTGGGTGGTGACTTTGAGGGCATGTAATGTGCTGTGTACATCTTCACCGGCTGGAGGAGACGGTCCTGTGTTAATACATCAAACAATCAAGATCTGCATTGGGGTCCGGGCCATTGGTCTGGGACAGGTTCTCTGGGGCGGCAGGAAAGGATTGGGAATAGATGCGGGTGTGGAATTGACGACTAATTGCTTCATGATGCCGGTCTCCCCTCGAATGTGGCTTGCGCGCACCAACATCATGCCAGCAGAAGAGGTGAAATGGTTGACGGTCGTACTTAGTCCTTGGTAGTCTGTCAACGACCAAGTCATTCTCTTTTCCAAATGTTTCGATGCAGCCCCGTTGAAGGTCTTGGGGCATGAGATACGTACGCCCTGTTGTCGACATGTAGTGTGAATCATTCAGTCTGACAGTCATCCGGGCCTCCACCTTTCATTCAGTCTCACCTCTCAAGGCAGATCAATTGACAATTGCAGCCAGTCGATCTGACTGTAATTGTGGGTTCACGTCCTTCTACATCGGACGCCCTTGTCGCTGACATGCTGCATGAACAGTCATGCACAGCCTTGTGAGCCGAAGGGATCGTCAAGATCACACCGATATAAGAATGAGATCTCCAGTGTTCATGGTCACTTTGGCAAAACTAAAAGGCGAGAGAAAGATTCCATGATGGCGACTGCGACACAGATCCAAACTTCTACCATCTCGTTGGCCAACGGCCCCTCGGACGACGCAATACGTCTCGCGGCCCTCTGCCGAGTCGCACTGAACACTCTCTACGCAGAACTACCCGACTTCAACCCTTCCCAGGCCTATTCACCTGATGAGATTGTCAACCTGCCCCTCTCGGCTCATCGGCTTCCCGACGAACTCTACGATCTCCCCCGTCGACGTTCCGCGCGCGCCAGCCTGGCCCAGGAGATTGCCGCGCTGCTCTCACCCAGCGAAGCCGACTCCCTGACGGCCCTCATTCGCTATGAAGCCGAACGCGTGAAACTTCGGGCCTGGACCGCTCTGCAGAGGGAGTTTGACCGCCTGACGGCCACGAGGAAGAACGGTCGGTCGACGCACGGTTTGTCCGGTGGTGTCTCGCCTGGCGTGCAAGCACCTGTGTGGTCTTCACGGATCACTGCGCAGGGGCCTTGGGATCCGGCTGTGAAACCGATCTCCTTGAATGGTGTCAGCGCTATTCCCATGCCGGTGGAAGTCGCGCAAGGCGAGGATCTGAAGCCTTTCCTGGGACACCTGCGTCGCAATGGCACGGCCGACGTACTTGAAAATGATCAGGCCCGTGTGCTCGAGGAGCCGTATTACAATGTCCAGGCTCTCGAGTTCAATAAGGGCGTTCTGTACGATGATGGGCGCATGGACCTTTGCAAGATGGTCGTGGGACCAGAGCATATCTGGTCTCTCATGTCTTCTTTGCGGCACAACACGTTCATCAAACACTTCCTGCTGGGGAACAATGTGATCGGACCGTCTGGTGTCAACGCTATCGCTGAGTTTCTCAGGGACCATCCGGACAAGATCGAGACGTGGTATCTGGCTGGCAACTGCATCGACACGGAGTCCTTTGCCATACTGGCTGAAGAGCTCGTAAAGTCGGACAGCGTGACCAACATCTGGCTGAAGCGTAACCCTCTCGGGCACGGAAGCGCAGGCCATCTGGCCAAGCTAGTCATCGGCGCCAAGAATCTGAGGACGCTGGACTTGGACCAGACGGAGCTCGGTGACCAGGGCGTCGCAGACCTGTTCACCCAGCTCGCTGCGCACAAGCCTGATGATGCTTCACCACTGCCCTTGCGCAACATCTACCTCAACGGCAGCGGTATATCCACCAAAGCCACCACCGCCATCGGCCGGTTTCTGGCGTCCCCAGCTTGTGGGCTGACATCCCTCTACATGTCCTCCAATCCCCTTGGCGACGAGGGTATCCAGGCACTGGCAGAGGCTCTGCCTCACGCACCGCAACTCACCCGTCTGCTCATACAATCAGCCGGCGTCAGCACCAAAGGTGCCATTGCCCTGTGCCAGGCTGCTTGTGGCCACCCCAGCCTCCGAGTCTTGGACTTGGGACAAGCGTACACCACCGAGGATCTCGGCCAAGCGTACAACTACATCACGGATGAAGCGGTCGATGCCATCGCCGAGCTGATCCGCACTTCCAGGCTTGAGTACCTCAATCTGGGCCACGCACCCATCTCACCAGCTCAGGTCAGGACACTCAATGTAGTGGTCATGGGCAGCCGCTCGCTGCTGTTCTGGAACGCAGTGCCCATACTACCAGACCCGAGCCGAAAGGTTCCTACATTCAGACCATCGCGGGACCTGACGCTGACGCAGGACCCGAATCCGCCCAAAGACCACTTGGAAGCTGAGAAGGCTCTGCGAGACCACTTGGCGGCTAACGTACGTGTCCGATACGGCGAGGGTGTCACGTACAAAGACTTTGTGGAGGAAGAGAAGCGCTGGCTGGTCAGCGACAAGGATGTGCGCAAGATTGATAGTGTGTATCGGAATCGGGAGGCGGGCATGGCCAGACGAGGGATTGCCAAGTTGGTGAAGGAGTGGGGGGAAGGCGATGATACCTTGGAGAAGGTGAAGCACGCTGTAGAACCGGTATGCACTGTGCGTGGGTAAGATTAATGGTGCCATGGGTTGCGCGGCTCATTGCTTTTTGTAGTGTTGTAGTCGAAGCGGTCTGTTGAGGTTCATTATTCTGGTCTGGTTCATGGTTGGGATGGATGAAGAGAAGTAGCCAGTTAGTGCCACACCAGATCTGAAATCATCGCAAGTATCATATTGAATGAGCCAATTTCCACAATATCTCTGGTGTCTTTCGCCGTTGCGGTGGTTGTGAATATCTGTGAGGCACCGACAACCTCATGGTAAAGCCAGGCAGTAGCGAGATTTCCTGATGTGCATGTGGTTCGGGTCTGTTATTCGACCAAAGCTTTCAATCAATCATACCTGCTGCTCTTCTGATCAGCAGATGTAAGTTAACATCACCTGCTGTCATGGTGATAGCGTTGATCGAAGGTTAGGTCCGACCCAGCTTGGAGAGGCACGATGGCGTTTTGATCCCACCGTACCTTGCGCCGCCCACCTGCGTCTGGTCTGGGCTTCAGTTCTCGCCCTGGAAATCCTTAGTGTAGACGGATCTTTTTCAATTCTGAATCTCACCCTGATTTCGAAACGACGCATTTCGCACACAGCGACGACATTTGATTTAAACAAAGTCTCTCGAGTTCCCAAGGACGCTTTAGCCACACGATTTAAGGCGAGGACCCCGCGACGCGTCGACGCGCTGCCTATCCTTCAACGTACGACTGGGCGCCATAGAGCTCAATAGCTCTGTCCATAACGAGGCGCATACTATAGAAAAGCTGGCAAAGTCATTGCCTGGGTGTAAATGAGCTTCTCGTAGCTGCACAAGACCCACGACAGCGGCGCGCGTCGCCACCTGACGACCGCGTCTGCGACGACAATGCCCACGCCCACGCCAGACCTGGTGGCGCCTGAGATCACATACCACGTCCCGTCCTCTCGAAGCCACAACATGACCTCTCTCGTACGACCGCACGGCCCATCTACCTCCTCGAGCCCCCTCAAGATGGCATCAAGTCAGCGACCTGCCGAACAACCCATCCAGCCTTCCCAGCGGGCCGATCGTAACATTGAGAAGGTCGTGCTTGGCGATCTGGTGTTCGACACGTGGTATCCGAGCTACTATGGCAAGGAATTGCTGGGGGATGTGTCAGCTGTCCCGGAAGATTGGCGAACGAGCCATGTCAAGAGGGACAGGGATCAGCACCCCGTGCTTGATAGGCTATACGTCTGTCCTAGCTGCTTCAAGTACTCCAAAGAGCTGGTCGCATGGTGGGGACATGTGCGCGTTTGCGAGAAGAGGCAGTCCGTCCCCGGGCAGAAGATATACGTCCACCCGCGCCGGAAGCACAAGGTCAAGGCTGCGCGAGTTCGGAAATCAGAAGTACAGCCCGACGAGACGGTTCACGAGGAGGGTGAATGGAGCATTTGGGAGGTGGATGGTGACCAGGACCGAGTAAGTTTGACCATCATGCTGCGGGCAAGCACATGCACGCACGAGCTGACCGCTTGCATCAGCTATTTTGCCAGAACCTCTGCCTATTCGCAAAGTTGTGGCTCGATAACAAGTCTATCTTCTTCGATGTTACAGGCTTTACCTATTTTCTTCTCGTCTACACCCCTCCCGCTGGCTCGTCCGGACAGAATGAGGCGTCTTCGGCAGTGCTGCAGATTGTTGGCTTCTTCTCCAAAGAGAAGATGTCGTGGGACAACAACAATCTAGCCTGTATCCTCGTCTTCCCACCGTGGCAACGCAAGGGGCTGGGCGGGCTCCTCATGAGCGCGAGCTACGAGATCTCAAAGCGACAGGGCGTCATTGGCGGACCAGAGAAGCCCATCTCGAATCTCGGCCAGAAGGGGTACAAGAGCTTTTGGGCGGGCGAGATTGCGAGGTGGCTGCTGAGCCTGGACGAAGGGGCCGTTGTCGACATTAAGGACTGTAGCGATGCGACCTATATCTGCCTGGAGGATTGTCTGTATATGTTCCGCGAGATGGACCTTTTGCAGGATGCCGGGGTGGGACCAGGCAAGCCCGTGGTACAAGATGGCGACGATGGCGACGAGGAGCTGGACGACGAGGATGCAAGGGCGGTGGCGAAAGAGGTCAATAGGGTCAAGGTCGACAAAGCTGCAGTGAGGAAGTATGTGGCCGACCACCGTCTGCACTTGCAGAAGATGTGTGATCCGGATGGGTTCGTGGAGGGCTACGCAATGGGAGAGAATGGTACCGGGGAGGAGGAGGACGAGGTCATGGAAGACTAGCGGCACGATGATACCCTTTGAACTTTGCGCGATTCAACTTTGCAGATGAAGAAACTGATGTCCTGAAGCTTAGGGGAGTAGGCTCGCAGAGTGCTGCTGGATGAGCCAAAAGGTCGACCAGAGTTGCGGTGACACTCGATGATCCTAGCTGCCACCACCGTTGCGTTCCGAACCAAAGAGACCCATCAGAGTTCCCGGAGACTGCCTGAGGCTTCTTCGAGATCGGGGAATCCCAACCGCATCCGCATCGCGAACAGGCTACTCCGTACGTACAGCACCTTGGAACCATGTTCCCTCCTTTGCCTCATCAAAAAGATCTTCCAGGCTAATCTGTATGGAGGCTCCACCCTGTATAAAGCTGCTAGCATCACCTTCAGTCTCCCTGTGGTTGTGCTTCATTGGGTTACTGCACTCTCCCTGGAGGTCTGAGCACATCAACTCCACGATCATCAACATTATACCGGCTGTCCATCGAAATGCGAGAAACTCTGTTGGGGTGGTGATGTTTGTCGATCGCTGAACCACACTTCACGCCAGCTACCATGCAATCGCAATCAGCGCCAATGTTCGCATGTAATTACGCTACGTACATAGGTACCTTAATTTATGTACAGAAGGCAAGCTAACCTGGGTCACTAATTCGGACATCACATCTCTAGGTCAATCCCGGTGTTGGTGTACTTGTCTCTATGAACTGACCGTTGGCGGCGTTGGATGCTTGGGCGTGGGCTGGAATGCGGCTCAATTGACTTGTCGCTTGTGCCTTAGTAGACTGACCGGAACAGCCTGTCCGAAGGGGCTTGAACAAGCTCGCAAATACTGGTACTGCTAGCATTCTTGAAAGCTATGGACTCTGGAGACTGCAACGCTGCGGCCTCGGACATCATTCTTGAATCCTCCCCGACCTTCGTCCAGGTTCATCAGTCGTTCATGTACATGTTGACTGGGAAGGCTGGCCTCTTTTCCACGATTCATTTCATCGGCCAAGCTGTTACGCCAGCCCTGAAGGATGACCAGGGCGCCATTGATGTAAGCCCGCACAAAAACACCCCACCCTCCCTCGTGTACTGACAAAATGCGTGCTCGACAGGATCTTGGTGCGTTGCTCGTTGGTATGGCTAAGCCGGTCGCTGCCGAATTGCAAAAGGAACTCAAGACCATCGATAATGTGCTCGACGCTGCCATCAAGGCCTATTCTGGTATTCAGACGAGTTAAGGTGCGTACCAGTCGGCTCACTGGGACCATGGCTTTGAAGCAAATTTGCCGATGCTGCCTAGCCAATGGAGTTTCCTACTAGATTTGGTGACCTATAGTGCGAAGACGTGAATACGATGCTTCTACAAAGATGTACCAACCATGTCCGCAACTGGTCTCCTTTGCAGAGATGTAGCCAACCATACTCATCCCCGGCAAGAGGAGCAACGAGAAGAGTGACAACCTCAATGACAGAGTATAGACGATGAATATTGATAAGTTTAGTTGATTAAAATAAATATTTCTCACAAGTAAATAGATGAAAGGCGACTGTAAACCTGACAAGCTGGCGTTGAACATAATTTTGAGCCTCATAATACACAACAATTGGCTCCTCGACATGCAATCCAGCGGTTCTAACTTCCGCATCGGGCGAATGGTCTAGTGGTATGATTCTTCCTTAGCATGGAAGAGGTCCAGGGTTCAATTCCCTGTTCGTCCAGTGTTGTATTATTTTTTACTTTTGTCCCCTTGGATAGATGCCCTCATCAGATAATTAGAAATCGGGAGCTGTCTCATTTTCATGAATTCTTGACAATGAGTTGCTCGCACCGTTGCTGGGCTTGGAATTGCGGATATCGCTGATGAACTGCAGTCTACGGAGTACTGGGACCCTGATGTCAACAATGTCCCCTATTTTACACAACGCAAATCTCCCCGATTCGAGGGGTTTGTCAATGCCCTACTTTACTTCTTACTGTGCCCAGGAGCGCTTGATTCCAGAAACCAACACGATATTATGACCTCCTTGGTTTAATAAGGTCCAGGTCTGCTTGTAACCTGAGCAGGTGACTTTACTAGCGGGCACGGAACTCAAGCCCCTTCCAGGGCCATTTCTTCACTTGACAAGAAAGGGCCCGTCCTCAGACGGTCACATCACTTTACACGCAGTCTATCCAAATCAACAGATTGATTTGCGAATACCTCTCATAACCAAATCCTCTTTCACATTTTCAACCATGGGCGGCCGCCTCTATTCGAAATGTAAGCTACAGCCACGTGATTCTTGCACTTTGTAGCAGGCAGCCAGGTTGTGCGTAACACTTACTTTCCACCATTGACCTCTGGTAAAGTTTATACGCTGCGTCGCACTCGAAGTTAGGTTAGTACTCAGGTACAATGCGCGACATTGCTATGCGAACAAGGTTTAGTGACTGATGATACCTTAACTACCAGGTAAGTACTAAGCAAGGTATACTCTCTCCCATCAAGCACTCTGCCATTGACCTTGCTGGACGGGCCTAGTTATTTGAGGCAAGATGCGACGAGTATAAATATGACGCAAGCACCCGCACCCGCGCTTGCTTTGTCGTCTCCCTTGGTCCGTTATCAAGTGTTGGATCATAGCTCTTTACTTTTGAACTGTGATGAGGACTTGGCACAAAAGAGCAATGCGGTTCGGGGGTTTGGTTCGAAACCATTGCACTTGTCGCCAGCAAGTACACCAAGGTCATGTGTCCCATAGTTGGGTACTAGCACATAATCGATACAGGTTTTGGCTAACCCTTTATGGGTTTCATCAAAATACGGACAACAGTGCTCCACGAAATGATGTCTCGTACGTTGAATTGAGCTGCTTTGGACTTGTCGGGGGCAGGTATGAAGAGTCGAAGAGCTGGCTGGAACCTGATTTGAGCTGTTCACTCCGCCTTCGGGATTGCCATTCGAGCGAAAGTGGTTATCCGTGGAACATTGTTGAAGTGCGGAGGGACTGAACAAAGTTGACGGCGAGGATTGAAAGCAATGGATATGGAGAGAGCCCAGTGCACAACAAGGGATATCTTTCCCTCCACAATGCAGGAGCACCCCAGACCAGATGAGTAGTTAATCATCGTGTCCAAGGGTACACTATCAGCATGCTCCAATGCCCGGGAATGAACCAAAGTGACCTTCTACACTAAATCTTCCTTCCTGAACTTGAACTACCCTAGTTGAATTAATGGAAGAACAGCTTTGTAAAGACGCTTCCAAGCACCTCCCTGAGATATTTGAGCTATCTGCCAGTCATATCATAGACCTTCAGAAATTCCATCGCCGACTTCAACGCCGATTCCTCGTGCGCTATGCCATTCTCGTTCACGGCGGCATTGATGGTGAACGGGAATGCACTGGCACAACACCGGTGGTGCGTCAAGTTGGGCGCCTTGATGACGTTTCTGTCCTTGTACTCTATGTCCTCCATGCCGCTGACTTACTCGTAGTGGAGGAGCCTGTACTCTGCCATGATCATGCCAGAGGTCTTGAGGGCTTGGTGACGCAGGCTGGCCAGATGGATCGGCAAACACTAACGACCCAGTCAAGATGTGCAGCAATGTACGGAAGAGTCATAACGGCCAATCTTCTCGTCTCGCTCTTTTCTTGTTCATCGAAACCTCTTTGGTCTTTGAGCATTGTCCATCTAAAGAGTCGCTGAGCCGCAGAGCGTAAACTCCTCATACGAGATTAGCATGCCTTGCCCACCCAACTCGATGGCGAAGTAGTCCAGATGGTCAGTCACTTCACGCTGTAGCTTATGTACGCTGAAAAACCACCTTCAGAGCACATGTGGGATATTGACGCCCTCGGCGCTCGCTCGTGCGAGCATACCTGGGTTTAGATTCTAGGGACGGTTCGAAGAGGTCAATGCTGTGGACCGATCCATTGATTTTCCGGCAATTGCGGATTATGAAGAGACGGTCGTCGATCAGGCTCCGCAGAGAGATGAGCTGAAGTTTCCGAGAGACACAGAAGTGCGTTGACTTGAGGTGCAGTATCACTGTAGAATCAAAAGCCCAGCTCCATATCAAGCACATCGCCTGAGAATCCTCAAAGTCTTTATCAAGCCAGCGTATGAATTTTCCGACGCCTCGGCCAGCTGGGGAACTTGAATCACCACGGGTCAGCTCATTTGATATGAAGTATCAAACAGGCCAAAAGGGAATTGCTGAGCGAGGGGCCAGTGCCCATACACAACTATTGTTTCGTGTACCTGATTCAAAAGGCGTTCGAAATGTGTACCGAGTCGAAATCAATGAGTTCATTGCTTCTAGCCTAGCGATGAAGAATAAGAGGGACACTCAAGCGCCATCGAATCTCCGTGCGCGACAAGACAATGTGGTTCAGGGGCTCCTGATCGAAATGAGATGGACATCGCAGACGCGGCGTCAAACCCGAACCAGACGGCCACGGATCTCGAAATTGCAACAAGCGCCAGCAAGACTATCTGCGAAACCATGCTCATCATTTTGAGCGTCATGCGACTTCAAGTTCGACAGCTACAAACCAACCAGGCTGGCTTAGACATTCAAGAAACAGACAAGCAGATAGCGGCGGCGTAACTCGGATTGGACATTTGCGAGCGTGACATTCGTCTACAGAAACAGCAGAAGCATCAGGAGGTTTGGCTTGGAGATGGACAGGTTATAGAATACAGGAGAGGCTTCTACACGTCTAAGTCTCCTTGACAGAACACTTGTCTCTTATCACTGTTGGATCACAGGATGGTACAGTTGATTCTGACTTCCTTCACACTCAGTTGTAAATTTTCTGCCGGTCTTCCCCATCCAACATACAACATCAAGCCTAACCACAGCCTACAAGCACTGTGAATACCAGTCATTGCCAAATGTGCACGTTGTTCCAGACTCGCAGCACTTTGGTCCACTCCAGCCTTGACCACCGCACTGGCCATAGCGTGCCGCACATGGTCCACTGGTAGGGCCAGTCCCAGTCGTCGTCGTCCTGGTCACCAACGTGGTCGTGGTCCCAGGGTCGCCACCACCCGTGTCGCCCTTGAGACCATCCTGCGTGAAAAACCTCCAGGTCTCGCCAGGCGCCCAGCTCTGCGACTGCCCGGGGTCCTTGGGATCAGGAACGTGGCCACCGCCGTGCGCAATCCATGTGACAGGATAGCCCGCCCGGCACGAGTAATCAGTACGGATGCGGTTGCTAGAGCCGGGACTAGGCTCCGGAGCGTTCTTGCTCTGGCACCCATTCAAACCAATGTACTTGTCGCGCAGCTGACGACCGAGGCCAATGTTGAGCACATCGTCGGCACTGCCGTGGATGCCAAGGTAAGGAACCGGCGTGTTCCCGCCATTGCAACCACTGAGCTGAGCACCAGAGATCACAGCAATGGCCTTGAATACGTCTAAGCAAGAATTAATTAGCATGTAACGTTCTGAGCGGGCAACATGTTGACTTGACAACTTGAACATGAAGACGAGGAACAAGACTGGACTTACCGGGTCGAGAGCAAGCCGCGCTGAAGCTCATGGCACCGCCATAACTCCAGCCAGTCGCAAAGATGTTGGATTCGTCAACGCAGAGGCTGTCCTGTACCGTCTGCAAGATTTTGTCCGTAAAAGCAATGTCCTCTCCTTCCTCGTTTGCCCATCCCGCATTCAGACCGTTTGGCGCGACAAAAATTGTCGTGCCCTCAGAGAGAGGCTGCAGACCGTAGTACTGGCCGTTGACAACGGCGCCCATGTTGCCATTGAGCCAGTGGTAGGCAATGACCAGCTTGTGCTCTTTCTTTGGGTTGTAGTTTGCTGGGACCTGGAGCGTGTACTGGCGGTTTTTGCCGTTTACGGTAGTGGACTTGACGCCGCTCGAGGGAGCATTCTTACCACATCCTGCCGATCGAGCCTCAGCCAAGGGGGCAGTGATGGCTCCAAGAAGCGTCAGGAGGTAAGTGATTTTGAGCCTCATGGCGAGAGGGGCTGGGATCACTATGCTATTTTATGTACTGAGGATGATATGTCCAGGAGGCGCTCATGGGAACCAAGTTTCGCAATTTCTTATATACACGTCCATCCGTATCTCAGTCGTGAGCAAAAAGGCCCCCGGGCGAAAAAAGGCAATAACGGAACACACGATCCGCCCACGCGGACGTCAAAAGCATTCCTTGGCTTGCATGTCGGCAGTTCATGGCCTGGCCTTCCCCGCAAACGCCAGGCACTCTGATAGAACAGGCTAAATCGGCTTCCTGTAAGTCAGACTGAGTGTCACTACTCCGTAATGAATCCCAGCCTAGGCCTCTTGGCATAAAAAAATCGAAGCATCCGAGAGCCCTGCCAGCTCTGGCATGCAAGTGTCAGATCAACGACTGGCCGACTGAAGGGATGCAAAGTACGTACTTATCCGTTCAACAGGCGCTCCAATCCAGAACGGGAACATCATGTCCGCGTGAATGATTCTCGCTGCATTGCGATTCTTCGGCACATCAAGCGGCATCTCCTTGAGGGGAAAACATGGAATTAGCCACCATCAAGTGCGTCTGGTGATACTATCATCTAGGCAAATGTCCACATGCCTGGCTCAGCTGGTGATGGTCTGTAACCCCTTTTCTGACGGGCTATGTACAAAATGATTGCAACGGGGTCAAACTACTGAGGAATAGGCTTGCAATGCCTACCATAGTCAACGCAAAGACCTTGGTCTTCGAATGAGCAAATGATCAGTTCATTGAGTTGGATGAGCAAGAAATTGATTAGGGGATCGATCACCCCCTAATGAGGAACTGAGTCTGACAGGGTGAAATGCGAGATGCTGCAAGGCGGCGCACTTAGGACCTTGTTTGCGCTTCAAAGGCCATTATAAAAGCTCAGTGTGTGCAAATTGGGACACATTTCATGAGCAAAAGTTGACGGTGTGAGGCAGCCATGGTATCAAATGCACGTAGTCAGCACTGCGCATCGAGAGTGGCCGGTCTTTATCCCAAGATCACAGCTCGTCTCCTTCGCTGCTCATAGTCCCGCAGGAGATGCTTCTTGAATGAAAAACTCGCAAAACATCGCTTGACTGTATTTTTCAGCCCACTGAGTAGATACCTGCCCGTCAAGACCTTGGGCATGCGGCAAAAGGGTAGCTTCACCCGCTCTTGAAATTCTGAGCTAAGGCAAAGACATTTCAATACGCCTTGGGTATCAAAGTATAGCGATGTCTAATTCTAGCGAGGTTCCTTCCAGACGTTCGTCTTGAGCTCTATCACACGCGCATACGTATCGGAATCAATCCTTGACTCGAGTCTTTGCCTAGATTGTCGACGCCCTCCTGCCGCAACATGTCATTCACAAACTCGCGATGACTGGAACAACGTCCTCCGCAGGTCATTATGATTAAAGTAGCTGCCAGGCGTTCACCTGAGAAGATTCAATAACTCAAAGCCCGTGAGTGCTCCTGGCGAACTAGGAGTGTTGAGGGCATTTGACCCCACGGACAATCTTGCCCAAGATGTCGTCGCACGTCGTCTGATCTACACGTATTGGACTCTCGCCACAGCCAAGAACTTTGCCTATCGGTCCATTGACTTGCGAAAAAATTATTGCTACCTTGATTCATCAAATCTGTGTTATTCAAGTGTTTGATGTCTCCTCGCGCTCCAACCGCCGTGATAGGCTACGACTTACATGCAGCGTCTGGGCGTGGCGCTTAATGATACAGTGAACTCCACAAACCACACACAAAGCCGCCCGTCGCATTACTGTGTACGCTGTCAATTAGCAGTAAGCGCCCTTTGTGTTGCGGCAAACCCTTGTGTTTGATCCTTGATGCTGCCATGTCAATCAATTGGTTCGCACGGAGTCGATCTGAGGCGTACCAGCTCGTTGACTTCAATTCAGTGCTAAATTTGGCTTGCACCTCGACGCTTTTATCTCCAATTCCTGCCTACCTCAGGTATATAAAAAGGAGGCCCTCGCGTTATGGAGCTGGGGGTCCTGAAGCTATTCATCATCGCATCCTTTGTCCCGATATAGATTTCCTTCTCGTTTCCTCTTTCCTTTGTCGCTCTGCGAGCCGTCTGCTACTTTACGCTATATTGACTTCCTCTATTTTTCCTCGACTTCAATTTGGGTGGTTGCATCTCCAGCGATATTCAGAAATCATTTCACTGCCTTTCAAGTTTACCAGGCGCCATCACAAAAGCAACGAAGAGACAGCGGATAGGAACATACCCCACAAATAACAACAAGTTATTCGCCATCACCACCATGGGACTTCAGAGCGCCATCAAAGCCGGCCAGACCGCCGTCGAACTCGGCCGCACCGCCCAAGGTTTTGCCGGCGCCGCCTCCGAGCTGCGGTCAGCCGACAAGGGTGAGCTGGGCCGCAAGGCCGGTCGCCATGCCTTCAACGAGGGCGCCGAGACAGGCAAAACCATGGGCAAGACCTGGCTCAAGACGTTCGAGGTGATTCCCCGCATGATCGTCCGCGGGCTGCAGTTTCTCTTTGCCATCATCGCCTGCGGCTTCTACGGGAACAGAGTCGACGCCGATCGGAAAGCCGACGGTGCCTTCTCGCCCGAGTGGCTCCTGGCCATCATCGTTGCGGGGTTGTCGGCCATCACAGCGGTCCTCTTCGTCGCCGCGACGCCACTAGGTGCCATACCGTACTTTGGGAGCAGGATCAAGCTGTTCAAGACGTACCGGGCCTTCCCCTGGGACGCGATCCTATTCATCGCCTGGGTAATTGTGTTTGGCATATTCGCGGGCATCTTCCTCCACAGGGGCGACGACGACGACAAGTACAAGGGTAGTTCGACGGGTGCGATGAAGACGGCGGTCTGGGTGGACTTTGTCAATGCGCTTTTCTGGCTGGCTTCCGCTGTCTATGGCGCCTTCAAGACGTTCATGGGTGACAAGGCAGATGAGATGACGGATAAGGTCGGGACCAAACTCTTTGAGAAGAGAAAGACGGTTCCCAAGGACAGTTCTGACGCTGAGAGCGTGTGAAGCTAGGGTCAGCAGGCTCATGACCTACGCACAGATGTTGAACATAATGAGCATACGCTACGTACATTGATACATACGACCATACCCAGTGGAAAAAACGGGATCCCGTCCGCTCTCCCAGAGTCAAGCCGCTAAGGGGCTGATTAGTAGTTGGCTCGGTGACGACCAGCGAATACCGGCTGTTGTATGTTTTTTTGGTCATTTTTGCACATCCTTTGGGCTACCCTACACAGTGGTCGAGCAAACCACGGCGTTCGCAGTGAAAGAGGGTTGCAAGCCCGCGCAGCTTGCGATTGCCTGGATTCGCGCTACAAATGGTCGTGAGGGGAGACTATTTTGATTGCAGAATGAATGCTTTTATGAAAAGAAACCTAAGGTCGATACCCACTTTCCACGCACCCACCTTTCTACGCACCTTCACGAAAAGCCTGATTAGATTTATAGCTATAATTCTATAGCACAACAACCTTTAACTAATCCGATGTATGCTATAGAGCTTTATTAAAGGCCTCTGTTTCTAAAAATACGATTTCCGTAGCTAAATTATTAGTAATCTACCGATCTATTATAGCCTCGGGCGGTAACGATATTTTAGCCTTATTATGGGCTTCTTTTATAAAAAAAGAGTTATAAAATACTTAGTTAGGGTCTTTTTCGACGCGTATATATTTTCGTAAACGAATATTTTTAATCCGTGCCTCTAATTTAGCTTACTTATACTTAAGGGCCTGAATTTCTTTATCTTTTTAAAGGGCGCGTCCGGCCCTCGAGATAAGTGTAACAATAGTAGGATAGATTAGGTAGGGAGAGAAGGTATGGGTAGTATATTCACAAAACTCAAACTTACTTCTCCCTCTACAGGTAGAAGTAAGTATATTATACCTAAAGCGCTCGGAAGATCCGGAGGTTAGGTGTAATACTATTGAGTCGGGTACGTATCATTGATGCTGACATGGCGGTACGCCATAGCATCCGAGGCCTCCGTGATTCCTTGTGACTGCACCGCTGACTTCCTTCGGCCACGGTGTTACAATAAGCGTCTTAAAGCCACGGTTAGTAATATTTGAATACGCTATAATCGGCTTAAATTACTACGATAGGTCTTTATAATTATTTAGTATGAAATATAGCCTATCTTTAGCGAATTATTATTAACTTTCTAGTATTAAGGGCCGCCGTTTATTAGGTTTAGGTGGATTAATTAATTATAGCTTTTAATAACCTATTTTATATATATCGGATATATTTATACGCCCTTAAAAGTACCTTTAATATTTTCCGGCGTTATAGCTCTCTTATAAGCCTCTTTATATACCGAGAGGAACCTTTTCTTAGCTACTAGCGCTATTAAAGGTAGATAAGTATACGGCCGGATAAGCTCGCGAAAATACCTCTTTAAGGGCGCGAAATTACCTATATCGAGGGGCTGAGTAATATATAAAGTATACGGCGGTAGATAAAGAAGGTATATATTATACTTATAAGCTAATTATATAACCTCTAGGCCGGCGTGAGGCTTTATACTATTAAGAATAAGGATACGCTAAAGCGAGGTATCGCGAGGCTGCGTCTCGGGTATAAAGATATCCTTAAACTAGCCGCATATGATTTACTAGGTTATCTAGCCCTTGGCGGAGCTAGTGATAGCTAGAGGGAGGATATCTTCCGGTAGCTATTACTTTTAAAAGGTCTTACCTAATATAATCACGGCTAGGCTTATAGAACGGCCTCGAGCGTTAATATACTCGGCCGCTATAATATATATTATTTAGTCGCTAGTAGCCTCTATAGCGTAGGATAATTCGCTTAATCCGATAGCCTTATAAGGCCTTATCTCCCCTTATTAGAACCTAGTCTCGTCTATATTCTAGATCCGATCCGATCCGATAGATCTATACTTAATTAGGTCGTTAAGCGTAGTATACTAGGGCCTTAGAACCTTTAGAATAGCTTAATTAATCCTATTATTCTCTATACCGATCGATATCTTCGTTCGGAGGTCCGGCCGGCGGCTAAGGAAGCGTGATATCTAATTATAACCGATATAGTAATCGAGCCCGATAAGACCTTAGGTATAGTCGCGAATTTACTAATAGCTCGGGGCCTTATAGGCTCGTTCTTGCTTAAGTATCTAATCGGCTAATACTTTCTCTTATATATCGGTTAAGTTATAGCGTGCTTCTTGCCCTAAGAGTATATTATTAGCTCGATCGCGACGATATCGTATTAAAGACTCGCTAACGCCGAAGTCGCGAGCGGCGGCACGCATAGCGCCGCTATCTTAGACTTGCTGTACAGTAGCTTGGAGTTTTCGATCGCGTAGGTCTATATAATCTATTTAGTATAAAAAATTATAGATTAGATTAAAATTAGTAAAGTTATTCACGATTTCCTATAGAAGGATTACGAGAGCGCGTCGCGATCACGATGCGCAGAAAGGTGGTTGCGCGGAAATGTGGGTCTGTTCTCTAGTGTTGCAAAAGGACTCATCGTAGTAAATTCAAAACATTGATAATAAAGTAATACAGTCCACCAGGGATAAGCGCGTTAAAAGTAGAATCTACGTCGCATCAGGGTCCCAGAGCTTTGCGATGTCACGATCACAATATCAAGAGGTGCAGTTACTGAAGTGATCGCGTATTTCTCAGGGGTGAGTGCGAAGGTCTGCCAAGAAGACCCATCCTATGAGTCCAGAGATGCGTTTTCGGATAGATGCGTGCTATGTCGCAGCGATCTAGCACCCATCTATATCATGCATGTCCAGAAATGGGCTTGCACGTTGTTTATCCACCTTGCTATTCTCTGAGCACAGGAAGAGAAAATTGTAACTCTCGACGCTGCATATGGGAGGGCAGTCATTCGCACCGGGCCGTAAAGACGGAAAGTAGTGGTGCTTGGCCAACTTCGGAGCTACTATTAGTCTGATTCCCGAATCTCAAGCTGGAGACTGCACGTCATTTAATCTGTCTGAGGACAACGTGCGTGCACAGGGACTCGTTGGTTGCAAGCAGGGTCTCAGTCGATCACGAACGCCCCGCGGTGGCTGCACCCGCTATCGGCTGGTCGTGGCTGACCGCAGTACAGGTTCTGCTGCACGAAATGAGGGGAGTATTCTTTGCGAGTATACTAGACGCACGCAGAGGCTATCATGGAGGACATGAGGTACGCAGTCCGCTTGCCGTCCGGATCCGCCTCAGTATCGTTATGCTGAGGTAACTGGTCTGCAGAGTAAGTGACTTATCGCGGTTCTAGGTGTTTTATGGTATGTGTTGGCAACGGTCAATGCACCGTAGGGAATATGGTGACGGCTTAACAAATTAGTGAGTCTGAATGTCTCCAAGAAGCGAGGAAGGGCGATATTCGGGAAGATGCCTACATTGCCCACGTCGGCGCTGTTGCACAACGCATGTCACGGAAACCTTGAGTGGCGGCCATTGTTCAGGACAATAGAGCACGGACGGGCGTCGAGATAAGGTAATCGAGAAATACCTGCCCTTGGTATGGTCCGTCAAGCCTTCGAGAGCGCTCGGCAACCTGATGTTCCAGACTCGCAGAATGTTAATCGTGGGGCTACAGCTACAAGCTGGCGAGAAACTTAGCAGGTCCTAGGGCGTTTCTTCCTTAGGGGTGTTTTTCAGGCCAATATAAACCAATCTTTCTCATAGCAAAAGAGGATCTAAACATGAAGCGTACTATCTCACATATGTTGCTATTGAGCAAGTAGGCTGGTCCTGGGCGAATGAGCAACACATAACCCACATGAAGGAACGAGCACCCGGCTTCATCCCAAATAAATATAACAAATCTCGACTACTACGGAGGCTCGACGCTTGCTTAGGATCAATACTTGATACATTTAAACTTGTTTCAGAACCAGGTGCCTGAATCATGTAAGACCTAAGGCTGGTGTGTAAATGTCCAAGCGTAGAAAGATTCTCTTCGAAAGTAAATCGTTTCAATGTATGGTTACAATCACTGCAGTATCGGAATAGGAGCGGACGTTATGCTTCAACAATGCTTTCTGTATCTCTATCATTTCGCCCCACGAACAACGGTCTGAATAATCCAAGCCATGCTATCTTTAATCACCATAGCAGATTCCGCCGACGGCGTCGCAAAGCCCCAATGGGCAGTCGGCATCAGAAGAACAGGAGCGGCGAGCCAGGCGTCGATCCCCATAGCAGATTCCGCCGACAGCGTCGCAAAGCCCCAATGGGCAGTCGGCATCAGAAGAACAGGAGCGGCGAGCCAGGCGTCGATCCCCATAGCAGATTCCGCCGACGGCGTCGCAAAGTCCCAATGGGCAGTCGGCATCAGAACTGCATCCACGTGCTGAAAGGTCGAGAGACTCAGATTGAGGCGCGGGGGCTGCAAACGCCAGCCCGCAAAGGGCAGTGGCAAAGGCGAGATTAAGTGCGACCATGGTAGCGGTTGTAGGAATGTGAGTCTGGTGGTTTCTAGATGATGGATGAAGTGTTATGTTTGGATTGTTGAGGCTTTTGGACGACTTGAAACCAAGCGAGAATATATATCTCTGATCGGGTCCGTTATTCCACGGCGCTCGTAGCATATGGGATCAAGTACGCTTACTAGCGAGCGTCCGAGGACGCAGGGGTTGCTGCATGGCGTGTCGTCAATCAAACGATGTGCAATCATTCCCTGCGACGCGTCATACTGTCTGAGATCATTGTCACGTAGCTTCCGCAACTCGCCGGACATAAAGCAAAAGGGTTGGTGTCGGTGGGTTTTCTGATAGTATACTGCAGACCCTGGTTGCCATAGGATTTTACCAAAAATTACTTAATTCTGCATCTGCGGAATTTTCTTATTGAGCAGTGGCGAGAATCCTTACCCCTTGTCGGCAAGCTCATAAGCGATACGTCACCCACAGCTTCTAGCCAAAATCAGGGAGCTTGTACGGAGTACCTCGCATTGAAATGACAAAACAGCTGTTGGATAGTCACATGCTCCAAGTGGTCATCTTCAAAAGGGATTCCTCA